GAAGACCAAGGCGAAGAAGCGAACAGCCATGAACTGTTCGATCCTTCCGGTATTGCCCGATTTGATACCGGCAGAAGATGACGAAGATGAGGATATCGAGGAAGCCTCTATCCATCATCAGGTTCAGTCAAACAGCTTCAGCTCTAAAATGCACGGACATGTGGGTACTATACCTGCCAGGCTTGAGGATGAAGAACAATCGGACCTTGCTACTACTATTGGTCAGAAGGTGCAGATCAAGGAGGTTGAGGATGAGGATTCGTCACGGAATGTGTGGATCAGGTACAAGAGCTCTGTAGCATCAGAGTTAGCGCAGCAGGAGGAGAAGAAGAAGAAGGAAAAGAAGCCCTATAGAAGAAATGGTGCCAGACTGGCTCATGATTATCTTAAGGTCTTCTCCGAAGAAGATTCCTGACTCGATTCCCCATTCTAGAAGTGGATCATAAGTAGATTCTTAGGATCCACTGACCTTCCCCCCAATGTGAAAGCATATCCCCTGTCCCCCGCCGAAAATGACGCATGTGAGAAGTGGTTGTTATGACCCACATCCAACAATAATGTTGAAGGAGAGCTCACGACCACTAGGACTCGGTCAGAGATGACGATGAGTAACAGGATTGGATTGAGCGTTGAACGTCTAGGTTACTACGACGGTAGAAACGAAGAGGTTAAGTCTAAGGAGTACTTACGCTAACTACCCTATTCTTATACCTAACATTAAGTAGGAGTCTGAAAGAAATCAGCCAATGAGAAAAGAGTCGTACGATGCTGCGGATGACTGAGCATGACATCACAATATATAAGCAGATGAGTAAGACGGCAACTAAACAGAAACCCAAGTTCCGACCGGTTCTCCCTTGGGAAGTGAGATTGTTCTAGCCCAGGAGTAGGTGAGCCAATCGGAGAAGCAAAGGGTGACCTATGACGAGGAGTCACGTGCCCGGCTCAGGTACTGGAAGTAGCCGAAGGAAAACCGAGAAATGAAAAATGGTTCGTATTAGGAATTCGTGACAGTGGTTGAAGCAGGAATATGATTTGGGACGAATGAGGGATAGCGAATCCCCAGTAGCAGCTCCTTTCTTCTTTGTTGCTAAGAAGGACGGAAAGCTCAAACCCGTCATGGACTATCGGAGGTTGAATGAGAAAACCATCTGAAATGCATACCCTCTCCCTCGCTCTCAGGACCTTATTGATCAACTCTCCAGTGCAAAGCTTTTTTCGAAAATGGATGTTCAATGGGGCTATAATAATATCAGAATGAGAGAAGGAGACCAGTGGAAGGCTGCCTTCAAAACTCCCCTTCGGACATCATGAACCAGTCGTAATGTACTTCGGCATGACGAACTCCCCAGCTACTTTCCAAACTATGATGGACCAAATCTTCCAAGATCTAAAGGAAGGCAAGGTCATTGTAGTCTACATCGACGACATCTTGGTCTTCACCAACGGTGTTATGCTGATGGTAATCAAAGGAGGTTTTGAGTCAATCAATCTACTAGAGGTGGCACTCTAGAGAAGTCAAAGGAATCAAGGTGGATTCACTAGTGTCTAACTAGTAGTCTGAGAATGTATCTGGGTAATTCCAGCGTAGGTCAAGATGAGGAATCATCGAGACTATGACCTGCTTATATACGATAGTAAGTCAGGGTCCAGGGTCTAGGGTAATTAAGTAATATGTCCATATAAGTATAGATGATTGTCCATGGGAATACACGCAGTGTATGCATGTTTAAGGGTCTGTGAGAATACACTAGGTATCAGCATGTAAGTAATATCCGAGGACTTGCCGAGGATAGATCGAGATTGATCTCAGATCAATGAATAGGGTTGTGCACCTGTGATAAGGTGAAGTCGGAGAGTAACCCTAGATAGGGTGATATCGGGAAGTGGTGACACTGTGACATGGTGTCAATGTGAAGAGGTGAAGATGTGAAAGGGTGAAGAGGAAAATGAAAGGTGTCGCAGACAACCGTGACAAATGGTGATGTAGAGAAACATCGGAAGGTGGTGCGCGAGGTATTACAAAGGTTGCAGGACAATGACCTCTATCTCAAACCGGAAAAGTGTTCTTTTGAGAAGAAGGAAGTGGAGTTTCTCGGTTTGATCGTCAAGGATGGACACGTCTCTATGGATCCGGTCAAGGTTAAGGGAGTTCAGGAATGGCCCACTCCTACCTGTGTCAAGGACATTCAACGATTCTTGGGATTTGCGAACTTTTATCATCGATTCATTCTCGGTTTCTCGAACATTGCCAGACCCATGAATGAACTTATCAGAAAAGATGTACCATGGGAATGGACGGACAAGCAAGAGAAGGCTTTCAAAACTCTGAAAGACAGTTTCACTTCCACACCAGTGCTAGTCATGCCAGATGCGAATAAAAAACAAAAGATAGAGAGTGACGCATCTGACTACACTACTGGTGGTGTACTTTCTCAGTTGGAAGAAGACAGACTATGGCACCCAGTGGCTTTCTTCAGCAAATCAATGCAAGATGCAGAGCGTAATTACGACATTCACGACAAAGAACTTCTAGCCATCATCCGCGCATTGGAGGAGTGGAGGCATTATGTGCAGGGCGCACCTCATCCGGTAGAGATCTGGACGGACCATAAAAACCTTGAGTACTTCATGACAAGCCAGAAGTTAACTCGAAGACAGGCAAGATGGTCCTTATTCCTTGCAGAGTACAACTTCACTCTGCAACACAAACCGGGAAAGGTTAATGACACTGCCAACACTCTGTCCAGGAGGCCAGACCACAGAGGGGGGGTAGAAAACGACAATTCTGATCACGTGCTTCTGAAACCCAAGTTTTTTCATATCAAAGCTGCAAAAAGAGGTCAGATTCTGATAGAAGGAGAGCATTCGCTGTTGAAGCATATCAGAAACTGCACCGATTTAGATCCAGAAGTCCGAAATGCTATCGAAACTCTGAAGAAGGCCCCTGTGCAGTTGAGAAGAGGATTGGAAGAGTGGAATACGGAGGATGGACTCATTTTGTTCTGAGGATTGGTTTACGTGCCCAATAACAAGGAAATACGTCGCTCAGTGCTAGAGATCTTCCATGACTCGCCCGCAGCAGGACACATGGGACGTGCCAAGACTCTTGAACTTGTCTCGCGGAACTATTGGTGGCCTCAGATGCAGAAGTGGGTCAATGACTACGTAGATGGATGTGATCGATGCAAGCAAACGAAGGTGCTACAGTCAAAACCCCATGGACCTTTGAAGCTGAATGAGGTTCCAGAAGGGCCATGGCAGACCATTAGCTGTGACCTCATCACCGATCTACCCATCTCCCAGGGCAAAGACAGTATTTTGGTAGTCGTTGATCGTTTCACGAAGCAAGCACATCTTGCTCCGACCACCAAGGATGTTGATTCTAAGGGAGTCGCGGACTTATTTCTCAATCACATATGGAAGTTACATGGTACACCGAAGAAGGTGATCTCGGATAGGGGAACACAGTTTGTGTCCAAGTTCATGCAGGAAGTCTCGAAACGACTAGGCACCAAGTGGTCCATGTCAACAGCATATCACCCACAGACTGACGGACAAACAGAACGAGTCAATCAAGAAGTCGAACAGTACCTATGACTCTTCACATCCTACCGTCAGAATGATTGGGTTTCTTGGCTTCCAATTGCTGAATTCACACATAACAACTCAGTAACCGTCACTGGACATTCCCCATTCAAATGTGTCTACGGCTATAATCCCGAGTTTACAATTTCCCCTAATTCTTCCCACACGATTCCCCATGCCGACCAGAGAGTAGCTGAGATGAAGGAGGCACAGGAAGAGACGAAAGCAATGCTGGAAATAGTGAACGATCGAATGAAGCGCTTTTACGATCATAAAGTAAAAGATGCACCAGAATTCAAACCAGGCGACAAGGTATGGTTAGACGCGACAAACATCAAACAACGCCGTCCGAGCCAAAAATTGTCCGACTGCCGTCTTGGACCATTCAAAATCGAAGAGAAGACTGGCGAGCTAAACTACAAGTTAAAGCTCCCGGTTTAAATATCGCATCCACTCAGTTTTCCATGTATCGTTACTCACCCCACATTGAACCTCTCAACTCGTTGATCGCCCACCTCTAACGCGTCCGCCGCCGGAGATTGTTGACCAAGTCCCAGAATATGAAGCAGAGCAAATATTGCAAAGCCGCCTATACAGGCGCAAGTTGCAGTATTTAGTAAAATGGAAAGGATATGCAGTAGAAGAAGCAACATGGCAGTCAGAGGAAGATGTGAAGAACACGCCGCTCATTGTAGCCAACTTTTATGCAGAAAACCCAAATGCGGTTAAATCGGCGCGAATCTCCGCTTCAATTCTGATGACCCCTGACTTCCTCGAGTGGAGACAGAAAAATATACAACCATCTTACATTCGCGAGGACGCTCATCCTAGAAAGGGGGTAGTGTCACGAATTCCTAATACGAACCATTTTTCATTTCTCGGTTTTCCTTCGGCTACTTCCAGTACCCGAGCCGGTCACATGACACCTCATCATATGTCACCCGTTGCTTCTCTGATTGGCTCCCCTACTCCACAGGCTAGAACAATCTCGCTTCCTAAAGAAGAACCGGTCGGATCTTGGGTTTCCATTTAGTAACCGTCTTACTCAGTCGCTTATATATCATGATGTCATACTTACTCATCCGCAGTATCGTACGACTCTTTTCTCATTGGCTGATTTCTTTCAGACTCCTACTCAATGTTATGTATAAAAGTAGGGTAGTTAGTGTAAGAGCTCCTTAGACTTAACCTCTTTGTTTCCTACTGTTGTAGTGACTTAGACGTTCACGCTCAATCCCATCCTTTTTATCATCGTCTTTGACTGAGTCCTAGTGGTTGTGTTCTCGCCTTCATCATTATTGGTGAACGTTGGTCATAACAGATGGTCAGATTAGCTTGGCTAGCCCAGCAAAGTTGACAGTAATGTTGGATTGATTGTTGTGATCCCGACCTGCCAGCTGTGCACATTGTCTTCATGCAAGAGCTGCGATATCATCCTCGTCATTATCATGGTTGGTTGGATCAAAGATTTTTGAGTTCGGAGGATGCTCAATATCAACTCCGACTGTATTAGCCTCCTGCAAATGACATATTAGTAAATGTAAATGTGCCAAAAAAATGTTCAGATTCCATGCCATTGCAGCTGCCCATGTTCAAAGGTGCTTGTGGGTGAGATGGACATGCTTGGCAGTTGGACCTGAGGGATAACATATGTCATATGGGCAGGCTCGGTCTCCGCAGTGATATTTGTTTTGCAGGTTGATGATATGCTGGTCGTGTGCTATTTCCTCTGTTGACGGCACATGCTATAACCACATCAGCAATTACACACATGAAATGAACAAATTATGGTGCGTATATACCTGTTTTCGTTTCTTTTGGGGGTTCTCATTGTCTTCTTCATCTTGCTTGTCTTCAGTTGGATCGTCGCCAGCGATAACCTCAATGTTAACAACTCTGTAAGCCAAATAGACAACACAAGGAAGATATATACCTTCTGTTCAAGTAATTTGAGTGCCACCTCTGCTTTTCTCACATCCTGCACCTGAGTACAGAGCTCAGCATAGTCATCTTTGTTGTTGAAAGAAACATCCTTGTTTTGAGACTGATATACAGTGTAAGTGAAAGAGAGTGAGTCCAATCCTTCAAGCTCAAAGCCGGCATAGAGCCAAGAAGTGCCAAGCAAGTCATGTTGTTTGATATTTTTGAGGACTTTGGTAATCATGTCCTTCATGGACATGTCTTCATGGACATAGACTATCTTTGTAGTGTGATCAACTTTGCATTCTTTCGACGCTTGGGGTCAAGTGGCTGAAGAGGTGTGAAGAGTATAGTAAATTTCATCCCCTTCTCGTTGTTGTACTGGCTTGGGCCCCCTGTACTTTATGATGAGCAGTGTGTCCCAGTTGAACAATCTAGATAATGTGCATACATCCATCATTGAGGTCTTCTAAGTCAAGGTTTGCCATTGTTGTAATGAGTCAAGATGTGTTGAAAATTAGCACCGCAGTGTGTGACACCAAGCAGAACGACAAAGTTTTCTTCTTTTTTTGTGATTGTCATTATTTATAAAAATTGCAATAATTTAAATCTTAGCTTTTTTGTCTGGTAGATTTGTCAATGCTTACAAGAGGGGACTTGATGGAAAACAGGCTGTGTGGGTGATCAAGAAATATTGTGGACATTGTGTTCTTCCTGAGTTCATAATGCAGGAGTTTGAGCAATCCCCTGAGCTACAATTTATCATATTACAACTCTCTTTACATACCAATAGCTTAATCACTCCGAGTCTAGTTTCATATCATCCTTAATAGACATTGCACAATACCTAAGTAGCTAACTTGTCTTCCGAGTCTGTGCCGTTCGGCTTGACTTATCCTCACAGCGTCACACGTCAGTCACATCACGTGAGGTTGGTCGAAATTATATGTCTTCTACCTTATGTAGAGTCTGGACCCTATATGGGTATCCGGCGGGCCGGCTTTTGCTGCATGCGAGTTATGGGTGGCACTTTCGATCCTAAATTGGGCACTGCGGCCGAGTTCGATCGATCGGCCGAGAAACATTGTTTTCACCAAAACTCTTAAATTTAAAGGCTTGGACGGATAGGCATTATCCCATTCCCCCACCATCATTTATACTCATCATCGTCATGCCTGGTACAGTCACTGGTCCCCGAACGCTCTACGATAAAATCTGGGACGATCATGTTGTGTAAGACTCCCCCTGTCCGCGTATCAGTCGTGTGCTGATTGACAAGGCAGAGATGTGAACGAAGACGGCCTTGCCCTCATTTACATCGATCGGTACGTGAACAAGCTTAGATTCTGCAGTATTTGTACGAACTCACCGCGTTGTCTTAGTCACCTTGTGCATGAGGTCACGAGTCCTCAGGCTTTTGAAGGCCTGTGAGCATAATTTTCACGCTGACCTTCGTTACAATTTGCTGACAAGCACTTAGAAAGAATGCCGGGAGGCCCGTTCGACGACCGGACTGTACACTCGCTACTGTGGATCATAATATTCCGTATGTTGAAAGATACGCCTTTGCTTCGCATATGCTGACGCCCCGACAGCACCATTTCCCGGAAAAGCTACAAATCTGTGGATACCTTCGTCGCCGAGCCAGACTCGCGGGCACAGGTCATGCAACTGGAAGAGAACGTCAAGGACTTTGGGTTGACTTATTTTGGGCTATCTGACAAGCGTCAAGGTTCAAAAAATGCAGTCTAGTGTGTACGAACGCGAATTGACATCGATTCTCCTTTCCAGGTATCGTGCATGTCATTGGTCCCGAGCAAGGCTTCACGGTAAGTCTTTATATCTATCAGATGACGTCATGGGGCTAATCGCATCTTATCAGCTGCCTGGCATCACTTGCGTGTGCGGTGATTCACATACCTCAAGTACGTTTATTATACAACTCGTGACGAGTTGACGTTGATTTGATCACAATAGCACATGGCGCATTTGGTTCCCTGGCGTTCGGTATCGGAACTTCCGAGGTGGAGCACGTTCTCGCTACCCAAACTCTCTTGCAGAGGAAAGGTAAAAATATGCGCATCACCGTCGATGGCGAGCTCGCGGAAGGCGTTGGCTCAAAGGATGTCATTTTACACATCATTGGTATCATCGGGACGGCTGGTGGTACCGGTAGTGTCATCGAGTACGCCGGCTCGGTATTTCGCACCATGAGCATGGAAGCTCGCATGAGTGTTTGCAATATGAGCATCGAAGCCGGTGCTCGTGCAGGCATGGTTGCACCCGATGAGATTACCTTTGCCTATTTGCGGAACCGTCCCCTCGCTCCCAAGGGCGAGGAATGGGATCGTGCGGAGGCATACTGGAGCACTCTCAGGAGTGACGAGGGTGCTAAGTTTGACATTGAGGTCAATATTAATGCCGCTGATATCCCTCCTACCGTCACCTGGGGCAACTCTCCCCAGGATGTTGTCGCAATTACTGGGAAGGTCCCCGATCCATCCACCATGTCCGACCCTTCGAAACGTGCCTCCGCAGAGCGAGCCTTGGCTTATATGGGCCTGCAGGCAAACACGCCAATGGAGGATCTTTCCCTTCAGAAAGTGTTCATTGGATCCTGTACAAACAGCCGCATAGAAGATCTCCGATCCGCTGCCCGGATCGTCCTTGCTGCCGGTCCCGATGCTAAGGTCGCCCCAAATGTACATGCGATGGTCGTTCCTGGATCCGGTCTGATTAAACAGCACGCTGAGGCGGAAGGGTTGGACGCTATCTTCAAACGTGCAGGGTTCGACTGGCGTGAGGCTGGTTGTTCAATGTGCCTTGGTATGAATCCAGACCAGTTGGCGCCTGGTGAGCGGTGCGCCAGTACTAGCAATCGCAATTTCGAAGGCCGTCAGGGTGCTGGTGGTCGCACGCACCTTGTCAGCCCTGCGATGGCTGCGGCAGCAGCCATGACGGGCAAGCTGACAGACGTTCGCAAATTTTTGGGTGCAGATGCGGAGGAAAAGATTGCTGCTGGTCCAAAGTTGAATCTCGCGAGTGCCTTCGACTTCTTGACCGAGTTTACTGAACCTGCGACGGAGCCTGAGCGCCTGTCGCATACCCAGACCGCAATCCCATCCACTTTGCCGCCTGCTTCATCCCCCTCTGGTGTATCGAAGTTCATCATTGTGAAGGGCATTGCTGCGCCCTTGCACATCGACAATATTGACACCGACATGATAATCCCGAAGCAGTTCTTGAAAACTCTGAAGCGGACCGGTCTTGCCAACGCTTTATTCTTTGCTCAGCGCTTTGACCCGAAAACCGGGGAGAAGACGAATTTCATCCTTAATAAGTCTCCATACGATCAAGCGAAGATTCTCATCTGCACTGGCAAAAACTTTGGTTGTGGTAGCTCTCGCGAGCACGCAGCTTGGGCTCTGTAAGTATCCTTGCATTTTGCATGTCAAGACCCTACTCACAAAGTCGCTTAACAGGAATGACTTCGGAATCCGCTGCGTTATCGCGCCAAGCTTTGCGGAAATCTTCCGTAACAACACGATGCAAAATGGCATGCTTCCGTTGCCCTTGTCTGTAGAGGACTGCAAGGACCTCGCTACGGACGCAGAGGCAGGCGTGGAAATCGAGGTAGATCTCGATAAGCAGGAAGTTAGACGCGGTGGGAAGCCGGCTATCGCCTTCAGCGTTGATCCATTTAGGCGGCACTGCCTTGTCAACGGGTTAGATGATATCGGCCTGACGCTGCAGAGGGAGGAGGCGATCTCTTCATTTGAGGAGAAACGGAGTGCTCTCTGGTCGTGGTTAGATGGATTCGGATACCAGGGTCAGAAAATTCCTGTTGCGGGTACAAAACCGGGTAAGAGGATGGAATGGTAAAGTGCTGTACTATTCACGATAATTCAATGGGATGAATTTGGTTCCGCTAATTGAAACAAAGGATAATACTAGTACCGTTGTTTGACCGTTGTCATCTTGTCCACATGTTTAGTCAAAGACCATAATCATTCTTTTACATAAGTAAGCGCTGTACTTTTCGCTTCTTAAATATTGCTTGTAGCTACGACGAAGATGGCCCCTACAAAGTCTCGAGATCTCCAGCCCGCATCCAAACCGACAACTTCCAAGCCCGCCAACCCGAGCCAGTTGGGAGCTCTGCCTAAAGTTGAGCCCAAAGAATCATCCAATGCCACTGGGTGGCATGCTACAAAGCAGACATCGTCTCAGCAGGTTTACACCAAGAAGATACCACATCGCTCCAGCAAGCCTATCATAAACTGGTTTCAGCGCAAGTTGTCTGGTACTGTGAAGCCCAGCAGGGTTGCAGATAACACGTATGCGCCAGGTAGTTCACAAAAGGCCTCCAATGGCAAGCAACTCAATGGCGCAAGCGTGTCGCATTCCAGGTCGAATAGTCGTTCTGTATCTTCTCCTTTGCCGCAGGTCACGCCAACCTCATCGCAGAGACAGGGTGTAATTGGAAATGGCAGTCGAAACGGTTATACTGTCTCTCAGCGGAAAACTATTTCTCTAAATGGAGAGGGAGATTTAGATGCCGGGTTCATACATTCAGACGACGAAGATATTGACGCGTCAACTCATCGCTCGTCACTAGCTCGCGACTCCTTTTGGTCTCCTGCAAGTGCTCTCGAAGCAGATGAAGATGCCTCTCTCCGGCCTCTTCCCCCCAGCTCACCTCCCTCTCCCTCGCTATCCCACTCCTCAGCCTCGTATCTATCCAACTCTCGCACCTTCAGAAGCATCGCGGCGAGTACAAAACCAACTACAGTACTAAGCGTTGACCTTGGTCCTGCTGGAGTAGGACACATAGCACAAGTTCCCATTACACCAGTATCCCAAACTAGTCCTCGTTTTTCGCCCCATGTACGGACATCATCCACTGGAACGAACAGTGGGTTGATAGGTAGTGGAGCATCCGTTACCTTCTCTGCTCTCCCGCCCTCACTTCAATCATCTTCTCGCCCGCCCTCCTCCCTGAATTTCAGCTCATCCACTCCGGGATTGCTAGGCCCGTCACCTCACGTGCCTGGACTACAAGCCCCCCTGTATACCGCGTATCATCCAAGAAACAATCCTCGTCCTTCTTCTCCGCCCATGGACAATGCTTCTGTTTTGACCCTTGCTTCTTCTGCTTATGCTATGCCCGGGGCACGTCTAACAGTGGGATCCATGGGCTCAACTACGCTGTCGGGGCTGATTGGAGGTGGAGACTCAATTTCTCACCTAGAAGGCAGCTTTACCGGAGATGCAGAAGGCGACGTCATGAGCCAGTTTGTCCTTGGAGATGATGATCGCCAAGATGTTGATGCAGAGCGTGATGTAGGTGCTAGTATGCGTGCTCTCCGTCCACGGAGCTCGCGGAGGGGAAGTTGGGATAGCGAGGTTAGTGGATGGAGTGCTAGGATCCTGGGAACAGGGGGGGCCATAAGTATGGGCAGCAAGAGCTTGTGGACAAGCAACAGCACAAAGACTGGCGGACCTCTGAGCATGGATGATGAAGAAGCCACCGGTGGTTTGGAAACCTCAGTGGAAGACAAAACATCTTCGGATGAACCAGATCGAGCTGATGCGCCTACGCCCGAGGCACCTGTTGTAGGCGATGAACAGCACTCGACCAAAGAGACCCCAGTTAAAGAAGCCTCCGAATCTGTCGATGATGTTTCTGCTACCCTTGGCCGGTCTTCAGGATCCATAGCAGTTCGCAAGCTTTCCCTTGCGGAGACCTAAGGCATGTCCAGAGCGTGTCGGCAAACTCATAATTTAATCTTTCCTTCTGCCATTAGAATATTTTGGGCGACGTCGGTTCCACTCTTGAGCGCTGAGAACGAGATACAACAAGATGTCACAGCAGTTTTCTTTCTTTCTTGCTACTTTATGTCACGGTATACGCTTCGTTCATATTATACACTGTAGTTATCAATACTCTCCTTGACGTGGACCAATGTTCTGATCATTGACATACACACTGCTCTCATTTACTCAGCTCTGCCACTCTCATTCTTCTGCCATCTTGTACACTAAATTTATCATTACACCTACCTGGCAGAATTCTGCAATAACCACTATGTAATCTCATAAGGTACTTCCGAGTCCTCCACCACTATAGGGAGCTCGACTACACAGTGCACGAAGGACATCCCTGCTGACCACGGATGTTGCGATCACACAGTCATGTGCGCGAACCGATCAGCCGTCGTGCTTCGCAAGATGTGCTGGTACTTCAAGTTGAACTCTAAGCGCGTGGCCTAGCCCTACTATATGCTTCTCGGCAACTTCATAAAAGGTCTTTACGACAGTTGGGATATTGATTCTCGAACGCTTCCTTGTCTTGACTATCTGTGGGGCGTTGCCAAAATGAAGTTAGGACTTGGAGTTGGTATTGCTATGTCCCTAGCTGCTACCGCCCAGGCGGGCTGTCCAGACTACACCACCTATGCACAGGTGAATGTTTCGAAGATGGCCTGCCCGAATCTTGTACTCAATATTGGAGCAGAGTCCTCAAGGAAATCCCTCCACTGGTCCTCTGGGGTTACCTTACATGCGGCCCGACCCCGCTTGCAGGACATTTACCAGCACATCGGTGGAGGTACGACGCGTTTCGTGTTAGTAGGACAGCGCAGAACTGAGGAAGGACTATACAGAAAGTTATTCTGGACATGAAGTCGCGTCTTAAAGACCCTGACATCGCGCGCCTCTTTGAGAATACTTTCCCGAATACCCTCGGTGCGTACCCTAGTCGCTGCAACAATGGACACTCATAATACTCTAGCAGATACTACTGTGAAATATTACGATGAGGTATGAGTGACGGTGTTTGTTCTCTACGCGCTCTAACTGCGGGAAGGCGGAGAATTTAGCATTTATCATCACTGGAGTGAGCTACTTTCCTCCGATTGGGGTAGCATATTAATGGTTGCGTCTTCTAGGATATCACGTCCGTTGCGTCCTTTATTGGACTTTGTCTTTCATATTAACATTCGTTGCCACAAAGTGCGCAGTGGTTGCGTGATACTGGCAATCAGGTAACTAGGTCTCCAAAACTTGCAATTACATTGTGTTCAATGTTTTTTCTTCTTCAGTTTGCTCATTACAACGCCCTTCTCTCAAGTGATGCTGAGCTCGCCAATCTGGTCAAGGCTGTGATCAATAACGAGGCTCGCTATGTTTCACAGTACCCTTACTGTGGTGCCTTCCAACCTCCCCCCGAAAGTGGTTTGGGACCCTCCGTCAATAATTGGGCTCTAAACGTTCTTGTTAACCCGTCAGTTTTTCGCTCATCTTCTTTGTGCGCGTCCAGTGATGCCCTCTGCACAGTCCTGTGAATAATCAAACTGTGTTTGAGTGCAAGGTTTGCATCTTGAAAATCATCGCCTTTTGAAAATTACTCACAGGTTATCTCCAGTATGAAATCGACTCGCTATGCGGCTTCATCAAGCTTTCCTACTCTTACTATGAAGCAACAAAGGACGCATCCATGATGAATGCAGAATGTATGTCTTGTGTTCAGTTTAGTCGGACGATATTTTCATTCTTGGTGCAGGGCTCGCCGCAATTGACCAGATTTTCCATGTCATTAACGAGCAGTCTCAAGCTTCTTTTGATGCTGATTGGAACTTCGTCTCTTACTACAACTGGACGGGCCTTCCTGGTTCCCTTGCTGGTTCAGTAAATAATGGCGGAAATGGTGAGCCCAAGGGATATACTGGTATGGTTGGCACGCACCATAGACCTTCCGATGACTTGAGCACATTTGGTGAGCATCTTTGGAGACGACCTGGTTACTCTGATCAAGTTCATCGCTTTCAGCTTTCCTTACGCCAGCTAATGCTATGCTGAGCGTTCAGCTAACCAATCTGGCTACTATTTTGGATGACGCCAATGTGGCCCCTGATGTTAGCGCTCGGGCGATGCAATGGAGCAATACAATAGAACAGGCCATCTGGGAATACGCTGTGCGTCGAGTGTGGCGGGGTTTGCATTTCGCTGATACATTTATGGCAGGTTGTTGATGACATCTTTGCATACGAGACTAATGGTAAATCTTCGCGAGCTGTGTTTGCATGAGTTTTAAAGGACTCTGCTAGGATTGGGTTCACGTTATGTGATGGATGATGCGAACGTTCCGGTAAGCGATGAATGTCATTATCTTGAAGCAAGCTGTCAACTTGAATAGTCTCTCCTGTCGCTACCCTACCTTGGTTTCCTCGACATGAATCACCCCGCTTACGTGAAGACCAAGAAGATGCTCCTGTCCCGCGGAAACCCTTACTATGCGAAAGGTAGAAATTTCAGTGGCATTGGGTGAGTATGGTCAAACGAAGGAGTGCCTAATTCTGACACAAAGCAGTGGACCTCACATAGATGTCTGGAACACTTGGTAATCATTGGCCGATTCGGGCTTGAGATTCAGTGATCTGATCGTTCTATATAGGCCCATGTCTCAGGTCACCAACATCTTTGGAACTAATGATGACGAGGAGATTTTGACCTCATTGTACACTATTGTTAATGTGGGTGTCGGAGCATATTGGTTTCCTCATGCTCACTATGCATACAGAACACTGGTGGCCTTGGTTTGATCCACGAGTCGATCAACATCTACAACTCCTCAGACTATACTCGTCCCTGGTTCGCGTGGGCTAATAGTTATTTCTCTGAGATGCTTCTGGACCTTGCACAGAGGAAGCCCCATCTGATCTTTACGGATAATGAGCCGTATACACCTGGACAGTAATACTAGTCAAATTATAGATATTGATATGGATGTCTACTATGATGCAATAGTGTGACTGTCTGACCATGACCAATGCACTGTCACCTTGTGCTGCGGCAAAGTGACTAGTGTGGGTGGTAGCGCTAATTGTGAAGGTGAGCCACAGCCACCACGTTCGAACTACATATATTCTTGGATCTGTGCTGCGACAACTGCAACGCTTTATGTTCAACTGGTAGCTACGACATTCAACGACTGATCCTTCCTTCAACTTCAACCATTTCCCTCCTTCATATTCATTCTATGGCGCTGGCTTCACACGAGATCGGAACACTAATTGTTGTTGTCTTGAAAGCCGTGCGTAATATCGACTTTAGCACTTTATTAGCCCTCATATCTCTGACATGGCGAGCAGAAAAATCTGCCCAATAAGAGGCATATAGGGAAGCAAGCGCCATATTGCTGCGCATTCTTGAATGAAGAGAAACGTCGCACAAAGGCAATCAAGCGGGGCGGTCAGCATCCAGAATGGGACGAGGAATTCCGCTTCACTGTATACGAGGCCACCGACGATGAGCTAGCAATGAATTCACAGTCGACGGACACACCACCGCGACCTCCGCCGAAGAGTCGAACTCCAAAGAAAATAAAGGGCGGGAATTCGATGAGGGTTCAGTGCTATGCAGATGATCCCCGTGAACCAGACTTGATCGGAGAGGCAGTGGTCGACTTGACAGAAGTCCTCACAAAGGGAGAGACGGACGGTATGTTAGGACTTTCTTTGTCTTCACTCTGATTTATTCAGTCTTCTGGCAGAGTGGTTCACACTCATGAACAAGGACAAATATGCGGGGGAGGTATACATCGAGCTGACTTTCTGGTCAAACGTATGTTGTCGATTTCCTGCGCTGCTTTCCTCAGATCATCTTATTATCTCATATGCAGGAACCTCCTCCAGTGAAAAGAAGTGCGCCGAAACCAGCTGCCGGGAATAGCAATTACGGTGGTCCAGGGAATTTCGTACCAGCCAATGGCAGTACCTCTTCTTTGAACGGATCCAGCGCACATTCGACCCCTTCCCGACTTTCTCTCTCTAACAGCAACCTCGACAGTCATCTGCCATCTACTATTCGTTCATCACACTCGAGAGCAGAGCTCTATGCACCGGCATATGAACAATGGAACCGCGTATCGCCATCGCCCGTCGATCAGCTTGCCAATGATTTTGGGGAATTAGGTGTTATGGATCCCAGAAGGCGAGAGAGCTTTCCGGTATGTTGTCCTTCTCTGTGGTGTAGGTCTGGTTATGACTGGTGGCTCAGCCCGCACAAACCATACGTCCCTCAACGTCGACGGGCTTTAGTTCATTGCCTTTGCATACGCACTCATATGATCAGCATGCACTTGATCACGAGACGTCGACGATCTCGCACGATGGAGGGAGAGCCGCTGCCACTTCAACATCCAGGATCCCTTCAGGTCCTGCTCCATACTACCCTCCTTATGAAAACGGTTTGACTGTCAACCATCCTCCCCCTCCTCCATCCCGACAAGGACACGCTGGACCGCGATATAGTCTGCCGGCTTCATCCTCGGGCTTCATGTCGATACCATCACCAGCTCCGTCTTTTGGCACAATGTCGTCTTATTCATCGGAGCCATCCGGTTTCTTAGTGCAGGAAAGACCTCCATTACCGATTCCTCCATCTTATGCTCCAGCTCCTGCCAGCTACTCGCCTCCTCACCAGATTGGCCATCCATCCCACCCTCCTCTTCCACCGCCACCCGTCACACCCGTACCTCCCCCTAGTGCATCTCATCATATTTCACACTCATTCAGCACTCCGCAATTACACACTCACGACCAATACCAATATTCAGATTCGCATGGACAAACTGTTGCCTTCCCGTCACAAGACTACCCATCATCAGCATCAGGCCCTCAGACATATCACGCATATACTCCCACAACACCATCACCACCTCACGAGTACGCATCTACTCCCCAGCATGTCACAGTATCACGAGGTTCGAGACCACTACCTCAACCGCAGACGGCTAGCAACGCACCAAGAACTCGCCATCTTTCCGTAGCTGTACCTCCGTCATCAAGCTTCCCTCAGTCGCTGAATGCACGTAGCCCTGTCCCCTCTAACAGCGCCAATTTTCTCAACGGTTTGGCCTTCCAAAATATCCCTCCACCTCCACCGCTTCCGACGCAGTATCATTCCACCGCACATCCCCATTCTGGGCATCCATCGCCTCAAGGGGAACCGCAGAATCCAGGCGGAGCATCCTATGCACCTCTGCCGACTCCACCGGCTCAGCCACACTCGAATGCGTCCCCTGTACGGCCCGGCCTGCCGCAGCCCCCCATGGGATATCATCCAGTGCAGCCTGCATATCAGCCCCTCCCTCAGCCACCCCCGCCCCCACCCGACACGTCACGCCATGGACAGTTTCCCCCTTCATTATTAAATGCTCCGCCCGCCAATCATTCTTATTTCCCTGGCCCACCCCCTCGGCCTCCACAGATGGTTGATCACTCACATTGGGGTCACCAAGGCAGCTATGGACATCCAGCATCCGCACAAGGAGACTGGCAATAGTCGAATATCCGTAGTAATCGCAGTAGCAATGTAGACATAAGTTGGACTGTATATCCTTTCATTTTCTGAACATCCACGGCACTGTCGCTCCTTAGGTACGCGATACCTGTAGAAAATTGCTGTATCTCAATTCATCTATAAAGTAATATTTGATGCAAAGTCTGGAGATATCTTGAGTTGCAATGGGGGCGTCACGAACGATTCGCATTGGCTTGTTCTTCCAGTCGTCGAGTCCTTTCTGCTCGCCACTTCGCAATCTCAGTTTCTGTGCCGATGAGACCTCGACGAGCGAGGTCTATCCTGGCTTCACGACGAATATCATGCTCAGACTGCCGCCTTTCTGCCTCGTGAGTTAAAAGTGCGTTGTCTGCCCCGATCACCAGACCAGCCATGGTGACTGCAAGGAGTGGGGTCAGTGTTGGTTGCCTCAGACGAGGATCCGTGGCACACTCACATCCAGAGACTAGGAATGCTTTGAACGGCAGCGTCTGGCGTCTTTCATATCAACTGTTAGCCACTGTGCAGTCATCCGTCGTCACTCGCACCGGAAGAGTGGCCACGCATAATGGGCAAACGTGACGACCCCAACACCGAAAGCTCCTGCTCGAGCTGCTCCCTGTTCATGGTCTTGGCTTCAGCCTGTGATCACATGAATAGCGCGAGGAATGTTGCCATACACACCTTCGTTGCGGCTTTCACTTGCACGCTGTATGCTTCATCGACTTTCTGCTGTAACTGGGAACGATCTGACATTGTTCCGTACGTGAAGGTACGTCGGAAGTTCGGAACGGAATGATCTCCGCTGCGTGAAACTACCCGTGCTCATGACAATAGACTACAGGGATAAAACTTAATAGAAAATAATGTACATCGTTGGAATTTCAAAGGCTGAGCGTGCCACGTTTTATGCGTTCATGTGCGATCGAGTCAATTTCATCACATCACCACGCTTCGAAAAAGCCAATAGATCGGACTCTGTCTTCAGCACCTGTACCACCTGATCGTTGCTAAAACACGAGACCTTCGGAGATTTGAATGTGAATCAACGAAAGCTGCACCATAAGGTGAAACCAACATACAAATGCAGGTTGTTTCCGAACATTGCGCAAGTCCCAGAGGCGCACACAACCATTCCGGCTTCCCGAGGCGAAGAAGTGAGACCAGGTGTCCCCTTTAATGAAACGACCATGCAGCTCAGTCGTGTAAAAGCCAAAGCGTTCAGCCGGGTGCTCCGGAACCATACGATGATCACGAAGCTCAAACTGCAGATCTCGGTGACCAACCTGTTGGTCGTGTTAGAAAAGGAAATCGTGTTGGAAAATGAACTGCCATGTGCACCTCAAGCAAAGTGCAGAAGGGGGATTCCGTCTTATGTGCGTGATAGGGAGAATTGGATGTCTTGAATGTGTGCACAACACGTTCCGAAGACAGGTCCCATAAATGGACGTTGCAATCCGCGCCAGCGGAGATAAGTTTGTGACTAGTATCGCGAATGGGAAGAAGGGACTGGATTACAGATGTGTGCTTGATTGCCAGAAGTGTTGAGGAGACGTTCTTCAAATCTTCGGATAAATTCCAGAGATGAACGGCATGGTCGTGGCCACCACTGGCAAACATCAACGGTTGCATCATTGTCGACACGACACTCGTCCCCCCCTTCTTGGTCTTATTCCAAGGACGGTCGACAACGCGACGACTGGTTCCCTGCGATTTAAATAGATTTAAACAATAGTGGTGGGACACCTGCAAATGCTTACCCTGCAGGTTTGAGATATCAAATACGAAATTTGCTTCTCTTCGCGTGCGTGCGCCAGAACAACGACTGACGAGTCACCCGTGTGAAGTATACACGCATCATCGACAGACTCTTGGGCTGGGGCAGTCGGTCTACAAAGGTTATGCCGCGATACAAGGCTAGGCATATCCAGGCTCTCGACGAAGCCGTGCATAGACACGGATATAAGAGTCGAATTCCAGTCTGCGATGAGTACACGGCGAGGCTTATCGTGTGCGTCAAGAGGCACACGAGAAGGACCCGGAGCAGGGCTGAGTATCAACGCGGGAATTACGGGTAAAAGTTCGTTCTGGTCGTTGGGTAGCGTCCGAGAGGACGCGTGGGTTGGTTCTTCTCGAGACTTCGCAGCCACGCAGCCTTCTCCGCCGATAAGCCCCATTAATGGATCATTATCGTCGGAGACGCTGTCGCGTAAAACACTCTGTTCTGCCGTAGAAGTTACGTCCATTGTGGAGGGTGTCCTAGAAGATGCCAACTTTATCTTTAAGACTCCAGAGCGGAAGAAACGTGTCGGCATGGCAAGAGGAATATTCACAAGAACATCCGGAGGATCGACAGTAAGGTCAATGATCTCTTCTGGGGGAGGTACAACTCGAGATGGAAAAGCTCTCTGCTTGCCTGGCATAGGAAAGCTCCGTGTATGAGCCATTGCTACGTCTGTTGAGCAGGAGTCTAGAACCACCTCCGATGATGAGAGCGTAGAAGACTTCGCTGGCTTGGGAATCCTTGCAGCTGAACTGCCCGCATCCTCGATGGGAATGACTTCGGGAGTCTCCCCGTCATATCCAGAAGTATGGCCCTTTTTCTGCTATTCAGCAACAAGTTGAATCATGATTGAGTACAAAAAAATCACCATTGCAAGCTGCCGAGTGTTATTCGCACTCTCGTCACGCTGGGACCGCTTTCGAACAACATGCACCCTACCACTAGATAATTCACTTTGTACGACTGTTGCACCAAGAAACCCAAAGCTGGTGTATTAATGACTGTCATTCCAAAGTTTTCGAAATTCACCTTCAACCTGCTTTTTGAGGACAGTACGATCGTTTTGCATCGCTTCGTAAGGGGTGAAAACAGCCTGCGCTTCGTGATTGCCGGAGATGCCTTTCGGGTACTGCGAAAGTGGAGAGATATTGGTACGGGGTAGTCCTCGCCTGGGGAAGTACCTCTCTGAGCTTTGAGACTCGCGTGAGGGAAACTGCTGGGGACTAAACTTCGTTCGCTTGGGCGGGCGTTGCTCCAATTGTCTTAGATTACCCAAAGGCTCGAGTTTAACGTGATCAACTGAACGACCCGATGCATTCAATGAAGAGACATTGTTGGAATGATTCAACGAAGGGGACGTGACAGTGTGAGGAGCAAAGTTCCTCGGGTTGAATGGGCGATTCGGTGGGCGACCTCGACCAGAATCAAAGCCTCTGAAAGATCCACGGTATCCTCCACGACGAACAACTTTAATAGCGGGGACCGTGGACTTTCCCTTGCGATCTAGACGGACTTCATTAGGTTGGCAGTCTTCCATAACCGGTTGTCATGCAGAGCGATCTGGTTCGGGGAAGCTATGGATGAGTGGATAAAGGATATTTATGTACATCTATTTGGTTTCGTCTCGATTTGGTCGAGTACTACTGTCATGGAGACATTCTAATTGAGCCTTAACAAATTAACCAATAGTAGGCTACGTATCCGAATAGCAGCTCCACAAACATCAGGAAACCCACTGCCGAGCGAAGTGACTTGTAGCAGCTTGTAGCAGCCAGTAGTAGCTGAAAGGACTAAAGCCTCCATACTGGCTCCGGGACTTGTTCCGTCAAAATTATAGTTTTAACTTCAAATGGTTTAGTTTGATTTGCTACGACGTGCTACCCGAGCTCCTGTAGCATTCGACTACTACTGTAGCAGGGCTTTGCTACTGCGCTTCGGCTTGCTACGTAGAACTATATAGTTCGAAATGTCCCACTGACGAACCAACCAACATTCCTTCGCTACACATGTTATTATCACATTATAACATATGTTCTGAAGAGCTGGGATGATCGTTATTTAATGCATCCTCTCATGTCTTTCGAGCTCATTGTTTTTGTGTACAAATTTCAAATTGTCTAAATTGAGCAAAGAAGGTACATTTTGACTGGTCAGCATAATATCATGGAACAAGATACATGTCACCTGAATGCATACGAGCAGTTTCGGAAGATAGAAATGTGTTGTTGTGTGAGGCAAGTGTTGTATCAATGAGTAATAGGGTCTCATTGATTCATTGATTACTGTAATTACATAAATTTGAGCAGACTATCGTGTTCGTCAAGAACCAAACATTCCAGCTTTCTACTGCATGGCATCGCCTTCAAACCCTACTTCCAAGAGATCGTCACCAAATTCTCCAATAAAAGGGCGCGTAAAACGCCATAAGAGCGAAAGAGCTGATTCAGAGGGTTGTGTGCCCTACGCTCGCCCCCTCCCACTCACAGCGACCCACGGAGTGGAAGAGATCAAGCTTGCTCCAGGCACTAGAGCCTCCGATTTCACTCAAGAAGAATTCAACAAAGTGATCTCCGAGAGGCAGCATCTCCTCTTCACCCAAGGTCGGAGAGTGGTTGGTGTGCCACTCGTTTTGTGAGTCTGCCTTTGTTAGACTGGCGCGTGGGCGTCGGAACGCTGACTTTGGCTTGTGAAGCGAGGATGGGATCGTAATACATTGGTATTCATTCTTCAGACACAAGTAACTCCTGACTGACAACTTTTTAACAGGATATATGATCCGATTATCAAGGACAGTGGCGAAACAAAACCGAGACTAACTTCGGAGTTGTCTAGGCCTGAAGTTAGGACTGTAGCATCTGCTCCTGCCGATCCAGCGGTTGACAACGAGGGCAAACGCTCGTTTTCACCCCGTGTTCGTGGTATGGGTGCCACCTTGGTTTCAGATGCAGACCTGAGGTATGATGCACTTACGCCACAACTCGACGACTAGCGCGGTGGCTTACCCATGATAGCCAAACTGCAGGACCTTCCGACGATTGTGACTCCGACATAGAAATCATCTCTTTCAGACTTGCCGGAAGCAATGGGGTGACGAAGGACGAGCACCAGGAAGCAAGTTCACCGTTTGCTCGGCTCGATAATAAAGTACCCTTATACAGCGGTACTGCTGGACAAGATGACGATGAGCACTTCTCATCCAAAGATATGGATAGTTTTTCGAGGTCGAGAGCGGTTTCTACGATGCGCCGAGACCATGCGATGGCGGAATTATGCGGAGAATGGGGGCCTATTATGCGAAGCTCTTCCATGGCTCCAAGCTCTGACGACGACAGGCCAAATGAGCTTGCGGACGTTAATGATGCTACTGAGGCTTCGTCTTCAAGAACCAAGGTCAGAACCTCTCCCGCGCGAACGCTTGGCGCATTACGAGGACAGAGGCCCCCCAACCAAGGCTACCAACGACGACCCATCGCCTCGTCCTCCAAAAGCACCACAGCTGCACGCAGAGGTGTATCATCTCAACCTGGCCGTCCCACCTATCATTCCACTTCCGGTCACGCCACGTCGACGGACGACAGCGATGGAAGCGGAGTTCCATTACGATCTCGACGACTGCGACAGGTGATTTCACTATCATCGGAATCGAGCAGCAGCGATTCGGAACAGGACATCGTTGGACTGCCCACCCTGACTATCAAACGAGTCGCGCTCCCCAAGACTCCTCATGGTCGCCCAAGGAGGCTGTTGGTTCCAGCTTCTGACAATCTGCCATTGGCTGCAATTACCATGAGGGCCGACGTGCAATTTATCAACCGTCGCGACCAGTGAGTTCCGACACCATCATTGCATGTGCTCATCTTCACTTCAATCACTTAATTAGGTTTCGTCTTAGTCTGAACTCTCTCCCCAATCCAGGAGTGTATCGCCACGTGGAGGATGCATGTGTCGTGGGTGACACTGTTGTCCTTGGCTACAACAGCGGACCAAGCCAGGTTACATTTCTCCCTGTTACTGTGCGTGTGTTGCAATTACGTGTTACGACACATTCATGTTCCATCAGACAGAAGCTCCTTGTAAAGTTGATGCGCAGGCTTTGCCGCATGTCACCTCTCCCCAGGTGCCAAGATCTTCTGGGGAGGGCGTAAGGTGCCTCGCTGCAATGAGTGCGAGCACCGGCTCTCTGCAATTTTTCACAGGCGGGCATGACAGGCGGGTATTCAGCTGGACCGCTGATACGCAAGCTCTACAAGAGGCAACTGTTACCAAATTGAACGTCTTTTTGGACTCCGGGGTGTCCGCGATGGCTTACTGCCACAACAACAACTCCCTTATATCCTCTGATACTAAGAAACTATATGTTACGGACCTTACGCGAGAGTATACGCCAAAGCCGGCTCCAGTGTCCAATGACGTCTACCAGATCCATGTTCACCCCCAAACACCAGACTTGACGCTGCTGGAGGTGAGATGCCCCGTCAACCTGCAAAGATGGACTTTGATTGGCTTTGCAGGTCCGCCATCTGGACCACCAAATATTGATGTTTGACCGCAGGATGGGTGATTTCAACAGGACTCCATGTTGCACATTTGGGCATCGTAGTGCCGATGCAAAGTTTGAGCCCTCATACACCAAAGGAAGCGTCTCCCAAACCTTTTTTGTCCGGGGCCATCAAGACGGAACTGTTCTTTTGTGGGACTTCCGTAACGTCAAGGTACACTCATTTTTTCTAACGAATGCCGAGCTTTTCTTACCCTGGCATACAAAGAACATTCTGAGACGAAGTCAACTTACTGAGGCAGTCGTCCATTCAGTAATCTCGGGTGGCGACGTTGTGACTTTCGGAGGCGGCGTAGTAACCTTTTTGAACAAATTCTTGCATAGCTAACGACTGTCCCTCCGTCCTCTTCGTCACCCTGAGGCACGATCCTTGTGAATACCTTATAGAAATCGGTCAGACATGTTTATTACATTACCAAATTTTCCGCCAACCCTTTACAGTATAGATCTTGCGTCTGCGAATAGGACGGAGGTGATTTCCAGCACTTTGCATGTGTAATGAACCTCGACAAATGATACATTATGTAAATGGACCAAACCTAACTTTGAAATGTTATACAACTGAGTTACATGAGGTCTAGTCATAGTAATGGAAAGATCGGTGGCATACGATCGATTAGCGCTACCTTCTGACCTTCAAAGACACGCCGTCAGTCTGAAGTAGCATGACTAGAAATCGGAGCAAAGAGACAGGAATGTTTCCGTGCTCAGGTCACTTTGTCAATGATCCATCTGCACGTAAATTTAGGTTCATGTTCTGACCAAGAACATGCACGGGGTTAGTGATACATCGTTTCCGCTTGATCCGAGCAATAATAGCTGGATTCGCCTACTGAAGGAGCGGGAAGACGATGATGCCAGCAATCTTTGACATCAAAGCAGCGGAACGGACACCATATGTGGACAACCGATGATCCAATAGCACGATACGACCTCTTTCCACGCAAATGAAGCATTGATCGACTGGAGAATGAGAAAACCCGGTGCACCCCGTATCGAAGATTGAGTCATAGAAGGACCTCAACCTCGCCATTGCCTGCAAGGAGGCTGTAGCAGCAGCTGGAGAGTAGATTCATTTCCCAAGGTTTATTGATGCTAGTACGAAACTAATGGCTGAGGATGTCATTATTAGATATCGTACGTCTCTAAAATGGTCGCAGATTGCCGCTTTGGCCAGGAATTAATCTCAGATGCACTGGAAGTTGGAAGACACACATGACGTCCTCCAAGGTCAGACGACATGTAGTACGCGTAAGAAGGGCACTGCATCTAAAATCGTCAGATATTCTTCGAGCTTCCAGAAGAATTAGGGTTATGGGGATCCTTGAGTAGGTTACCGAATGACCGTGTGTCGACTTGGGCCAGAAACGATGACCTCACCTACCAGTAGATAACGCGTGGTCATGTGCAGAACTCTCGTATTTTGGACTGTTTGGCTAGACCACCAAATTTGGAAAATACCTATTTTCTTTCTCTTCTTGACGCGTCTCGAAGTCGAAAACCGTGACAATGTCCAAGGCTCTGAAGGCAAAAGATCAGCTGGTGGCAAGTACTTCCCTGCAACGTTTCTCGCTTGAGTAATAAAACCATTCTAGCGCATTCTGGTTCCTGCTGGCAAGGCTGCACCTACACCACCCGTTGGTCCAGCGCTTGGTGCGCGTGGTGTAAAATCTATGGATTTCTGCAAGGAGTTCAATGCGCGAACTGCGCACATTGAACCTGGAGTTCCAACTCCTACTTTAATCACCGTCGAGCCTGACCGCACTTTCTCGTTTATCACCAAAACACCTCCAACGACCTACCTCTTGAAAAAAACTGCGGGAATAGAAAAGGGTAGCGGTCGACCTGGCCACGAATTCACCGGAACAATTAGCCTCAAACACGTGTATGAAGTCGCAAAAATTAAAGCCAAGGATGCGCATCTCAAGCATTTGAAGCTCGAGTCGATAACCAGCACTGTTATTGGCACAGCGAGAAGTTTGGGTTTACAGGTTGTGCCGTGACCGCCGGTCACAGATATTCGCAGGAAAGGTACGCAAATGGTAGTATCGTATTGTTCTCCCGATGGGCTTACGATCGAGATTTGACTCGTGCGTGCCGCACCTTATCAATCTAAATGAAGTCATGCGATCTCTCATCGAGACCTTAGAACACGGGGTCGCCACTGCATCCCCCAGTCGATTTTTGTAAGATAGGCTCTAATTGGATGCATACCAAAGTCAAAGCACTGTTTGTGCACTAATCTACATCGTGTAATGAAGAGATGGAATAGGAAGCGCCTGATGCAACGAGGAGCAAGTGGACAAGGTTGAGTTCATTCACCTTAAATTACGCTTCTCTTCATTTGAGCAAGGACTCCGGTCTTCGTATACCGAGGTTGCCTTCTAGCGAGCGCTCCATTAACTCCAGGCCAGGTTGCCTAATTCAGAATTCATGAAACTTTATCTGAGCTTCCTCCACCCCCTTCATCCTCAGGTATAGGCGGTATTTTTGCCGCAGCGTTTACCAGAGGTCATGGGCTTATCACCAGTACCTTTGTCCTGCTTATGGGATTTCTCGCCATGCTGTAGACACGCCTCGGTCAGGTTTAACCGCATCTATCCCGCATTCATAGGACACGTTCTCAGGTCTAGTTCCACCGCCAATATCATGTATCCGACCTGCCATTTGGAGACGCTTCCTTACCGCGTGTTGGTTGGTGAAGATCTCGTCCTCCTCTTATTTCTCTCTTTCATTCGTGCGTTCTCTGAGTATTCTCGGCAACCTTCTCATGATAGACTGCTTGCTGATCTTTCGGTGACTCAGTGTATAAACGAACTATTTGCTCATGTGAGATAGAAGGTCCGCGTATCATACCGGATGACCTCGACGCCAATCTACGTCGCAGAGGAATCAGCGCTTGAGTGTTGAACGCGTGTTGTTCCTCGATCATGTCGGCCTCGACCTGAGTTGCTGCATCGGACCATTGCTCCACACAAGTCTCCAGACCACATAACGACACCACGCTTCCTCGACTACACGTTTGTTGTGTGCTCATCTTTATCTATCACAAGTCCACGTTGTCGATGGATATTCACGATCCGGTGAAAAACAAGAGGGGTATGCGGATGTTATCATGTTATTCCACAATATAAAAGACTGGGTTTTCAACGTCGAACCCCCCAGCACTTGGCGAAAACCAGCACATCCTCCCGAAAACATCGATAGCTCTCTTCCTTTGTTTACTCTATGGCAGCACAGTCAAACGAGGTACTTTCGTGGACTAGTCAGGATCCGCGCGAGAGTCAACTCTTTAATGCGTGGGGTGTTGTCTATCGCTTTGCGGTATGCAACTCCGCAACGTTCGTAGGTCGTAATGGACCCTGATCGACTTTCTTAGACTGTAGTGGCCCCTAGTGGGCAGAGTACTACGACCCTCTGGCGAGCGGTACGAGCTAACAAGGAAGACCGCGTCGCAAAATTGGAATGGGCTTCGAACGGCGGCCTCGGCCGCGCAGTAATCGGCAAGGTACAGTGAAATCTAGACGTCCTTGGGATGCTATTGTTCTGACCGCGTTCCTTCAGAATACAGTACCGATGTCCGACTTGGTTCGGCCTGATCCACGATACCCGGTCAGTATCCATCAAATCTTCTCGATTGCGATATCGCTTACCACTATCCATAGGGCGCGCGCATATTCAACGCACCTGATGGTCTGACATACCGCTGGCGGCAGACCCAAGGTTCCGCTGATGTCGTGGTACGTACTTACTTCTTGTCCTCCGGAGGTATACTGACTAAGTATTGCATCCGCAGCTGGAAGATTCAGCTGGAAATATCGTTGCAGTCTTCCGCCCCACACGACCAACACGGTATCAAATTGGGGATGTCTATGGTGAGCTGCACTTTCTGCGAAACTCTGGAGCAGCTACCATCGTGAGTATTTTTTTTACCCCGCTCTTGCTACGCGACGGCTCAATTTTCCCTCGTTTCAGATGCATCCCCCAATCATGGACACGGTCACAGTGACCGCCATGCTATACCGGTTTTGCCAGGCATTTGGCCTTTGATACTCATCTTTAACGCATGTTAGCAATGTTATTCGCACTGTAAATTGCCCCATATTTCCCTTTGTACGTATCATCGTCGCATTCTTCCACGCATGTAATGCTATCCATTTCATACAAAATTTTCCTTCCGAACGAGCCGGGCGCAGCATCAACAAATCCAGAGAGGCGACTTTGACATCTTCCGATGATCGATAAAATTCCAAAACACGGGTTTCCGTCACTCACGTGTAGGTGCACGATGCAAGCATACCTCATTGTGCTAATACGAATCGCCCACAATCATTGCGCTAAGGCGATAAAATCCCACCGTCATTTGATTTCATACAATCTGAGTCCAAATGACGCGGTATCTACAATTTCCCCTTTGTCAGGGACGCTTCTTCTGATGTCACAGCGTCGATAATCTCATCCACTGTACGTACGACCCATTCGGTGCCTTCATCGCTGGAGAGATACTTGTCTTCGTCGTTCAAGTTCTCCTCATTGCGGGCTTTGAGAAGACCGAAAACGTGGCTGATAAGTTGAGGCCCAACTCTCCCCTCCGCACGGAGAGTGGCGACGCCGACAACCGATCCAAGAGCGCGAGTAAGGTTTCCTTGTTCCAAGTCACCTCGTGGCAAGGGCGACAAAACCGTACCATAAGCCTGGATGATGAACGCTGTGAAATCGAATTAGACTCTTATGCATGGCAACACGTAAACTTGAGGAGCGCCAGGAGGCAATGCGATATTTTACCGGGTTTGATAACAGCATGGGGGAAATGGAATCAAGAACGTACTGATGAAATCAGGATGAAGGTCCCCCAGCTTGTTGTACAGCTTGAGTGCGTGAGGCTGGTAAATTGAATTCCACAACGTCATACCCCTTTTGACGGTCGCCTCGATGGTCTGAGGAGTCGCATCCCTGAAGAAAATTTACGCAAAAAAGATATAACGCTGGGATATGCCTCGTGTTCACAAACTACATACCTGATGGAGTTTTTCCGCAACGCGGAATAGACGTCTTCTTCGAGCGCGTCCTTTAGGCCCGTCAAGGAGAGAATCGTCTGGAATTACGTTCAGTCACCTGACCTCGGCATTACACACAGCGTCGTGGCTTCTGCCTAGATCGAGTACGAGGCGCCGCCGGTATCCGAGGCCATCATGCTTCTCAATTTCATGCAATTGTACTCACTCGAGGTACGCCAACGAAGATGACGCTCTTTAGAGCGGCCTCCCGCATGAGGGCAGCTTTGTACACGACCTCCGCAAGGCTCTTTCGCGATTCAGCCAAGCTTGGCTCGCTCCTTGTGACGAATCGATACAAGTGACCGACAGAAGCCGGTCTGTTGGTGGTAAGGAGTGTGCATGTCTGTTATCTCCGATTGAATGGGGCTAGAAGAGCAATTTCGCAAGAGGGATACGTACCGAGAGGACGAGCCATCCGTTTTCAGCGTTTCGTTGCTTTGCCTCGTTCAGGGTGCGGGTGAACACACCATGAAGCTTGCTAGCAGAGGGGCTTGGCCAAGCTTCCGGGTTACGGAGCGTTAGGAGCTGTTTAACTGCAGGAGGCAAGTGTTTAACCATGTCGTTACTCCGTTGCAGTCGTGCACAGTTCTGACAAAAGGACGACTATATACGTGGGGTCGGACTTGCAAGTCCGACCTGCTGATCCCTTGACGGTACCCCGTATGCGGGATTCCGTGGAGAACGAAACACATGTTAGATCTGGGCTGTTCTAAGACTCTGAGACCGTAGCTGTAATATTTTCGTTGATCCTTTTTCCTTTTTTAGAACGATCTACGTGTCGGAATACAGTCCTTTCCAGTTTCCGGTCTGGTTGCTACTAGTGCTCTCGGAAAAACTTCGTTAGCTCTTGCAGGCTCATCATGTAAACGTTTCCCTCCCTCGCATGCCATCACAGAAAAAGATAATTGATTGCGGAAATAAAGTCTGCATCGTTCAACAAAAGCACGACTTTTACGGTCGATTGCGTCGCATACCAGGCGACATGCGAAACCAGCACACTACATCAAGCTTGCGACCAGATGGTGAGATAAACGATAAGTAGAATGAATGAAGCAAATCCAAAATGTGGTTGGAATGATCTATGGAAATATAGAGGGTATCATCGGGAGTTGATAGGTAGATCTAGCCTGAGCCTGAACCCCGCGGGTTATGTATTAGTCATGATCAGAACTAAAGATTTCCTCAGCCAAAGTAGTTGTAGGCAAGAGAAGTGGGCTGGTCGTCGCTGCTAAGAAGCGCGTTGGCAGTGTCGACGCCTTGAAGGTCACTCATAACGCCTGACATGCGACAGATGAGCAAATGAAGGACGGAAATGAAAAAGGTTCGTACCGAAGGGGAAGGCAGCTTCCATCCAGGGGGTGCTGTTCACAAAGTCGATGATAATGCTCGCAAAAGCATAGACCTCATCCTGGCTGGCCTGACCACCAGTGCCGCTGAAGTTCTTCAAGGAGACGTCAGAGTTGAAAGAAGGTATGGTGTGAATGAATTACCTGGTCAGCAAACTCGGTAGCCCAGATGGGCAAGTTGTAGAGGTCGTGCAACTGAGTGGCATAGCTGATGAAATCTGTAGCGTTAGTGCTGTAGAAGTGGAAGGCGACGGCATCAATCTAATGGGAGAAAATGAGAAGGGAATTAAAATTAAGATGAAAATAGACGAACCTGGCAACCAGAGCAGGCTGAGAAGAAACCAGCCATCCAGTCAAGACCAGCCTGATCATTTGTGCAAGCAGGGGAGATGAGGTAGTAGCCTTCGTCCTTCAAAGGGTTGATATATTGCCACCAGAGAGAAGCGCCATCCTGGGGGCTCATGTTGGACTGGCTAGATTCGTTGGGCCTAAAATAATGTGTCAGGGACAGGGGACAAAAATAGGGCTGTGGAACGGACTCGTTCATGCCAAGGACGTAGTTAGCGTAACCTTTAACGACCAATTGCTGGAAGTCAGAAACCTGGTCATAACCCCAGAGCATGGGAATAGCGGTAAGGCCATAAAGGTTGTCTGGCAAGTAAGGGCTCCATGTGTAGAGGCTGTGACGGGATTAGAAAAATGAAGAGATGAAATTTGAAATTACATACAATCCAACATTTGGTTGACTTGCGAAGTTAGAGAGGTAGTCGGCGTTTCCGTTAGGCCAGCCTAAACCCCACTTCTTACCACCAGTGGAAGTAGTGGAAGTGCCAGTGGAACTGGGAGTGGCAGCGGGGGTGGTGGAGGTGGAGAAAGATGAACTTTCGGGGACCACTGTAGAGACCACCGTAGTAGAAGGAGTGTATGCAACAGGAGTAGAAGCAGCGTAGGTGGAAGAAACAGTGTATGCTCCTGTGGTGGAACTGTCACCGTAAGTAGAGGAGAAGCCAGTGCTAGTTGGCTTTGGCTTGCAGCGACCAGCGGAGGATGAGGATGGGGTGTCACGCTTCCTCTTTGCGACTGCGTCATGACCAATAGCATAACGAGCTACATGGGAGCGATCTGAGACTACCAAGGCATTTACAGAACCAGAATTTATGGCAAGAAGGGCGACCGAAGTCAAGGCAAGAAGGTTGAACAATTTGAGAGCGGCCATTGTTGATTGAGGAGGCACGAACTTGGGGAATAAAAACGTCAAAGAGACGGTCTTTATAAAGCGGGATTGAAAGAAATATAGGCACGGAAATTGAGAGAGTGTGGTATGAAATGAGTGAGATAGAGCCGTAAGCTCTGCGGGCGGGGGTTTGTATGAACAAGGAACAAGTAAAGAATCAAACCAAAAAATTAAAAATTAAAAACCATTTTATCTATTGAATTATGTCAGCTCTCACACGGGCAGTAACGATCGTCATGACATTTTGACGGTTGACAATCACCGTTGTATGTGGAGCATCGATGCTCATCGTAGAAGACAGTGACGGGGCAATCGTACATCGTGCATATAGATAATCGAACCGAGTAATACAGAAGTTGCCGTATAATATGAGTCATAATAACATGAGGCGAAACGTGTTTGTTTGTGTAAAAATCAGTTTTACAAAAAGGGCAGCGTCTAAAATCGCCCAAACAGTTTCTTTTTCTTTAACTTTCAACTTTTTTTTTGCCAATCGAAGAAACCGCGGTTCATCAATAGTTCATCCCATCACCCCAATCGTCCAATCCTCAAAAATGTCCGACGCCCAAGCCGCCCATGTCACAGAGAACGGCGTGCCTCCGGCTGCGCAAGAGTATGTCATCGAAGAAGCTCCCGCTCTCAAAGTATATATATCCTTTGCCTATTTCTTACCCGCTAATTCTCTCTTATTCTCAAAAGGTCTTCGCTGGCAATCTTGCGTACTCTACTACGGATGAAGGGCTCAAGTCTTTCTTCGCCCCCGTGCAGAGCGACATGTAACTTAATCTATAGCATAGCTTTTACTTCATCTAACCACTTTTCGCTTCACAGTATTTCAGCTCAGGTCATCCTGCGAGGTCCCAGATCTGCAGGCTATGGCTTTGTCACCATGTCCAGCGAACAGGCTGCCCAAAGAGCCGTCGAGCTCCTTAATTCACAGGAACTCGAAGGCCGCAAGGTCATAGTCGAAATTGCCAAGCCATCTGAACAAAAGGACAAAGAAAAGAAGGAGAAAAGGGCCAAGAGGAGACCAAACAGGCGCGGTGCCAAGGCCGTCCCTGGTGAGGTCACCGATGCAGAGGCAAATGGCGACGAAATCAAGGCGGATGATTCAGCCGCTGCTGCTCCGGGCACTGACGAAGCAGCTAAGCCCAAGAGAAAAAAGAAGAAGAGCAGCGTATGTAATACGCACACTTTTTTTACATACACTCGTTCATTTCGCTTCTAGCGCAAGTCCCGTAAGCCTGCCCCTCTCGAAGGTGTCGAGGAGGCTGGCTGGGATGCCCCTGCTACAGACGATGCCCCTGACGCCACAGCCTCTGCCCCCAGGAAGCCTCGCGTAAGGAAGCCCAGAGCTCCTCGTCAATCCCGTCCTGTCGGTGAAGATCCCGTCGGCGAGCCCTCGAAGACCATGCTCTTCGTCGCCAACCTCGGCTTCAGCGTAGATGATGACACTCTCGCTACGCTCTTCACCGAAGCTGGTATCGACGTCATTTCCGCCCGCGTTGTTCGACGCCATTGGGGAACCCCTAGGAAGAGCAAAGGTTACGGCTTCGTCGATGTTGGTAGTGAGGAGGAACAGGTCAGGGCAATCGAGCTTGTCCAGGGCAAGGAAGTCGGTGGCCGCGCCATCGCCGTCAAGATCGCTGTCAATTCTGCCCGTCGGGAAGTAGCCGAAGAGGCTGAGTTCACTTCCTGATCGCACCATCCGCTCAATACGTGTGACCCTGGCCCTCATGTTCATTTGACTTTACCTTAACTTAACGCATGTTCACTTTCCGGTGCAAGTTCATCGTGACTTAGTTTGTTCATCTCGCGCCGCGTTTTTTTACGAGTCAAGTCGTGCTTTCATTCTGGCGGTTTGGTGTTCTTTTTCTTCATCAAACTTTGTAGATTCGCTTGTAGTCAATTTGCGATGTCTACTAGGACTGCGGAAGTTTTTTCATGGCTATTGATGACCTCTTGACATGAATGATTGTGTGATTTTAGTATTCTCCGGCAAGCCAATAGAAGACGGTTGTCGTTCTATAAAAAAGATTATGGCATGTTTGTCAACCACGGCGAAGTCAATCCATGGCCGACGAGGATGATTACCTCTCAGACAAGTTTCTTGTCCAGTCTATAGCCGAATCTGCACCAAAAACGTATGCTCAGAGACGACAAGAAGCACTAAAGCAATCCCGAGTCAAGAATGAGCAGAACAAACTCAAAAGTCGACGTCAGATGGAGCAAGAGTCCAGAGAAGAGGGGCTTGGCAAGAGCCTGTTTGAGCGCGCACAGGAGGAGGAGGCGGTTGCAGGGGGGAGTAAGGCACTGGGCATCATGATGAAAATGGGGTTCAAGGTGGGGCAATCGTTAGGAAAGATCGAGGATCGCCCTCCAAAGGCCACAGTTCCCTCACCTAGGCCACCTCCGTCCGAGGATGAGTCTTGGCATGGTACATCCAGGGATCAGTCGGAATCTACGGACCTTGGAGAAGATGATAAAGGAAAGCCTCGACATCAGGTGGAGCCATTACCCCTCAATGAATGGCAAGGCAAGTCCGCTACCAAAACCAAAACCTGCATATGGAACGAGAAAAAACTAACTTGATGGCATCACTATTGCAGGGAAGAAAGGTATCGGTCTAGGGAAACGGGCACGCTCACCCAGCGCCGCAGATCGCCTCGCAAAAATGGCGAAGATGGCAGAGGCTGTCAGTCATGAGAGCTTCCGGGACCGCGCCCGTCGCGAATACGAAGAGCGGCGAGCAGAAGGTCGTCTTGCCCCTGCAAGACGGACGTGTCTCACACTTGACGAGAAAGCGGGCATCACAGTGCGTTTTATTTTACTTGTCAGTTACGTATGTTGGGATACTGAATTTGCGATAGTTCAATGTGCTCTGTTTGAACCCCAACGAACCGGAGTCTATACCACAAGGTCTTATGGACCCGCTTTCAGCCCATACACTACTAGTATCACCGTTACCCTCTGCCTTAATAGACACCTCCCAATCACATGCGGCGCGTCTCCACGCCCAAATGCGAGCCGATGCCCTGTTACCCGTCTCCTCCGGATTAGATGACGAAGACGACGACACCGGTGCCTTAACCGAGGAGGCCCCCACAACAGTGGAAGAATTCCCTCAAGAAGTCATCGAGGAAGCAGCTTATTTCCTACGACTGGGTGTAAGTAGACTTTTATGGAATAGTTTGATGTTTGCCCCTGACTATATGATATGATATGATGCAGCCGCGGGACCGCTTAAAGCTTCTCCTCGATTATCTCCGGGAGAAATATGCTTACTGTTTTTGGTGTGGGACGCAGTATGAGGATAGTAGCGATTTGGCAGAGAGTTGTCCAGGGCCGGACGAAGATGATCACGACTAGATGTTCCCTCTGTAGCCAGCAATTGTATGATTGCTCTCAACGTACAATTTCCCTACGAAAATCCAGATATAGTACAATCACGAGTCCGAAAATTTCACAAGCAAAGAGCGAGTGTGTGACAAGTATGAGAAAGGAGACGAGAGATCTGAGACGAAATGCGAAGGAGAGCGTGTATACATGTATAGAGAGAGAGAGAGGATTAAAAGGTCCGTAAGTCCTTTCTTGTAATACGAGGCGACTACATCGTACACAAGCTGTAGAGTGGAAACGTCCATTGTTCCAAAGTAAACTAGCGAGGGACCGGGGGGATGGTGGGCAATGACATGGGCATCAATGATGGAGGGGTGATAATTTCTGGCCTCTCAACGTATTCCCGTTCCCGTTGAGCGAAAGTGAGAACGGTGGGTGAGTTCTGAGGTGTCTTGCGGCGAACGTATGATGATATAGGGGTGATGGATGATCTTTCTCTCTTGGAGAAATGAAGGGGTGAAGGTCGTCGTGTGCGTTGAGGAGACGAAGGGGGATTCGGTGATGAAGACTGTATTTTCTGGTAAGAAAAAAAAGGAGGTAAAAACTGATGTGACTTACCCTGCTAGAATCTTCTTGATCACTCTGACTGTGTGTCAACGACACTACACTGCTTTGTCTAGCAGTAGACTTGAGGGAACAATGCAATGAGACAAGGAACGCATTGATAAGCCAAATGACTCACACTAGCTGAAATATATGGCGAGTATCTCACTGCTCTGAGACGAGATGCGCCTGGGCGCCTATCAGACTCAATGTCTCGGGTTGTGGATAGATTGGCGCAGCGGATGGAAGGGCTCCAACCGTCAACAGAGCTGCCCAATGAAGAACAAGATGAACAAGATGATGAACGATCTCGCGTCCTGACGATAGTCGGGGTAGATGCTGGCTTAGCATCAGCATCTTCATTGTTAATGCCGAGAGAAGCCATGAGTTCAATGAATGAAGGGAGAGCGGCCATAAACACGACGATCTTAGACGTAGTACGACGTCGGGAGAGCGGTCTTCGATGGGCAATCTGGTAAGAGGACCATAGTTATAAGGATGTTTTGACGCCTTGGATACGGCCCACGGTTGTCAGGAAGGACGGTCGCCACCTACGAAAACGCTGGAGTTCCACTTGTGACATTATTTTCTTGAAGGTTTGCACTATCAATAGTAGGGTTCCAGCCCTGTCGGCAAGGAGATTGAGAATAAGGGTATGGGCGCTATTGAACTGACCATAAGAAGATCTAACGTCGACTAGTACTGGGAAACATTGTAATACAACATTCACGGATCCTTATTGTTCGTAAAACAATCAACTACAACATTGGACTTGCTCGACATCGAGGATAACAATGAACTTCCAAGCTGTGGAAGAGGGTATTAAAACTGATTGCAGGGTGACAGTCTCCATGCCTGTACAACTTGCAACTAGGTTTCCATCATTCATAACCAAGCCTACTATACCCTCATCAAGGCTTCCAGCCAGATCTTTCTATCGCGATCGCCGAGTCTCTATAGCGCTCGTCTCCATGCAAAGTACTCGCGCCTATACCGTGACTCACGTGTATCACACCATGTCACGCGCTAGTCACGCGTTTCGACTACCAACCCTTTTTCGTTCAAGTCTGCGATGAACCAGCCAGGACAACAAAATACGAATGCTGCAGGGGGCACCTACATACCCGTGCAGCGTCAGGATATGGAATATATTTGCGCAGGTATTCATGACCGCCCGTGGGCATCACTTTGCAAGCCTATCTGATCAACGTTTGAAAGATTGCGGTGCCAAGAATGAGATAAAATCTAGGGAACCGATACGTTGTCGCGAGTGTGGTCATCGTATCATGTACAAGAAACGAACGAAGCGGAGTATGTATCTTCCCACTGTTGCTCTTGAAACCAAGCAACTGTTGACCTTTTCCATTAGTGGTTCAGTTCGAGGCCCGGTGATGTTCCCCGGTCGCAAAACAAATGTCAAATGTGAGTAGTGATGAAGCTATATTTTAAAAGTAATAACACGTTAAGCACGGATTACAGACACTGCGATTATGTTGATTACTATACAGTATAAGGATATACACCTGACACTTCGAACACCTCGTTACCACCGCCCCAGCCCCTTGCACCACACATTCAAGAAACATGTAACCACGAGCCGATCCAGTAGTGCACTGGCGCGCGGGGTGACCCTTAGTATCCTTTCTTGATTCGACCACGACGCAATGTATTTGTCTTGCGAATCTACGCACTGTTGGTAGGAGCACGTCAGAGGACGCAACGTGCCAGCTTCGGTGACACGTACATATAAGTCGGTCTTATTGTCTGCAATCTTCCACTTGTAACCGGCACCAGTACCAGATTTGAATCTGCGCGAACTAGGATCCGTGAAATGCATTAGGGACCAGGATATGATCCGAGTGAAATATCCTACTGGCTAGTCGCATTTTTGATCTTGCGGAGATCCTTGACAGAAACCTGGTAACAAACTTATTAACAGGGTGCGTCGAGGCGACCACACCATGGATCTCACCTCTTCTGAGTCAACGCCAAAATACACGGCGGTGGCATTAGTGTTCGAGCTCCACTTGATCTGTCCAGCGGTCTCGAAGCTCAAACTATTCATATTCTTTCGATGATAAGTTGTGATTCCAGTAGATGATCCGGTCATCGAATGTAAGAACTGCAAAGACATTCAAAACAACGCATTTTAATCAAAGAGCAACTTCGACGCACCTTGTATAGTTCCAGTTCCTCATATGATGCTGGTCCTATCACCTGGTACACTCGGAACGACCGCATGTCAGCGTCGGAGTCGGTGGAATAAACAAAACGGAAGACCATGTCGGTTTCAGCCATAGTAGCTGTGGACTTTTTTTTCGTGTCCGAAGGAGGAATGAAGTTGCGGATTTAGTTTACATGATTATAAGATGAAGGCCGATAGAATATTAAATGACAGCTGTAATGAACTTCGCGCGGACAGAAACGCGGACAGAAACGCAGCCAAGGAATTTGCGGCGTACTATAGCGTGATCCGAATATATGGTTGGGAGAGTTCGAGCCGAGTCACTGATCTATCAATGCAATGACGCATTCTAAGTCAATGCTTAGTACACCAGCGGGCAACAATGAGCCATTGTGACGGTAAGCGATAAGTGATTGCGTGAAAAGGTGAGCGTGAGGTAATCATTGAAGCGCCATTTTTGAAGATTCCACTGCTCACACTGTCGATGACCTCATCTTTTGCTGAAATTAGAATGCTTCCGCGCGGTTTGCCGTCGGTTGCTGCTCAAAACATTTTTCAAATTTAGGTGCCTATTAACTTTAACGTGAGATGCAGTATCGAGAGATGGCCAAGTATTATCACCCACCCCATAAAAAAGCTAAAAGCCTGCTTCAGCCTGATCAGTCGGGGTAAGATTGTTGACGTACGTAGGCGAATGATGCGAAATTCATACAAGTCGCCGGGTCGGCAGAACCAAAAGAAATGGCACGTAGACGTACCACGTAGTCACTAGTGACAACGGTGATCACGAGTGATCGCGGCGAATGAACGAGAAAAATACCCTGCAAACCACGTGTCACGTCAAGTCAAATTTCATGAATACATACAAGCAGGGCTGCATAACTCGATTGGAGTGTGAACGTTCTGCGACGAAAAACCGCAACAATCAGGGTGGAGACGATGAATCTATTCTGATCTGAACTTTGACAATACATTACCCAATAGTATTGGGAGAGTATTTCTCCCAAAGGCCTTGTCGCCCGAGACATGCAGGACCCGATGCAGTCGGCATGAAGAAATTCTGTCATGGACAATGTCGTGGTGTCAATGCTAAGGGTCATCATCAACACGCTGTGCGGGATGACGATAAAAGGATATTAAAGTCCAGCGAACATATAATGGCAGAACTCAAACCTCCATTTCGTGGGATCTGCGCAGATGATAGTCAAGGGTTGTGTCAAAAAAGATCTAGGTGGAGATAGCATGATCTGATAGGGAGTAGAGCTCAGTAGAGACGGCCTCGAGGCCTATGTTGCCGATATCTTGTTGACGTCGTATAAAACTTAGCTAATGTCGAAAATTGAAGGCCCTGCATGATCATGTGAGAGTATCAGTATTTTTAAATTGAGCCAAGTTTTGCTGAGGTATACAATTCTTTCGCGGGTATGATATATAAGAACCACTCACACCTGCATCATACACGGCGTTGCTAGATACAAAGCGGAGCGAGCAAGGGAGACCAGGCAGCATGCCAGATACGCAGGTAGCAACCAAAGCAATATTGCGCTCGGAGAGAACTGAGCTGATGAGTATGAGTCTATTTAAATAAAAACGATAGGCAACAAATTAGCGCAACGAATATATGGCGGGAACGCTGACCTTCACCTCGAGGATCTTCATTAAGTAAGTTAGACGCGGTGCCACCATGCCGAATAATGACGATTATGCCGAATTCGAACAAAGACTGACACAGATGATTATGTAAGCATTTGTAATGGGGAATATCGGCAATTGATCAACCGGACGTTGGAGGAGGCATTGCAATTCAGTTGCAGTCAGCACCAACTCGCTGCCGTCGCTTACAACGCGGTCTTGCAAATATCGTTGACCGCTCGTACTCACTTTTGACCAACTTCTTTTTTTTTCCCATAATGCCAGATCATGATGCGCCTCGCAGTGTGTCTGGGGAAATCGATCTAGTATGCTCCTTTATTACTTACTGTCTATCGCTCATGGGTCTAATATCTAATTCTGTAGGACTCTGACGTTGAGTCCCATATAGATCAAGCTGAAAATGAAAGTGGTGCTCATGGCCCAAATAAGCCGGGCAGGAAAAAAAACCCAAAGTTTGTCCACTTTAGACTAGTTGCAGTAAGCGCCATTGACCACCTGAGAAGCTCTCAGGCAGCGCGTCGCGACCAGAATCGTATTGCCCAGCGTGAGTTTCGTCTGAGGAAGCAGCAAAGGGTGCGCTGGTTCGTAATCACCCCCGACATCGTCATACTAAATTCGCACTTTTCAACAATCAGATCCGTGACCTCGAAGCACGCGTGGAATTGCTTTCTGCGTCCCAAGATGAAGCTCTGATCGACTGTAGAGCAGTTATGAGGGGTACGCAATACTAGCAGTTTCTGTTGGTCTTGCTCAACATACTCAATATTTTATAGATCTTATGGCTGAAAATCACGTCCTTCGCGGCCTCCTAAAGAGCGTAGCCGGTTTTATCGGGGATGGTGCCGGTGGTGTGCTGGTGAAGCTTGGTTGGGACATGACAGACTTTGACAGCTTCGTCAATAAGTCGGAAACTGACACTGCATGGGAGAGTTTCCAAGCCCGCAAACATTCTCAGAAGACTTCCCAAACATCTAACGCAATGACTTCAATGCTTGGGGAACCGAGTAATACAGCAAAACGTCCAGCAGAAGACGACGGAGGGTCTGCACCAGCGAAGAAGTCAAGAGGCATGAGTAGCTCAGAACAAAACGGCGACCGCCGGGATTCTTACTCGCTCATGCTACCTATGAGCTCTGCGGTGCCTCCCGCTAGCTCCTTATATCCACCACCACCCCCGCCAGGACGTTCTTCTCAGGACAATTTGTTTTCGGATCTCATGCAATCAGGGAATTCGCCTGTCTTCATGCCCACTACGACTTCTAGCACCCCAAGTCATTATGCTACCTCGGCTGATTATCAGTCTTATATGCCCCAAATGAACATGAACGTTGAGCAACGCTTAGGGGCAATGTCCTACTCGAGCAAAACAAATCCAGCCGTCCCTGCTCCACATCGGGTGTTACCTCAAAATACATTAACCAACGAAGAACCTGATGATAACGACGTGGCAGAACTCCGAGATCCCAAAAAGATCGAAGCTATGAAATTAATCAAGTCAGTTTCATTCTTGTTCTGTCGTCTCACGTCTGAGCCTCCTTTTAGGTATCATCTCGACAATTTCATGAGAAACGGTGCTTATTGTCTTCCGGCGTCATTACGACCAACTCTGGTACAGAGGTGAGCGCGAGTCTTCCAAGTTCGCCGGTTATATACTATACTTACTCACTTGACACCTTCAAGAACGATTAATCATGGTATGCATGTTTCGCCTTCTCATTGATATGATCTAACTTTTTCTTACAGAAAGTGTTATCGACCGTATTATATATCCTGAGCTCAGGGATCGTGTAATCCTCCTTCGAGGTAGCCAAATAGTCATTTTCGAGCCCGTCGATGTTCTGATGTTTTTGCCAGGGCAACTTTCCTTAGCAGACTGTCTTTTTGACTACAAGAAAGCAATCAAGCTTCATGGAGACGATGTTCTTGCCCAGCACAACTGGGAACTTTCTGAATGGTGGTTGCGGAAATACAGGTGCGCCCTTCAAGCTGTCCAATGCCCATACAGCTTCCTCATTATACACCAGTTACCTTATCGATAAGACGACTTTGAATATCTGTAATCGCTGGAGGCACGAACGCGGTGAACCCGACTTGTCGCTATCCGACATTGGTGCTCAAGGAGAGTCACCTGCATCCTAGGACTGTTATGTGTGCGGGCTTCACTATGAAGCCTTGCAAGCCTTATTATAATGCGGTCATTGTACGTGCACAGATTCCGTGCGGTAATATATTGTATGTATTCTGGGTTACGTCTATGTAGACACATGGATGTTGTAGAAACACAACTGCACACGTAGTGGTGTATACTGCACCGAGCACCATGAGCAACTCATGCCTTGATAAGTAGACATGTGTAAGCTCACCCGACCGTGAAATATTATGCAAGTGTAACCCTTCATCTACCAAGAAGCTTTGCGCACACCAGGGAGTTCCAGGTTCAACGCCTTCAGTCGGAATTGATACTGTCAAAGTCACAAGATGAGGACACGTTCAACAAAATACCAAGCAGGTCACGTACTCGGCAAAGCGCGAACTCGCTCATGATCCCCCGACCACGTCCAGATTCCGAGCAACGGTTCTTCACCGTCGTAGGACGAGTGTACTTTCCAAACGTGTTCAGTTGCAGCTGAGCCTGGTGTCGCACTTGCGGGGACAGGGTCTCGTTGCGCGCCACATATAGATAGGCCCTACGGAGGACCTCATTAGCCTTCACGACGTTGCGAGCCTTGATGTCTCGGAGTACGCGAGCGTTAGGCATGACGACTAGGGACTTTGACCGAAGGTTGGTCAAAAGCTTTTGGAAAACAACTGCAAACATTGTCCCTTACCGTGTCGTCGGTAACATCCGGCACAACCTCAAAGTCCGAGTCGAACAACCTCGAACGCAAACATAGCTCGAGAGGGAGGACATGGGCAGAGTGTCGGTGCGCAAACCATACGTTCCCTTTACTAATCCTTTCTGCTCACGATGGATTACACGAGCAGCTATAGAATGCCCATTTCCAAAAGTTTTCGTCTAACGTACCAACAACGCCGCAGATTTGTTTCAACTCTGTTCGGCCTCACATTTTTTGCGTCTGTGGTGACGGTTTCGGCATCCAACGTGCTACCATGTCCTGTGCGACCTGACCGGAGCCGGTACGCTGATACGGAGGGGAAGGCAGGGGGGCAAAGTCCTGCGCCGGTGGTAGAGAGGAGGCCAAGGAGGTGGATTCAGGAAAAACCATCCACGGAGGACACGCCGACTTAAGTTATTGCTGATGAGAAGACCTGACATGGAGATTTAGAAGCTACTCGACATTGCCCCAGTATACAGTGTACACGACCTCCCCGTCTGCTACTACATACACGCCCCAGGGTGATGGGGTGTATGAAACAACGCGTCCCCCCAGAGCAAGGGTGGATGGCTTGGTGTTATCTAATGAGTACAGAACGTGGTGCCAACATGGGTGTTGCTAGCATAATCGAGGAATGAACGAAACACGGCGGAAACAGTCGGTCAAATGAATGTCTAAGGTTACTCTACGGTTGAAGCAGTGCTATTTCGCGGATTTTGTTGGTTCCTATAATGTTCTTCTTGCTCCTGGTGTGTTCCTCTAGAAAGATCAGCACAGGTTAGCATCGGCAGGACGCGATCGGACATGATGGTCACGTACGGTAATGGGTGCTCCTCGATGGGTACGCATGTAATGAAGACGAGAATATTGATTGCAATCTGGCAAATGAAAACAACACGGAGTGCATCGGCGTATGACTCCACTGCAGCTTTTCTGAGTGCAGGCGCGAGGTTAGGGATCGAGCCTATCGAGTGTCTGGATGCATCATCAAATAAGTATATAGACCGCATTGCCATCGGACTTCATACCGTATCTCCTCGATGATCTGGGTAAAGGGAACTCATGTGAAATGCATACGGTATAGGTGCACAACTGCCGCTTACTTCGAATGAACCAGGTCCAGTAATTCGCTGGCGTAATTTTCTGACCAGAACGCTCTGGAGCACTGCCCCTGATAAACTGACACCGAGAACCTGACCTGTTGTTCGGAAAAGATACGTGACTGCAAATTGCATATCTTGAGTTCAAAGGTCTCCCAGGGCAGGTCGACCGGCACTTACTACCGGTTGCAACGGCCATATCTTCCTTGTAAACGCCCGCGATCATCGCCTGTAAATTCATAGTTAACAGGGACCAGGTCGACTTATGAACTAGGGGGCATGGAAGATACTGACAATTAGTGTAGAAGTGATTAAGCTGGCCATTCCAAAACCCTGTGGGATAATATCTAGCCATAGATGGTACTTCGATGTGTTATCATTCCATAGAGCGGCGAGAATGCTGGCGAGAATGGTTAAGGCGGCAGAGGCTAACGTTAAATGATACAGTTTGCCTGTCCGACGCATCATCCTATAACCACGACGGTGAATTAGTCTGAATAATGAATGATCACCAGGACCTCACCAGCCAGCGAACATACTTCCCGTGGACAGAGCAACCTGTAAGACAGTGAGTATTTCCTCTCGCACAATACAACGGGATCCGCACAGAATGAGGGAGTAAATGTAGACCTGAAGGCATGTGTGACTCGATGATAGTAAACGGGGATAATACCAAGCATACCGGCATTCGTGGATGAGTCTAGCCTCACAGCGGAGAAATACATAGGGACATAGTATAGCTGGAAAAGACACCGCGTTAAATTAGTGGCGTCTTATAAGGTTTTCAGTCCTCACCATTGAAAAAGCAGTTATGGAACTTAAAAAGTTGGCCAGGGAAACCGCTAACGGGGTGCGTTGCGTAATCAAACGCAGGGGCATCACAGGGTACGGCGCCCAACGAGCCTCCACTAATATGAAGGCAACCCAGAAAACAGCGCTGGTGCAGAAAAGTCCCCATATTAGGGGGTGAGACCACGGAAGTTCCTCAGTAGTCTTGAGACTGAAGCCGAGCAACAATCCGGCGACCGCGACAACTAGCGTGAATGATCCCATGAAATCAATACGCTGCAGTTTGGAGTATGTGCTCTGGTTCTGAATCTCGTCGGACAACTTTATGTTGACCTTGAGTGCAACCAAAATGAAAGATATAAGCAACAACGGCGCCTGAGTCCGAGTGAGGCTAGGAACAGACGGAAAGATACCAGGCTACCGACCTGCAATAAGAATGCTGCCCGCCTGTTGAAATATTCAGTGGGCGGAGAGAGACATTCCAACCGGCTACTAACCAACCCAGGGTGTCATTCACCCACCCTCCAACTGGACCGCCAAGGCCAGCACCCAGACCAAACAAACTGATCGAGGGTATTCATTCAAGCCCGGTGCATAAATCAGCAATCACTTACATATTAGTCATTCCTTGATATAGGCCACGGTGTTTTCTAATAGTAACCAAAATCATTCGTATCGCTACTCCTTGAAACATGCAAACTTACAATGGTATAAGATCAGTGACGGCGATGCTGCTGACTACGACACGGTAAATTCTCCCTGGCAATCGATACCGCAGCGCCAAACATACCTGTCATCACTCTGAAACAAATGTCAGCACAGTAAGCCTTGCAAACATCAATCCGTTGCACGCACCCTCCACCGCCCATTCCGGCAACTGCGCGCGCGACAATCAATGCCTCCATAGATGGAGCGAATGCGCATGCGATGGTGCCCGATCCTGAATTTCATATTAGACACGTGAAACGCCCATCGGCTGTACGCACCGAATAAAGTCAGTCCGAGAAGCATGGCTCCTTTGCGACCTAAGATGTCTGATAGTCGACCTGATTGATAGGCATTAAGATGGATATGGGTGATAGCACAATCATTTTGATGCTCTCACCGTATAGAGGGGTAAAGCAGCATACTGAGAGTAAATATGATGTCCCCAGGTATGAAGCCTGGTTAGATTTATTGAAGTAGCTTCCTATTGGTGAGAGAAGCGTAGCCACAATTGTGCCTATTGACAGAAGTTTGGGGTTTGTTCCATTCTTCGTTCACTACCAGCAAACTAGAGCGCACCATCCAAGGCACCAAGGAACACCGCACTCCAGAGACCCGACAGGATCCAAAAAAGATCAATACGGGAGACTTGATTCAGCGGCGGGGGGTCCGAATTCGGTAAGCTTGATTCTGCAACCTCCACAGAGTTATAAGAAGGCTCTTGATGTCGGTCATGGAGCAATGACTGCGATTCTTTGGACGATGACCTTGATGACATGCGTGGGGTCGGAGATCCTTTGCGGGGTATCCAAGTAGGTAAGAGTATTGTTGGAGGGCGACAGGGCGGGCTGAAGATTCTCAGTCGTGAATTTAAGGCAGGGAAATTAGAATTTCGGAATATTGACGCGCAGGAACATGCTTAAGTAGGTGTCTTCCAAAGAAATATATGACTGCTGATCTCAAGCGACGTCTTCAAAGTCCCCAGAGCTCCCGTGTCATCTTCCGCTCACATCGGTACCGGACCGGCCGAACAAGATGTCTTCATCCAACGACTACTCCTTCGAGTTCAAATATTCAAGATCCAGCCACCTAATATCAACTCAATTTCCCCGCATAACATACACCCCAACACCCTCAACCAGACTAACGTTATCGCCCATAGTCCTAGATTTGTTGCCACTGTGGGCTGCTACCAATCAATCCCGCACTCTCCGGACACTAGGCTCTCCTCAGCTTCGGATCTGAATAATTGACACACCTGTCATCGCCTGTCTTTTTCGTGCGCGCGCGTCCTTACAGCCCGGAGGTGCTTTAAGAGCGTTTTAGATACTTCGGGGCATTACTCAAGTATTACTTGCGCTGTTTCCGGGATTGCCCTTCTCCTCAAACACCCTGTAGGGTGAACAAAAATCCCGTGAGACGTGGGTGACATGCTACGGCATCCAACTTTGAAATTGCCTTTGGGACCCATGACCATGTATTTGTACCCAGTGCAGTGTGTGGGATCCTGCAGCTGGGATATGATAGATGCTGCCGGAATCTTCGACTACTCTTCGAACCAACCCGGGTGAGTTGTTGTCATGTTCCTTCCTTCACTCACCGGTTTCACACGATGTTCATACGCTGCCGGTATAATGTCTTCGCATGCTCTTGGGAGCCGGATCTCTTTGTTCGACATGAAGTTATAGTCATGACCTGAGGCACCACGAGGCACTGATATCTCTAGATAGGTTCTGCTGAAATCCGCTCATGTAGGTTCCCGTGACGTCGTTCTGTTTTTAGGAACGGTAATTTCCAGCTCCATCGTACTGCGTGCTTCTTGGAATTTCGCCGTCTAAAAGCTAGACGCCTATGAGTCGTGGCAGATCACTGGTGCCATCGTTATGAACGCAATCAGTTACAACGATGACAATGACGACGATGACGACGATGATACTATCCCGCCGAGAGTGAACTAGAGGGATCTTATGTCCCCGAAGTAGGTTTGCATTGCTTCAACTGCTATCAAAAGATTGCGCTATCCACTGTCATGTCCTCGAGGATTCAGGACTTAGCCGTTTTAGGTGTATAAACGTCACGCAACATTCATGGGCACCCATGTGCTGTTTTTGTACGTGCGACGCCCTCTTGATATTTGTTGTTCGCAGGATGGGCATGTACGGTCATATTAGGTTCAGATATGGGGTAAGTTCCCTGTATTAACATCCGTTCTTTCTAGAATAATAACGATACTCGATGCAGCATCATGGTCGTTTTGGGCAGCTGTATCTCGGAGGATATGAAACGATGCTTGATGCGGTATCATCACAACGGTCCTCAAATTTCGGTTTTGGGCAGCAATTACATCGTCACAAGCGCTCTTATTGGTTGCGTGTCAGAAGAGTAACATTCTTGATCAAGTGCTTCGGGTGTTGCTGTGTTAGGGGTCAGTGCATCATGTCCTATGGAAGCCTAGATTTGGCCTAGTGATGGTGGTGTTGTTCAAGACAGTGAAGATGCACCATATATTTCCCATGTCGAACCGGTCCGTAGGAGGGATGGGCGCTAAGGCTCGTGTTCATAATGCTACAGGAGTCTCTGCATTGCTGCTGTTCTCCCTTCATCAACACATCGACTTTTAGCAACTGCTGTACATGTTCTGGTGACATCTGTGTTTCATATCGCCCCCGCATAGCCTTCAACTCAATGATTGATATAATTATGCGACCATCCTATCGGCTCATGCACAGCTTTGTGGTACAGCAGCCTCCTCCTGCCAGTGGTAACTGTTTATGGAGTGAGCCGTTCGCTATCTTGATAGGATGCGGAGCTGATTGGTCTGTAGAGAAGCTCTCGTGAGAGTTCATGGTACACGGCAAGTGTTCCGGAATTCCATCGCTTGCAACTGGTACGCTGTGCTACATTGTAGGCGAGTCTTGCATTTCGGATCATTACCTCTACCTCTACCTCGTGCCCGCAGCATCGGACAACATACTTCTGTGATTTGTTATTGCAGTGTGTGGAGTTGAAACTGATAAGTAGTCTCAGTATGATATGGCTCACGCGGGCCTTGCGCGGACCCCATTTCGACCGATGATTCAGGATCGAGAAGGGACTTGGAGGGGACCGCAAATTTTACAACGCCCGGCGCGGTACCTTTCAAAACTCACTGCAGGATCGCAAATGACAAATGACAAGACAATTTTACTCGATCTTACGTTCTCGTTGAATTATCCCTGCATGTGCAACAGCCCTTTCATTTCCGCAAAGATCTGCTTTCTCGACTCTACTCCAGCAAAGCTCATCATGCCTAATCAATACCCAGGCTGAGTGTAGTATTGCACGAGTAGGAGAATGGCCGCACAACGGACACGCTCGGACCTGCTCGGCACGGTGACCATGATTCGGATCTATGACTTTACGGCATTAAGTGACGAGGTGGTTGACCACGCGCCAAGGTTGTGACACAAGTTTGAACCCGAACATGAAAATTGAAAAGGTGTACTGCCAGGAGGGCTGGGTCAGTAACATTTCATTACTTGGGAACGTTCGCCCGCCAACGACCGTCACATCAAGGTCTACTGTTGGGAGAATCCTCGTTCACGTTAATGGTTAACCTTGTGTTATGTTATGTAGTGATGCTTAAATGAAGTGGAAGATGCCGTCTTTGTAAGCTAGCCGTTTTCTAGCCCCGTTATGTTGAGGGGGACAACAATTTGAGAGTTTATACCTCCCCCGATACCAAGGCAATTTTCTTTCTTCCGTCTTTCTGCAGACAGTCCGTGTCAGTCTGTTCCGTCTGCTCAAAGTACTAGAGTCTGCAATTGTTGGGGAAGTTATACAGTTGTCGTGCAATCCGATCAACCGTTCGGGATCGACCGCGAATCATCATTCCTCCATCATGCACGCACCCTCTCCACCGTCTACTCCGTCACACTCTTCATGGAAATCTGTCTTTCGCCTACCAAGTTCGTCGAAGAAGCATCGTGTTAATAGGCAATGTTTCAACACTTGCAGTTGACTGTTCGCCTCGTGCAATTTCATCCCCTCTTCAGACTGTCAAACATACTTCTGCAGTACCCAGTCCGTCTCTGACTCCTGGCTCATTCCTCCCTATCGACGAACGTTCCTCCTACAACTCTTCGAATACCCAGTCCAGTGATTCCAACGTGGGAGCTACACCGAGCTCTCCGTACCTTGTGCCTGATTCCCGACCCTTTCCTCACCAGTATCAACAGCAGTCGTCTGTCTCGAATGTCGAAGCGAATGGAATGGTCTCCCCACAATACTCCCAAAGTAGCACGCGGACAAAGTCGGAGAAACCGCATGGTCGCCCTTCACACCCTTAACAATGCCTCAGACTGCCACGGCATCGCAGCAGTCATTCGCACTCCCGCCTGGTCATGCTGCTTCTTCGAGTCGTTCGGGACCTTTGTCTCCTCGCGCAATGGGAGCGTCTGCTACTCGTTTTATTCGTCGCGTCGCGTCCGCGCCAAACGCGAAGCATCTTTTTTCTTCTGGCGGTCGGTCAGCCGCACCAACGAAAAATGGTCTATTAGCACCTGCAGATATGGTTCCACCGGTACCCGGTGCACCGTCAACGTCATCGGATCTCGGTGATGATTCGTTAGAGACTCTGTCGTCTAGTTCCTCAAGAGGGAGATCCAATCGGCACGAACGGTATCCTGGTAGTTCACATCTGTCAAAGACAAGAATTGTGAATGGAGTGCATGATGGTCCTGGAAAAATGGCTTTCAGACGGACGTATTCCAGTAATTCTATCAAAGTTCGACAGGTGAGTTTATAAACTTTGTCGGTGAATGTATCTTGAATGAAGGGGTGAATTTTAGGTCGAGGTCGGCCCGTCAAGCTTCGTGAAAATTAAAATGCTTGGAAAGGGCGACGTCGGACGTGTGTACCTTGTGCGAGAAAAGAAGACTGACAAGCTTTTTGCTATGAAAGGTGGGTCCGTGATTTGACGAGACTTCAATCGCTTCAATCATGATTCCCCAGTCCTGTCCAAAAAGGAGATGATCGAACGTAAAAAGATAAAACGTGCTTTAACCGAGCAAGAAATTCTTGCCACTTCAAATCATCCGTTCATCGTAACCCTCTATCACTCCTTCCAGTCGGAAGAGTACCTCTACTTCTGCATGGAGTACTGCATGGGTGGCGAGTTCTTCCGGGCCTTGCAGACTCGTCCGGGCAAATGCCTTCCGGAAGATGGCTCACGATTTTATGCGGCGGAGGTTGTGGCGGCCTTGGAGTACCTGCACTTGAACGGCTTCATATACCGCGATCTCAAGCCAGAAAGTAGGTTGCTTCTCCTCTTGATCGTCAATGTTTACTAAACGCTTAACTTTATTGCCGCATCTTGCTGCGCCTTTGTAATCTTCGCATTTCATTTACCGCGCCTCTTCCGTACTTGCTGGAACTTCGGCCAGATATTCTCCTCCATCATTCCGGCCATATTATGCTGTCGGATTTCGATCTCGCTAAACAATCTGGGCATCCTGGGGGCCGTCCTGCGACGATTCACCAGCTAGAGCCAAACGGGGTAAGGCGTTCCCTTGTCGTCCATGCGGTGTCAATTCACACATTCCACCTATTTTATAGATACCTATGATCGATACGATGTCGTGCACAGCAGATTTTCGGACAAACTCGTTTGTGGGCACTGAGGGTAAGGTTCCGTCGCTATTTATAACAAGCATTATCTTGACCGTATTCGGGTCGGTTGTTCAGAGTACATCGCGCCTGAAGTGATTGCTGCACAGGGCCACACTGCTGCGGTGGATTGGTGGACACTGGGTATCTTAATATACGAAATGATTGTGAGTGGATACTCGGCGGAGATTGGGTCCGCGTTCGCGATGGGAAAAATTGACGGTCTTATGCAGTTCGCCACCACGCCCTTCAAGGGGAAAGAGAGGAATGACACCTTTGCCAACATTCGGTCTCTGCCAGTTCATTTCCGAGACGCACCTAAAATTACGAGGTGGGCCGTTTGTCATTGACGTTGGAAACTGAGTCATGAGGGAACTTAACGAAAGTCGTTGCCGTACAGCGCTTGCAAGGATATCGTCAATCGGCTACTCGACAAAGACGAACGAACTAGGATAGGCAGCAGGAGCGGAGCCAGCGAAGTCAAGCAACATAAATGGTTTGCCAAAATGAACTGGGGTTTGTTGCGTCACCAGCGGCCACCGGTGAGTTTTGCCTGCCCCTATACCTGTACTTGAACGTGTGTTGGGCGCTAATAGCGCGTGGTTTCATCATTTCATATCCCGTCATATCCCGTCTGTGGGTGGGACAAGTTCTCTTTCTTCTGATCCGAATATGGCTTCAAGTGATTGTTTGACTGACGCGTCCCTTATCTGCCCCTGCATAGATCGTTCCATCGTCCTCAAATGGTCTTGATGCGGTGAATTTCCGGCATTTGAAGGAATCACGCTCGCTTCATCTAGAGGAACAAATCCGGGGCGTAGCAGGCGCGAACGCACCGGCTGGTCCTGGAACGCCCGGGTGTGATGATGGGATGGATGTACCATCAGATGGTGATCTGTTCGGCGCGTTCAACAGTGTCACACTACACTATGATGGGGAAAGCTGAGGAAGATCTTTTTCCGCCATATTTCCGTCGACATCATGCCGTGCTTGGTCACTATGCCAGGGTGGCTACCAAACATCGGATGCGATCGCCGGTCGATGATGGTTTGGGTATGATACTTTATTCTTTCTTTCGTCTGTGATACATACCATCCACTGCTTCATCTCGTTCATTCCATTGACGCTCTGCTTGCATTTTTGTTTCTCAGGGGGAAAAATTTGGTTCACTTGTATTATTTCAGCACACACCCATATCTTTGCACTTTCAACCTTGCCGCACTTGCCGAAGCCTTCAATCTAACCATCTATCACTCGCTTTTAGTGTTATTATGCCCGACAACTTACGATCTATCTTAATCAACTGATCATGACGCAGTAGAGCCGCTCACATAGATAGAAAAAGAGACGACGGTGTTGATTTTGAAAATGCGGGATGTTCAGATAAGTATTAGTGGGCATATCTACAAGTAAGTATGTGAGAATTGACAGCATGTGGCATCGCCCAATGGCATAAAGTGGAGAAATTTCTCCATGGACCACAAGATATTGAGGATGTTGTTGGAATTGTGAACGTTTAGTGTCAATGATCCGATCGAGACCGTTGTTTGAAATTGAAAGTTGACAATTGGGCCGGGCTTGGCTGGCCTTGGACAGATCATTAACCGAGATTGTGGACTTGGAAAAAGTTGGTACTATAGTGTTTGTTGGTTTACACAGAATAAGTTATGATGGCTGGACGGAGAGCGGAGGAGAGGATGACCTATTTTAGACGAGTAATAGACGCTGGTGATTGAGGAACGAAATAGGGAGACAATGATAGGGCTTCGGTGGGGGTAGTATATGTAAGCAGGGACAAGGAGATAGAGGGCGCGGGGAGTGGTTCTTTAGAGGTCGGGCGGATCGCTGAGGAGGAGAAGCAGATTGAGAAGATGGTTGTATAGTTGCGGTAAGTCTAAAGGGGGCTAGGTCGCGGCTCGGCTTCCCTTTTTTAGTAACGATCAGGACCCCAGCTAGCGCTAAAAAGTGAACCGCTAGGGTGTGGGGCACGCGAACAAGGTTATGAATGGCGGCCGTTTAGTGGATCTCATGTATTTCATTAAAATATTTGATTTCATTGAACATAGGAAATTGTGCACGGCAATACACGTGTATATACACAGGGAGACTTGAGGTATACTGGAGGGTGCATAGCCGCTGAAAAGGAAACAAATATTTTAAAAAACAACAAGAGATTCAGATCTGTGAACTCAATTGAATTACAGTTGCGGCAACTCGAAATTGTCACATGGAAAATTGGGTACGGATACTTCCATAAAAAGATAAGGGTGATGAACCTCGGCGCCGAGGTTAGCCAAATTTAGTTGTTTATGATGTTTTGAATTGTTTATTCAAGTATTTACCGAAGGTGATTTCCGAACCCGGCCGCGGCACCCTTGATTACGTTTTATTAAAAAAAGGAAAGTGACGTAAAATCTAATTTCGGTGTTGACTGATTTCGGTTGATGAGTTGTTCTCCACCGCCCACACTACTTATAAATTTATATAGTTAACCTAGCTAAGGGCTATAATATCAAAAAGGACTCGATCGACAGTTCAAAGTAGTCACTTTTTTGATTTTTTGCTTCTTTTTATACAACTACATAGTTTCGACCTCAACTTTACGGCTTCTTCTCTTCATTCCCTACCGAACGACTAGCAATGCAAGACTTATACGCTTCTCAATACCAACGACAGCAATGGTCTCGTCCAACTGACTACCCACAGATTAATACAACCGGTCCTACTTATCCTCAACAGCCATCAGCTTCTCATTCTAGTTCAAGCAATGGCTCTCCAACTGAGGATAGTCCCACCTGCTTCTCTAAAAGTTCATGAGCAGCAGCAACCTCCTCCTCCAAAGTCAGAGGCAAAACCTCAAGCTACTTTTTTAACAAAACTTTACGCGTAAGTTAAATCTCGCGTTTGGCTTGGCATTAAACTTGACGCGTCATATACAGTCTTCTTGAGCGTCCGGAAAACCACCACATGATCCGTTGGGATCCTGCAGGTGAACATATCATCGTAGAGAGACCAGAACAATTGGCTCTCCATGTCCTCCCAAGCATTTACCGTCAATCGAGATTTGCGAGCTTCTCCCGGCAACTAAACGTATGTAGTGCTTCCGTCCTTCTCTGTCGACCCAACACAGTCCTTAACTCAAATGAACTATTCACTAACTAACTTCCTCGTTAGATCTATGGCTTCATGCGCAAAGTAAACCTTCGTAACGTCGACCCCGCCATTGATGATCCAGACGCAAGCACATGGTGTAAGTCCCCCTCACTTCCTCAATCTCACACTTCTTTACTAACTAAACGGTACTCTAGCCCATCCCACCCTCAACCGCCACTCCCCCCCTGAGGTAGTCGCTAATTTCAAACGCCGCGTCCCACCCCGCCTTCCTAAGCCAAGGAAGCGTGACACACAGGAACCCCCTTCGATACCCCCACCCCGCTCCGCTATTGGTATGGGTCCAGTTCCTCTCACAGTGCCTTCGTCCGTTGGCCCGAAGGGCACCTTGCCCAATGGTGGTCGTGCTCGTGGCTTTTCTGCACCCGGGTCATTCACTCCTTTGAACCAGAGCAGTGCAGCTTGGAGCAACTCTTACCCTCACACTCGTAACCTCCCTCCTCTCACTGTCCCTTCCGAGCCCAATCATCATAACTTGTACAACCAATCTCACTTGCAGCCAATCTCTCCCGCAGAGGAGTCCCCCACCGCTCAGTTTAGCGCAATGGGTCCAGGAAGTGGTTATCATCACCCTCAGCATACTAGCAACAGGGACATGCTTGTCCCTCCCACGCAGTATTCGTATGCCGACCAGAATTGGCAGTACTCCCCTAACAGCTCGACTTCGAACCATTCGGGCAGCTTGTCTTCCTTGTTGAACCCACCGAGCAACAATGGCTATGGTCCGCGTCCAACGCCGACCATCAATACCTCTTACTCGTCTACCTATTCGGGTGTTTCGATGCACAGTGACAACAGTCCGCCCTCGCTATCCCCGGATAGCCGCCCAACTACGGGGTACTCCATTTCATCAGTGTCATCCTTGCCGTATGAGGAATCCCCATCGCACCACACTTATCATCAGGCTGATTACTCGCGTCCCGGCTCGAGTCACCACCGCCCCATTTCGCCATCATTGTCTCGTCCCCCTTCATCCTCGAAGCAGTATGGCCCGTCGTCCTTGAGCATTCGCCGTCCCCGTCGCCATAGTCAAGCCATGAGTCCATACCCCTCTCCTTACGACCATCCTTCCACCGAGAGACCCTCGACGTCGCCTCATCCAGCTGACGATGGAAGCATGCCACGAGTACGCAGCATGATTCAGCTGCCGTCCGTGGACTCGTATGGCTTCCCTGCCGGGCAAGCTGAATTCGCGTACTCTGCCGTTGGCGGTGGCGCATCCATCGACTCGATGGATGGACGGAGTGGTTGGGGTCACCACCAGGTTGGACCACGTCCTTCCACAAGCGCGTCTTCCATCAGCGCAGCTTCCCACACGTCATCGTCTCAAGCGAATACCCCGCCACTCGGGGACGGATACGGCGCAGGGGAAGCCGACATTAATCGCTGTGAGTCGCGCGACTACCCCTTGCGCCCCCCGATCTCTCACGGCCTGGCTTACTGACTGTCAGTCTCTTGAATGGGTTCAGTCTCTCCTGACTTTGGGTTTGTCGCTATGAACGAGCACCTTCCTCCGCAATATACCAAAACTGTGAGCGAGCTTTAGACGCTCCGTTCCCGTGGAGAAAGTAGACTTGCTGCTCGGATTCCTTTAATTTCTTCCTTGGTGTTTCATGTTTTGACTTTTGGACAACTCTGCTGTTTTGCGTTTGTGTTTGCCCCTCACGATCCACTTTCCTTTCCTTGCCTCAATCTGCCGCTTCTTTCAAAGAAGCTATACGAAATTGGAAGATCTTTTTCATGAACATTACAAAACGATCGGCTGCGTTTGCATGTGCTCTCTCATCTAGTTCCACCGTGTATACTTTTGCTGCTCTACATTTGTACCACACCCCATCATCACTCCCACTTTGATACCTCTCTCTCGTCTTTACCTCTGTGCATACGGTTACCCCGTATACAGTTACCCCCGTTCATTGATATCCCGGTCTGCTTTAGTATCTGCAATACATTTTTGCTTGTCAAATGATGGCCACCATCCGGTTGATGCCGCTTGCCATCTAGTACATCTCTTAATTTGAAAACGCGGATCTCTCTCCTCAGCACAAAGCACATCCACCCTGTCACCTCACTATCAAAACCGTTCCCATCTCACAATCCACAAAACCATTTTCCACGATTTTCCGCCATCCAACAAATATTTCAGATACACGGCGTCCGCATACCAAATCGGGAATCGCCACTCGTTGATCTCGTAGGCGTGATCTGATCAGAGCGAATGCACAGAATTCTGATCGGGGCTCTGACAGTTAACCAGCCGTTCACGTAAGCGTCAACTTCACACTTGCTCGGGCTGCTCATCTCGGATTTTTGCGCAATGACAGCACGGCCGTGATATGATGTGTGCACATATATGCGAGCGTTACTTGCCCGAAGGAGGACAGATGAAGTGGAATGGTTACATGAATGAGATGCCTATCTCTGGCGCTGGATGAGACGAATATTCCACACTACGCCGTGCGGTTGCGGTTCATGGCTTTTGTAAAAGCGCTGTTTCATGTTCTTTATTGATTTTCCGTGATAAGTTGTGGAGTCCCTCATAAACGATCGTGCCAACAGGAAAGAGGGGTCGACCCTGCGTTTAAGGGCTGGAACTTGCACAGCTGCAACCTGTGGCGTACGGCGTTTGCTGCAGGGTAGGCGTCAGCTCAGGGGCAGGATTACGCGCTATTAGTATAAACTGGTATACACGTTTGCGCGTATATTGCCTGTAAGGTCCTGTCATCAGACATGGGACCTGTACAGATCGATATCAAGCCTCTTATGAACTTGACTTTGCCCATCGGCGGTGTCAGACAAGATACCGCAACGCGAATTTCATTGAGGCTGCGTGACTTGGAAAGATAGGAAAGAATGCAATAGAACGAACGCATGCATGGTACGGCGAATAGGAGCGAGATATCCGAACTAGCTAGTCAAAAGTACATCTGATCCGAAGACAATACATACATACAAGTTGTGTTAATCAATCCGCGTCTTATACGCTATTCTTGGGTAATATACAAGTCTAGGCTCGAGAGAGTCCAATTAAGGGGGAAAGACAGCGACTAGGCTGCAGGAAGGCCAGACAAAACGCGTTGTGGCGAAACAAGTTCGTGCGAGACGAGCTGGGCCTCGCTCATGTTGTTCCGCGACTGCGACGTCAGGGGTAGTCGTAGCGGTCGAGATCCCACATCGTCGTCCTCTACATGCGACTCTGGATCTAAAAACGCCACTCTTTCTTCCGATGCACTTCCAGCAAACTCCAAGTCATCATCAAGTTCATCGTCCACCGCTCGGCGCGCTACCAAACTGAGGTAGACGAAAAGTGCAACGCACAAAAGGATTCCACCAACAGTCCAGACTTTGCTCCAGGTATCGTCCTCTTCCTCCTGAGTATCATCTTCTTTTTTGGCACTGAACGAGCGAATTCCTGCACCGATGCTGGTGTGCACGATAACTTTGAAAAGGGACAAGGCCGTGCAAATCACATAGGTCCGCATGCTGAGTGTTGGCGTAGCCGCAAGAAGCGCGTTGAGCACATTGTATGGATAAGGTGCGAGTCTGACAAGGAATAATAGCTGGGGTCTGCGTTCGACCGCTCGGACTGCGCGGCATAAACCGCGTGTTGAGGTAAGCCAACGAGCGATTGGCTCGCGCAAAAATGTCCGTGAAACCCAGAAGACGACGACAGCACCAGAGAGCGCAGCGCAATATGAGATGGCTGCACCGATCCACGGCCCGAAAGTGTATCCCGATAATGTGATCAGCGTGGAATACAGTGGGAGAGGGGCTATTACAACGTGAGAAACATAGAGGCAGATAGAGTCATGTGAAAGAAAACAGCATGCGTGAATTTCTTGACATGACCAAAGATAAATTAAGAAAGGGACATACGGAACGTTGTGATGAAGATGAGACAGAACAAGACCGCGTAGCCAAAGTTTTCATCGTTTCGCAACCAGTGTGAGAGGCGATCAAGACCTGTCAGAAAGCATTGTGAGCAGTGAAAAACAGATAGTGAAATATGGCGCGATCATAATCGCGTAAGAGGGGAACATAGATGACTGCATTATTCTGCAGTAGTGGGCCACTAGGGCACCGGGGTCACGAAAGCAAACCAACAGGAACCGATTACTTACCGTCAAAAACCTCAGTCTTCCAGAACGCGATGGCTAGCACGAAACCGAGACTAGTTGCACCATAAGCCAAGATAGGCAGCCATTGCTTGAAAAGGTTCCATATCCGCAGCCCGCGCGGACGGACGTATCGTTGCGATTGTGCAAGGGTTTGTGATGATGAAGTCGATGAAGTAGACGAAGAGGTACGCATTGGAATAAAATGATGAGACGGACGCGAACTTCGATGAGGGTAAGGACGAGAGTTGAGAGGGATATCATTCGAAAGTTGGCCTGGGCCTGGTTTCTCACTGAGTACGGGTGAATCGTTGAGCTGTGCCATAGCTTGACAGGCAGAATGTGGGACGGTATCAAGTAGCCGTTGATGGATTCCAGTCCAAATGTTCGCTAGATAGCCGAACTCCAATCGTGCTGCTCAGCGCACAAAATGAATGGTCAGGATGACTCTGAGAGGAAGAGAACAGAGAAAGGGAACGACGTGTGGACGGGCGATGTAATATTTTTAAGTCGCAAGTAAGAGCATGCTAACTATGGTGCTACCAAGATATTGCTTGGGTGCCTTATCTTAGTAGGGTCTCACGCCACTAGTACTACCATTTAGCCAGTACTATATGAGACGGTTACGACTGGTTCACGTAGCACATGCTGCTGCGGATCGTCGTCGAGAAAAGAGAAATGAAGACGACGATTCGACTATTGCCAAACGAAAGAAGTAAGACCCATACGAAAACAAAACTTTTGAGCGCCTTGCCACGTCGCGCACCGTGACACGTGTAAATGCCAGGAGGTTGTATTCCGTGTCAACTGACCCTGCGATCAGTAATTACACCGCCCCCTGGCAGATGCTTTGGTCAACTGGTCAACATTTGTGTCAGAAAAGTGGTCTGATGTAGGGGCGGTCCGGGCCTGGCGGAGATATGGGGGTGCTGGGAGGTTTCGCCCTCTCCGTCTCCAGATGGGAACAGCAGAATTGTTGAATACAACGCGAGAAATGGGAGACCAAGGTTGCATATGCAAGCAACATGAGACTGTGCGCCATGTCAACTTAATGTGAGAACAGCGAAGAGTGGATGGACAACGCAAAAAAGCAGAAATTTGTGATATACTAGTTCGGAGACGGTGATGACATACGCAAGATAAAGATGCGACAAGGGCCTAGAATCAATCTCGCCTCCCTGGGCCTGTACACGAAGAACTAAAAGTATTTTTACCGTTGACGCATGATTGACGCTAAGATCGTTTTATCGATCCAAAGGAGTACAAGATCTTGAAGTAGCGGGGCGCCGCGGAGTGAGACACTCTTCGTTCTTCTTCATTGAAGGGAGTTCCAATATGACGTGAACTCCCTGGCCGTCATGACAGGAGCGTGTAGGCATGAGCACATAAATTCCTGGTCGCGAGCGTTATTAATATTGATGCGAGCTAGAGGCGAAAGATAACGATGCTTACTCTTCGGTGTCGGGCTAGCATGCGGATTGTAGAGATTAATTTCTCTTTTCGTCTTTTCGTAACATCATATTGGAAACCGAGTCAGAAAGAGAAAGGCATCTGTCGGGTCCGGATGAACGCTAGTCTCCTTGGGCAGAAGGAAGGCAGTCTTCTTTATAGATAAACGGGCCCTGCGCCTGGTGCACTCGCGAACTTTTCAAATATTAAAATAGGTCTCACCCCCCACTGGGGCGGAGGGTTCCGGAAAGCTCTAGTTCAACGCGTTTGGGACGTGCAGCGACTACAGCTGGTTATCCCAAAGGTCCGTTTGAGCGTGAATCAGGCGTGTCACAGGTTGCATTGAACTGAGGTAGCAACTCGGAGCAGGAGGAGTACTACTGGATCGTCATTCAAGTGCTTAGAAGAACTTGAAGGACACACAACGTAATACATGGTACGCGATGATGCTTATGCAATCAGGAGGTACGTACTAGTTCAACGTTCTCATCCTCGACACATCTCACACGTCGACAAAGATATATTTTTACTGCAGCTGGGGTACCTTAATCCTGAAGGCTTTTCCTATACAAAATTATCACCGTTTCATCTTTGAAACCAAAGTCGGAACAAATCTACCTCGTGCACTTATTTTATTTCTTGATATCCCAGGTTCTCCAGGTCATCTTGTATACAGTCCCACGTTTATTGATCTTTGTTCAAACGCCGTTCACCCTAGGGCCTAACGAACGCACGCATTTCTCCACCCACCTCGCAGAATATTTTTGCATTCCACTTCCCCACAATCACCGCGGGCAAGTAAACATTCACGCCTGATTTTTGGCCACTTTTCACCTCCATTCGAGTCAACACGGAAGGCTTTCCCGATTTGTAGAAACATATGTCGCCCTTAGCGCGCCTCGTTCAACTGCGATCTCTACGTGTTCCCCTGCGGCGGACTCGTGGGTACTCTTCAACTACGGAACCACGGTCCGGACATGCTGACTGGTATGCGTCCATGCTACCGGGCATGATTCCGGTAGCTCTTTTGGGCTCTGCCATGTACATGGTAAGTAGTGTCATCCTCGCATCGTGGGTCACTGGCATCGTTGGCTGCGGTCCTTCGCGTCATGATCGGAATTCAACGTGTCAACATATTTGCTGATTTCGTGCTTTGACTTGATTAGGGGTTACAACTTTTACAGAGTCGCCTTGCTCACGAGAGATTCCTTGATGAAGCTCGAGAGGAAGTGCGTCAACTCGAAGACGAGGTGGACAAGTTGCAGAAGGAACGGGCCGCGCAACCGTCGATAGTATCGTCTTCACGCACCTCTGCCTCTAAATGGTGGCCATGGTGATTTTCAGCACATAGAAATACTTGTTAATTATCGCTTGAAGTCATTATCCAGGAAACGTAGCGATCTTCATCAATCCAAAAGTATCAGTCCATCTACAATAAATAAATACATGACAAAGGCGAAATCAAGCAGCATGATTAGCAGAGGGTATTAAATAACAACGAAAAAATGAGTATGCGATGCGAGGTGATGGGTAATAGGAAAAAAAAAGATGCATAAGAACACAATTAAAGCAATAATAGGAGGAAGTGTAGAAGGCTGTTGATGGCGGAAGCATGTCAACGGCAAGAAGCGGGGATTAACATGCTTCGATCACTTCTTCCTCCTTCAAGTCACGGATAGCCAGTGCCATAACGTTTAACTCGTCAGGGCCTTGTTGACAAGTGTAGTTCTGGCCTTGTCGTACAACTTTGCGGAGCTGGGAAAACACCAATTAGCGGGTATTCGACAATGAATATGGAGGATGTTACCTGAGGACCGCTGCCGTAAGGCCAGCGAAGGACTGGATGGTGTCTTTCCATCTTTTTATCCTGAGGATATCATATGCTGCAGCACAAGGATGTCAGGGGGGAAAATGCCTATACAATCAAGTTACTTACAGACGAAAATAAGGTCCATGACAAGTTTTGCCCTTGAGGCCTGGAGCCAGTAGTTCTTCTTTTGCAGGCGTGCTAGATCACGTTCGTCAATTTTTGACGTTTTTGGTTGTGACTTAGAAGTAGCCCCTGAGAGTGACTCTTTGTATGCCCTTGATTCGACTGAAACGAACGAACATCAGACTTGAAGAGATGAATAATAGAGACATTTTACCTTCTCGTTGAAGTCCCTCGATGACTCCCATTTCAACTCCATTTTCGACTAGACCGACCAGTGTACCAAAGAGCAAACACCAGTCAGCAAACCTAGCCGCGCGTTCTCCCACCTTAGGGCCAATTAGACCAAGTCGGGAAAGCGTATATATATCATCCGATAGGCCATTTACAAGCTCGAGGAGAACGGGTGGTGGAGCCGATAATAGAGCTCGGAGGACCGGATGCGAAAGGAAGGGACCGGCAAATAATTGGGGGGATTTGGAGGATGACGCGGGGGCAGTTGTAAGACTGTGGGGGAAAAGGGAAGAACCGGAAGACGAGAATGGCACAGATTGTTGGGCCAATACCTGACTCAGGGGGTTCAGCCAGTCAAACATGATGAGCATTTTCCTGTGTGCACCGTGAGTTGTCAATGACAAAGTCAAAGTCAAGAGGTCACCTACCTGGTAAAAGAGAACCCGTTTTTTGCAGCCAAAAGCCTTTGCACAATTGCTTGCTGCCAAGCCGACTTTCCGCGACGAAATAAAATCTTGCTGTGAAAGAGCAGATACACACGTATCGAGTATTGCATTAATTTCTACCCGGGGATCCCTTCGGTCACTTGTTCAGCGAAAATATCATAGTCACTTACAAATGCTTTGTCCCGTCCATTACTTGTAACAAACAGATCTCGCCACACTTCATGTGCTCCGACTAACTTTTCGGCCGCTTTTACACGTACATCTTCCTCATCTAGCTCTACGACATCGTCTTCATCCACCTCCGCCTTCTCACCTTTGACCGTCTCTCCGTCCTCTTGTTCTTCTCCCTTCTCATCGTACACGCTGATACTCATGCTCATGTTCCTAAAGTGTGACTGAGCAGCAGTGCTCTGGCGTGGGGTACGAGGCGGGTGTGCAGAAAGAGGGTTCATTTGAAAGGAACTCGACATATCAAACGCAGGGGGTGCATAGAAGGGCGCATGCATAGGGTCGTGCAGTGAGCTCGAAGACGAAGCGATGTCGTCGCCTAAGTGCGGGAACGTCACCGAAGACATTTGTGCTTTTTCGAGAGCTCGATTTCAGTCAACAGAGTAGAAAGAGTGAGACGAAGCAGACAGGACGGTGTACACTGTAAGTACAGGAAGCTCGTACTTGGTGTGAGCCTACGTATTATCAATTCTTCTCACGGGAGCGGACCGGGCGAACGACAAACCCATAAGACCAAACAAATGTAAACGCCTTCGAAGACCCGAGCCCAAGCTAGCTTCGACAACGAGTGCGATCTAAGCCTGACTTCAGTTCAACAATTGCTCCTCGTTTCCATCTCGTTAGAGGAAGTATGCCAACATCTCTGGGGCCCCGATCCCCTATTTCGCGGTCTGGAGCAGTATCTCCTCAACCACCTAGACCCTCATTCGATACCGAGGTGTTGCGAGCCTACGTGAAGAAACTCCTGCCAGCAACGCTTTCACATGCTGTATGGTCATCTATTGAGCGAGACCAAGTGAAATCGTGGATGAAGGAGATAGGAGATCGCGTCAAAGAGAGGATGGTGGAAATTCAGCCACATGGATTGTACGTGCAATGACTGGCTGCTTACATTGAACTCATCTCGTGACCTGCATCATATACCGACACAGTAAGTATATTGTCTTGGTTCAGATCACAGAGAATATGGGGCAGGGTGGCCGGTAGGAATCGTCGCGATTTATATAACCATCATCGACAATCGTTGATCTTCGCTTGTAGGTCCCATATGGTGTGTCACTGGGAAGATGGCGATATCTGCTTGAACGAACTTTTTTACAATGTGGGCATATTCTTGACATGTGTACTGGGATTTTGATCCGCTAATCCATGGTCGGCGACAATCGTAGGACTCATTATTCTGTACATGTACCGCCATCGCAGTGCGAACTTCGTGACATCTCTTTGGACTGCCGTGACTCCCCGTTCAAAGTCAATAATTCTGGGCTTAATTCCCGCGCACTCGATACCCGTAATCTCTCCCACTAAAACCACGATATGTCACGAAATTGCATAATTACTACACTTTATTCGAGGACTATGCGATCTCATCATGGAACAGCCTCGAATTTGCCAGGACTTGCTGTTGACCCTGCAATGTGCTAACTTCCAATTCTCTGCATGTTAATCGATGCATAATTTGTTTGTGCGCTCACTGCTCGGTAAGCCTCATGATTCCGTGCCATCAAGAAATCAGATCTATCTATCGGAAAAGTCCTGATGCTGAGAAAGAAGTTCAGGCTCACGAGAGCTTGCAGGGGGTTTGATGCATTTTACCAGGTGTTCGTCATGATCCTTGTCCAACCTGAGGGCCATTGTTCATCGGCTTCCCACGTTCACGTCAAGGATGTGCTACTTTGGCTCTCGACTTCATTTACTCAGGGTGACTTTACGTTGATGGCTTGAAGCGTTCTTGACTGCTGAAGTGCCCTCTGATTGGTGGAAAGGACACCGCTGGACTAGAAACGGGATGTTCCTTGCACTAGTCCAAATTTGAAGGTGGCTCAAAACAGCATTTTGAGCGATTCAATCTTCAGATCACTGGTCAACAAACTTTTCGCCATATCGGTTGTTCCCGCCCCCATCTTATGATACTTATCTTACAAGGGGCACAATAGGCTACGGCTCGTTCGTCGTACACGCGTGTTCTTCCAGCTGTTCTCCTAGTGTCCGAGGAATGGACCACTATTCTGGAGACAGAAACACGCTTTGATAGCATCGTTACGGTGGCAAGATGCCAAGCCACACGCTTCCCACCTCTGCCCGTTGATGTGGACAATTGAGCGGCACCGGGGATCTCATTCATAAAAAGATGTCTTGCCTCGTGTTTCACTTACCTACTATTAGGTTCAGCCATCTGACCTGCCATTACTCAGGTACAAAGTTACCGCGGAGTCAAATGACGATGCGCCGTGATTTCAATCAGAGACGATCACTTTTCTCGCCAGATCCAACAGGATCTAGCTACCTGTGCGTTGTTTCGGTCAACGTGGCTTCTATTCATGATAGCCAGAACTTGTTACCACTCACGTCCTTCGCAACTGGCTGCTCGGAGCAGTACGTACATGCGTGGGAGAACCCTCTTTCTATCAGTGACCAGTGATGAACTCTCGGGGTGTTTGGTTAGGTGACTATTCGGATATGGGGTATGTTCTAGGAAGGTAATATCTCTCCAACAGAAGCGAGCGCCCCGAGACTTATCCGTGCTAGTGTTTCATTAAACGCGGGCGTATTTACTCACCACCTCATTGTAGAGTTGTGCGACCAGATATCAATCTGATGTTGGCTTGATGCTATTACCTAGCGGGTTCATCTACTTGCCCCTATATCATAGATCTCGTCCGGCCATTTCACGGTCCGTCTTACGTCGACAACGCATGTATCACAATACCTCTTGCGTAACATCCTTACATTTCTCGTGCGAGACACAATTAACAGTTGATACGATAAGTACTAGCCTGCTGCCGGACACCTCCATGGATCCATGACTGTACATTCAAGTCACTATGAAATCGATATTTTTGTCTAGTACGCGTGCAACTCGTTCTCACATCCTTGATCGAGTGGGAATGTTTGATATGCTATCGATCTCATCAGGTTATGATCAGGCATCCCGGGACGGATTTGCCCATACGCTATCTGGCAGGAAGAGCCCGTTGTAGAATATCTCTCTCGATCGCTATCATGGTATGTTCTGACCAGGGGGGTCATGTCCTTTTTGCACGTTGCAAGATATAGCTCATTGTCACGGTGGGTGTGGACCCACTCCGCTAAACAACCTTCTAAATATTCATTGACGCTGAATGGAGTCCTTGCGGATATCTATATTGTTTTCATACCAAAAAAAATATTTAAATATTATTGAGATGAAACCCAAAGTGCGCCTACATCAGTGAGCTTAGTTTCGGCGGCCATCGCAGGTCCTCCTTGCAAGCGCCTCAGCGTAGAGGCGACAAGAATTACTAACGCGCGGCAAAGTTGAGTTCGTTACGTTAGTGTATGGGCAGCCGCATTCGTAAATCGTCAACGTGTGCATGTAGCGACGATAATGAACCACTCATTGTCTGGCAGTCGAGTGACCGCCGGGAGTCGAGATGGGCGGGCGTACGCCTCCCATTCTTCTAAACAAGTCCTATCGTGCGGTGATACTGAGCCAATATCGAAACATGGAGGATCTGAGGGGCGATAGGCGTGCTAGTGGCGATGCGGCTTCCACTTTTTTCAGAATGAAAATGGGCGCCAGAAACAGCCGAACTGGTTCAGCTTCAAAGATACGGGTTTTCGGGGTCCCTTTGGTGCGTTTGATTACTGCAAGCTGATGTCCTTTTCATGTATCGTCTGATTACCGCTTCAGATATGGGTGAGCCTACTTTGCTGGATTAGCGATGCAGCACAGGCACTCCTGCGAAATGCCTCCAATATGGTTTTGTGCAAATCCCAAACAGCAGGGCTTTAGTGCACGCGTCTATCGAAAACAAGGAGGTCCGAGGAGTCGCTGCGAGGATCAATGCCACTTTCCTTTTTACATGACGGTGAGCGGGTGGGAGTGCGGAAGGCCGACGTCGACCAACCGACCACGTCTCTGAGGCGTTTCTCCGCAAAGATAAATTTTGGACCATTTTTAGATGTGGCACTGCAGCAGTGATGATTTTGCCCACTATTAAAATAGACAGTGAGAAGACTCGTCGGAGAAGGTAGAAGATACGGCAATAAAAGCACTCTCTGATCTTCCGGTGCTTGTAGTCGTTGCTGCCGCATCAGCCCTCATCAGCCGCACCAAGACTTTCATGACTGACGACGCCAATGATGTATCCAGGTCAGGAGTGCTCTTGAAGCAATCATTGGCGAGATTCGGAGACAACCTTTGCGACAGATAAAGGAGGATCTCGCATTTTCGGCCCAACAATCCCATGGTGAAAAGGCACCTCCGAAAGACTGCGGATGTGAATGTGGACGTGAGATAAGGCGATAGAATGATGATCCCTGAAACATGAATGCCGTTAGAGCGGAATGTACGTTTCCTACTCTCGAGACTTACATTTATGGCGATAACACCGATAACTTGTAAAGCTAGACTGGGCCACTAGGCATTGGCACGTGGTTCTCATCAGATGTGTACGCTATCAGCAGGTGACCGCTTCGCGACAATCCGATGAAGATGGCCCGGGTTGTGGCGGTGAGAGACCAGAGGAGACTAGCGGCTGAGTAAATTGGTACGCCACAAAGTCAAAGATCCAGGAAGGGCAGGAGCTGAGAAGCCACGGCGGTAGCAAAGAAGTCCGAGGAAGGTACACACTTGTCGTTTGAAGGGCGCTTTTGACCCGCCTTAATAGGCAACGCATCTAGCTGGCACAAAGATGACCAGAACAGATCCACCTGCTCTGCGCGGCGCCGTCCTCTGGGTGACTTGGATACGACGGTGATATTCTTTACATGGACAAAAAATTTGCCATCGGGAGTATCCTCAATGAGAAATGTGGATCAGACCGTTTGCAGCGGATAGTTCCGACGACGACAAGGAGTAATAGATATATCACTTAAGGAATGGTCCCGTCTTCAACCTATTTCGTCTGTCTACGAGAGGATAGTTGGGAACAGTAGCTGCAGCGCGCGCTCCTCCTTCCGTCAGTGGCGGACGCGATGCAACTGTACGACAATAGCGAGATTACGGATGGCAGGACCTGGCCTATGTCTCCATCTTGATATCCTCCTGACTAGGATGGAGATATTCGGCGGTTTCTGGGAAGTTCGATGCTAATGCCTCGTTCAGAAGCTTGCGGTAGGACTACAAGAGAAGAAGTGTGTTAACGAGGGTCGGATGAAAAGAGGGAGGTCCTCACGTCGATAGCTGCTATCTTGCCGTTCATGAATTGGTTCTCAGTGGCTGCCCTTTCTAAACGCTCTTTGGTCAACTGCATAGGGTTGCGTGCGCTATCGATATCAGACAAAACTTGAAAAGGTATCATCGTCCGAATATCTTGTGCTTTATCATCGATGGTGGCGAGATGATGGACTACCTCATTTCTAACCATTGGCGATCTTTAGGATCATGAGATAAGTGAAGAAGCAAAGAGAACGCACGCCCTAAGGCCAACGGGCTTAGCACCACCTGGTCTATCGCGTTCTTTTGTAGAATCGTTGATCACGGTGGTTCCAAGATTGTATAATGCGTTTGCAAGCCCGAGAAGTTCTAATTCCAGATCACCTTGGACACCAGAAGGCGGTGGTGATTGAGACGACCGAGGTGAATCTGGCGCATGTGAGCTTAGTGTCTGGGACTCTGGATTATAGGACATTGATGCATCTTGCTAGAACATTACTTTCTATTGGAATGACAAATATTATATATTACTATATATATAACTGTATTAGGGTTAGGGTTAGGGAATGAAAAAATCGAAAAAAAGATGGCCTGCCCAGCCAGAGTGGCCGTGGCAGGACTGGAAAATATTGAGACGGTGCATGAGCCGGAGCCCATACAAACCGTGGTTACCCTCTGTATGGACAAGGTCGCCGTGCTATGAAGGGTCCCCAAGGCCCACAAACCCGGGTACATGAAGGAGCCTATGCCATCAAGGTAAGTATGAAGATTTCGAGTCTTCATCAAACACCTTATATACCTTTATGCTTTGTGCACGGACCACCTTTGTTACCAAATGCAGAATGCGCTAAAAAGTCAACGCGTCTCCTCCAAGTCAGACGCGTACTACATTAATTTCGACGCGACCATCTCAGCGTATGTCTCAATGTCTGTTTATCTCGGAGATACAGTTATCCATCTTTCGCTGGATTTTTGTGCTTGACACAGGCGAACAAATACATATCGCTCAAGCCACTCTGGCTGCTCTCGCTAGGACTTGTCGTGCTTTTCATGATGTAGCTTTGGATGTCCTTTGGCAAAAATCTGGCACTATCGCCAGAGCGATACAGTGCATGCCACACGATTTGTGGGGCGGGGACCTGAACTCGTCTGAGTCGGGATGTATTCGTTTAGTAAGATGATCTCTACCTGCTGTTCTTCCAATTCCTAACATTCTGTCCTCGTCATATCATTTGTTAGAAACTCCACAGGGATCTGACCAAAGATGACTGGAAAATCTTCCGCAGGTATGCTTTACGCATCCGTCACCTCAGTCTTGCCTCCCAGGATGTCCGTCGCGGGAAAAATTTAATTGTTGACATTGACGATGAATTACTCGCTTCTCTCGCCTCAATGGATGCCACTCAACCACTGCTGCCAAATCTTTCATCCCTCGAGTGGATTATCTGTGACGAGAGAGACTTGAGGCTGGTCCGTCGAATCATGCCCAAGTCCCTCACTTCTCTTTTCCTTGAGGTCTGGGCCATCTCACCAGTTCCTGGCCTGCAACAGTTCATCTCCTCAATCGCTCCTGCCTGTCCCTCTTTGCGAAAACTGAGCCTGAATTCAGTGGCCCTTTCAAATCATCTTTCTGATTCAATTTCTCAAACCCTTTGCCACCTCCAACATCTCACCGCAGTCCATTGTGGAATTCTTGGTGTTGAAGCTTTGAACCATTTGTCACACCTGTCATCTCTGGCAGAGCTTCAATTTTCTCTCCAACCAAACATCGAATTTCAGAACGACCTTTTATTTCGACATCTTCAAGTACTTCAGGTGCATGCACAAGAACTTACATCTGCTGTCGACTTTGTGAGCAGAATGCGGAACAAGCTTACGAGCCTCTCGATCTTCAGCGATGGCCATGCAGGAGCATCCGTCTTGGCACAACTATTTCGTCGCCTCTCCATTTCCGTCAGTCGTTGCTCCCTTCGCCGCCTCCAAATTATGGTTGCAGAGCATCCTCCACACACCTCCGATTCGTTCCCTGTCCTAAAACTGGAGGATCTCCACCCGCTTCTGTCATTCAACCGGTTAACACACGTACGCTTTGATCTAGGGTGTGGGATCTCTTTGGACGATGTTGCTGCTTTGGAATTGGCACAAGCATGGCCGGATATTGTTCAACTTGCGTTGAACAGATTTTTGGAGATTCCTGCGCCATCGTCGATCACACCAATTGGACTCCTGTGCTTCCTCAAGCACTGTCCCAACCTGAGGGAACTGACGCTTGAAATTGACTTCTCATTCATTGAAGAACAAGACGATCAGCACCACTACTGGGTCGGAGATATCTCCCACCAGAATCTTTATGCTCTCGATGTGTCTTATTCAAAAATCAACAATGCCACAAAAGTGGCTGCATTCCTGTCTGGTGTCCTGCCGCAGACCGTCCATGTACAATGTTCGTGGGTTCTTGCACTGGACGATCATCGGGAGTATGCAGAGAGGTGGAATGAAGGCTTCGAAACTCTTGCACGCGGATAAGAAAAGGGGGCAACTTTCGTTCTCTTGTTAGGTGATTTGGAGGAAACCGTCGACCTATGTATATATATCTCGATCTGCACGACATCTACACACTGCATACTCTCCAATATTCACAAAGTACAATATTTGCTAGCTAGTTTCATGTGCATTGTGCACGGACGGGCGAGTTTGCTCAATATTCGCCCATTGAACTTTACTTTCTTACGTCATCGCGCCTTCTCCTGAACCACCTCGTAAATCTCGACCTGAAGAATTTCGCGAACAGTTCTCCAGATGAGTGGACTAGCCAATGAACTCCTAGCCGACATCGACGATCTTTCAGACGGTGGCGCTGAGGACTATGACGAGGCTATTCCATCAGCTGCGCCCTCCACGAGTAACACCACCAACGGACTGAAGAGAAAGGCTACCGAGGATGCGGACATGTCAGAGGGAGAGGGAGATACTGATGAAGAACAAGCTGAAGCAGACGGAGCCGCTGGATTGGTCCTCGAAGGCGGTGTGAAACCCGCAGACGAACTCGATGCAGAGGATGTGCAGCAAATGGACTTGGGTGGGATTGAGGACGTGAGCTCTGTAGCGAAGCTAGAAGGCAGTAAACGCATGTCAGACATTTTAAAGGCATGAATCACTGCTCTTTAATGAATCGAGACTTTGAGCTGACTTCGCGCTCAGGAAATTGAGAAATACCAAGCCAACCCCAGCACACCGGAAGCGATGTCATTACCTGCTCATTTGAACCCGGAATACACTCTCATCGTGCAAGCAAACAATTTGTCCGTGGATGTAGACAATGAAATTCTCGTGGTACACAAGGTATGGTTCGTGGTTGCCAACATTCATTCCCCTAACTCATGTTTGTAGTTCATACGCGACCATTATGCAGCGAAGTTTCCCGAGTTAGAACAGCTCGTACCGGACCCAGCACAGTATGTCCGCGCAGTTCGCGTACTCGCCAACACAGCGGTAAGGAATGGGTACCCTAAAATAATCTCTGCTTACTATCGACTTACAGGACCCTACGAAAGCTGAACTTGCAGGCGTTCTTCCGCCTGCCGTGGTTATGAGTGTTCTCATAACTGCAACAACGACAACCGGTCAAACACTCACGGACGCCCAGTGGGCTGCTGTTGAGAAAGCTTGTGACCTTGCAGACAAACTTGAGGAGGCACGTAAAAAGGCGAGTTGTTGTCTCCTCCGTGCAATGAATGCGGTAGCTAATGAAAAGGTCAGATTTTCATGTACGTCAGCTCAAGAATGAATGTTCTGGCACCAAATCTTTCAGCAATCGTTGGTACCACTACAGCTGCAAAATTACTCGGTGTGGCAGGCGGCCTCGGTCCCCTCGCCAAAATGCCGTCATGTAATGTCCATGTATGCTGCAGTCTTGGTCCCCTCACCCTACATGTCTCACAAATTTCATGTAGCTGCTAGGCGCTCAGAAGAAACTCGCATTAGGTTTCTCGACGTCCACTCAACGGCGGCACACCGGTTTCGTCTTCCAGTCTGATTTGATCCAGCAGACGCCATCTGAATACCAGCTTAAGGTTCAGCGAACAGTCGGAGCGAAAGCCGTTCTGGCTGCACGCATGGATCTCGAACGGACACGAAGAGACGGTCAGTTTAGTCTAAGTTCTGAGGCGTCGACGGACCCCTGACTGATGTTATGCCCAGGCTCGTATGGTGAAGAGCTTCGAGAAAAAATCGAAAAACGAATCGATCGGCTGGCTGCGCCACCACCTGCTAAAGTCACGAAGGCACTTCCTATACCTAACGATGGTCCGAAGAAACGCAGAGGTGGCAAGCGGCAAGTCGTCCGTCGAGTCTGGCATCGTTCTCACTGACGCACTCCTAGAGCACGCAAAGCAAAAGAAGCGTATGCCCAGACGGAACTCCGCAAGCTGCAGAACCGAATGGCATTTGGTGAGGCTGAGGAGGAGGTCGGTGCGTTCGATCAGACCAAGGGTCTGGGAATGATTGGAGTCGGCACGGGAAAAGTACGGGCGGGTATGGGAGAGGCGAAGAGTCGTGGTAAGTGCCCGCCTCCTTTTCATGTTCTCAGCCCGTAACGTATCGCCTTCCGCAGCGAAACTCTCGAAGGCGAACAAATTGCGCACTGCCGCACTTACGCGTGCTGCACAGAGCGGGTCGTCAACGTCCGGAACGGCAACATCGCTGACGGTCACTCCGGTGCAAGGTGAGAGCCTGTGGAGTGGGCATGGAATGAACCACTGACTCGGAAATCTTCTCATAGGTTTCGAGCTAACAAATCGTGCTGCCGCTGCTCAGCGAGTCAAGGAAGCGAATGAGCGCTGGTTTGCGTCTGGGAATTTCTCATTTGTGGGGCAGAAAGGCACCAGCAGTAAGGTATAGGGCTTGGCACTCACATATATTTTTATGCACATAGTACGACTCGCATACTCTCTTATAGCATTAAAATGCAAATTATCATTGCGACATGGTAGTACAGCTAACTAATCATCCGACGTAAGGACATTTTGAGAATATGTGGACATAAATGCAGGAATTGATGCGAACATGAATATGCGAAACAAGTAAAATGATGGGACGTGCATGAGAGAAGCACCTGGAGAAACTTCGACCTGAGAAAACATTTATTTATGCAGCCATACCCGGATGTGCAGTGGCCACAGTTTGCCCGGTAACTGCACTTTGGGTCACATCGATGAAGCCCGCTTTCTGACCTTCGGCCAGCTTACTCCGCTTTGACCGATAATCCCGAATAGCGGAACGAATAGCATCCTCTGCCAACACTGAAGGAATCCGTTATCAGATATATTCAAGAATGTAGTGTGAGAGAAAACTCACTTGAGCAATGAAGCTTCACAGGAGGAAGACACAATTCCTTGGCAATCTCAGTGTTCTTGATTTTCCCTGCCTCCTCGAGGGTAAGACCCTTAACACGCTCCGTCATATATGAACTTGAAGCGATGGCGCTGCCACAACCGAACGTCTTGAACTTGACATCACTTATGATGCCACTTTCATCTACTCGGATTTGGAGTTTCATGACGTCTCCACAACTGATACATAGTAATTAGAATGGAAAGATAAAGAGAAGGGAAAGGGACTCACGCAGGAGCTCCGACCAGTCCAGTACCAACATCAACGTCATGTTTGGGAAGGGAGCCTACCTGGAATAGCAGAAATAGTGAGTCGTCGTAACCGCACGAAGAAATGACGACCTCACATTTCTTGGGCTCTCGTAATGCGAAATAACGTTCTCATGGTAACCACGAGCGAGCACTGGTGCAATACCAGCTCTTGCAGCCTTTGGTGCTACAGTGCTGAGCCTAGTCTTTGTGAGTGCTGAACGGAACATGGTGGACGATGAAAGAGAAGTGCGAGAAGATGCAATTTCGGAAGGGCTAAGAAAGGGTTTCGGAGTTCGAATACGTCACAGTGGGAATCTTATCTGACAAAGATTTTGCTTATCTGATCACTTGTACACCCAAGAGACTTACACGATCGGGAGTGACTGGGCTCGTCGCTGTATCCCAGGACCCCTGCATTCCCTCGGGTTACCAATAGAAAATATGGATGCGGCAGGCCGTAGCCTGTAGGTCTCCGCCCGCAGCACGCTCATAGTATCTCCGGAGACCTATTTTTGATCTGCCCTCCTAATCTCCGGGAGGGGCAACGACAGAAGTCTTGAACTGCCCATCATAAAAATGCCTCCGTTGCTACTTCCATAAATAGCTATCGGCCCTACCGTAGGTGTGTAACATGTTATGTTCTATGGTCATAAATCAAAACGGCGGGCGGAAAAAACATGCAAACTAGCTGTTGGATGAACGGAATGACGAGTCGCGTCAAGTTCAAGAATGAAACGCTTGAACACGTGGATATCACTGATCGATGATCGAATACGTCGTGAGAAGAAATTACTCCTCCTGTCAGTCTTACCATCAGGTTCCCATCCTCCTTTCAATCTGATCAATGTCTTTGGCACGTCCTTCAGCGGCTCAACAGCCTGCTGACACTCTTCCACCCACAGCCAGAGCAATCGCTCTTCTCCTTGCATCTACGCCAACCGTACAAGATGCCCAACCAGGCGTTTTACATCAATTACTAGAGTTCGCGCACCGATACACCGCCCAAGTACTTTCCGATGCACAAGTTTACGCAGAGCATGCAGGACGCTCCGGCGCGTCAAAAATAGATATGGATGATGTTGTCCTCGCTATACAAGCCCGCGTGGGTTGGGAGTTCGGTGGTCGTGTACCCAAGGAGGTGTGCTGATCATACTGTCCGCCTCATTCGACTCTTATTCTGAAAGACATTTCTGTAGTATATTTTGTCATTAGCATCTCAAACGAATGCTACACCTCTGCCTTCTGTGCCAGAAGTTTTTGGTGTCAGGCTTCCACCCTCATCCGAGACACTCACGGCTGTCAACTTTGATCTCGTACCCAATAAACCACCACCAGACACGAAACTTTACGATGAGGAGGTCGAAGAGATTGAGGAGGAAGACGAAGACGAGGAGCTACCGGACGGTCAGGATGAGGATGAGGATGCTGACATGGAGCCCGCTGCTATACCGTACACCAATGCTGCTCCCATAACGCCAACCGACGTCGACATCGCTGGCACACCTGCACCTGTCGTCGCAGCAGAAACACTAGAAGAAAATAGCGACGCAGAGGAAGCAGACGGTCTATTTGGCGCAGAGGGTGATGATGACGATGACGATAATTCAGGTGATGACGCAATGGAGGAGGTGCAGACTACGGGAGACACACAAACAAACGGTGTGAAGCGGAAACTTGTCGAGGAGGATGACTATGACTAAGTACTAGAGAGTGGTGGGTTTCTTGCGACGGTTGAGATGTTGGTTTGAGCATGTATTGTAGCTACTCTAATATGTGACATGTGTATATGCTGGATAATGAGCCATAATTTACTGGATAAATTCCAGCACAAAGTCTGCAGACTGACTGCCGTATTTAACGTCCCGATGGCGCCTACTTGTGCAACAAAACTGCCACAAGTATGACAAGAACGGGCCAAAATAATCATAATGATTAGAGTCCATGCTGCAAAATGCTTGTCAACTTCACTGTCACTAAGGTTCAATTGCAAAGCTTACGTTGGCCAGCAAACTTCTCCGGCACAGTAACGATCCGTATCGAGTTGTCGACACCACCGGATACAAGCATCGTTGAAGTAGGGCTAAAGCGAACAGTGGTGATGGGGAACTTCGTGTGCTTTGAGTATGGACAAGAGCGGCTAAGGTACGAGATAAGTGCGTGACCTCAGCATTCGTTAATAACTTACGCTGAGAGTGATGCTGTCCAACATTCCCAACGAGTAATCTGATGAACCGAAAGCAAGGAACTTCCCATTGGGGCTGAAAAAAAATCCTGAGATGGACACTGACTTTTCGACGTGAACGATCACGGAACCTAATGTCAAAACACGTCAAGCCACCTTCACCTGCTTTGCGGGCGCCCTCCACTGAAATAGACCAAGAGGAATCATTCTCCTCACTGAGGCTGACTTTCCATTTCAGTATGTAAGCCTGCTTTTTGGCTGTCTTTGATTTCTTCGCCCGAGGCGCGACAGTATTGACAGCCGTATACAGTGTGTTGTAGTCTGAGGGGTGAAAGCTGCAACGAACACTTATAATCCCACTGCATGAGAATGTCTGTGATCTTACTTACCGCGCTGCGCGGAATGTTACAACGGACTGTGCAGGAGCGCCAGGAACTGACGGAATGTCGATCGTATCCACAAGTCGCAGTTCAGGGGTCTGACTCGGCGTCCTAGAAGGTGCTTCCTTCTCCTTGCCTTTACCTTTCTGCTTCCCCTTTCTCTTCTTGGGCGATTTCTCACTATCTTCCAAAGGCGGCTTTGGAAGTGCATATACTAACAGGTTGAGACTGGTAGCTAGAACAAGCTGAGGAGAGGCGTCGTGAGGAGCATGAGATGGGATGGACGAGGTGAAAACGCACGTGTGTCGATGAGAATGTCACATCGTAAATTTCGCCTTTGGGTACTTGGACTGGCTGGGCCACAGGAGAAAGAGAAGGGTACGCGAGAAGAGATAACTAAAACAAAACTTCAGCCCTCGCAGATAAATAATAATGCTAGTTCTTACATCACGTTCGCCGGTCACTGCCAGGAGGTTTCCGTCCGGTGATAGGACGGTCACGCGCTGTATTGTCCATGTGAGATATAGAATAACCTCAATAAAGAATGGATTACCTGGTAGTCCTCGAGAGCTCCTGAGGGCAAGGTACCTCGCGTAGCTCCCTTTGTTAGGCTATAGGGAATAATCAGTACTGTGAATAATAATAAACGCGACTGGTCGCACGCATTTCCAGAGTTACTAATTGAAAACACCCTGCAGTTCTCATTTTCTCCCTTCTCCAAGCGTTCTTCGGAGCTGTTAATTCCACAGGCAAAGCTTCTGCTCTATGGATGTTTGAGAACGTCATTCACTGGTGACCTAGTAGCGTGACAGACCTCTGGATGAGCTGCAATGCTCATAGGGGCGTCCTCGCCTTTCTCCAGCTCATGCTCACATAACATTTCAAGCTGTCTGTCTTGGGAGACATTGAATAACCTCTATCCCACATATGTCAAACTGGAAGTTCGAACACACAACTTCAGATGCTCACCAATTTGTTCTTAATTCCAGTCTTGGCAGCACCACCTCCGCCTCCCACAACTATTTGGTCGGAGGCAACGAACGCGCATGAATACACTGGAAATGCGGGAAGCGGGTGAGTGGTGTGCTGCGCGCGCATTGTAAGGCCACGTCGAGTAATTTAAAAGAGTGTAGTATAGAGTGGGGGGATTGCAGTTAAGCTGAAATTGATATAGCACGGAGTGACCGAGTGCAACTCTTATGGCTATAACTGCAACTGCGACGTGTGCATTGCAATAATAAACGTGCGACTGACCTTCCAAACACGTGCGATCATAAAAGTTTCATAATATCCTTACATTCCAAAGTTTTATTATGACCTTGACTCAATCGTACTCGCTTGCGCACGACGTCTGTTGAAAGTCTGCAGTCGCAGACGACCTGTAGGGCTAGCGGCGATACCTCCAACTGACACCTTCCCGTCAGTCATCTATTTCTTATCAATTTGGCCAGTTAACTGACAGTCAGAGGGGGTGTTAACCACGCTGACATATGGATGCTGTCCTGACGCATAAACTGCTCTCAGGTTGTTGTTCATTACTGAATTATTGCGGATATGGATGTATCATCATGGTCCAAGGGCATGAACCACACCGTCAGTGTCGATGAACCGGGTATTGACCTGCCGCACCTCACGTTGCAGACGGTCATCGGGATCACGGTAGCCGTCGCGGGGAACGTGGTTATCTCGCTTGCGCTAAATTTACAAAAGCTTGCACATCTCCGACTCGCAAAGGAACGAAAACAAGCGAGGATGGAACGCGAGCTCCATGTATCGGGTGATGCGTTACGTTCTAGGTTACCACACGATCAGAGGCCTTCTGACGATCCCGCTACCTGCTCTCATGAGTCCGAGACCCAGCCCTTGATTCAGGGCTCTTCCACCAGTCGATCACGTGCGTGTTATGGCACTAGTGCCTCAACCGGGACTAGACGTGATGATTCGAGGAGCAGGAAGAGCACCTCTTCAATGCGCGGACGGAGACCAGGACAGCCTCAAAGGAAACCCAGCTTTGCGTCACGTTTTCTGCCACTCCGTCTCAATCTGCACGGTGGCGTCAATGATGAATACGGCAACGTATCGCATACCCAAGAAACGTTGGCGATTCCAGTGGTTCCAGTGGACGTAATCCCAGCAGAGCGCATAGTTGCATTCAACGGCAATCATAGGCCAGAGTTTCCCTCACCTGAGATATGGGAAGAAGAAGGTAGGGAGAGTGACTACCTGCGTTCGAAGATATGGTCAGTGGTTCGATTCTAGAAGATCCTGCCGCTGATCTTGAATGCTGTTTTAGGTGGTCTGGATTCGTCTTAATGAACATTGGAGAGACGGGCAACTTCATATCGTATGCATTTGCACCGGCGTCTGTGGTCGCTCCTCTAGGCACTGTAGGTGCATTCTATCAGTTATTTCTATTTTTATTGATCAGTACCCCGCAGTTTGCACTCATTGCGAACTGCTTCTTCGCTCCACTCATATTGAAGGAGCGTTTTCGCGTGGTAAGATTGTCTTTGGCTGTAGTTGAATCATCATGTTCATGGTTTTTCAGCATGATCTTGCTGGTATCTTACTTGCAATCGTAGGAGCGATCACAGTCGTTCTTTCAACCCCGTCCTCTGATGATGGTCCACCGCCACTTACACCAGATGCGCTGATCATTGCTATATCACAACGCTCGTTTGTAATATTTACTATCATATACCTTGTAGGGGCTGTGATTCTAGCCGGACTTAGCGAAGGTAGTCTCGGGAGGCGTGTTGCGGTTGTTGATATTGGGCTTTGCGCAATATTTGGTGAGGTTGTTAGTTCGAATCAAAGTAAATATGAACTCATAACAGCGTCAGGTGGATTCACGGTTCTAGCAACTAAGGCTATCTCCACGTTGCTGACGGAGGAATGGGCCGAAATATTTACGGAGTGGATAACCTATCCCGTCCTTCGCGGTAGCTTCCTTTTGCTTTCGTTTTAGTTATATGCACTGATCCTCCACTTCAGATTCTAATCATCACAGGAATTCTCCAAATCCGGTTTTTGAATCGTGCGCTAAAGCGTTTTGACTCCAAAATCGTCATACCTACGCAATTTGTGCTGTTTACGCTGTCTGCCGTCATCGGATCTGCCGTTCTTTACAAGGACTTTCAGCGGGCTACATTCCACCAGATGGTCACATTTACGTATGGATGTGGTGCAACATTCGCAGGGGTGTTCATCATAGCGTGGGCTAATGGCAATAACGGCGATGTGGGACAGGCCACCAATGATAATAGCAGGCAAACAGGCGGCACAGGCGAGATAAACGCACCGAGTGAAAACGTGCAACGCGTTCCTGTGGGCTCGTTGAATGCACGAAGTCGCCCAGCTCTCGTCATACCAAGGGCTGTGCGTGAGACGCCGGTCCTCAGGCACAAGCAAAGCACGGTGAGCTTGGCAGGGTATTCTCCTGCACGAAATCTGCTACTTGTGCATACCCCGCCGAGAGATCGCGCAGATTATTGGGATCGAGACGTGGAGGGTGGAAGCATTGCTGGGAGTAGCCGATGACATATTTACAAGTGGAAATTCATGAAAATACATGCACATTCATTAATGATATAGTTCAGTTCTTTGGAAATATAAAGTTGTGCGCTATTTCAACACAAAACTGCCGAAATTAGGCAAGAGGGAGTGACGTGACTGGAGTCAGTATGTAGTGACGTCACCTTGGAGGCTGGAACGACAAAAAGGCTTCGGTGAGAAGACGCACCGCCAACTTACTTGTCCGGTTATTTGGACACCATATTTCTCCTGCCCACCATGCCAGCCGTCGTCGACGCTTTCAAGAGTATGTTACATGCCTTATTTCTTTTGGAAGGCAGCCATCTAACTCCGCCACCACCAGATCTCATCCGCAAGCATCATCACCATCGGCATCCTGAAGCTGACCCACAGCAATATAGCGCATCTGTGCCGGAGTCAGGTCACCAGCCCCAATATCGACAACAACCACAGGAGCCGCAACAGCAGGCGAAGCCTCGTACTGAACAAGATTCTCAGAAACAACAGCAGCCTGAGAAACAGCAGCAGCCTGAGAACGCACCTCAACCTGCATCTAATACCTGGCAGCCTCAAGTCAACATGACCGCACCTGAGGACCGAGAGCCAAAGAATAAATTGCCCACCTACAAAGGCTTGGACAATTTCAAGCTACTGGATAAGATGGGAGAGTGAGTATCTTATCACCAATCATTGTGGATATTCAAATTTAACTTTTCATTCAGCGGCGCGTTTTCGAATGTCTATAAGGCAATGGATTTAACAACTGGGCAAAAAGTTGCAGGTTTGCTCCTTTGCTTCTCCTCCAGTTAACCGGCTGACAAACTTATCCTAGTGAAAGTAGTTCGCAAATTTGAGTTGAATGCCTCACAGGTAAGTACTTGGTGTCCCCGCCCCTCACATAGTTCACATACATTGTCCTCCACACTACTCCCACACTACCTATCGGCTTCGGTTTGTGACACCCCTTGCCCTGCTTGTGTCTTCTTGTCCCTCTGTTAGGCCGGCGAAAAACATCTCAATGCACAGTTCAAGAAAAAGCCGCGCGTAACAGAGGTGACATTTCCGTCTGGGATTGAATGGTTCCACAAATGCTAACCGCACTATCTTCACGTAGCGAGCCAATATTCTGAAAGGTAGGCGTTTTATTCTTTCTGATTGTTCCTGCACTGATCTAGATTACAGAGGTGCAGATCATGAGGGCAACAAACCACCCATCGATCGTCAAGTTGATATCCTTTTCCGAGGCACCAGAATACTATTTTCTGGTCATGGAACGTAGGCGTGATTACGATACCTCCCGCATCGTTAACTCATAATTGCAATTAGTAATGGAGGGCGGGGAATTGTTCCACCAGATCGTCAAGCTCACGTATTTCAGTGAGAACTTAGCCAGGCACGTTATTCTCCAAGTTGCCCAAGGTATCCGCTATCTTCATGAGGAACGTGGTGTCGTACACCGGTATTTTTCATTTCTTGTGGAGCGCAATGATGCCGGGCTGACGTTTGGGCTGTCATAGCGATATCAAACCGGAAAATTTATTATTCGAGCGCATACCCATCGTTCCCTCAAAAAGTCCCGTACAACGTCCGTATGATGAAGAAAAGGAAGATGAGGGCGAATTTATCCCAGGCGTTGGTGGAGGCGGAATCGGCCGAATCAAGATTGCAGACTTTGGCTTATCAAAAGTAATCTGGAACGAGGAGACGATGACGCCATGCGGAACCGTTGGCTACACTGCCCCCGAAATCGTCAAGGATGAGCGCTATTCACAAAGCGTGGATATGTGGGCGCTTGGCTGTGTCCTTTACACACTCCTTTGCGGGTTTCCGCCGTTCTACGACGAGAGCATCAATGTTCTAACTGAGAAGGTCGCTCGGGGATATTACACATTCTTGAGTCCGTGGTGGGATGATATCAGCCATTCTGGTATTACTTCCGCAGTCTTTTATAATGGCATTACTGACTCGTCGCCCAGCGAAGGATCTCATTCAACATCTATTATGCGTAGACCCTGCTCAGAGATATACCATAGATGAGTTCCTTGCTCACCCATGGTGCACTGCCGCTCCTGGCCCACGAACGGTACCACCCACACCTCTTGTTTTCGGCCAGTCTCCTCCACTCGACTCACCTCTGCTTACCGCCGCCCGTGGTGGCGTGTTAGAGGCCCGTTCTCCTGGTCTCGCGACGCTCAAGGAAGCATTTGACATCACATATGCGGTCCACCGTATGGAGGAAGAAGGTGCGCGCCGGCGGGCATACAACGGTCGTGGTGGCGCCGGTGTTCGAGGATTCCTGCATGGGCTTAATGAGGACGAGGAGGACGACGCCAGTGATAAAGGCGTCGTACGTGATGCACGGAGTAAGCGAGGGGAGGCTGATACGCGTGCACTACACTATACCCAGGGTGGGTTACCTGGCGCTGGAGCGAAGACCGTCGCAAAGCGCAACGTTATCGGTGTACCTGCATCTAATCAAGCAGATCGCAGTCTTTTGGACGGTCGCGCAGGTCCGAGAGATCGCGGTCGCCGCCAACCTGGCGGCACGGGTTTCCAGTTAGATATGGACAATGCAACCCTACTCGGTCGTCGCAATAAGAAGACGGCAGGTGGTGGTGCGGAGTTGAGTCCACTATCGCACGCTGTCCGCATAGACGACGACTTGTTGCCCCCTGGAAGTCCTATGCGGATCGTCTCATGATATCAATAATCTGCTGTGAGGTCTATGTATATGCTTGTCCGCCGAAGTGCACATTGTTTTGTGTTCCCCGGGATGCCAGTTGACGGACGGCAATAATACTTGCAGACTGGATGCCACTTGCTTATCCTCCATCCCTCGTAGTATTTTCTCACCCCCTCTCAACCAGTCCCCACCGAGTTGCCCGTATTCATCAATGACTATAATATCTTCAAGCACCATAGAATATCTTCCTCTTCAATCATCGTAGCGCTGTATTGTCAGCATGAAACATTCGTACATACTGGCACATACTGATCGAATAGTTGTTTCACGCATGTCATCCTGTTGTCTCCTTTAACTGTTGTACCTGCTGCATGCACATTGTATTTTATATAAACCCAGCACTGTAGTACACGCAAGAGCGCCCATTTTAATGCCAAATATTGGAGAGACATGTAAACAAAACAACCAAATATGCTTCAAAGCATCTGCAAAAGTGGGAACACAACAAATCCTTTGTCAAGGTCGCTCCGTTCCGCGCGATTTAGTCATCAACTACAAGTATTGATGCTCCGCCATCCTTCGTTATCCTACGTCTGGTCTTTATGAGCACGTAACGACGACCAAATTGATTCAGTTTCGGCACGGGGGCTACAGGGCCCGTCCTGGTAGCGTCGGGTGCATCTGGAAATACTCCCAGGCCAGAGGGTGCAAGCACAATCGCTTCACCGGTCTGAGCAACAACATCAGGTTGAAACCCGGTGCCATGTATTGAGCTCGGTTACGCACCTGAAGTTTGACAACACGATCAAAAGCGTCGTCTGCCGATATGTCAGCTGATACATGCTTCGCCAAATGTTCCCACCACGACGGGGAGGAGAACCGGTGCAAAATCGCGACAGTACATAGGTCAAGCAGAACAGGTGGCACGACCGTAGGTTCTGGCAAAGAAGGTATGAAAACCCCGACATAAGGAAGATATAAAAACTACCTTGGGTACTGATGATAACGCGCATGGCTAGGTGACGCTGCTCCCTGGTCAATGTCAGGAGAGACTTAGTCAAGCCAGAGGCGCTTTTAGTGGACGAAAGGTACTGCGACAATCACATCGTCAGTCACACCAAATAATTCAATTCCAGAGTGCAAACCTTGTGGGCTTCATCAACCACCAGCACTTTCCCAGTACCCACGTCCGCTCTGACGAACAGACGTGTGATGATCTCAAAAAGTCCACATGCCGACGCTGGGTCGATGAAAGGGTCTGATAGATCAATGATCGTGAGCTGCGACTCAGCGAAGCGGGTCTGCGATTTCATGTTGGGGTTCATAAAGGAGGTAAGCAGTGCCATCCTCTGCTCAAGGCTTGCGAGCTGCATATTGTTAAACGACTCCTTCTTCACATCCAGCTGCCGCATAAATTCGGGATAAGTGAAGTTTTCCCCAAGGTCACGAAGAATCGACTAGAGGAATTATGGTGTCATGAATGAAAGTTGTACAAAAGAGCAATGCGCACCAAAATACCCTGAATATAGAGTGGAGCTGATTCGGAGGAGCCGACAGCCATCATGGACAGAAAGGCTTGTGCATCCAGCTCATCTTGAGTAAAGAACAAAGGTTCGACAATAACCGTGTCACCCAGGGGCGCATAGACAGCCCTCATCGTGTTTAGAGAAGAACGTGAAACGTAAACTTTGACCGACGGCGTGCGTACACCAGAAATGTGGGACGAGCTGATCCAAGCGGCCTCACTAGGCCGAGAGCTGGGACCCCCTTCTCCAAAGTGGAGCACGAGCCCCGACAATGGCTTCTGCAGGGTGCCAGTGGAGCGCAAATTCGGAATAAACATGCTCTCGAGAAGTAGAGAGACTGTGTGGGACTTCCCAGAGCCCTGGACCCCACACACCACTGCAGAGAAGGGTGCATTCTGGGGGTAGGAAAAAATGAGATTACAATCAACCCGTGATTCGTATGAAGGAGTCACATACAGTGTTCACATAGAGCTGTGGATTGACCGGCTTGTATAGAATATTTTTGTGGCTGTAAAAAGGATTGGCATTCAGTCCACGAAGGTAGAAACCATGGGCTGCTTCACTGGATAGACATAACACTACCCAAGACACCGTATTGCGTGGCACCTTCACGGTAGCCTGCCGCAAGGTATGCATCACGCGTTATGATTGGAGCTGTACGAAGCTCGTGATCTTTGCTTCTTCCTCGAATGTCACCGACGTTGTCATGAAGAAGTTCCAGCTCCTCCTTCACATTGGTCATATGTGAGTCAGTCCAAAGAACACATTAACAAGACATGACATACATGGGCAGGATCCCGAGAAGCGACGGAAGCACCAGAGCGCTGCCAGAGAGACTCAGCGAAAATGCTTAGACGATGCACGGGGCTGTAGGTGCACTCACAGTGCTGGGGGTAGTGACGGCGTGTCCATTTAGCTGAGGATAGTTCTTTTAGATCAAGAGACTCTTATTAAAGCGTGGAACGCATGCTCACCTGTCCTAATCGTGTGGTTTGTGTTAGCGGAATTGGCATTGTTGATATGTCTGGAGTACGTGGGGAGGGAGTGCCCGACTAGCAGAGACAGAAATCGTGAATTTATATTTGTCAGTGAAAAGAATTCGTCAAACCAATGATTGGCGCGCAAGGGATATACGCGGATTGTGCGGCATCGATAATTGCAGTGTATTGTCGTTGATTCGATTTGCAGAAATAGAAGGCGAAGGAGTAGGCCTTGGCTGACCGCACTGCAGGTTACGTACTGAGAGATCAGCTGAAAATGAGCGCTTACAAGAAAAGCAAAAGACGCTACAGCGTTTGGCTGCACCCTGCGGGGGATAGGCTGCATTGGCGCGAGTACATTGTCTTGTGGCAGGGGTATGCCGGCGTTGGTGCGATTCGCAATAGTGGTCATCCTCTCTTTGCCTTTGGCAGACATGCTAGAGAGAATCTGGGTGATGTGAGATAAAATTGAGGCAGTAGTTGGTAAATAAGCATCACATGCTTCTGCTACGAAGTTTCCAGGCTGTCTACCGCGTGTTTCGTTCCAGGGTACAAAGCACGAGGCCAAGCGTGGAGAGCCTATACATGCTGTGCGTGATTGTATTTGCGATGATGATCTAGGAGAAACCTAGGCCATACGCCACGTCGTGCCCTCCTCACCCTATCCGCGAGTTGTGTAGGCAGTTTCCCGCGCGCATCACCTGCCGTAGCATAGAACCTCTAAATGATTGATATTGGTTCTGTTGGGCGGATTCCCCATGTCTGATGATATTCGAATTCGTTTGATAATTCTGTTGCCTCGAGGCACGAACGCGCAAACATTGATCATCGCAAGCCTCTAATAGTAATAACCATGGATGATTTTAATTTCGCGGAGTTAGAGCAAACCATCACTGCATCCTTCAACTTGACGTTCTATGGCACTATTTGAGGTTCCTGGATGGTCTGTGCCCACAGCTCCTGTTTCAATTTTGGCACAGTCAACTTCCAAGAAACGCAAACGACCTGCAGCTCAAGATGCTGATAAAATGCAATCCGCGGAAGTCAACTTAGACAAGCTTATGCAGAAGCTCGGAAGTGTTGGAAATCGGGAGGATAAGCAAGGGCCCAAGAAGAAAAAGAAGAAACAAGAGAGGACAACTCGGGCACCGGATACCAAGGGTGCACACGCAACCTCCAACAAGGCAACGGAGAAGGTTTCATCACCCCATGGTGGGTCCATCGAACAACCGGTGAAGGGGGTTTCAGGGCTGCGCAAGAAAGTAAAGCAAAAGAAGAGCTTGAAGCATGATGCTGGGAAACCTGAGCAACGGCCACGAAATGTATCGCCGGCGGTCGATGAAGTCCCGGGCCTTACAAGCTTGCAGAAGGGCATGAAAGAGAGTCTTGATGGCGCTCGATTCAGGTATGCAATTTGATACATGATGTTCTAACGCATATCGATATCACAAATGATGCAGGTGGATAAATGAATTGCTTTACAAGTCCGACAGCTCAGAGGCGGTGAGAATGATGAAAGAAGACCCAGCGGTCTTTCATGATGTGTGTATTCAAAACATCCTTTCCCCAACGGAACCGTCACATCCGTTTGTACGCAGTATCACTCCGGTTTTAGACACCAAGTGCAGTCGTGGCCATCAAATCCTGTGTCACATTACATTTCTCAGTTGTCATCCTACCCTCAAAACACAATTATAGCAGATCTCGGCTGCGGGGATGCTGTACTGGCTCGTGGGCTTTCTACGAAGAAGCTGAAAGTACTGTCTTTTGACCTAATATCCGATGGTGGCTATATTGTGGCGGCGGACATATGCTCATCTGTACCACTTCCCGGCTCCGAGCCTTCATCATCTCAGACGTCTGAAGGTGAAGCACAGGTCGTGGATGTGGTTGTGTGCGCACTCAGCCTTATGGGAACCAACTGGCCTCGGTGCATTCGAGAAGCATGGAGGATACTGAAACCAGGGTATGTCCTTCGCTGTCACATAATGTGTTGGTAACTTGATTTCATTCAGGGGTGAGTTGAAAATTGCGGAAGTCGCCAGCCGCTTTACCGACGTGGATGAATTTGTGTCGTTAATTGACTCTATTGGATTCAAAATGAAAGCAAAGGTAAAGCGCGTCTAGAGTACACGGTGGTACAGACTGAGTCTCATTATAATCCAGGACGATCGCAACAGTCATTTTACATTGTTTGAATTCAAGAAAGTAGCTCGCACATCGAGGACGGATAAAGAGTGGTCGAAAGTAATGTCGAAGGGTGACATTCTGAAACCTTGCGAATACAAGAGAAGATGAGGACTTTCGGTTCTATAGTCGGATCTACTCTACAGAAGTAACTTCAAGCGTTGTTAACGAGAAACTAGATCTACTCCAGTAAGAAGAAACGATTATATCTTCATTCGTCTATGGTCTTATCTAGGGGTGACTACTAGAATTGGCAATTGGCTGCGTGTCTGTCCCGAACAACCATGTCCAACCAGAGGCGCCATGTTCTCTCGCACCCGTTGGTGAATGCACGATTATCACAACTGCGGCAGTCTAATACAAGTTCAAAGGATTTCAGAGAGGTGAGCAGGAGTTGTTGTGCGAAGTGGTCAGGGACTCAAAGGGGTTGAGGCAGGGCATCCATGATATCAGCCTAATCTTGGGGATCGAGGCTTCGCGCGAATTGGAAGAGGAGACGTTTGAAGGCGTGAGTGATTAGTCTGCGAATGCACGCCAAAAAAACTCTAGTTCTCTGTGCTGATCAAATCACCCAGCAAACACCAGTTGGTCCTTTCACGGGTACAGCCATCAAACCCAAGGTCGGCCTGACACCCATTCTGCGAGCTGGCTTAGGCATGACGGACGCACTACTGTCCCTTTTCCCGTATGTTAATGGATATACAACCTCATTGCGCCTTCTAACGTATCAGCGGACATGTCACCTAGGACTGCACCAGTTTACCACCTTGGACTCTTCCGAGAGAAGGTCAGCCTTCAACCAGTTGAATGTGAGATTGAAGTCGATTTTTTTCTGCACAAAATGCGGGCTGATTACTGTGGCAGACTATTCGAAGCTTCCTCCAGTCCCTCCAATAGACACGTGTTTCCTTCTCGATCCTTTGGTTGCCACCGGAGGCACTGCATGTGCTGCCCTTGCCATGATCATTGACTGGGGGGTTCCCGGTTAGATCCGTTGCGTTGAATGACGGTGAAGCGCTGATGACCGTTCAACAGTATCGAAGATCAAGCTACTCGTTGTACTCGGTTCAGAGGAAGGACTCAATCATGTACACGCCGAGTACCCTGACTTAGAGGTCTCATCCCTTTTGTTGTCCTCGAATTCATGTCCAAAGTTGACGCTAATACTTCCAGATCTGGGTAGCAGCCGTAGATTCCAAACTCACACCTGATGGTCTCATATCTCCTGGATTGGGCGACACTGTGAGTCCGTTCTTATCGTCTCCATTTGGCATTTCCGAAATATTTCGCAGGGAGATCGTCTCTTCAATACCATACGGGCGTAATGGCATTCAACTGCGACAATGTATTATGAGAGTGTAGTGGATCACCTATTAGTAATGTCATTTCTGAATCACCCGTGCCCTTACAGATGAACTGTTGAAATTTCTGGTTGTCTGGCCTAATTTCCCTGACAAGTTCGGCCGCCACCTCTGCAGCGGTGGTCATGTGATTGATTGCTTGTTAATGGAGTAAGGCGTGATATCACGATCGAGTCGCATCATCAATGCGAAATAACTTACAAAATGTAGACCTAAATTCTCCCAGCTGCTTAACTTTGGCCCTCCACCATGGCTATCGAAGTTGTATCTGGTAGAACGACACCGTTGTCGGCGGCGGCAACGCTCATAGGCACTCCCACCGAGGACCTCAAGGGCTCGCCTATCGAAGGAGCCGGCGTATACAATCAATCGGCATCTGACATCATTGAACTGCTAGCGTCTCGTTCAGTTACCAGCTCCGCCGTGTACATTTACGATGTCGCTGAACAAGTAGGGTTCGGAACGCTGACTAAATCATGGTCGTCCACTGCGCCAGTCATTAGCCTCCAGACGAGGGCAGGTGCCGGCCTTAGTCTTGTTGGACGGCTTTCTGAAGGCAGTAGCCAGGATGTGGTGAAGGGAGCAGTTCTCACTGCTTACACTACACCCGCTGGGCTCGCTGCGATGGCTCAATCATTGTCATATTTGCCCTCTGCTACTAGTAGCAGTAGGTTGATTATCCAGGTTCCGGCAGCCACCACTGTCGGTCCAAGCTTCGCGCTCTCCCCGACACTCGCATCCCTCTCTACAGCTTTCACCATCCTTCCCGATAACCTTGTTGTCTTGTTGTCTGCTACTCCACAGGAGTCCATAGATCTTGCCGCGCTTTCGTACAAGCTTACGTCCTCCCATGTTGTTCACATCTTCGATCACCACAGCATCTCGCGCGAAAGCGGTCACAGGTTTTGTGCCCACTCTTCCGCTCAAGGAGGCTCCTACTCTCTCCGTGCCAGAACTCATTCGGTGGTCTGGATATCAACTATTCGACTACGTCGGTGATGTAAATGCAGAGACGGTGGTTGTGTTGTTGAATGGACCCTTGGCACTGATGGCGAAGTCCATTGCGACTCGCACTAGTGGTCTTGGCGTTGTGGTTGTAAGAGTGTTGAGGCCATGGGATGGGGATGCCTTCAAGCAATGTCTCCCTGATACTGTGAAGGAGGTTTACGTCTTTGACGACGTTCCCAATGAAGTTTGCCAAGGCAGCCTATTCGTCGATGTCTTTGGATCGCTGTATGGCCCTAACTCTCCAGGGCCGCTTGTACGAGCTCAGCGGGTGACACCCACAAGGACGTCATCCTTCCTCTCAGACCCCACTCAGTTTTCGACCCTCCTCACTCAACTCGCACACCAAGTTCCTGCTGCGGTCCAACTCGACACCTCTTCAACCAGGAAGCTTCTGTTCTTCAGTACCCCAAAGTCGACCCTTTCTCCTCTCCCCCAGACTGTGGCGAATTCGTTTTCCAGTACGGTCTCTGCTCGCCTCCTTACCGACCATGATATTTTCAACAAATCTGGAGGCGTCACTGTGGACAAGATTGTGCTTTCTTCGCACAACGAGGACACAGAAATTCTCCCTATGGCTGCAGCGTTCCCCACGGGGACAGCAGACTTCATTTGCGTCCTTGATGCGAGTCTACTGAAGTCTCACTCATTGCTCAATCAAGCCAAGTCTGGCGCAATAGTGCTCGTCGTTACCCCATGGTCCTCTGAACTACCATCCAACCTACCCGCTGCTGTCTTGTCGACAGCGGTTGAGAAGAAACTCCGTATCTTTACCCTAGACGCCAAAGCCATCTCATCTGACTTGGGAGCGGAAGTTGGGGCAGCTCAGGAAGCTGTTCAAAGACTAGTTGTTTATATTGCAGTTCTGAGGCTTTACCTCGGGAAAGCGGCCAGTGAGCCTGCTGTTCGTAAGCTCGCAGAAGGTGTTGCAAGGGAGGTGGCTCAGGGTGGTCAGCTTGCGAAGATCAGTGCTGGCTCTTGGGCTGGTCTCGAGGAGGTCGAATTACACATCCCTCCGGCAGCGGCCGAGGGTGAAACAAAACCTCCCTCTCCACTCAAGCAGTTTGAGTTTAATGCTATCGCTGTGGAGACCGCCGATGGCCAGATTGTCGTCAATGGCTCAAAAATTTCTTCGTGGCATGATGCTGCTAAGCACCTTCTGTTCCCATCCGTCTTCACACCTCCAACGCCCCCCTCGGAGGAAGCTGAAGAGTACCTTCAGCATCCTTCTCTGCGACCAGAAGTACCCGAGCATACCTACCTTGTGACTTGCACGGTTAATCGCCGCTTGACTCCTCTGGAGTACGACCGGAACGTCTTCCACCTGGAGTTCGACACGGAAGGCACTGGCCTCAAGTACGCTATCGGAGAGGCCTTGGGCGTGCATGGGTGGAATGATGAACAAGAAGTTATCGATTTCTGCAAATGGTATGGCGTCGATCCCGAGCGATTGATCACCATCCCAGTGGCTGCAAACGAAGGGAAGATGTACACTCGCACTATCTTCCAGGCGCTTCAGCAGCAAACCGACCTCTTTGGCCGGCCGCCGAAGTCGTTTTACGCTGAGCTAGCTGCATATGCTACTAGCCCTGCCGATAAGCTAGCGCTTCAGTTTATCGGCGCACCTGAAGGGTCGTCTACTTTCAAGAAGCTGGGAGAGAAAGATACTGTCACATTCGCAGAGGTCTTGCAACGATACCCTAGTGCGAAGCCAGGCATTGAGACTCTATGCGAGATGATTGGAGACATCAAACCCAGGCACTACAGTATTGCAAGCGCGCAAAGCGTGGTTGGCAATCGAGTCGACTTGCTAGTGGTCACCGTGGAATGGACCACACCAAGCGGTATGCAATTTTTGATGAGGTTGTTCTTATGATGACGAGCAAACTTTTCAGGCTCCCCTCATTATGGACAGTGTACTAGGTATCTAGCAGGTCTCAAGGTTGGGCAGAAGGTGACCGTTTCCATCAAGCCTAGTGTTATGAAAGTAAGCGTCGACTCACCTGTTCGTCGCGATTCCGTCATTGACTCGATCTGTGTTAGCTCCCGCCCGACAATATGCAGCCCATCATCATGGCAGGTCTTGGCACCGGAGCTGCTCCCTTCCGGGCCTTCCTACAGCATCGCGCTCTGCTCGCTCAACAAGGCATCCCTGTGGGACCCACCTACTATTACTTCGGTTCGCGACATCGGCATCAAGAATACCTTTACGGTGAAGAGATAGAAGCGTATATCCTCGACGGCACGATCACAAAAGCTGGACTTGCATTCTCTCGAGATGGAGCCAAGAAAGTATACATCCAGCACCTCATGCTCGAGGACGCAACCGATCTCGCATCCCTGTTGAAGAACCAGGAGGGGGTGTTCTACCTCTGTGGCCCAACTTGGCCAGTGCCGGACGTGTACGAAGCGCTTGTAGGTGCGCTGGTCAAGAACGAGGGTCATACGCCAGAGAGCGCTGGGGAGTTCTTGATGAGTCTTAAGGAAGAAGAGCGTTATGTTTTGGAAGTGTATTAGAAGCTACTTATTAGAAGCATATGATCATCAATTCATCGCCCTCATCAGGTGTCGACATGTCATATGTCATAAATACGCACGCTTAAACATCTTTCCACCCCGCCATGTCGCCGCCATGCTGTGGTCGAGAGCCTCTCGACTTCTTTGTTCTTTTTCGCTTCCATCATGGCTACCTCTCCACGTGCATAATTGATATTCATTTATGTAAAATGCTTCCAGGTATCAGAGTAAAACAAGAAAACTACCCGTACGCGCGTTGATTTAGAGCTGTACTTAATACTTATTGCACCATTCCTCCAGATTCCGCTGGCCCTTACCAACATCAACAGTACACAACCCTCCTGTGTGTCCTCAGGCGGAGTGTCTGCAGTTTCGAGCTGGCCTGCACAGTGAGACGTGCATCTGCAGATGGAGAAATGACACGACAAAAGGCCATTCTTTGCTTCAATAGAGGTAAGGAGTGATGCTGAGGCAGCAATCTTAATGAACAGGCGAATCCCCACAAGGCCTCATTCAAGTTGGTTCACCGATGGAAGGTTTCTAGGCTATATGATATTCCTTATTCACGCCTCGTTGTCTGCACTGACTGAGTAGAGACCCATTAGACGGGGCGACATAGTGGACGCTGGAGCAGACAACTGATTATCCACGACGTCATCGATGACAGTTGGAGATCGGGGGAAGCGCGGCACTTGAGGCAACTCGGATTCGGACTATCTATGAACGATCCGATCTAGCTACGCTGCTGTGGCACTTGCGCCCGCCAAGTCTAGCCAAGCTTGTGCATGGTTCAGCGCCATTGTAAGCTGCTCTTTTCGGCAACTTTTGGAGTAGTGAGTGTTTGAGCCGCTTTCCAATTGACCTTGCAAAGGCAAAATCAACATGACTTTGGTCCTAAAAAACCACCAGTTAGTACTCCCCAAGGCCGATAAATTCGCGAGCATTTACGTCCAGACAGTTGCAAAAAGCTCTACCGTATCAGCCAGCGTTCCCATATCACACGGCACGCATACCCTGCATGTTGACATCCATGTCTGTCAGACTTTCGTGCAATGTGACGGTCCGCCTTTTGCTTTTGCTTCCATCATTGCTATCCGCTTATACATAGTTAATGTATGACGGCTATGTTACGGAGACGTGCGGCATCCGTTCGCCCCTACTATCTGGTAAGTGAAATCTGATGGCGCGCACACTAGGCTTGCAGACCTCCGGCACTGTCTTTCTTTCTCCGCTCATATATAAGGTGCATGACATGCACCTCGTGCTTAAAGCCTGTTTTCTCCCTCTCGAAATGGAATATTCGGCTGATGCTGTCGCAGCGGCAAAGAGTCTCCAGACCTCCAAGGTAAAGTCTCTTTCTTGTCGATATAAGGGTCGTTGAGGATAATTCATGTTCCACCAAGTATATATACCGTGTGTGGTGTCTGAACTCCTCTCGCTTGTTCTAACGCAGCTCAGTGTCGATGGCTACATACTGGGTGGGCTTGTCCTGATGTATTTCCGTCCGCTGTTAAATTTGCTTGTCCAGACCTATGGTTATGCTTGCTCACTTCATGAGGAGGTAATGGAGTCCATTCACTTGAAATTACTTCTTTTCTAACAATGACAACGACACGCTGTCCAAAGTGGACGTTCTTGCTTCGATCGCGCTGGTCCAAGGTAAAAGTCCTTTATATCGTTACACGATACATACCCTTTCTCCTCTTCACCGGGCATCTTTATAGTGCGTTCAACCCCAGTGCCTCTCCAGGGATGAATTGACATATCGCGCTTTAGTGAACTTCACCCCGGATGAAAACCCCAATGTATGTGAACGCGCGGTAGTAGACTTACTGATTGATCAACGATGCTTAATGTCATCACCAGAAATGCCAGATGCTCGACACCGTCTGCTCATGTACGTGCATCGTACACACATGCATATGCACATCCTTACCGAGCACTTGTCTTCCCTTTCACAGGTTTCAGCCTAATATCAGTCACTTGTTCCGAATGTATATCTGCTCCTCCCGTGACACATGCACGGTCCTGATTCGATCCATTCAGGCTTTTTCGTTCTCAGAACATATGTGCTGTGGAACAATAATAGAATCGTGCTCACAGTCTTGCTGGCTGCCTTTCTCGTGAGTCCCATGTGCTCACTGCATCCTAAGCTCGTGGTAGACGCATCACTCAGGCTGTTGCCGTATCATCCGTCGGCCTGTTCTTTGGCTCAAGTGGCACCGTACCATGTACGCATTCTCACATTCTTCCTCTTCCTCTTCCCCTTGCCATTCAACCACCACTCATACTCTCCGCTTTGCCAGATCAGACCAGCACGATCCCGGGTATTACAGGCTGCTACCGGCCCTCGAGCGGCATCGGGTTCTTCGTACCATTTATTCTCTTATCTGCGTTCGAGCTGGGTGTGGCGCCAGGAGCTGGTAGCATGCATAAGATTTGTGCTGACCTAGGCTCTTTCCAGGACTTATCTCCCTTACCCTCATACGCACCCTGCAGAGCTGGCGGACGGCTAACAACCATCTATTTGCTGTCCTGGTGAAACACAATATATTCTACTATGCATGTGGCCTATGTGAGTCAACACATGCCATGCCATGCCCCTTTTCCGTGCTCATCAATGATCATCATCCTCCCGAAAGTTTGTTCGGCGGTGAACATCCTCACGTCGCTGCTCCTCCATGTGCGTGCACCCTCACCCCTAAGAATGAGTCATTGATATTCCGCACACTTAGAACGCGTACATGGACATGTTTCAAGAGTAGGCAACCTCGAAATCCTGCTGCGCATTCTTGCTAACAGCCCCCCCTCCCAAAACACACCTCCATCCAGTTTTCAATTCATCATCCTCGCGATCCTCGCCACACACATGCATCTCTATCTTTGGCATATGGATCGGGATCTGCATGGTTCTGACACCCTGACGCCTATTCCTCTGTCCGAAATGTCATATGGGAGCCGTGTTGTAGCGGGGAGGTCTTCTGTAGAGAGTGTTGGAGGTCCTGGTGCAGTGACTGGATTTGATATATAGGGTGTCTCCGCATGTCGGTAACCAACCAACCATCCACCTCCTGCTGTTGACTTGGCTTTGCGATCCTACGGGAGGTATCTCGTTGTGTCTGAGCCTGTGCCTAGTCCAACGTCTTGTTGCCTGTCCTTTCATGGAGTGAATCGTGCAGGGTGAGACGGTCAGTATAAGGAAATTTTTACTGCAATTTGTGAGCGCGGGCATGCAGTGAAGGTATGGGCGAGGTGAAATCAATTAGCATCAGAATTTGGTGTCCTAGTTAATAGTGCTGGATGAACCAACTACTTGTAGGCGCGTTGGTCAAGAACGAGGGCTGGGGGGATCCTCGATGAGCCTGGAGAGCGTTAAGTACGTTCTAGAACTCTGAATAGAAGGCCTCGTTCTATACAGAACATGATCGTCGTCCATCAACTTCATCAGGGTATCATGATGTGATATATTTACATGAATGCGAATCGGTTACTACGTCTGGATGTTGCTCGTAAAAATCGGTCGTACGGTCATGTTCTAATCCATAGGAATAGTGGAGTAAGCTAGAAAACGATGCAAGAGTAGAGTCACGCTATAGTTCAACTAAGGTAACAATCAGTAAAGGAGGTCGTGTTCTCTCTTGAGGGAGAGCATCCCCCACCATCCAAGAAGGCAGACGATGGCGAAGCCAGTGGCGCCGGGAATGACCCCAAGAGCAATTTGACCACCCTGGCTGAGCTGTGGACCACCGCATCCCTCAGTATATGCAGCATCACAGGGCATGCCCTGTGGTTTATTGGAGTCATAGGCACCTGCTTTCAGCGATGTGTAGAATGGGTCGGCGGTGTCGTTGAGCACGTGCATCGCGGCGAGCGTGAGCATCGGTGCATTGTAGTCAAGTGCAACCTCAGTTTCAGGCCAGTCGCCACGGATGTCGAAGAAACGATCGTACTTGTCTGGACCACCGACAACAGCACCATAAAGGATATAAGCTTCTTGGGGCGGGGAAGTATTGATATCGCTAATGTTACTGCCACCACTCGCCATTGCGGAGTGGGGATTTTGAGGCGAATTGGGATTGGCACCGACGATATAAGGTGCTGTGGTAGAGTGAGCTCCGGTATAAAACCGCACTTGATCCATGCCCACCTTGCATTGGATTGTTGCCCAGAGCATAGTTGACTTGGGCTTTGGCATAGTTCTGCAGCGCAAGATTGTTGAGTTCCACGATGCAGTCCTCAAATTGAGATCTCACCAAATAATCATTTCTCCTGCTTTGGGTCGAGGCCAGTGGCACATATCGCGTTAACAGCATAGCGGCGTTCAGCGCTGGGTTTAAGCTAGCCTCATCGGAGTCGCCACCATAGTATAGCAGCCCGCCTATGAATGATGTCAGCTTCAAGATGAGCAATAATTGAATCATGGTACCATGAGTTTGGTATCCTGGTCCATCGCCGTAAACTATCCTATCGAAGTAATTCTCAGCCACAGTTTGCCAAGTGGAGGCGTTGCCGCCGAAACTTGGGTTTGCTTGTGCGATCTGTGCAAAAAGGACAGGCAGGCCAGGTGTCTTGGTATCCCAGTTGAATACTCCTTCATAGCTGCTGAGGCTATATTGCTGCCAGTAACCCTGAGCTTCTTGGTACAACGAAGAGGAGTTAGTTGCCCAAGACAAGAAGAGCGCAGCAATGGCAAGCTCATCCCCGTATCCGGACGAATTATACGCTGCGACCTCAGGCACGGAATCCTGGTATACTTTCTGTCCACCAGAGGCACTAGTGGCAAACGTGAAAAGTTGTTGGGCATGTTCGAGAAGGGTTGCGGCGTAAGTTGCATTTTGAAGCGTAGCTGGACCAGAATAAGAGTTCGAGAAGACGCGGTTGGAGTAGAGATTGGAGCAAGCCGCGAAAGCTGCCGCGGCTCCTGCAGCAGCGTCCGTCCCAGGACTAGGATGGTGTTAACGGACAATTCAATGATAAATAGTGAAGGAATACCTAGTGTCGTTGATTTGATATGAAGGACGCGGCAAAGGAATGTCTCGATCGCCTCCCCAGTATGCATTGTCAAGGTCTTCTGCAGTTATGTGTGAGCGGAGAATAGATATTGTGACGGAATGCGTACCATTAGCTATCTGGACATACAAGGTATTGTTAGCAGCGTGGGCCTATGACATCATCAGTGAGTTGATCGTTTGGTGCCAAGATGCAAGGCTGACTTTGATGAGCCAGTCAAGACTCCATCGGAGCATGTCATCAAGGTACGGCGTTTGATTTGCTAAATCGTATCCTACACAACATGATTGGCGAGTGAGAATTTCAGTGGTGTTGCACGCACCTTTTCCAAAGTCCGTTGCACCCCAACATATTGACATCACGGTGGCTGACTGGAGCTGAGTTGACAGAGAGAAATTTAGCACAAGCCGAAGAAGCTTACCAGAGGGAAAGTGCATTTGATATAGTCTGGTGGATCTATCAATCTAAAAGTAACTGCATGATGCGCGCAATACTTACCACCCGCATCATAGTAGCCACCAGTCAAATCCAACTTGACGTCCTGCCCATCTGTGAGGGCACTGTCGTTTCGCCACTTGACGCGGTTTGTGCTGGGTAACTTGCCACTGCGTTGGGCTTCATAGAAATAAAGCAGATTTCCAAGTAGCGAAGACCATTGTGAATTGGGGATACCTGCAGAGGATGGAGACGCGCCATCTGAAGCGTTTTGAGGGAGGAAAGGGGGTTGAGGAAGAGGAACTTGGGCAAATGCTTGCCAAGATGCAAGGAGAAGGAGGAGAACCGTCCACATGAGGGGTTGATATACGTACCACTATAAACTATGTCGTGATAACAAGTGACACTTACAAAGTGGTTTGGTCCAAGCATGCAAGCCGCGTTCAACCAAAATCACGTGACTTCAAAGCCTTATTAGCCCGGGCCGCACGGCACAAAGTATCAGTTCGTCCCGGACAGTCAAAGCAGCGCGTTCACATCTTGGTCACACTCCAAACAGCGGGCCGACTAACATTCTATATAAGATTACAGAGGTCATGATTTTCAAGTTATCATACCTTTGTTCTCTCCACTCTACTATCTATGTCACTCAGTCCGATTAAAACCTGTGTCCTCGGCGTGGGTCTTGCTGGGCTCACGTTCCACGTCCCGTTCGTACTCGCCTTGCCCGAACTCTTCACTCTCACTGCTGTTCTGGAGCGCAACCCACAGACTCCCGGTGGAAAGGTGCATCAGCGCTTTGGAGCCACCACAAAAATATACCGGACAATCGAAGAGGTCGTGAACGACCCAGAAATTGAGCTCGTTATTGTAGGAACCCCAAATGATACTCATTACCCACTTGCAAAGGCTGCTCTCGAGGCTGGGAAACACGGTAAGCAAAATAATTAGTCTACGCAGATACCGCTCTCAACCACTTCAGTTCTCGTCGATAAGCCTGTGACTGAGACAGTTAAAGAAGCAAACGAGCTTGCCGCTATTGCTAATGCCAAAGGTCTTGTTCTCTATGGTTATCAAAATCGACGCTGGGACTCGGATCACCTCGCGCTGAAGCGCCTGTTTGCACTTCCCTCCTCTTCGCCTCTCTCTCTTGGTAACCTGCTGGAGTTTGAGTCCCAGTAAGGAATATCGTTGATCACGCTACGCTTGCTTTCCTCACCTTTCTGTAGTTATGATCGTTACCGTGCGGGAATACGGGCTTCTTGGAAGGATAGTGCGGGCGCAGTATACGACCTCGGTTCACATCTCCTAGACCAAGCCCTCAAACTCTTTGGTCGACCCGCGCGAATTACTGCGTTCATCCAAAATATTCGTGGAGTCACGAAACCGGAAGTCGATGATATTGTAAGTCAGATACCAGCGCATCCATTCTAGAGTATTTTTCACGCGCACTCGACTCTGTAGTTCACTATCTATTTGCACTACGATCCTGGAACTCCGTTCTCTAACCAGTTCACTGTACTTCTCCGCTCGCACATCCTATCAGTTAAATCCCCTCAGCTACGCTACGCAGTCCGCGGCACAAAGGGAATGTTCACCAAGTACGGCCTCGACACACAAGAGGAGGAATTGAAAGCCATGTCTTCTGTCAGCAGTATCCTTGAACCAGGTTACGGACAGGAGCCCGAGTCCATCTATGGTGTCATTGAAAATATCGCTGATGACGGCGTGACTATCAACAAGACAATGTGATTGCTCTTTTTCTCGCATATTTCCTGGTGGTATTGATGATGTTCTATAGCTGGCCTTCAGATGCCCCAGGCCAGTACATCGGCCTCTTCAAAAACCTTGCTGGTGCTATCCGGAATAACGAGGAACTTGAGGTCAAGTGGGCAGAAACGACGCAGGTGATCGAGATGATCGAACTGGCCTATAAAAGCTCTGCTGAAGGCCGCACCTTGGAGGTGTCGAAACTCTAGGCAAGATGTGCATTCACGTCGTTGCAAAGTGCCAGTTCGCGAGTGGTAGAATAACACTAGTGCAGCCGTATGTCCCTCCGGAATCCGCAAAGTACGTACTATTTGCAAGGAAATAGGACCAGTCTGCTAAGTACTTATACAATATTGATCTGCGTTTCCTACTGATCGTCCAGTGGAGACTAAGCTGTGACGCCCTTTAACCCGTTCCGAACTAAAATAAGCAAGACTCGAAGCTTGAAAACTTTTCAATACATAGGTTGCGTATAGAGGGGTCATGACGGTTGATCGATCGATCATTGGTTGATCATACAATATGTTGGCTCCGACGGCATTTCCCACAAAAGTACTTGTGGACAGCACGGATATAGCGGAAGCTCTCGCTGCGGACTTGGCATGATGATCATCAAATAGTACTATGACGGCCATTAGGCGTACCTCTTCTACAGCCTGTCACCAAGTCTTCGTGGACGAAACCCTGCAGCATCACTGCGCTGCGAAAATAATCTCAGAGTCGCCAGAGTCACCACTGCGGTACTATCTCAAATCCCACATAACATAGCCATAGAGCAACGCCCCTAGGAAGGGGGCTGTGAGTCTTTGGATTGCACTGTCATGCCGCGGCCGCCCCCAAAGACACTGGAACGTTGCCGCTATTATTATAAGTACATTAAGCGGGTTCATGGCGGCAGAACATGTCATCGCGTCCCTTACTCAGGCTAGCTGCGATACCGAACAAGCAAGCTCCGCATCTAGTCCCCAGCTATTATATGATGAACCCAGGGCCTGTAGCAAATGTTTTAGATGTTCAGACTCGCCGTGTTGATGGTATGGTTCAGAAGTTTTTGAGACAGTGTCAATAGTAATCTCACAGTCTTTATACTGCCGACAGCCGTCAAAAAATGGATTCGCGGTGAGCTCATTGGCAAAGGTACTCACGGCCGGGTCTACCTGGCTCTTAGGATGACCACGGGTAAACCGCAACTGGTCGCCGTCAAGCAAGTCGATAGTCCTCAAGTTATCCGCGACGAGAGCGACCAGTGTCAAGCCACTTTCGTTCACTCAGTCGAAAGAGTAAGCGAGCTACTGGTGGACCTGAACCATCGTCATATCGTTCAATACCTGGGGTTTGAAGAGTGCTTTGTAGAGCGCTCAAGAGTTGTGAATATGTGAGTTCTCTACTGTTTTCTAGCAATTGACAAAACCACCTTTCAGTGTTAACCGAAAGAGACAGTTTCATGGAGTACGTGTCGGGAAGTGTATTAGGCTATTGTCTTCGAGAAAAGGGCAAGTTTCGTGAGGATGTTGTGAAATATTTCATCTCTCAAATACTTGGAGGTTTGAGATACCTGCACTCGCGACGAATAATCTACCGGGTATGTGACCGATTCAGCCTGCCTCAAACACTCGAGGAATTCATATAAATCCCGGTCAGAATCTCAAAGCCGACAGCGTCCTACTTGAGAGAGACGGAAGCTGCAAGCTTTCTGACCTAGAGTTCTCCACCAAGGAGGATAAAATACACAAACTTCCGTTCACCACCGTGCAACGGACGCTGCCCTGGATGGCGCCAGAAGTCATCTGCCATCAGAAAGAAGGGTACAGTGTCAAGGCCGATATTTGGAGTCTGGGATGCGTTCTGCTGGAAATGCTGACAGGGAAACGACCCTGGTATGAGGATGAACTGATCATGGTCACGATCAAGGTCTGCGTTGTGCTTTTGTATCACAAGAGCATAATTTATCTTCTGTGTGCAGATGAAACAGAACAAGCGTCCACCCATCCCTCCTGATGTTACCTTGTCCGACCTTGCAATGGATTTCCAAGATTCGTGTTTCGCAATGCAAGTTATTCGAGTTTTTTTCTAGATGATGTCATTTACCTTATATTTTATAGCGATCATGACGAACGTGCATCTGCTTCGCACCTGAGACGACATCCCTTTCTTGAGCTTCCAGATGGTTGGAGATTTCAGGGTTTTAATGGCTAGGGAATACTCTTGTTATCGTACCCTATCTATTCATGTGTATTTTGCTAGGCTTCTTTCCCATTCTTGCCAAACGGTGACAATATATACTAAGTACATTGCTAAGAGAGGAGCTGCTCGTATGGGACTAGGTTTCCCGCGAAACTGCAGATCTGTGGGTTGAAGCAGTGCAGAACGTGGCTACAGCTCGCTAAAAGATCAACATGAATATAGCACATCAGGACGGTGCACACCTGCCCTCTCGACGCGATTATCACATTCCTTGTGTATCAACGTACCAGCACATTAATCAAGATAAAATTCTCTAAGTATAAAGAGGGAGCAAAATAAAACACACAAAAACCAAGGGACTTTCAGTATAGTACCATGGGTGCCCGAGTTGGAATTGAAGTCTTGACATGAAAGACTATGCAACGGGTGGGCATTGGATGAAAGTGTATGCTCAACCAGCGAGGGAAGCGAGTTTGAAGTGGTGGTCTGCGACCAATCCAACGCAGACCATCGCCGCGCCGTGGCGACTCGCCTGGAGTACAACTCGATATCAGAACCTAGCATGTAGTTATATTAGTTAGACGCACCTGGAACGTCTTCCAGCTGTCTTGGGGATCATTATGATCAAAGGACCATATGTGCCAGAGACAGAGGAGGAATGGTGCGAGGACACCCATCACGTAGAACGGGAGGTGCTGACCGTTCAAGTACCCAGCCCACAAGAGGCATGCAAAAAACGTCAGATCAAATAAACTCAATGCAGGACGAATGCCTTCGCCCAGACGGACTGCCATGGACTTCACTCCCGCGTTCTCGTCCTCCTTCTTGTCCTGAGATGATACAGTCAGCACATGCCCCCGAGGCAAAGACTTTCCAATTGACCTGACATGCGTAAATGATGTCGTAAAGACATGACCAGCTATGGTCCAAGGCATTGTCAGCAACTCGAGAAAACCTGTCGTCCTCAGCCACTTACCAGCACGACGCAATTGCAAGGTTCAGAATCATACTCCAATTAAACTGGCCCGTCGTAGCAACCCAAGTGAAGGGGACGCCCAAACTAGCCGCAAAGCCTTGGAACCAGATAAGAAGATATACGTTTCCATCATAAAAACATACCGAGGAACAAAGAAGGCCAGTACACCCAGCGCTTCATGAGCGGATACGTTCCGCCACAAGCAGGGAGCCCAACAACGCCGAGCGTGAGACTAAGCAAGTTGTCGGAGAAGTGTTAACATTGTTTAAATGATTAATGATTTACTTACGCTGTAGTGCCAGCAGTCGAAAACATATAAAAGATGGCAGCAACGAGAACAGCCAGAAGAACTGAAGCCTCTGTCCTAGTGACAGTTCCGGATGCGATCGGCCGGTTTTTCGAACGTTCTAGTTCATATTGAACAACGTCAAGAAATGAGTGACAGGCACTGGCAGGACCGAACTGAGACGTACCAATTTTGCGGTCGAAGTCTCGGTCCAGCATGTCATTTATAACACAGCCAGCACAGTGTACCAGTGTGCTCAACAGTGCATAGAACAAGATATTTTTCACGACTTCGTTCATGGGCAATGCCACATGATAGGCTGCTGAAAGAAAGCCCCAAGCTAGGCATGATGCAGTTATAATCAATGAACGAACAAGTACGGCGCATCATCTTCCGTCTCACCGAAGGGCCAAAATGTGAAGTCGCTCCCCACCGGGAACCAGTGAAGCCTGGTGAGCTCGAACAATGCTCTTGCCTTGGAGGACATTGTGACAAGTTTAAAAGGCGGAAGAAAATCAGGACTGTATGATCAAAAAAACCCAGCAATGCTCATTTTTATACCCCTGCGCCTTGAGAAAGGTGGTGCCATAATCTCGAACCAGATGTTCTAGGACCTCCTTCGGAATCTTCCGCTTCACCGAACGCTTGGGTCGAGATCAGTCCTGTCACTGCGTCAGTACTGGTGATGCGGCTTCTGTATTTGGAATAACTGAAGGCACGAGTGGTGATTCCAGCTAGTCTTCACTGTGCTTCCACCGATATTGCAGGATGCCTACATGACCAAACGGCAATTCAAGGTGTCGTATAATTGGCGAAAGTCGATTTGATCGTGGAGGAAGAGGGCGAAAAAGAAGTCCATAATATTTGCAGCCCACCTAGGTTATCGATAACAGTTCTACTTAATGAGATCTGGCACTATCTTGGGCGTTGCTCGCTTCGTTATGACATCGTCAGGGGCCTGGTGTGGCTGGGTTTCTCAATCCGAGGGGCCGAATCTACTAGCTAACCAATTCTTTTCGAAGATAATTGAATGTGAATGTGAATATACATTAAGCTGTTCCTAAAGCTCACCTAAGTACCTTGATGGGCCCCAGTAAGAGAACGAGAGGAATGAGCGAAAACCTCAACAATAAGGGATTAACTGGGAAGGGAACTTCCGAGTTGAACAGGGCGTCGAAGACGAAGTTTAAGTACATGCGCGCGCGCTGTATTCTCCCGAGATGTGACCTGCGAGAAGCATAATTGCAGCACAATGTCATGCAACTATTCGGCACAGCAGTCCAAGTTCAACGGGCCCGGGCGTACGACACACTGATGAACAAAGAAGCTTAAAGTCTTGCCCGAGAGTCGGACACGGTCATGGAGTAGTCACGTGGACGAGTTCCACGTATGACCATGCACTGTCTGCTGGACAGCGAACAGTCATCACCACCATCGCAACGATGACTGAGTCCCTCGTCGCTGTCCGCGTCGAGCTACCCACTTACTCGCTTTCATTTACAGTCGATGTTCCCATATCCGCTACCGTGCTCGATGTCAAACATGCAATTTCAGCGTCCTGCGCTGGACAGCCCTGTGTCGAGGGACAGCGTATAATCTGGAGGGGGCGCTACCTCGGCGACCAAGAGAAAATATCGGATGTATGGAAGGTAATGGGGATACTACGACTTTTCGGAACAGTATCTGATGCAAGATTTAGATGACAGACGAGCAACGCATCGTCCACCTGTCCGTGCACCCCTCCGCTTGGTCTGGTGCCCCCCCAACTTCGAATTCTAGTGCAACATCATCCACGATCCCTATATCCGACAAAGGGAAATCACCCTCAACACAATGCGACGCTCCTTCCAACACCCCCTCAGCCCCTCCCGGGACACAATCTCATCCTTTCACACATTTACCTCTAGACCACCAATTTATCGCCTATGTCCATCAGGTTGCTCTATCCAAGCTCACTAGAGGGCTCATTGAGCACCCACAAAATTCAGTCATTCCGTTTCGCACAATTGCATTGGAGAACCTCGAGAAGAAGGGATATGTTTGGCCTTCAGTACTGGACGAGCCATATCCTTTCTTTCAGCCTGGCGACGGCCCTGGACTGCAGTACGAATTGATGACTACTAAGTGAGCTGAATCTTGTGTGTAATGAGATGTACTTTGAATTAATATTCATTAGTGGCAAGTCATACCTCTCCCTCTGCAATCCAGGTTCAAAGCCTACCGCCGGGCAAGTACACGCCCTCAAGGTCTTGACCTATACATTTTCGATATTGTCCTTTCAACCGTTGCCTCAACCACCGACGCCAACACCGACCACTTCCTCCACTGACACTGTACCACCTCATCTAAATGAACTCCTCCAGCAGCTTGGCCTTCCCCCACTTCGTGCTAACCCGAACGTTAATATCGACGTCGATGTCAATGGTCAGATTGGCGTCGGAGCGAATGTACAAGCACCAGGAGATGAAGCCCAGATACTCCCCGATATTCCGGTTCGTGCGCTACTGGCTCCCTTGGTGATGGTATTTTTCCGCACTTTGCTCTTGCTGTACTTCTTTTCCCCAACACGCAAGCCGCTGCTGGGTTTGTGCATCATCGCAGTGGATCGTCTATGAGATGTGGACGAATGTGCGGAATGTTGTACTCGGACCACTTAATCGGGAGAGGGAGCGTTTAGCTGGTGTTGCTGCTGAGGCTGCAAGACAGGCTCCAGGCCAGGGTCAACCTGGAGATCCACCAGGGACTCCTGCACCTTCTTCTCAGTCCGACACACAAGCGCACACACAGACTCAAGAAGCGCAGGGGCCTCCACCCTCCAGCAACTCCACCTCTCTTCTGGACCTCCTCGCACGTATAGGCATCGATTCGGAGAATAAGTTACTCTGGCCGACGTCTTCACTGCGCGCGCCACTTTCGCCACCGAGTCTGATGCACAAGGTGTCAACCTTCGTAAGTTTGATTGTGCTGACTCTCCATCCGGATGTATGGAACCGCAGGCGCGCAGCGCTGAGGACAAGGGAAGGGCGTTTACGAACAGAAGTGAACGCCATGGAACGAGAGGTTGAGAGAGTAGAAGGACAGGAATTGAGCGAGGATGACAGAAAGAGGGAGGACATGACGGCTGCGCTGCGGGTGCAGGATGGAAGGCGCACTCTATGGGTGAAAACTTATATTCAGCGCGTCAGAGGCGGAGAGTGGGTAGATGATTTATAGCAATGATCGGATATATATTTCGTGTTGAATGGACTTTGCACAGGAGGAATTCCAACTCTGCGTTCAAAGGGTTTGTGTACTATATCAGATGATAAATGTGCAAGGTGCAAAGCTGAGCGCTGATGTGTGGGACGGATATTATTCACTCTCATCATCCTCTTCGTCGTCCTCGAACTCCTCTGCCTCATCATCGATGAACCCATTTAATGTAGGTCCTTCGCCGTCTGAATCTTCTTCTTCGTCTTCTTCGTCACTGCCCTGTTCGTCCGTTTCCTCAGCTTCACTTTCACCACCGAGCTCTATATCTTCTACACTTCCTTCATCCTCTCCACTCTCTACACCAACTTCCATGCCCTCCTCTTCGCTATCGCCTTCCACGTATCTCGTTGGCTGCCTCTCTCCTTGTGATGCTGTTGATACCCCATTCTTATGGGGTGCAAGCAGCGTGGGTGCGGTGGACGAACGCATCTCGATCTGTGAGAGTACCATATCTAGCCGACCGTTCAGTGAGAGGAGGGAGTCTTGTAATGCAAGCCGGGACGTCAGTGTAACGTGTAGACCTGAGAGCCGTGATACAAGGTCGGGCATCTATAAATGAAATTGAAATTGGTTTGTAACGCATGTGGGGAACAGTTTTTTCTTTATTTCAGGGACGTACCGTCATAAGATGACCGCTATGGACTGCAAGGACAGTCTTGACCCATATAACGAGACCCATACCCCGTTGCGAACTGGCGCCTCCGCCACCGCCTTTCATGCTTGCTGCGCGTGGACCACGGCCAAGACGCTCTACACATGTCGTGAGCAACGGCACCGCCAGCTGGGGCGGTAACCGCCGCACAGTGTTCCGTACCAATGCCGGGTCAGAATGTGCAAGACAAGTTTCAAGCAGTTTCGAGTCAGATGAGTGGAGCGCTTGTATAAGTGTTCTGGTAAGTGAGTGTGCAGGTACAACATTCGGCGCGTCCTGCTTTTGTTTTCGTGGTGATTGGGATTGCCCTTCTTCTTCAGAATCTGATGAGGAGGGGCGTGCATCACCTGATATTGCGGCGAGACGCTGGCCAAGGGAGAGTTCCGCGAGATCAGCATCAAGTGCACCTTCGATCTGAGATGCGGCAAGGTCTTCCATCGCTTGATCCTCCCCGAGCTCGACGCCAGAGTGCACCGCAAGAGATGAGGACTCGGCGTACCGGGCAGTTTTTGATGCAGACTATAATAAGCCTACATCAAGTTTCCGGTTTTTGTCACGGTATTAGACACGTACAGCAGATGCAGGCTCTGAGTCTATGAGGACTTCATCTGGGGCGGTCTGTGATATGGATGGCTTGGCTTTGCGCGATGATGATTTAGTGCGCGCTTTTTTGGATGGGGGGACACTGGACATGTTAGTATGTCTTTTCACCTGTTTAAACAATTTTTGGGTCAATCCAAGATAGCGATATGAGCTCAGGCATACCTAGTGTTGATGGACGGGGAGAAACAAATATTCTGCAAGTCACGTGCAGCTGCTTTCTTGCATTTCCTAATCGGGAGCAGGAAATTCACTCTTGATTCGGTCAGAATCGGTCTTCCTCGAAGTCACTCGAAGGCTCCAAGTCGGCACTCACGCTCGCCTAACAAAACCGCCCGTTTTCCAGTGCACGCTGTGTAGAAAGGAACAGGGAGGGCGCCCTTACGATCTTTCCATCTGTTACATTCTACGACATCACTGCAAGCTCAACACCCCAAGTAATCAGCTCAGGTAGTAGCACGATCGACGATGAATTACATTCAGGTAAACTCCTCGTTGCGCTCTTATACGGTATATGAGCTGACATTAAGTAGTTAGAGAAACTTGGTATGATCTGCATTGCACGATAATCAGGATTGTCTAACCCCTGCTTGTGCAGGCGAGGGTACATACGCCACCGTGTTCAAAGTAGGCGATTGCTGCTTCTGTTGTATCGCTTCAAAGCTTATCTGGGTACTAGGGTCGTTCACGAACGACCAATGAGATCGTCGCGCTCAAGGAGATACATCTCGACGCAGAGGAAGGAACACCCTCCACCGCCATCCGTGAGATCTCCCTCATGAAAGAGCTCAAGCATGTCAACATCGTCCGCCTCCACGATGTCATACACACGGAGACAAAACTTGTTCTGATCTTTGAATACTGTGAGCAGGATCTCAAGAAATATATGGACCAGCACGGCGATCGCGGAGCGCTCGACCCTATGACCGTGCGAAGTTTCATGTATCAGCTCCTCAAGGGCACGTCGTTTTGCCACGAGAACAGAGTCCTACATAGGGACCTGAAGCCCCAAAACCTTCTTATAAATCGCAAGGGGGAGCTGAAGCTTGGTGACTTTGGTCTCGCACGTGCATTTGGCGTGCCAGTGAACACATTTTCTAACGAGGTAGGCTCGTGTATGGTGAGTCTTACGGCGGCCCGGCTGAGGTGTGGTTCTAGGTCGTCACATTATGGTATCGTGCACCAGATGTACTTCTGGGATCACGTACGTACAACACGTCGATTGATGTGTGGTCGTGCGGTTGCATCTTCGCGGAGATGATTTCTGGAGTGCCTCTTTTCCGCGGCCGCGACAACCAGGATCAGTTACTTCATATCATGCGCATTGTCGGCACGCCGGACGATCGAGTTCTGAGGAAGATAGCGACTGAATCGGTGAGATATCTTAATTATAGCGAGAAGTAGAGAATGCTCATTTCTCTCATAGCCCGAAATCACCCTAAAACAATACCCAAGATACCCAAAGATCTCATTCGCCCAAGTGCTTCCCAAGGCCTCTCCTCAAGGTAACTAACCGTGCCCAATAATATGCTGGACCTGAACTGAATGCAGTGCAGCCCTCGACTTGCTTGAACGGCTACTACAATTTGATCCCGCAAAGCGTATAACGGCCACTGAAGCCCTTTCACACCCTTACTTTACCTCCACCGTAAGCCCTGCCTACGGCCCGAGTTCGACTCCTGGGTCGATGCCACCCCCTCAATTCAATTTTCCTCACCCCCATGCCCACGCACAGCAGCAACAACAGCAGCAGGCTCAGCAGCAGCAACCCCACAATACAATCCCTCCACCAGGGTCGTCTCAGAACACAATAGCCCCAGCGACGGTTTATCCACACGGTCAGCAGCCCATGTATAGCACTCAGGACGCTGCAAGGATGCAGGCGCAAGTTCAAGCACAGGCACAGGCACAGGCAATAGCACAAGCTCAGGCACAGGCTCAAGCACATGCCCATGCCCAAGCCCAAGCTCATATGAATCAACAGGTCGCACCGGGATACCCTGCTGGGTTTCCTGCACAGTATCAGCAACATGCACGCTAGTGCACTCTAGCTTGTGGGATTCGTCGTATTTGGCACAAAGCGTTCTGGTGGTCTAGAAGGATTTGTTATTTGATGTTTCGCCACGTTTTTTCCAGGCATTGTTCCTGTTTTATGTATCAAGCCCTCTGGGACGGAAGAATGTTGTAATCATTAGTGTTGTAACGCAGATTGCGCCTGTAATCGATTCGAAGCATCCCTTCACGTTTCATCCACGGGAGGAGTTAACGTTTTAATATTGTTTGTTGAGTGGACAGTTAAAATAGATGGAACGGTGAGCGAGGTGACTCGAAAGAGACTGGCGTGTTGTAATCTACAGCATCACCTTGAAGATATCAATCACCCTTGTCTCGGACATCGAATCTCGAGAACGAGCTTCACATTGAGGTTCAAATCGATACCCCTTTAAGTGGGACACACGTTTCCGAGGATGACTGATCCGAGAAGCACAACACGCGACATTTTTTTATGAAAGGGCTTTTGTATAATATGTTTTGACTTGAAACTGGAAAAGGTAATGTTACGTGGCCACGTGGATGCGCGTCTCTTGTTTCTTCGGTGCCTTGAGTGCAAGTGGCTCACGACTATAAAACCAACTCACACATCCGACGTAACTCATTAAACAATCCCCATCAAGTACTTAGAGTCATGTCTACGTTTGACACTCTTATAACTGAACTGACTCGCGACGTTTGTCGGGTGCAACCCAAAGACGCTCTACAGTTCTGTGCTAATTGGTTTCAGTCTCGGCTGGAAGAACAACGGACGCGAACACGAGACGCGCTTCAACAACGTGGTCTGTCCACAGTTCATGAGCTGCCATCCGAGTTTTATTTGGACTCGCCTGTTAATATCGGCCCTCGTAACTCCATACCTACACCCATTTCTCCATTCTCTCAGGTTCTTCCTCAGCAGCGTCGTGCATCATCCCTCCATGCCCCCTTCTCGCACAGTCCATTTGGGACTCTCAATGTGCCAGGAAATGCACTTTTGTCCGTAGAAACAAACGGGGCGACCAATGGCATGGCTCACCCGACGTTTACCCTAGATGGACGTGACCTGGCCCCAACTTCACCGTTGACCATTGATCCAAACTCATTCGCGCGCTATGATGTGGCTTCAACGCCCACCATGTCTAATTCCCTCGCTCTGGGCATGGGGGATTACCTCCACGCACCTTCATCCACCATTCTGGCGCGTCGTGTGTCCGTCAGTGCTGAGCCTATCGCCGTAGACAGTGGTCATGACGATCCACTCCCCGTATACCACAAGACAGTCGACCAACTTCGCCGCATAAAAGCGTCCATTGCAAATAATTTTATTTTTAGGGATCTCGACGAGGAGCAGGAGACTGGCGTGCTCAATGCAATGCAGGAGCGCCACCTCGCCACGGATGAAGTGATCATTCGGCAAGGGGATGTAGGAGAATATTTCTACGTCGTCGAATCAGGACTTTTTTACTGCTACATCCATCCTGAGCCACTACCGCCCACATGGCTAGCAGATACCGCAAATCACTCCTCGCAGCCCGAAAAATTCCTCCAGCCGGGATATCACCCTGTCTTTGGTCGGAGGGTTTCAGAGTGCAAGCCTGGAACTTCTTTCGGCGAGCTTGCGCTAATGTATGGTCATCCACGTGCGGCGACCGTGCAGGCAATCGAGCCCTCCACTGTTTGGGCTCTTGACCGCACCACTTTCCGCACAATCATTCTCAAAGCAGCTCACAGACGTCGGACGATGTATGAGCATTTCCTCTCCAGTGTCCCCCTCTTGTCCTCCCTTGAACCAGGAGAGCGCAGTAAAATCGCAGATGCCCTGGTTAGCAAAGTACACCCTGACGGAGAGGCGGTGCTTCGACAGGGAGAGATGGGAGATACCTTCTTCTTCGTAGAGGAAGGTGAGGCTATTGTGACTAAGATGCAACAAGGAGAGGAGGGTGAGTACCGCGAGATCACAGTAGGCCGACTGAAAAAGGGTGACTATTTCGGCGGTTAGTGTTTTTGGTATTGTTCTTTTGCAGGGCTCGAATAGCTGACGTGCATCTTAACAGAGCTATCTTTGCTTAGATCGGAACCTAGGGCGGCGACGGTGAGCGCGGTGCACCGGGCCGATCCGTCACAGCCGAAGTTGAAGGTTGCGGCAGTTGGACACGCCTTCATTCACACGACTTCCTTGGGCCTCTTCGGGAGATAATGGAGAGGAAGGCTGGAGAGAGTTATGGTCTTTCTTCCAGATTAAACCACTGATCTGAAATGAGAGGGATTCTTTCTTGATTTTATATACCCCGCGTCTTATAGTGAAATTATTGTATCCTTAGGGTTGTCGTTATCGTTGTCGGACAGCGGCCCTACTTATATATATGAGATAATATTTATGTAACTCTCCTCGGGCGTCTTCTACGTACTTGTGTTAAGATGTTCTTCCATTCTTTCCAAGTACCGCGAATCCAGTCTGCGACTCTGACGACTTTGAGATGAGACCTCTGGAGAGTCGCTGAAGCGCTGAATGGCCATGCATCACATTGTTACTGCCGGACAGCCTGTATCGATGAGTCGTGATGCCAACAATTGTGCCCCAAAGTGCGCAAATCAGGGTCCCACGCGTGATTCATCGAATTCCTGTAAACAAAGGAGGGTCACAAGCGCTGTCAACTTGAACTAACTCGTCCACAGTAAATCATATTCTTCACAGTCCTTTCTGGCCCCAACCATTCTTTTCTTTTCCCATCGACTGCTTTTTTCCAATTCCCCGCCACCTGTTCATTCATACGTAGGCAGGGCTTTGCTGTCAGTTTGCTTGCTTCCAAGGACTCAAATAAATATCACTACACTCACTCAATCGCCACTCTTTTTTGCACGTTAAATCATTGACGACTCCTCATGGATGCACTCAGTGGTTTAGATGCTGATTTCGTCCGAAGGCAGGGCCTTGATGGATGTGAGTGTTTTCTTGTGATGATTTTCAAGTGCTATTCTGACATCCCAAACAGTGGATTTACTGTGAGATATTGTTCGTGTATGGTGAGCTGCTAGCTGAAGTAACACCAGTGATGGGAGCTCTGGCACCCAGACGGCAGCAACCCCTTCAGTCTCCAACCCCCTTGGTGGAATTTTTAGTGCCTTCACTAGCCTTGTCAATGGCGTAACATCCACGAGTCAATCCCTAACCTCTTCCTCTTTTAGTTCGACAGGCTCGACTATAAAATCCGCTTCTACTACATCCACTACCTCGTAAGCTACACATCTCTTGCAACAGGCGTCAGCTCACTAACTGGTTTGACCAGCAGCAGCACACCTTCAACTTCATCTACGTCGGCACCCACACCGAATTCCATACCTACGCCTACACCTACGCCCACGTCCACGCCCACACCCACACCCACACCTTCCACTTCTCAGATCGTTTATACTTCCACCGATGGCACCAGCATTGTCTACGTGACTAGTATCGCGACTAGTTCCACGTCTGCCACCGCTGCACCTGCTGAGTCCTTCTTGCAAAACAAGCCTTTGGAAGGCGGAGTATTCGCCTTAGTTGGAATCGTGGTCATGGTTATCATTTTCGTCGTCGTAACGTACACCATCCGCCGTCGCCGCCACAATCGTCTTGAGGGCGTGATCGCCGATGCTATCACGTTTGACCCGATGGTGTCTGAGCACTATGTTGATGAGGAGAGCAGAATGAACACCTCTGACAAGTACAGACTTAGTGGCAGTTCCTCAGGTCATGGCCATGGCTTGGGCTATGCCCCCAATCTTGCATATGCACCACCGGTCCCTCCTAAATACCCTTACTATGGCCAAGGATACGAACAACAGGCAGCTGCTTATCAAGCCCCTTCTACTCAGGGCCCCGTCTATAACAACGACAATGCAGTTAATACGAGTAGCGCCAATCTTACTCGTAAATATTCGAATCGCAAGCCTGTTCCACCTCTCCTTCCAAATCCTGTCTATGACCCCTCTCGCTCCCCAGTTCTTCCCTCGCACTATTACATGCAGGGTCAGGAACCCCCGGTCTCACCAATTCCTCGGTCTACGAGCCCTTCTGCACCCGCCGGTGATGCACCTACTCCTGCGTTGCCTGATAACTCGGAGGAAGATCCATACACAGGAATGCTCCAGGCATGTTTACTTCTCGCTCAACCTTCATAGCATACTAAGATGTGTCTGCAGGTTGTCAATCACTAAATTTGCGACCTCGACATCATTTATACCCGGTTTATACCCCTACTGGACTTACCCTTCCAAGTGGCGGACACCGTTTTTTGGTTTCCCTCCGACCATGCTTTCTTGCTTTAACTTGAATGCATTCATTGAGCAGCGCTCGTATTTCCGATGTTACCGTTTTTTTATAGTTATCATTAATGCATTCTGATGTGCTGTGCCCATCAGATATGTGGTTTTTGATTCTTGTTGAGCTGTCATGATGTAGGCGTAGGTTACCCACTTCAAAGTGTCGTTGCGTGTTGCGAGCGTCATTGTATCCGTAGTGTTTTCTTGATGTCTCCATGGATCAAAATTGTTTTTTGACTGTTATATTGAATGGTTTTCGTGTGACAAGCACAATGAATAACCTTTGTTACTACTCCCCCTTCAACGGCTTGTGTGTTTCGGTGGGGCTCGCGCTCTCCTCTCTCATCTGGTCTGCATCCTCTACGACTTTCCTTTCTGCCAAACGGTGCTCTCTCCGCTCTAAATACCATACCAGCCAAGTCACGCCCAATGTCGCTGCACAGGTGCAAATCATGGCGATCATGCCCTTTTTGAAGCGAGGCGCATCTGTGGCAGGGTAAAAGAGGAGTGGCCACCAGGCGTTGACTGCGTTGTTCCACATGCTTGTTGTTCAAGTCAGTTTGGGGCCAGCAGGAAACAAAGGAAAAATTAACTTCATGGAGGCAAGCACAATAGCACGTTCTTGATAATCATCTGCACATATCTGGTTTGCCCAACTACAGAACAATAAAATCAGCAAGAGTTAATATGGCAGTACATAGATGTAGCTGACGCAAACGTGGTAGCTTGTCCGGAATACGCGGCTCCTGCGAAATCTGAGAGGGACGAACTGAGTTTGCAAAGAAGTAACCTCAATGGTAGAAATTACGAACAATACGCGAAGAATTTCAATCCCGTTGGAGTACTCCACACAAGGATACAGATCGCAGCGACTGTGCAGCAGAAGCACATGTACACGAGTACGGGCCATCTTGCTCGCGTATAGTCTGTCCAGGTAGCGCAGACGAGCGTGGATGCAATACCGAAAGCTGTGACTCCACTTGGATAGTAATCTGATAAACGTATCAGGCACAGAAAGATACAGGTAAGTAATGTGCCCACCGACTTGCTCGACGGTATAACCGCCGATGGCAGACAGCCATTGGCCCATTAAATTGTTGGAGCCGAAACTTTCAGTTTCTCCTGAGACGGCGAACTGCACGAACAGTTGTTTATCCTTACTCGTCGAGTAACGGAAGACGCTTACGAGGAGACTGCACCCGTACCAACGCCAGCGGCTAAGCACTCTCTTAGCGAGATCCCAAGAGAGACCATGATGGACAACATCAGAGTCAAGACGGGTTTGGGAGAGAACCCGTTCCTGCGGGGAAGATATGAAATTGGAAGTTCACGTATCTTCAGAAGACATACCTCTTCACTGAGGTAAAATATTTTGGTGGTCGACGGCACATCGGGGAAAACGAGAAAGCCGTAAAGCGCGATTGGGAGCGTGATGACACCATCGATGATGAAGCTGAATTAATGATGTTCTGAGCTATGCCGTTCCATCAGTTATCTCAGGAGCTTACAGCCACCGCCATCCGCTTCTTCCGCCGACGCCTCCAAGATGTCTCATAGTAATTCAGTTTAAAATGTTGATCCCCGTGGAAAATATGATATCTTACTGGTAAACGGCTGCTTGAAGCACACCAGAAAACCTACCGACTGTCAGCGGAACGAACGAACGAACGTTGGATGATTGCCTTACAGTGTTCCAGCAAGACCCGAACTTGTAAAAATTCCTGAGCGTTTACCCAGCTCCCCAGGCTTATACCAACTTCAGGGATCGCATAAGTGATATTCCTGGGATAAATAGAACACTGACGATCCAAGAATATAGTGGGTGCCTACAAAGGTCGATGCTTCTGATATGCCTTGGAAGAATCTGATAGCGTACAGCTATGCGCGGAAACGGTTAGCATGGAGATAATCAGTAGTATTGACGGATCATACCTGTTGGACGTTCTGGACGCTACTTGAACTATATCATCAAGCTCGTCATTATCATGCTCGTTGCATTCTCAACAGAAAACGAACCAGAAGGTGAGCACACCCCACACTATCTGCATTGATGGAAACCATACTCTTGGAGGGACGATCTGGAGCATCAAGTTGTCTAAAAGGGTTGAATGGGGCACACGGGTAACGTAAATGCTTATGGCCTACTGGGAATCATTCCGACAATGTAGCCACACGTAAAAATGGTATTAATTTTCTATGAAGACACTGAGAGAAAGCTCGCTGAAAGCATATATATGAAGTACGTACATTGAAGTCATTTCCCTGCATATTGAGTTCTTCCTTCATTCCGGAAACATACGCATTGTTTACATTTGCTCGATCAAGGTCTGGTTACGAGAACAGTGTCAGAGACAATTCCCCATTCATCAAGTGATAATGTGAATGCCAAAGTGGATATGCTTTAGAGAAAGCTTCACGGTGACCACATCGCGGGTCTCTGTGACGCTTTCCTGCACCAGAAACTGTAATGCATGCAAAATGTCCGATGCCAGAGGTAAGGAACCTAACTCACAGTTCGTGAAATACTGCCACCGCAGTGACGCATGTGCGGTCAGTGTTTTAACGAGGAGCCAACGCAACATACCATTAGACAGCAGTATGACAAAATGAACCAGTCTAATTTCAAGAGAAGCATCCGCTCCAACCTTGAAGAGGGTATCTCCCCCCAGAGGAACTGCCTGACAGCCTGCCAACGCATCTCGCAGGACGGTCGGCTTTGAAGTCAGACTTTCGATGACGAGACAAGAAGATAAGTAGGCTAATCAGGTGCATAGGATCAACGGACTCCATGCTGGCGGTTAGAGTACTTACTGAGAATGAGAATGCTATATTTGGCCGTAGAACATCTGATTGTTTCCTTGGCAAATCAAAGAGATAAGACCTCGAAAGGAAGGTGCATGGTGACAATATTATAAATGATGCATGAAGGTGTACTATATGACTCAGATTATGAGGGGTTCAGTGCTAGATCGGTGATCAGTCTACAGTGCACGCAAGACTTTTTCGACTCCTCCGCACTTCAGAACCCCGTCGGATATTTCTCAAAGGCTTACTAGCTTAAAAAGACACGTAGTCTAATTTTTTTTTTAATTAAGCACCCATGTTTCAAAATGTGGACCGATTTAATTTTCTTGCCTGTTAACATAGTCCATTCGGATTTGTCCTGTACTTGACAGACATGCCCTACTAAACAAAGCCTCCGCAAGAGCCAAGGCGAAACGACAGGCCGGCCAGTCAATGTTTGCACCTGCGAAGTGGCGCTATATGGATGCATATCGGTGAATCTTCCATTGCCCTGTATCCAATCCTGTTCAATTTTCTGATTTCATTCTTCACCACGCTACGTGTCACAGCAAAGGACTTGATTCACGTTAAACAGCCTTCACAGTGCACAAATACAAGTCTCACCGCCGTGTAGGACTCCCGAACGAAATAATTGCATTGATGGAGTCTTGGATACCTCACAGAGCCTGTATACATTCCTCAAAACATTGTTTACACTCACCCGAAGGCCCTACAGGCCTCTACCAGCGCTAAAACACAGTTTTTGGAGGCATGTTTCAATTTTTGATGACGAAATTTTCAAACTTCAGAATTGTGTCTACTTGTTCAATGAGTCATGTTCTGCATATGAAACTGAGTCTATTACAGTACTTTATATTAAAAACAATGGAGTTTTGAAGTTACAGTAGCCCATTCATGTTGAACATGTTTGATATGCGCGCACTGTAGCACGCATGCAAGTATAGTGACCATGTTGTGCGGCACAACCCGATGGAAGCCTCCTACTACTACACAGCTGAATCTTGGTTTCTTGCAAGTGAAAGCATCAAAGGTAACAGATGGCGATACATTCTTGAAGGAAGGATGTCCAACACCTGTAGCAACCAAAAACAAACTGATGAGAAGTGCCAGGCGTATGAAATTTTGCTGGATTACGTCGCTACGTATTGCGCGAGCACGATCGACAGGGAAAGCGCAGTTGCCTAGAAGAAGGGAACACGATAGCTTGCAACAGCATCATTGCCCGGGTCGCACCATATATGGGACGGGGAAGGGGCCCCAGAGATGGCCTTCGTGCCAAACATTTATCCCAGCTTTTGGTGACGCGAGCGTACGCTGTGTAATTGATAAAGGAATGCAGTTCAACTAGACTCGATAACCAGTCTGACTACACGTCAGGCTGGTCACGAGCCTGCGGTTCAACAAGCACGCTATCCCGGGTCATATATGAGACATATTCTTCCGTAGGTTCGTATTCAATTCTTGGATCCGGGAGTCTTTAATCTCGACCAGACGACCCCGGATGTCGTGGTTTGTGAAGTCGGGCGGGAACTTCTAGAGTTTGGTTGGTTCAACGAGACTAAACTTAAAGTAGTAGGATTGGAGCATGATGCATAATTGATAGTACGTAATACGTGCGGTCTACTTAACTTGTCGGCGCGGTCAGTGCACACCGAACCATTCCCCACATCAGGACGTATGTGATTCGGAACCGTATAGAAGGTCGTACTAAGGTCAGTCACGGTGGGAGGAGACGAGAATAAATATCATTTACATCAAGGTGGGTGACGGAAATGCGCGGCAGTCCGCGGCTACCAGTTGAAATTTGGATGATCAGTCTGGGACATGCTGCCACCTCGTCACCTTCTACACGTGGAGCTACTGAAGTTTGACTGAAGTACTGCGCACGGCACAAACCCGTCGGTCCGACACGCCATATTTGTCTAACTACCAGCGAGCTTAGAATCTTCGTACATGTGGCACGGTTCACATCATGCACGAAATGCCAAATCAGCCCCTACCGAGTATGTTGCACTTGAAGTACCTTCTGATGGTACATTTCCCGATGCGGCTCAAGAGGCATGATGATCAGTCCTAGTCATGTAGTAAGAGGGTTTACGCATGGTTCGGAGCCGTGTTATGGGAGATGTCACAGCTTGCTGACAAAAATCCCGAGCGTAAGATTGTGTAAGAACGTCATAGGATTCGTATAAGTAAGCTAGTGATAGATATCAAAATCAGTATTCACCTTTCTCCTCTTCACATTTCTTTTGTTACCCGTAGAGGGTCAGTCCAATAATAATGCGCTCGCGTTGGTTGCCACTTGTTGCCGCTACACCTCTCCTCGCCATCGTCCTCATCGGGCCCCTATCAGTATTGGCAGTCCCTGTAGCGGACTTCACACTGGCGGAAGCACATACCGAACATTCTCGTGCGCAATCCATGGCATCCTCAGGAGACTTCCTTGTTTTTAGACGTGACGATGATCACATACATAAGCATCAGGGCGCACCTCTGACTGAGCTGAATGAGACCGCAATCATCCAGTGGCATGATCCCACTCCCCCCTCTTACTGGTCTATCGATATTGAGGATCGCGACCCATCTGTATCCCGTTACCCTGGACTCATGGCCCTACACGTGGTCTTCATGACCCTCGCCTTCTTCGTCGCCTTGCCTGTCGGTAAGTAAAAAGTTCATTATATCACATACCTGCATCATATGCATTCTAATTGACTTCGAATTGGCTACACTAATAGGCATAGCAATGCGCACCGTAAAGAATTCATGGCACGGCTTCGTCGTAGTCGCATTCTACAGCTTATGCGCACTTGGGTGTGCTTCCAGTGCATTGTACACGAAATTGACACCGGATATGTAAGCGAACGAACATTAAATGACCAATTTCGCGCCGGCATTTTCCTGACCTTCATCTCAATCACAGGTACGAGGGGTCAACCCATGCGTCTCATGGTTACTTGGTCCTAATCCTAAGTTTATGCCTGTCTGCGATCGACATTACACGCTTTTTCGCCCGTCTATATGCGTTCCTGAAGAGCAGAAGCAAGTTTGCCTTGAAGCCATTCTGGCGAAATGTCGTTTTGGGACGTGATGAAGTTCAAGATGTCACAGCCAGGTATACTGGCTTGGACATGGAGGAAGTTTCGGAATTTGAAGTAACCGAAATGAAGCCGCCGGGGCTGGCTGAGACTAGGGAACCACTTCATGGGCGACGGAATCAACTCATTGTACCTATCCAGACCCAAGATTTGAATGATGCTACTGACGATGAAACAGCACCATGGGTCAACGATCCTCGAATTAGTCAGGGTGCCCACCGTTATACGCAATCGATCTCGTCGGAGAGGACCGTGTTTGGAATCGATTCCCCGCAGGTTTCCAGGTCTGACGATACCCTGCATGATTTCAAGTTTCCCGGTCTTATTGAGCCGCAAGCTCCTCTCATCCGACGCATTTCTCAAGGAGCGTTTGCTACACTGGAGAGAGCATTGGTCTTTGCAGCTTTTGGTATGACGCTGTCAGGAATTGTCGTGTACACTGGTGGCTGTCGCGAAAGCTACATAAACGGCTGTCTTGCGCATCTAATCAGTATGCAAGCCTCTGACTACGGGGAGCCATTGTCACTTACTAGTTTTGCAGAGGGTGGCATTTTCTGGTGTTATGGCTTGGTCACCTTCGCCCGTTTCCTCGGATCATTCTCTGAGCTGGGGTGGGCCTGGAATACCTCACCGACCGGCGAACATATCTCTGCTGAATTCGTGGAGTCGCTGTTAATTTTCCTCTACGGCATCACTAACACTTGGATGGAACGCTTTGGCGCTCACTCTGGTGACCCTTACACTACCAAACAAGTACAGCATATAAGCATCGCTGTACGACACTTCTCTTGTCCCTCCTCTTCGTATCTCACAATCATTCAGGTTATGTTTTGGTTCGCCGGACTCGTTGGGATGGGAATAGAATCCAAGCGTGCTCGCCGCTGGCTCGCAGCGTCTGCTGTAGCCTCTCTTGGTCCAGCTGATGATTCCCGCATCTGGGAGTCCCCAAGCTACCGTGGTAGCTTCAACCCTTTCCCTGCCCTCGTCATTGGTGTCACCGGTGCTGCAATGAGCGCTCACGCGCAGACCTATCTTTTCCAGGTGAATTTGAAATTCACCCTTTCCGTTTCTAGGCTAAACTTTTTTTCGAATCAAGGTCCAGATCCACGAACTATGGGGACGGCTCCTTTTGGGATTCTCGGTTCTAAGGTGCTTTACCTACTTTTTTGTCTGGGTTGGTCCGCCCCGCTCTATTCTTCCCTCTCGGCCGCCGACAGAAGCTCTTGGAGGCTTCTTCCTCGCATGCGGTGGTTTGATGTTTATATTCAGTACTGAGGAAGTAACCATTGCTGCTATGCGGAAAGGACGTGATGGTATGCGGTTTTCTACCCCTCAGTACCCCCGTCCTGACGAATGATAGATATGATGATGTTCCTCAACGTCGCCGTTGCTATCACATGCTTCGCGTTCTGCTGGACCTTGTGCATCGTTGCGATGAAAGGATGGCTCAAATCTCGCAGCAGTCCTCGCTTCCCGTTCCCAGCTCCATGATTTCAAGTCGCTGTCAGTGAAATTTAGACGTAAACGCTATCACGCACGAGTGTTTTCAATTCTCCTTTCCTTGGTGCCTCGTTTCAATCGATGTTCATATTCGCTCACATCTACATTACTTCTGTTCCTGCTATATTCATGGTTCTTACAAGATAATCACTATTTCCATTCCCATACGTGCTTTCACGCCTCTTATGACGCTCTTGTAGTACGACGAAATGTCAACGTCTGTCTTGATTACTCGCTGAGTGACAACTACATCCTTCAGATCTGATGTGGCCAACTTCACAATTAGGATGGGACGCTTGCCCCTCCGTACAGGTGCACCACGCAGAGTCACGCATTTAGTTCGATGAATGGACATGACTGTTGCCCATGACGTGCGTCACAATGGATGCGTGCTGTGCAGTACAAAATCTACAACGATCATTTCCTGAGTAGTACGTACACGGGGTCGCCGAGAACAACATTGGTTAAGTGTCGATATGAACCAGTTATTGACAGCAAGAGTCCGCCGAATGACGCGTAGGCCGTGCTAGAGAATGATGTGAGACAGTAGACAGCAAATATGCGATTAGCTTACACAATGTCGGATGATCCAGTATCAAACTTATATACCTGTAGAACGAATGAGTAAATCCAAACCCTTGGATGATGGCAAACAGAGCCGCACCTTCCCATACATTACATAGTCATAATCTTCTTCCAAGCCTCTCCTTCCTTTACCATCTGGTCTCCATACATCTCTGTCTTTGTCTTCGCCATCTTCGCCATCTGCAGTAGGTGCACCACCATCCCGTGACAGTGACGAAGCAAGGGCCATTGCGAAACTGTCCCCGTTGGCTTAGAGGGAAGAGCTCGGTATTATAGTCAAGCGTCAAGTCCATGTCATAGTTCTTTGAACGAGCGTATAACCGAGACACTGGTTTTACATAGCGCATGTCAATCACAGGTAGAAAATGATGCGCATGGGCAAGTCCGGACCTCGGTCGAATTTTTTGCCATCCTTGTCGATGGCATCCGTCGTAAAGATGTCGTCGAAAACAATACTGGATGAGGTTGAGGCCATGGCTAATAAGTAGTGAAGAAAAGAGCCTGGACGAGTAGTCAACTAGTCACGGTTGTGCGTCTCCACTTAACAATTTCCAAAAAGAAAAGTGTGTAACCCCCTGAACTCGGCTACAAATATTTTCTATCTCAACAATGAAATAAGATATTGGTATATAAAGGACAAAGTTGACGAGAAAAAATAAGGCGTAGATGTAGCTGTGGAAAGGAGGGAGTAACTTGGTAAAATCGACAGTCGCTCGCGCTGCTGGTATGTATCAGTCCTTGCCTCTGGCAGCCATCGAATGCTGGCGCTAGAAAGTGAGGAATGATAGATGACTAGCAATTGCCCGTGGCTTTGCTTCAAAAGCGAGTCTGCCATTGGAGACAAGGGGGCGCAACACAGTGTCTACCCCATGTCGCGGGTCACACGACAGCACAGTTGAAGCATGTCAGCTTTGACGAGTAACACGCCGCGTTGTCACTTGGATTGGCTCAGCCTGCCAACACAAAGTCAAGGACCTGGATTGACATTGAGGACGGACCGAATGAAAGCTTCTTTCAGGAATCGGAGAGGATGCCGAGGCTAGGACGAGCATACCATGTACTCAGCATATTTATACGTATACATGACAACCATCATGTAAGACCCGAAATCAGGACCGCATAATCTGCCAGAGCTCCCATCCATATCCAGAATCCAGACCAACCACATCCGACTGAACCCTTCCCAGCAACTCGGACGACTCTCAAAGTCTGTTCTCCAAAGAACGCGTGCGAGCTGGGCAGCCCCAAGGCCGAGCCCAAGATAGAAAGGCGCTCCATGAGCGTTGAGAACACCTGCGAGACCAATGAGAGAGATGGTTGATGCCGAGAGCGCACCGAGAATTGGGCGGGTCTGCTCTCCAAAGAGCAGGGCGGTTGAATGGATACCGACATTTACGTCGTCTGCTTTGTCCTGCGAGAGTCAGAACATAAAGTGCTTATTGTGCAGCAACACTCACTTGATGCGCGTATATGCTGTCGTATACAAGAGTCCAGCAGACTCCACCTGCGTATAGAGGGAGACAAACACTCCAGTTGACTGCTCCGGCTACGGCAGACCAGCCAAGCAAAGCTCCCCAATTATAAGTGAGTCCTGTAGCATCATCACTTACATAAATACTCGTGACACAATAGAAACTACTACCACATACCTAGTACCGCTTGCGGCCAGTAGGTGATTCTTTTCATGAGCGGGTATACAGTCACCAAAGACAGAGATGAAGCTCCGAGGAGAATGCTTATGAGTGTAAAGGTCAATGCCCGCGATCGTTAAGCCAGAGTAAATACGATGTGTACCTGTACCAATTCAGTTGTAACAAAACTCCCAGTCCCACTGACAACTGCCCAGCTAAGAACACCAGTGCCTGTCTTTGGTTGATGTCACCTCTCGCAAGTGGTCTACTTCGTGTTCTCTCTGCGATGACGCGTCGGCGCAAAGAAAACGCGACGACGACGCGTGTTCTACTTACCTACTGCTTTGTCTAAATTTTTATCCCACATGTCATTGATGGTGCAACCTGCACCACGCATGACCATTGCTCCAAGGCCAAATAGGCCGAGATATGTCAAAGGCGTCGTCAATGGTGCCTCTAAGGCATATGAGGCCATGGTTATGGACCATGCTAGATGGGGCAAAGATGAGCGGGAAGCATGCACGACATCAAAGCCGCTGGACGCACCGCATGGGTAAAACAGTAACAGGGTCCCAATCGGCTTGTCGATTCTTGTCAAGTAGAGGTAAGGTCGCATTTTTGGTGGAAGACGGTCGACCCAGGTTGGCCGTTCAGTTGAAGTACCTGCTGTCCCAGATACATGACGGCCCGATAACTTTGTTGATAAAGACCGGATGCCAGTAATTTGACTGGCTGTTTGGGACGTGTGTCCACCAACTCGTGGTATATTGGATGTTGAGTTCCTCATCAAAGAGCGTCCTGCGTACAATCTGGAGAACCGGGCTAGTGTAATGATGGCCATGCTAGTTTCAAAGCACCACGCTTATTAGCGCTCAGGGATTTACAGTCTCGATGACAAACCTAGGGTACCAGTGCGACGAGTAGTAATAGAAGTGAAACTAACACGAGCCACAGCCTAGAGCGCTATTAACACGTAAGTAATTTGATCTGTGTTCTCACTCGAAGGGCGCCGACGATGTGAGTAATACTAACTGAAGTTAGCTTGTTTGCGCTCGTGCAGGCAAAGGGAAGTGCTACCGAAGACAGAACATATGGAGTACTAGTGTCCTCGTTTTTAGAACTTTACCTACTTTCGTTATTCTCTTGCTGACTAAGTATTACTGTATGGCCCACCGTTTAGTTATTGCTTTCTGTATCATCGCACTAGTATTGTACATGTTAGCTACTTGCATCGTTCTGTACGCTATGACACATTCTCCGTGCTTAGCACCACAGACGACCCTGTTAACCCGTCAAATTTCCATAGCCCGCAGTGATAAGTATCTTCAGTGGAAAACTTCAGTCAGCCGTACTTTTCTTCAGCCACTCGATGTGGTGGCTTCAGTTTGAAACAAGCACAAGCAAGGAGATACGAGAGCTGATATCAAATGATGCCATAGGGTAATGCAACAAAAGCCGTAAAATGACATAAAGACAAGACGTCTTCATTCACCACTCCTTGGCAAGTTTAAACGACCACTCCCAGTCTGAAAAGACGACATGTCAGTTTTGAGATATTGATCATGGTTTCTGCAAATACCAACCTGCGTATACTTCCCCATCATCGTCCACAACGCGGCTTCTGACACTGAACGATCCCTGAACGTGCCATAAACCCCGACGGCGATTCTTCTTCTTCAAAGTTCTTCGTGTATGCTTCTCCTTCGGGATGGGGACCGTATGATCCAAGCATTTGCTCGACCTTGTCCACTATAGAGGTGGTTAAACTCAAAGACCTGAGCCACAACAAGAATGCACTGATACCTTTGATACCACCACGTTTGACCAGCTGAATGTATCGAACACCCTTCGCAACAAGCTTTTAGAACCTGCAATCTGCAAGCCAAAAGACAAGCCACTCACAGAAATAATTGAGTGATTGACCTTGAACGTGATCCGAACGCTGTGATAATATCAGCCTGGCAGCACCTGAAAACGACTCTCAACACACGCACTTATATATTATGCCCTCCTTGATAATGATTGGGTTCTTCTTGATGTCGGCCATCATGGCAGCGTTGTTGAGGTCGAAGGTAAGCTTCTTGCCAGGAGGCAGCGTGGATGAATGAAGCTCCAGGGTCAGAACTGTCACCTATACAAACCATGAAATCCAGGACAGGCGCTACTGGGAGGAACATACTTTCGGTCCCGAGGTGTCCCCAGTGGATGCTCCAGGCATGATACCAAGACTGGCCTTCCACCGTGCTAAGCTCTCATCTTCCTGGTCGAGCTTGGCGAATTCTTCCGCTGTTTTTGGAGCTGTAGTTAGCTTGTAGCCTGGGACATATTCAGTGAGCTGCTCATTCCATCTCTCCTACATTCAATACTGGCCCACCTGGGGTGGCAGAGGGCTTCAGATCATCCTGATCGTCGTTCTACAGTAGCACCAATTAGCTAGCCGATCGCAATCGAATTTTATGTTCAACACGCACAGAAGACATCTCGAATGCGAAACTCGAAGCTTAGATGGAAATGATCTGGGCGATGAGTTGTAGATGAGTTGTAGTTTCCAAGGGCCTTTTGTGATTGCTTGGCAGTGCCCTTCTGTTCAGACACTTATCTACTGATCTGATTTCACACGCCTTGGCCTGTTGCCTAGGCTCGAAACCCAACATCATTGATTCAAAGTAAGTTCCGTTGATGCTGAGTTTGCTCGACTGGAAGATATTCGCAATATGATGAACGCAGAGTTACGAAGATGGGACTTGATTCTGCCAGTAGAACTGGCAGAACTACTTCAAAATAGCACTACCTGTTGCCTAGGCTCGAAACCCAACATCATTGGTAAGTTCCGACATTAATAGCCGGATGTCGAGCTCGAAGCTCGACAGGACTTTCGGTGCAGAACAAGGCCAAGAGATTAATGGTGGCGGAGGGCATAAATCGAGCGCCCACATTTGGCAGAAAACGCGGAAGTATTTGGAGATCGAGAACAGTGCCAGGTGTCTCGGCATAGTTTGGGGTCACGCCAAGCTTAGACATAGACGACTTATCGTCCACTCCATCCTGTGTACTCTCTAGCACATGTGGTGTATAGATTCGTAATTCGGAGGTACATCCTATAAATAATAAGTCCATATCCGATCCATACAATAACATGTAAAAAACCACACATGAACAACAATGTTGTAAACACATAAAGAGCAGAGGGTAACGCGATAAAACGTCAGGCTGAAACCTTCGTACAGGTCATGCGGCACATAAGACAAACCAATAACAGGCATGCATGCGTTGAAGCGAACTATGGTGATAGAAGAGGCGAAACGTTATGCATGCTTTCTGGAGGTGAAGCATTTCAGTTAGTTCTCAGGCTGGTATCCGACGTTCTGACACGAACCGCCTTTGAACCAGCATTTGCCCTTACTCAGGTGAAAGCACTTCGGGCCGTTAGGGCATACATGACCCCAGCAGCACCGCTCGCCATATGGGCACTGGAGACCTGTTATGGCCAATTATTTAACGAGGCATCGAGGTGAAGTTGAATCGACATACCATTTTTTAGGAAATTACAAGGAGCCTTCTTGGCGTTAGCAGCCAGAGTTGCCAGCTGATCTGGCGTCAGGATATAGTCATGTGAATATTTACAAGCCCCCTAATACCAAAATTTTCGTTAGCAAAGTGGGGAAGACTCGCGGTTTCATACTTACGCCTTTAGTGCAGGACATGAGATAGAATTCATTACAAGGTGGGGGAGAGTCTGTGTAAGTGGTAAAATGTCGAGTGTCTAGGCACTGACCACATCTAATCAACACAATCTTGACTCACGCTTATGAAGGGGCTGGGTGTTATCAACATCAACAATGGACCACAACAACAGGATGTACATACCAAGGTGGGGTCAACCAGCCTTCCCGTCGCGGAAGTGTTCATGTTGGGCGGCGAGTGCGGTGTCGGTAATCCACCACATGTAAGCGTGGGACTGAGACCATTGGTATTCAATGGCGGAGGCGTCCTCAATGGCGGCGAGAGCCTCTGGTTGATAAACAATGTATCCACAGTCAGGATCGGCAAACGGTGTTTCTGTGCGTAATTGGGGCTCGCGCGACAGGCCTCTAAGAAAGCGATTTTCCCCAAAAGGCCGTCATTTTGCAAGGCAGCAATAGTTGGAGCATAAGTGTTTTCCTGACCACCTGCATTACGTCAATTCATGTGGACGATAATGGGCATTGACAAGACTTACCAGCAAAGAAAATTCGCTGAGTTTGGGGGAAGCGGAGGTATGTTTGCAGATACTCTAAATGAGTGTTAGTGATGTGGCCACCATTGAGCAACACGTGCCGACCTGTAATTTTCGTGAAGGTGGCGTCTTTGCCGTATCCGACATCAACTAAAACAAACCTAGGCGAAGACTGGCTGAAGCCCATAATGAAAGCATCAAGTTGCTCCGGGCTACATAATTTATGTCGCTCGAGAACACTCGCCAGTACCGCCTTGTTAAAGTAAATCGTTACCCAAAATGACAGTCGACCGAGAACGTGAATATCCTCGCTGGTTAAATAATCCGCGACTGCCCTCGTCAATTGTTGCGCGGCCTGGCGACCACCTTCGTGGCCTTGCTTAAGGAGCAAGTCATTAAATATACAAGCATCCCCATCGATGACGCAGAGGACGAGTAGACTCTGACTCTGTTTGTAATTATGGATGAATTTAGTTTGCTTGAGCGGGAAGTGGACTAACCATAAAGGTTTCCATTGACGCCACCTGAGAGTTCAGAGAAGCCAGCCTCCCTTTAAGAGCCTTGGCCTCCCGGTCTGCACCTTCAAGAGCAGTCGCGTGGGCTTGTTTCCAGACCGCAAGCTCAACCTCGAGTTCAGCTAAGCGATTCTCGAGGTCAGCATTCCGTTTAATTGTGGCTGACGACAGGTCTAAAAACTGTATTAGATTACAAGCTGCTTTCTGATGTGAGAAAGGTACTTACTCAGAAGTCTGCCCAGCGTTTCATCCCTTGTTAAAATTTTCGAATCAACATTTTAGCTGGTGCAACAAATAATCTAATGACTGACCAGAGCAGCTGACTGACCTCTGCTACCGGAGACGTTGCCATATGGATTGGCAAACGATGGGTACAGAGTGGATATTAGATATTAGGGAGCACAGGAAAACCAACAAAAATCGGCAGCCTTTTAAACCATCGAAGCCACGATGCTTACCTGCAAAGGGGCTGGGCCGTTAATCAGGCTAGATCGCGGGATTTGTGCAAGTGGAGAAGCCCGCAGATAAGGCAATCATATCATTTATGTGGGCAACTTCAAGGACATATGTTGTCATTCAAAGAAGTCGAGACTGATTTGGCTAAGTCACGCGAACCAAGTGAATGTATCACGCTCTTCATTGAGAATCACTTGTACGTGCTCAAGTACGTCAATAGAAAAATTCCATCAGCGTTACGTTGTTAATTGTCCTCCGTGATGATGGGGGAAACTGAACCTTGATGTCAAGGTATGCATATATGTACAAATAGACGTTTCCGAGGCCGAACCCATCTCCGGCAGAACAGCCTGGAATCGTCTAACATGAAACTTTATCATAAAATCGAAGGTGCATATTAATTTCAGTTAGTTCGGCTGGCGGTGCATCCCCGCTAAAGCGAAGATGAGAGTTGCTTGGTGTGGAGGATGACCAGATGCTCTCACCTGCGACAAATTTACATTTTCCTAACTTCAGGAAATAACAAGTTGTGCCGTTCGGGCACGAATGCCCATAAACACAGTCGTCCCCAAATAAACAATCCCCACCTGACGAAAAGTTAGATAACTAGAAAATTGCGAGTGGGGAAGGCAAACCATCATTCGCGATTTTACAAGGCGTCTTCTTTGCATTCTCTTCGAGTTCTTGATAGTGCTCTGCTTCCAAGATATACTCATGCGAATATTTGCAGCCCGAACCGTGCCTGCATTGTGCCAAGTAGAATAAAGTGCACGGAGGTGGAACGTCTATGTGATAAGGTTAGCATTAGATCACCAATGGACGCTTAGTGAACATACGCTTAGACAAAAGCTAGCAGCAATTAGATCAGAACAACGTCAAGAAACGTGAGGGGTCAATGCAACTCACCAGTTGGGAGTTGATACGTCGCTGCCTCGGTGGAGAAGGAGGGGTCAATCGTGGGAAGCGAAATGGAATCTCGCTCGCTTCGCTGGATTCACTACTCTCACTTGGCTCCGCTACTGGACTGCCAAACCGCGCTGATATTGCGTGCGGCGCTTGCAATACAGATTTATAACTTGGAATACTTCCGCGCCGAGCCATCGCTCCCTGGCCTTCTCCAGACATAGGGTTTATAGCAGGCGGAGAAGTAGGAGGACAGACTGGCTGCGGTGCAGAACTCAATTTCGGAGTAGTAGGCACCAGTCCAGGCGGAGGACCAGTCGCGATGACATTATAAGACGGTGCCACGAGTTTAGTCGTCATAAACAGTTCGGGTACTCTGAGCTCAGGTAGCTGGAGCGCCCTGATATCAATCGCTACCTCGGAATAACCAGGCATGAGGACAAGTTTATGACCAAGGCCGGAGGTAACGACAGAACGAAGATTGTGCACATAGCCATTGTCATGGCATCCTGTTTGGGCGAAAATCAGCAGACTGTCTGGAGGGTGGAGGTGGAACTTACCACCGAAGAATATTTTGTAAGTGTGTGGGAGACGGATGTTATCTTCAAGATGGACTGGACATCCAGAAATAACTTCAATATTGAACTCCGTGCAAATCATCTGAGTTAACTCACCCTTAAGCTTCGCGTCCGCTGCTTCTTTGCTACCTCCTACGTCGACCATGATAAATCGCTCAGCAGCTTGATTGAAACCCATCATGAAGTCATCAAACTTGGCTCTAGCCGTTGTTAGACCCGCTCGGCCAAACGTGTCCAGAAGGCCGCGTTTGTTATAGAAGAGGTACACCCAAAGTTGGTATTGCTCAAATCCTTCAGCGAATATGCATTGGCGAATGCGTTCGGTCAGTTTTTTCGCTGCAGCTAGGCCGCCTTCCTGGCCTTGGCTCATCAACTCCTGTGTGAAGATCATTCCGTCACCGTCAAGCAAACATATGACTCGTTTTTCCAGTCCCTTTGATGTGGCTTTCAGTTATACGAGCCGACTAGCTCAAACATAAACGCACTTTTAGGACGTTCAACTCGTGCATCAAATCGTTTCTCTCTTTCTCTTGTCTTCGAAGGCGCTCTTCCATAGCGGAGTATGCTGTTTTGAAAGCACCCAAATTCGTTGAAAGCTCTCGAATACGAGTCTCGTAGAGGGATTCATTGTTCAGTAATGTGTTTATTTCACCTGTCGAACATGTTGTGGTCCTGGATGAATACCAATTCGGGTCAGAGGTGCATACCAGAAAGGTGCTCGAGAGTATGTTGTCTGTATGACTGTCATTCAGCGCTGCACGTAGTAAGATAATCGAGGGAGTACAGACATTGAATGCTGCTGGACGACTCCATGGTTTTCGTTTCCGTTCATCATGCTGGTAAGGCAGGAGACAAGTCGTGCTACGCCACACTTTATAAAGTTAACCCCTTTGACGTGATCCTCGCCTTTGTGGTATGTTGGTTAAAGCGATGCATATGCTGTGTGCCGCAATCAAGATTCGCAACAACCTCGAACGTCCACTTTGCGCCTTTGCATGCAGGCATCCACGAGCTTCTTGTTCACACGTCTCCAACGCACACAAGCCATGCATCCCAAGATGTGACCACAACAAAATACTTGGGTATCGACAAAAAAGGACCAAGCTTAACGCCCGGATTCCCTACACTAGTACGGTGAAGGATTGCATTGAGTTCATTGAGGCGTGCGATGAATGATTTATAAAGAAGGCCTATGAGTGACCCAGCTTGTTTTGTCTGCAAGGTAACGGGAAACAGGCGCGTAGGAACCCAAAGCTGAATTGGTATGTAAGGTCAGGTGGTGGACCTCGGTCACAGTCTGTGATTCAGTCGACCTACCTTCACTCGTGTAGCGACTGCGCTGCTTCCGCTGTTTAATTGCTGTATTTGGTCTGTTAATCAGTGAACGACGAAAGTTGGAGGTATCATTGCGAGTCGTGGCACCTACCAGAAACCGTGATGATTTGTAAGGGGGGAGATCAGACATCTAGTACCGCGACTCAGAAGTCCTCAAGATAAATTTCAATTAATTTATCAGGTCTTGCGGCACGCGACTATACCTGGTGTGTGGTAATTAGTAATTACCGTTAAGTTTGAGCTGTGCGTCTGCAGTTTTTCTGATGCATCCAACATCTACCATCCTGAATCATTCAGCTGCCTGGTTAAACCCCATCAAAGATCGTCAATGCCCTGATTATAGCGAGATCCAGTTCGTTCGAATGTAGAGAGCGAACTGCGCCTGCCGTAAAAAGACATTCCCAGAATCGGTACTGTGTTGTACCCATGATTGAAAGTAGACATTCACTGTGGGGTTTCTACTTATTCCTGGCTGAAGATGGCCACCTTCGATCGCTGCCTTGTTTCATCAAAGCATGAGAGAAGACGATGCCATGTCGGTCGACGGGGCGCACAATTCACTGATCTCAGCCCTATTTGCAATTTTCCATGCATTAGAGCTGATTAGGGTGTGAGCCTGCCACTTACCTTGAGCTTCTGAAGTTCTTGTTCCAAAGTCCTATTCTTTTCCTCCATATTAGCGTACACTGACTTGGGAATTGTATACTGAAGACTTTCACAGCCGGCTTCGTTCGAGACCTGGTATTTGAAGCCAAGAAGTTGTGCATGGATGATAGAGATGTACATAACCTGTGCGACCTCGAGGGTGGAAGTGTGATTGGGTCCACCCAGTGGCTCGACCGGTGGACCATCCAGCCAACTTCTTTGGGTTAGAGCACACCTGGGAGGATCTGGCGCAGAATCCCAAGAATGTATGCGAGAAATGAAGAGTTTCGAGCGAACGCGTTGGAGAATGTGGTGAAAAGAGAGATACGGTTGACGAGGAAGAATTTGCTTGCCGCTAGACAGTCACTCGAAAGTCAGAAACCGGCACCTGGCACAATATCTTAAGTAGTAAGCAGCGGCCTGCCAACTAAATGTAAATGTTTAGATGAAGCCCAAAGAATCAACACAAACCTTGTCTTCCAAGGAGGCTAGCTGGTTTGCGAGTCACGGTCACAGAGGATACTCAAATGCGGTATATACAATTAGCCTGACACCACACGGCAAAGACGCGCTCGTGGGAACTACTTACGTGGACGCGTTCGTCGATCATTTGGTTCGGGTATCTCTTGTTCAATTTGCGACATCCTTCATTGCTCTGGCAGCTCTTTGCAGCTGTCTTCCTGATATCTTCTCTACTTTTTGTACTTACACTTCTTCATGACCGATATCTATACGTCCCTCGGAGTCTCGCCCAGGAAGAAACGTCAACTCATTAGTTCAGACGACGAGACTACTTTCACTCCCAAAAAGCTTCGAACTGCGTGAGCATGTTTAACCTATCATCACAGTATCATTCTTCTCATAGATGTCATCTATTAAGGCCACCTACACCGCCCTCCTCTGCTCACAAGGGCAACAAACTAAATCACACGTCCTTACCACCCCATATTTCACGACTCAACACGATTCAAACAGCCTTACAACATGCATTATCACATGCGCTAGCAACATGTGCCGTGTCTCCATCTTCTGACACGGGCATAGTGCGTAACGTGCTCAATCATATGTCCATCATGACTTACTCTGGACTCACAACCAAATTCGACACTGATGATCTCAAACGCCTTTGCTGGATATGGGAGTGGGATGCAGCTTCACTTCCCGACATTAAAAGCAATGACAAGGCGATTGATGATGACAACCCGTTCTTAGATGCTCCTGCACAGCCTCCTGCCAAGGACTGGACGCGAGGCGCGATGGGATTGGTCATCAGCCCAACTAGCCATTATTCCAAGAGCGCAGGTAAACGCGTGCCTGTATATGGTATTGGCATCGAGGTTGAGATCAATATCGACAAAGATATGGGGGGTGGCATGGCCGCTGTGGCTCGATGGACCGCCGATGCAGAGAAGCGACGAATTGAGTTTCGGAATAAACTTGAGCGCTGGGTTAAGGTTTGTCCCCCGGTCTCCGCTACTACTATCTACGCTAATTCCACCGCAGCTCCACCCCGATTTTTCAGATCTGCCAAATGTCCCTTTGGCAGATCTCCCGGAGCTTGTAACTACAGTCAAGGTGTCCTCGCTGACTCGTGTGCTTGCTTCTGCCTCGCCTAAGAGTGCCTCGATTCTCAGGAATATGGTTCCATCCAGTCCGACCTCACCGGCGAAGTCGCCTGTAAAGCGTTCGATCGCTGCCCATGAATTTGCAGTACCTTTTCCTGCGATTAGTCCATTAAAGCCAGCCACTGCATCAACATCGAAATCTTCCACTGCATTTCCTCAGACACCATCATCGCGTCAGAGACGTGCAGATCTTTTGGTTGGTCTTCTGACCCCCAAGACTCCTGCGCGTCATAGGGGCGAGAGTGATGCATCAGACTCTCTACCTATGACACCTGTCCATCAACGAGGTGTCAACGCCGAGACTGCACCGTCAACTCCGAGTTCATCACGTCGTCAAGCCTTATACGACCGTATTCGTCAGAAGTCTATCACCACCAGTCCAACCAAAGCAAAGAGCGCGGAAGTCGCAGGAGGAAAACTCTCCAGGGAGCAGATCCAGAAAATGGGTCAGGAAGAGATCCGACGACGCTGCCTACTCGGCCGCTTAGGTGGTGTCGCCGAGAGTGCCTGGATGTCAGTATGATGTTCTTAACCTCTTCTTTCGCTTAACTTATTATTTGACAGGCTGTTCTCGGCTCCTGTCGGACCGACTTCCACACCAACAATTCGCAAACGCAAAGCTCTTCCGGCCTCTGAGGTCGCAGCTGCGATCATCAAATCTTCCCCTGTGCCGATGTCAACTCTAGAAGCCAATGATTCGTTGAAACTGCTCACGACACTTTGTCCGTTCTTCCTCCGACCCCTGGATATCGCTGGTAAAGAATGGCTCGAGATGCCACCCACGTCATCAGTGCAGGACTCCGATAATGGCACTGGCAGCAAATCCATACCCTCAAGTCCAACTAAGAAGCTCGTTGGCAGCAAACTTGTCCCACCACCCAGTCCAGGTGCACGATCGTCTTCTAGTATGGGTCCACCACCCAGTCCTGGCTCTCGCGCGAAACTCGACAGCGCCGAAATACTCACACGAAGTCCCAGGCGAGTCAAACGTGAAATAGGCGGCCTCAGAGAAGTGAGGGAGATTATTCGAAGGGAGCTGGAGCTGCAGGATTAGCTCCAGATCAGTGCTCATCTTATTCTATTTCTAATTCTATCAGTGCCTTTCCTCCAACCATTACTTGCCTGCCGTCGCTTTGTTAACTTTTTCAGCTATGTATATAAACAATAGCCGATTTTCAATGTATACCTTGCTGCACCCAGATCTCGGAACCTTCGTGAACATTGTTGTACTACAATTACTTAACTATGGCTCGTCAGCCAAAAATTCTGCCCATACCTCGTCCATGTGGTATAAAATACTTAAATGGCCTCCATCAACGTCTTTGATCCGCGCATTCTTGTAATTGGCAGCAAGATAGTGTGCATAGGCCACCGGAGACATGTGATCGTCCTTGCTCGCCGTGAGCAGGACACGCGGACGAGAGTGTTCCTCGTCCAAAGCATCAGGCCGGAAACCCCAATCCGAGTGCAGAAGGGGTGGCGTGAGCAGAAAGCCCTCCCAAGACTTGGAAATGCTCTTCACGACATTCTCTGCCATGTTCCGCACCGTATCCTCCGGTATCTTTCCGTGTTCCTCACTCCACCGCGCAAACACCTCCCGCTCCGCCTGATCCATCCTGTCAAAAAGAATTTCCCGCAACATTGCCTCTGCACCTTCTATGGTTGCCATTTTTCTCGCCAACACGGATTTCACCAAATGAGTGAGGAGATTGAATGGAATGTAATACGAGACGGGGCCGGGCACGAAATAGTGCTCCCACGTCATGTACTTGGCGTAATCTTTGTGGTAGCGAAACGGTGACATTGCGCCCAACAACAGCACGCCTGATATGCAGCGGCCGAATGGGAATTTGTCATACGGTGCCCCATACAGCATCTGCGCAGGCACCGTACCGAACGAGCCCCCTGCGATGTACAGTTTGATGTCACTGCCGTTTGAATCAGGATACAGGTGGGACAATAGCGTGGTCATGTCGCTTGTGAGGCAGTCGTGGTATAATGTCGACGGGGTAGGAGGTGACGTGTTGCCCCATCCAGGCAGGGTGGGCGTGATGAAATGAACATTCTTGCTCAGGAGCACAGGAGACGTCTGTGACGCATCCCCGACAGTGAAAAACCCATGCAAGTAAAGAACGATGGTCTTGCTGTGCAGATTTCCTGCTTCTGCGTACGCCAAGTTACGCCCATCGCGCAGAGAAAGAAATCGTTCACCAAAGCCGATGTCTGTAGACATGAATCAAAGATGGTGCAATATTGTTGCACAGACGTCGCGGCCTCATAGTCGGTATTTATGGCTGTAGAAGACGTGTGTGAAGTGGAAAAGGAAATAATCCCACTACAGCGGGCTGCGGGGGGGAGACAAGCACTTGGCATTCCAATAGTAAGTAGAATCAACCCAGCAGCGGGCGGACGTACACCGTGACAGCAAAGCTGCGCACGCAACAGGTACCGCAGCTTACAACTGCGCGTAGGTTGCCCAGATCAGTTATTCTTGTGTGTCCTCAGTTGTCCAAGTCTATGCTGCGCACTATGCCAGGCACTTCCATCTCGTGAGTCGCGGTTGGCCGTTTCTAGGGAAATCATATAGCTTTGATGGGCGCAACTGCAAGTCACATATTAACACGAAGCATCACCGCTCAGAAATTCGGCCTCTGGGCCTAGGTGAAGGAATAACTGTCTTCCTCAACGGCGAGCGAAGCGGCTTAGCTGTAGATCATGTAGAAGTCGATTCGTTCTAGCCATTGTACGTCACAAAACCGTCTTACGAGACCGTCTGTTGAGCTGGTAACACGGCATCGGTACGGAACTACCACGATCCAAGGCGCCTATATACCAAAAAAGAGTAAGTTACAATAATCACTGATAAGGGGAGTAATCTTGGGCCAGGAAGGTTCGAATTCGACGCCACCTCAGGCACTTCAGATCCGAGAAGCTATGATTGTCAGTGTCAGTTTTTTGTCTGACCCTGGCCAGGGAAACTGACGAAATGGGCAGGGTGGCTGCACGCGGAGGTGTTCCGAGGGAGGGTCGAAACTATATGAGCCTGAGAACACGAGATTAACCCACTTAAAGGTTTATATAGAACTCCCTGTTGCATAATGGATGCGTAGGGAGGGACACAGCCCTTCAGCTTCGAAGACAAGAGGCTATATGTATATACACCTACGCTTCTGTGAGATCATACGCAACTAAGTATATGATAGAGGGCCTAAATGACTGCACAGCATACTACGCCAGCTGATCATGCTCGAAGGCGGGTGATGTAAGTAGCAATGATCAGTAGTAACTCGCATATCATTCCCGAAATGTACACCTACATTTTTAATTCTGATCTAATAGCTTTCTCAAACTTCGCACAATCAACCACTCTACCTTCTCTCCTGCTTGTCTCGGCAGCAAAAACGGTAAGATGACTCTTGAGCATCTCGGAGACATCAGTCCCAAGTAGCTCTTGATTGTTTGTGCGCACGGCCTCGACGAAAGTACTGATAAGACCCAGATCTCCTCCTCCGTGGCCACCACCTTCGTTCTTCGGGTAGTGTGTCGTCTTACGCCCCGTGCGGAAGTCGGTGACAGTAAAATTATACATATCACCAACTATCTCGCCGTGTGTGAAGTGCAAACGTGTCTGGCGATCGCAAATCAAGGAGGTGTATGCCACCATCGTGAATGAAACAGTGGCCCCTGTGGAATACTCGATATTTACAACCTGGAAACATTGCGTTAAGATTGCATTAAGTTTTCAGGGAACATCGCTGTGTACCTGATGATCACAGACATCGTTATCGCTTTCGTATACGCATTGTCCGTAAGGTCCATTTCGCAGAGCATCGGTGATATTCTCTATATCTGGTATTCCATCAACAACAGTGCTGGCAGGCCAGTTAGTATTTCCGCGAGAAACAGGGTCCAGGTATACTGCATGGTTCCGCTCAGTTTGTACAAAACGAAGATATATCAGGTCTACTTTTCTTTGCACTGTATGGACAATCTTGCTCCACCGGACAATCTAAACACCGAGTTGCAGCGCCTGCTGCGGGAGGCTTCTTCTCATTGCGGAAATGCTGCAAAGAGCCGAACGAAGAGACTCGCGTCGGAATTGCAGGGGAAAGCCAATGACACAGGATGTCAATGTCACTTGCATGTCCAATCAGTTAAAAAATCTCGTGCGCGGTGGAACAATACTCACTGGCAGCTCTTGCTCATGAGAGAAAAAGAACTCTCAGACTCTTTCTTCCAATTGCCACGAACATAAGAGTGAGCAAAGTGAAAATAACCAACTGGCTCAACGTGAACGGCGTTGATCAGGTCGCCCAGGTGTCCTGAACGGACAACTTCGGTGACGGCCTTGCTATAAGGGGAGTAGCGCAAGACTGCTTTGCGTGAGATTTGAAGCTTGTGAGAGAACAAGTCTTATCACTCACCGTGACCCATTCCGAAGATGATATCAGCGTTTTTGACTGCCTTCTCCATCTCAAGGCAGTCTTGAAGGCTTGTAGCCATGGGTTTCTCGCAAAGTATATGGTATCCCTGGGCGGCGAACGCCAATACCACCTCACGATGCATGCGGTCTTGCACCGCAACAATGACAGCATCCGCTAGACGCTTCCCGATGGTTTGAATGGTTTCAGCAGATGCCTTTAAGAGTTCCTGCCATGTATTAAACACGAGGGTGCGGTCGAGCTTGTGAGTGCGGGCAAAGAGATCGCGGGTCTTTAGCCTCGGATCTGCAATAGCAACTACCTTGCACTTCTGCGGGTGATCAAGGGCATATTTGGCATAGGTCTGTGCAGAAGTGTCAGTGAACTGGGAGACGGAACACGAACGACTACATACAGTCCCCCTCTGACCACAGCCGATGACAGCCAGCGTGACAGGCTCATTCAGCAGGGATGTCATGGTCGCAGAAGAGGAGTCGTCGGACTTGATGCTCGAGCGAGACCACAGGGACTTTATAGGATGTAAACGCGACATGTGATGATAACGGTCCGCTATCAATGCTATACCTGTCAAGTAAATTGGGCGCAGGACGGAACTATGTATGTATAGCCTGCTATGGCTAGGCCATGAAAGGCATAAGCATTTTGTCGTGGTCGCAGTTGTGTAAAGAGTTGTCCACAGTGACCTCAAGCGGGGAGTTTACCGCGGTGCATGCCTCGTTTACTTCCACGTCTGCTCAAAACATTGCAAGACGCCCCGCAGCCCAACCCGGCAAGCAATGGATATACGCGCTACAAAAAGCGTATTTCTATGAAAAGGCTTATCCCAGAGACGCCTTCTTTCACTTCAAACGGCAGAACTCACTCAATTTTGCTGGACGACGCGAACCCGATCACTGAAGGCCATCTTTATAACAGACACAAGTCACTACCACCCAGGGTCCGTCTTCTGAAGCCCCTACAAGATACTGGGGAGCATGATCACCCCCGGGAAATGACAGAAGAGGAACGCGACTGGTGGTCCAGCCCTTACCGTGTGTTCGGTGCACCGTTTCTGGGGTCTGCCTGTTAATCGTTCTTATGTAGTCAGAATGCTCGCCTCGCCGTTGCGAGAATGTCAAATAACGCGTAAAAAGCTTCCCAGTGGTGCGTGAATACCTAGGCTCATGTTTCACCTCCTTCATCCCACCCCTAGACTTTCTCATTCGTCTGGCACCCGTGCGGCTCCCAGCCTCTCAGGGCGTACGCGAACAGCATACACTAATTCCAGATGGCGTCGAGCATCCAAAATTCAAACCTCGTCGATCAACGCCCGCATGTTATATTACGTGCTGGAAAGATGCCATTTCATACTCAACAACTAGAAGTGCGTGACGAATTGTAACTCCACTCTTGCCGCGACTAAGTTCTTGCTAGTCCCGCTGTCTAAAATATCCCCTAACTTGACAGTTCCCCTTTTGTTACCATTGCGCATCGGTTACCAGCTCCGTTTACGAGTTCTCCAGGAGCTTGACCTCCTTACTAAAAAACTTGCTTCCAGCCCTTTAGATGATCCCGCAGCGACGGTGCTCCGAAGACTCACCCGTTCCGAATGGAACGTAGTTCAACAAACCAACACGATCCTTCACAAGGATGCAGTCGCTCTGATGGTAGTACCCCCAGTCAACCGGAACCCAGAAACAAAGGAGAAGCCACAACCCACCGCACAGTTAGACATCGCTGATATCGTCAAAAACGATACTAGCAACTTGGAAAACTCATCGCGGCCTCTTCCTCCCCTCTCCGTTCTCCATCCAGTCACGGACGATTCAAGTTGTCCACTTCTCCCAAATGCGCAAGCCCCTCTCTACCACGGTCTCTCCTTGTTTCCTGCCCGACCACAACGAGCAGCACTACATAAAGCACTCTGCAAACTACTTGAGGTGGAGCGTATGGCGCGGTTGCGCGCACTTCCGACCTCCGGTTCTTTTGAGCATGAAACGTCTCCACGAGCTCGAGGTGATGCCAAGGGAAGTCATGCATTCCTATTGTGTTCGAATCAGCGTACTGCCAAACGTGCGGATGTTGTCCCTTTGGCAATAGCTCTCTGGAGATTGCGTATGTGGGAGGGGCAAGCTTACGCTTGCGCTGGTGAGACGAGTCACTGGGAAATTGATGCAGAGTGGAGGATAGACTGGGCCAAGCGGATGTACTAAGCAGCTACATGGAGTGTCATGTAATACCCAGCCCACGAGCAATATTAATCAGGGTGCCCATTTGCAAGAAAAATATGATGCGATTTTGCATAAGTCTACATATCTACTCGACAGCCATTGCCACCGGCTCCAGGCTCTTCTTCACCGGCGCTGACAGTACCTCACGACCTTCCCAGAACTTAGGGAGCTTGTCGCCGGGAACAAAGAGACGCTCGACGCCATCCTCTGTGATCACACACATGCGGATGACACCTCCTGATGAGCCGTCTCTTGCCATCGCAAGTGCAAGGGCTGTGCGAAACAATGAGATTTAAGGGCAGAAAGGTGAAGGGTGCCCAAGCACGCACTGTTTTTCACGAAGTTGACGGTTTCATCCCGTCCCCATCCTTCCTGGTATGTGGCATCGCAATAACCGTACACATATGTTGAGCCAGAGCCTGCAAACAGATGTAAATTATACCACGCCGAAAATTAAGATGGACGCACCTCCAATGGCCCATGGTTGACGGAAGAGGCCTCCACCTAGAGGAATGTTATATACACTAGGACCGACCTCTTTATCCCATCCAGCAACGATGATACCCGCGCTAAGAGCATCCTTGTTATCGTAGCAAATATCCTGAAACATGCCCGCAGCTGACGAAACTGGAGGGAAGGAGCCATGCAATTGTCTAGTTGTGCTTAGCACAAGCAAAGTAAGGCTGATAAAAGAACATACGTATACAGTTGCAGGTAGCTATGTACCATATCAGCGACTGCTTGCGTGTCAGCTGCAGATCCTGAGCGACAGCAGTATATCCGATCGTGGACATGCGTGAGCTTGTCTGTTACACGGTTAGCCTGGAGTATGTAAATATGAGGAGATGAACAGCGGGCGGGTGAGTAAGAGTGCGCACAATGTAGCTTCCAGTCGTCGTACGACTGTCGGCGCCGATGACGACGCCCTTGTCAAACTGGACGGCCATGATGGAGGTCTGCGGTGTGCATTAATGATACTTGCGTAGGATAGTAATCGTCTAAATGATCATACCCCGAGGTTGACCTCTCCGCTCTTGAGCCTGTTCATGTCGATGCGATCCATGCTGCTGTCGTCGTCGTTGTGTTTGATATCAAGGGGATCTTGAGTTGTGGCTGAGTACTATGAAGTGTAGCGCTGACGCGTCTCGACGCGTGTTCTTTACTTACTTACTTGTCCGCAATTTCCATTCACTATGGCTACACACAAACTGGCTACATTATACAATGATCTACAGCGTTCATTTGATGCAAGACCGTCAGATCTGAAGAAATGCGGGACGCTGCTGGCTCAGTTAAAGGTTCGTCTAAGATGATCCAAAGGCTTTGTGCGTGACTGACTTCATGCCAGGTTGGCTTGATAGAAGCAGGTCTATTGATCCCCCAAGGAGAAGCAAATATTCACGACTTAGTCGTTGCTCGTACGTCAGTACGATTTGTGACATGCTATGCGTTGACAGTAGGATAGGTGACATCCTCGAAATCGGCGTCTTCTGGAGTATAAGAGCGGAAGACGTCCCTTCATTCGATAGATATTTCTCCCAGCTGCATACTTTCTACACGGATTACAGGTATGTATAAGCCTCCTACCCTGATCCGCCTTTCCTTACAGGAATCAGATCAAGCCTCCCTCCATCGAAGCGCGAATTTGCAGTCCGGGGACTGAACCTCATTCGTTTGCTCACACAAAACCGTATCGCTGACTTCCACACCACCCTCGAGTCGCTTCCCCTTCCTGCTGACGAGATCAACACAAACCCATACATCAGACATCCGGTGAATCTCGAGCGCTGGCTCATGGAGGGGAGCTACAGCAAGGTGTGGAATGCCCGTGAGGAAGCGCCGGCAGAAGAGTATAAATTCTTCGTTAACAGTCTTATGGGCACCATTCGGTGAGCTAATTTCAGCTGGTCCGATGAATGTCGCTTAATGTTGTTGCCAGGAATGAGATTGCTAGCTGCGAGGAGTCGGCGTACGAGAGCCTCCCTTTGAAAGACGCTGCAACTCTGCTATTCTTTACCTCGCAGTCTGGGTTATTGAAGTTCGCCCAACAGGTAGGCACTTTATGTTCCTGGAACACTCCCTTGCTGATCTCGTCTACAGCGCGGTTGGCAAGTAGATTTGACGGCTGGCATGATAACATTTGCAAAGAAGAATGATGAACAAGTAGAGATTCCAACGCAGAAGCTCATTGCAGCAAACCTGGCGTACGCTCGTGAGCTAGAGCAGATTGTGTAAACACCACTTAATGTTTGGCTCCTTCACACAAAAATTCCGGGCAAGCTGAGGGAAAATGATATCAAGCGTGCTATTGTCCGAATTACTCGAAGGTTTCTAATGCCGCCTTTGCCATGCTCTTTGCCTCCTCGAGGAGGTTGGCCGGTACAGGCAAATGAAGGTCGTTCGATTCAGCACCAACCCAAGTCATTTCTAGCTCAAATTCCTTCTCTTTGTTATCGTCATGGACGAGGTATATTCTGCGGTGCAAGTATTTTGGTGAGAAATACAAACTCAGGTGACAGGCAGCGTACATTCTTGCAGCCTCCATCACGGCTTCACGCATCGACAGTTCTGATAGGTTAAGCTTCTCCAGTTCAGTTTTGGCCAGCTGACGGCCTTTGCCGACTGCCGCACCATGATATCCCTAATACATTATCAGTATGTGGATGATTTGAGTCGCAATATGCTCACTAGGCAGACACCGCTAGGCTCGACGATATAAAGTGAAGGGCCACTCTTGTCCACGCCACCAAAGATCGTGCTGACACCGAACGGGCGGACGGACGAGTACAACGTGTAGGCTTGGGCATTCCAACTTACGCGATCTGACAGGGCCTGGTGAAATTGGATGAGTGTAATGCACTACTGTTCTGGCGAAACGTGATCACCTTCACAGTGAGAGGCTCTCTCCACTGTTTTCGAGTCTGGGCCCCCGAGTCGCGAGCCAGCTGTGATATTTTCCTGCCATCGGCGAGAAGGCCGGCGGATGCCTAGGGTGGAGATCGTACATGAGTCCATTCAGAAATGTGGCAGGACACTTACCATGCCTATATGTCTGTCTATTGTTTGAATGCGTCGGTTAGCTCCTGGTACAAGGAGCTTGGAGTGTATGAGCTTCTCCACTGCAAGGATAACACCGTCTTTGACGCGTAGCCCAATCACAGTGCTGATTTAATGGTAGAGATCATTAACGACAAGTTAAGTACTGAAAGAAGGCTCATATACCCTGAGTTCTCGACTGCCTTGTTGGCGTATTCGACCTGGGATGATAAGATTGAGAACATCGCCCATTCCAAGGAGTTTCAATGATTTTACCTGGAATATACGACCATCTGGTGAGTATGTGCTAGCTGAAAGATCATAGCCCGTGCCGATGGAAGTCATGATAGTAAGTATGCAAGTGAGCTGTCCTTGGTACGCGCAAGCTTGAGCGCGTCAGCCCGTGGGAAATCACAACTGAACCGGGTCAGGCGCGTTTCTGAGCTGGTTCGACTTCATTCCCTCCTCCACCACCGACGCGACAGTATGACCCAAGATGAATGGAACGCAATCCTCGAAGGTCATCCAATATTTACACTTCCAAAAGGCTTTGGAGAGCCTACAGGACAGTCAGAGGAGTCGCTGGAACTTTCTACGAACACCCTGAGGAAATCTATGTTTGAGGGGCCTCTGGAGGATGGCCTCCCCCTTTCAGGACGTCGTCAGGTTATGGTCCTGAAGGACTCTGAACTCATTGTAGCTGCTGGGAGCGAACTGAGGATAACTTCTCTTTCGGACTCCAAACTTGGAAGGAGTACGAACAGGTTGTTCAAGGTACGTGCCAATTCCGACACGCAATTCTCATCATGGCTCACCGCCAGAGAAGGTCTTGAACACCCCGAATATGCAATTCGGGATCCACCAACTCGCCCTGAATCCGAGTGGCAAGCTTATAGCTGTGGCAGGAGCATACCAAGTTGCAGTTGTGGTCCTCCCTCGTGCTGGGTATTCCAAGCTTGTATCCTCTTCTGTGGATTGCAAGTGAGCGAGAGATTTTGGTACAAAGGGTAACATCTAATCTGTTTGCAAAGGTCAATCCAAGTAGGATCTTTCTACCATAATTCGCATCCGGCTGCTCCCATAGCCAAGATTGAATGGCATCCCTGGGGCGAAGCAGGATCCACACTCATGGTCATGACCGTCGACGGGAAACTAAGGTTGGGTTCACAATCGTGGGTTTAGCCTGTTCACTTACCCTTTTCAGAGAGTATGACATTTCGGTTGATACTGAGGAACCCCAACAAGTGCTGTCCTTTGTTCCCGAGAAGAAGAACTCGAAGTCATACCTGGCGGAAGACCCTGCCGAGCACGAGGTTGCATCATTTACTCTAGGAAAGGGTAAAGCAGATTGGGGCCCACTCACCGTCTACGCCATCATGAGGTCAGGAGACATTTATTCTATATGCCCTTATATGCCCAAAAACGCGTGAGTTTTAACTATCTCACATGTAACGCGGCTTCTTAATAGATTCTAAGATCTGTGCCATCGTCTTACGTGCATGCACTGGAATGTTTCATCTCCGCCAAGCAGGAGTTCTTATCTCAGGGGACATCTAGCGGGACGTCAGCCCTTTCGACGCTCTACGACTACCAACGGAAATTTGTCACAGCGTTGCTGAGGCAACTTCCACCGGGGACTGTGTACCCGGCCATCTCTCGCTCATTTTCTATGCACCCTCCCACGACCATAAAAAACCAACCAATGCGTCAGGGGCCTTTCCTCCTCCAACCTTCGCCTCGTTCATTAGAAGATAGCGAAGGCGGTGATGCAACGGACATCGCGTATCTTGCCTTCATTCGTGATGACGATGAAGACGACGCAGGCGAGACTGAACGTCTTGGAATTGTCATCGTCACATATCAAGACGGTAAAATTGACGTTTGCTTAGACGTAGAGAAAGTCGAGGCGCGGTGGGAGAGCAAACAGGTTTGCTATCGGGTTTCTTTGTAACATCACTGCTCATGCATGCGACTCCAGGATATATCTCAGGACCTGCCCATGCTAGCAGTCTACGAGTGCATAGACTTGGGCTTGATTTCGATGCTGAAACAGACGCCACCTTTGTCATCAGGCACACCCATCCTCGACCTCCTCCAAGCAAACCACCCCGTCTTACTGATGGATCCGATACATGACGATACTGTATACGTCTATCATGCTTTTGGCGTTCATGTCCTTGATTTTGGAGACCTGCTGCAATGTCTCTCCAATGGACTCCGCGCAGACGACGACGACGGCGTTGCATTGAAGCAAGCGTTGCAAAAGTCAGCAGGCACACATGTCATGCCCTTGCTGAATACCTATTCAGTGAACCGAAGGTATGGAAATAGATAAATTTCCACGATCTTGACTATTCACAAGTCAAAAGGTGCTCAAATCCGATCATTGCTGTATCCGTGCCGAACGACGTCTATCTCTCATACAGTATACTAATCCTCACTTCCGTCTTCCGCTTCGCATCCTTCCCGCTCAACCTTCGCACCGATCTTTCTCTCTCTCGGACAGCTCCTGATCTACCTGATAAAAAAAAGACTTCCAACACTGAGGACTTGCTTGCGCCTATTGAAGGTCCACTGGCATACATCTCGCTTTTAGGGACGGAGCCCTTCGTGCCACCTCCAGTGCTTTCGCGTCCCTGCGGATTGCCTAGTAATCCTCGCATTGCAATTGGAACCCAAAACACTAAAACAGAATTCATGCTCACCCCTGAAACATTACGATATCTGGGTTCAACGATTGAAGGCTTCACATCACAGATCCGCGAAATCATCCTCGCATACAAGGCCACTGAAGTACGAGCCGAACTGCAGGCGAAGGAATTTGAGCGACAGCGGGAGAAGTGTGGTGTGATGCTCGATCTCATCGAGCAGCTGCGCGGCTCGCGGTATAGCGAAGTCCAAGAACGACTCGAAAGAATACGGGAAGCATATAGGGCGCTGGCATCAAGGTTGGACCACAGGCTGCAGACACTTATGCAGCAAGCATCACCGAAGCTCAGTGAATATGAGACAAAATGGTTTGAGGAATTACGAAGGATGAAGGCAGAGATTGCTGGGGCGGGCAGGTACGACGAGCACTCGCTTGCCGCGCGGACATCGCTGGTAATCATCTATCACCATGGGCTTGGAATTGAAGCTGATTATTCTATAGCTCAAACGCGAGTATGACCGGGTGTTGCCCAGCTTGAATGACATGGTTGCCAAGGAGGCAGAGCGTAAGAAGTATCTGAATGAAAGTGGACTGGGGTTGTCGCAGGCTTTCCAGTTCGGAGAGCAGTCGAACCAAGAGTATGCATTCCAAGTTGGACTGGCGGTGTCTAAGCTGACTTATTTTTTATTATAGGCGCACGAAGATAGCTGAGCTCGAAGAAGATATCATGAAGATGGCATCGAAGTTGGAACTTTCGTTAGCTCGCCCGCCATCGCTGCGGGAAAGCCCCAAGAATGACTAGTTGGCTTTTGATCTGTCTTGTCTTGTCTGCTTGAGAGCGTAAGTAATGATTGTAATAGGATACTGGGTTGACTGTCACTTGTATAATTCAAATCTTCATAAGAAGATGGCGAAGCGGCTTTTTGGTATATTGGTCACAACCGACTGCTTATCGCACGCTTCTCAAAGTCTCGTTCTGTTTGTCCTCACTTCGGCCAGCCCCTAAGTTACACTACTAACTGCCACTTCGGGCAAAACCGATATAGCGAGAAAACCATTTTGTGGTCCTGACAACCAGCCAGACCGCAGTTCTTGTGGGGCTTTATTAGATAAATCATAAATTTATTGAATAAAGGGTAGAAATCTGGGGTTTATCGGGGAATTTTTCCCGATCTCCCACAAAGATAGTAATAGGTTGTGTATGTATAGATTATATCCGGTACAGAGGCAGTGTAGTGAATGTATGAGGGGGATCAGAATGAGTCATTTGGCCTGGGTCTGGCGTGGGATATCACGTAGATGTCTGCCAGATATCTTACAGATGTCTGCCAGATATTCCCCCTGCGATGGCACTGCGAACACCTATAATGACACAGCAACATTTCCGATGGATGGTTACTCAAGTCCTCCCTCCTTGCAGCTGTTTGAACCTTCAAACACAATATAATTGGCATAGTAATAGTACAGCAGCGCAGGTACAACCATAAAGTGAGGTATGTACTTATGTGCTATCGAACAAAAAATCTCATGCGGTATTGTAACAAAGTCAGTCAGTAGTAGCAATGAGGGGATATGGAAAGAAGAGCGCCACATCCCTGCAAAACGCGCCCCAAATCTCACACAGGTCTTGAACATCCTCTTGAGCATCTCCCACTATCTCGAAAATCTCCTCGTCAAACCTGGCACTGCTACTCGAAGCTTCGAGCCACTGCTCAATAAATGCGCCTTCCAATGGAATGCGCGAATCCCACTTGGGCCAGGTACCTCTTGGGAAGGAGGGGAACGCAGCAACGAATGTCAACCAAAACGTATCACGCCCCCACATCCACTGCGGCAACTCCGTGTCGAGCTCTGCGAGCCACCCCTCGATTTGTTTGGATAGCGTCGCCCAATCAGATCGCTTAGTGTAGTCGAACCCCAATGGAAGGGGGAGGAACGGGATGGGAACGTCGGCAGGGGGGATAAATTCGTCAGATGGTTCAGATGGTTTAAAAGCCTTGGCCAGAATGTAAGTTTCCTAAAGTCAGGAGAGAAAATGCGCTCACATCATCTGCGTACGACAGACTTCCAGAATTAGAGCGCCACAGATTCAAGGACATGGTTCGTACAACCGGCATCGCAAAGGACCCATATTCTTCAGCAATAGATACAGTTATTTCGATAGGCTATGGGCGAATAAGGTAAGTAATTCCTGTCAATTGAGCAGCTCATACTCACTATGTTCTGCTCGATAAGATGCCTTGGCAGTCTACCAGAAAACCCGATCCTGAGAAGCAGCGGTTGGAGTGTAACGTCGTTTGCTTCCTGGCATTGGACCTCGGGATAGACAGTTGAGCAGTGAGTGAGCACGCCAGTCATTTTTGAATTTGGTTGAGCTTGACAAGAATAGCATCGATAACGTGAGACTTTGGACTTGGGATGAATTCACAATTGCGTGCCACGTGACTCACCAGACTCTTTGCACGTCTGACTCCATCGATCAATATTCAAAAACTCGACTCAGAATCCATGAAGCACGATCTCATCGATGGCACAAGTAAGTTTTATATTGCGTCATCTACTGAAATTCCTACTAACTAACACAGTACTAAAATTCTGTGATGACTCGCACGCCCGCATCCTCTGCACCACATGCCCAAGGAAGTTTGGGGCCTATCGATCAATGGAGCTCCGGTTTGCCGCTAAGCACATGGAGTCAGAGTTGCACATGCGTCATGTTGACAGAGCCATGAGTGTCCCGGCGGCAGCATTGCGACCTATTTTCAAGGCTGAGCACATCAGGAAGAGTCTCCAAAAGCGCAATCTCTCCACCACGATGCATAGGGAGTCTACATCGTTCGCACCTGGTTTTACGGATGCCGACGACTTTCCCATGGAGATGGACTCGGAGATCCCATTATCCGAGTTCTTGGACGACATCACTGGAAGTCGGATGCTTGAATTTAGCGAAGGTGTTACCGACCTATTTGCCGAACTTCAAGAAACTCTCGCCAATGGACACATTCCTTTCTCAACACCACTTGCCCCGGTTGATGAGGAGCATGAGTTAGTTGATTACAGCGAGCCTGACTTTGGCATAGATATTCCAGGTACGCAAATCATTTTCTCCACTGCTTTTGTACCTAATTGCATTTATGTTCGCATTTGTAGACTCTGACCCTCCAGCGGAGAGGGCTGCCCGCATCACTCTTTCTCCAGATACTCCCACATACCCATGGGCCTCAAAAGCGGTGAGTGCTCGTCACATTAGTCGCATGATGGATGCTTATACCCTCTGAAGGATTTTATAACGGCGCTTCTGTTCAGCTCCCCCCGGCTCCCCTTTTCTGATGCCCAGAAGAAGGCAGTGCTCAACTGGGCTAAGGAGCTCGGCGCACGCGACGTTCCTTCACTCTATGCTATCAAGAAGTCTCAGGCATTTGTTGAAGATACTGTCGGCCAACCAACGGAGAAGGTCAGCGCTCGGTCTGGTAACATATTTTATATCAATAATATTGCGAACGCAATCGCCAAGGTATGTTCATTGTTTCTTCGAGTTGGAATTACACTAATGGTATACTTTAGGACTACGGCAACCCACTCACAAGGTTTGCTATGCACGACTACCCGGAAGATGGCGGGAATGGAATGTCCCAAATCTTCAACGGGAGGAAAATGCTACTGGACCTTCCGTCTCCTCCAGCAGCCCGTGTCGACGGGAAGGTGTTTTTTGTAGACGAGATATTGCAGGAGTGTTCGGGGGACTATTTTGTCCCAGAGCGATTTTTCCTTGGCTCTTCATCTGTCAACGACTCCATCGAACGTGGCGAGAAATCCGATACCAAAGTCTTGTATGCGCTCGGTAGGGCCATTCAACGAACGGATGTACGTAGCATTTGACATTGTATGTATATACTTTAACAATTCAATAGGACGGATTTATTGTGAACGACGAACAGGAAATATTACCGACGTCAATGTTTGTGCGCTCGTATGAAGACATCGCATCAACGGGTGAGCTAGATGTTGGTCTCACACCCTCTTCTGCCAAGTACGCCTCACTTGCACCAAACGCATTGCGCGAGAAGGCACAAGGCCGAATGGTGTATACAGTGCCATTGATAATTTTCATGGACGACGTATCGGGAAATATTTCGAAGCAGTGGAACAAGCACCATGCGGTGTATATGTCCAATGCAAACCTTCCACGGGAAATGCTTGAGAAGGAGTTTTTCGTCCGATTCGTTACATCCTCTCCCCACGCCGCGCCAATGGAACTTATGTGAGCTATGAAAGACTCACTATGGTACGTTGCTTTTCTGGCTATTGTTTATGATTTTTGAGTGTTCGTAGCAAAGCAGCGCAGTCCGGTATTGTTGCTTGGGATTGCAAGGATGGCGAGGAGGTGATGCTAATCCCGTATGGGTTATTTATTGCAGGTGATAACCCAATGCAAGCCGAAGAATGCAGTCATGCGGGCCTCAATTGTAATTATTTTTGCCGAACGTGCGATGTCGGCGGCACAAAGGAATTCAAGGCGTCCGACGAAGGCTACAATAGTATCTTTACGGTACGAACTCATCTCAGTATCTTTCAATGAAACTGATCTTCTATTTGCAGTTGGGAAATTTACGGACACCCGAAAAGACTACCAAAGACATTCAGCACCAGTTTGACGCCGCCATGAAACCAGGTGCCACGACCAAAGTACAGAATGCAATGTCTTCCACGGGTGTTCGCGATAGCGCTTCAGCATCAATCCTGGAATCGCTTGTCGAGCTCGGTAAGAAACTTCGTAAACGCGAGCCAGGCGTTCAAGCGATGTCTGAACGTGATGTTACCGTGGCACTCGAAAAAGAGTTTGAGGATCAGCTACGAGGTGCAACGTTACCTGATGTCATCAATCCATTGCTGGGGATGAATGGTATGTTCGATCATTATTATTGACGCTGTACTCACACATTTGTACCTTAGGAATCAGTATGCACTTAGATACACCAACGGAGATCCTCCACACGGTACTGCTGGGTGTCGTCAAATATTTTTGGGGTCAGACCGTCTTTCTCCTTGAGAAAGCAAAGTTACTCCACCTTTTTCAGAGCCGACTTGAGTCTGTTGACAGGGACGGGTTGAACGCGCCCTCCCTTAATGCCCAATATATCTGTCACTACAAGGGAAGTCTTATTGGAAAACACTTTAAGAGTCTGGCTCAGGTAATGCCCTTCTTGGTCCATGATCTCGTTCCTCGGACGGTTGTCAACGCATGGACCGTAATCGGGGAACTTGTTGCGCTCGTGTGGCACACATCAATACTGGACACTGAAGCATATCTCGTCAGTTCGCACCGAAGTGCTTCAAAGGCCCCATCGACTGATCTTTTTGGACAGGCAAAATTGTCCCGAACGATCGAGGATTTTCTCAACGTTACGGCTCAGTGTGCTCCGAGCATTCTCATCAGCAAGCCAAAATTCCATTTTTTGGTTCACTTACCAGCATACATACGACGCTTCGGACCCGCGATCATATTCTCGACTGAGAGATACGAATCTTTCAATCACGTTTTCCGGTTATCGTGCATTCACAGCAATCGACGCGCGCCTAGCCGAGATACATGTCGACTGTTTGCCTACCAGGACATCGTCAAACACGTTGCGACTGGCGGATTTTGGTATCATTCCAATACGAAAAAGTGGATTCGCGGAGGGGAGCAGGTTATACATTATCTCAGCGAGCACCCTGAACAAGCTCACCTTCTCGGCCTATCAAGTATCTTGCGCGACCCCCTAGTGCCTGGTGAGTTCGGTAGTACGTTGCGCTAACATTTTGTCACTAACAAATTCATAGGCACGGGAAATTCCAAAACTACCATGGGCGAAAACGGGAAAGCACAAAGAACAGATGCAGTACCGTGGAGGGATACTCACTGTGCAAAGATCCTCGGAGCTGCTCAATCCGGTGCTTCTTACTATCATGGAAAATCCCTCGTGACGAGTACGGGAGAACAAGTTGGTGTCAACCGTCATGTCATCTTCCGAGGATCGACAGATGGAAAGGTGAGTGGTATTAAATGGCCTGTTCATGATCAATCGTTAACGATACATTCCCAGATGTCTATTGGATGTGTCCGTGAAATTCTCATTTCGCCCGGCACCAGGAAAACCGTGGAACACGTTGTGTTACAACTTTTTACAATCGGACCTACATTACATCCTTTGCTATTTTTACCCTGTCTGAACCTTACGGACGAGGAGATAGTTTTGACGCCAGCAGTGAGTGGTGTATTTTCATAGGCGGGCTTATTCAGAAGTGTTGCCTCGCAGGACATTATATGCGCCGTCAATATTCAACACAACTGCATTGATTCGAAGTGCGCAGACATGCGTCAGCAGCCCATACATCAAGAACGAATCGAAACCGCTCGAACGAAAGCTGTCGTTCAGCATCAATCAACTCCACACTATTTCCTGAACGCCTACTCGATTCACAACTGCGATTACATCCAAATGGTCATCCCAGAGACGCTTCGCGAGACCCCGTTGAGAGTCATCAATCCAGCTGAGGCTCGGACACTGGCTGTGAGGCAGATGAAGGACAAGAAAGCAGCAAAAAAAGCTGGTGAGGTCCCTCCAAGTCAAGAAGCTAATGCTGTGGTGGAAGGTGCTCAAGACACACCGGCACCAGCTGCTGCTTTCGATCGAGCTCCCGCAAAATCAAGGCCAGCCACCAAGTCGAGAGGGAAAGCAGGTGGTGCGAGCACACGAGGGAGAAAGAAGACAGTATCGTCAAATGTCGAGCAGGCTATTGCTGGGCCCTCCAGACAGACGACTTCATCTGCCCAGCAAAGTCTGATGGTCCCATCCCACCAATTCATGCCGTCCCCCCTGCAAACTTTGCATTACCCTCTGCCGCTGCAAATGGGACCTCCGCAGACCTCACGCCATCCTCCTTTGCCAGCATTACCCTCGTATCCATATCCTCATGGTGGCCATCAAAGACCGCAAGACATGGGCATGTCCCTGACACATTCTACCCACGCAGCCCCATTCCATGCCGGTTCACAACCTCCAGTAACGACACACCATCCCCGCACCACCCCCAGTGTCCACGTCATGCAAGACGCGCCGCAAGGTTATCAACTTGCTCCTACACACCAATCACGTTATTCACTCCAGCCGATACCTACACATGCCAGACTGCAGGCGGGTACGATGCAGCAGGCTGTTCAAGCTCATGCACAGTCACAAGCCCAGGCCCATGCACACACACAGATGCAGGCTCAAGCGCAGATACCATACCCACAGCATTTTGCGGAACATTCTACGTATTCTCAGAGAACGTGAACTTGGATGTCTCTCCGTGGAGGTATGCAGATCTTCCTCCTCTAGTCTCCCGAGGAGCTGTCATCCATAGTTCTTGTAAAGATGCGTGAAACTTGCGAGCAATTTTTCAACAAGAAAGTCAGGTAAGACGTTCATGCATCCAGTATGAATATCAGCTCAAAGGTCCCTTACCCTGTAGATAAAGCCATCAACTAACTCTGAAAATCCTCGCAGGAGGATCAAAATCTTCGAACTACCCCCTCCCTCCTTCTGAAAATCCTTGCAGGAGGATCGAAATCTTCGACCTACCCCCTCCCTCCTTCAACAGCAGTACTCTGTGGAGGCACGAAGATCTTTGTAAGGTCCCTTACCCTGCAGATGACACCATCAACTCTACTGACAATCCACGCAGGAGGACCGAGGCCTTCAAACTACCCCCCCCCCCTGCTGCCAGTGGTATGCAGAACTTTATCGGGCGGCAGGAGAAATCACGCAGGATGATCCAGGAGGATCGATGTGTTGATTGTACATCCAAGTCGCATTGTACCATTACCCACCATTACCCACACAAATACTGTACCATTACCGGCGAATATATGTACATATCGCCCCAGCCAGTTTCATCAGATACACTTTCCGTTAGCAAACAATCCTCTTTCAAATTCATCATTCCCTCTGCTTTCATTGCATTCAATACTCGATTGTGGAATTTGCGTGCAGCCGAACAAGCCTGCTCCTCCACAGAAAGTGCCACGCGCGTGGTGGCACTTCGTCTTTCTCCCACCACAACACCTGAACTCCCTGCGAGGATGTTGCTTCAACGGTTCCCCGTGCGCTCTGGAAATTCTAATAGGGCAGGAAGCTCACAGCCAAGAACGGCGGGTTCAACAAGCGGTCTGTTAACACCAGGTGCTGCTGGGGGGCCTCGAGGCAGGAGTCGTTCAGCATCCATTCAACGACCTCACAGCCGTGGTGTGTCTAGGCCTCCTACAGGTGGGACCACCAACAGCATCCAGCGAGCACGTTTGCCGCTGGGAACAATCCTGTCAACTCAACTAGGGAGCAACCGCTCGGCCTCTTACACTGCCGTTGACAGGTCTGGTGGTAGTGTCGTTTTGCGGACTCCATCTGAAGTATCTCTCGAAGAGCCTATCATGACTGGGGTGCGCCGCCGGAGAGCAGACTCCGATGATGGCTACGGTGACCTGACGCAGCCGCTATCGCCTTCAAGCACAAAAAGACTGAAGTTGTATGCGGACCAAGTTGCTGAGGAGACTGGATGCCCACCAGAGGTTCTATACAAATTTATTGATGTCAGTGTTTTGAAATTGTGATCGTACACTTTCCTTGACGCACCCTTAGGCTGGAAGTATCCTTCACATGCTCATTGATCTGAAAGCTTGCATGTTCAAGAGGGACAATGATCATGGTAAGGCCGCTCTCGTTGATATGAAGGAACTCATAGATTCTAAGGATTTCAAGGTCACTATTTACTTTCTTGGAGCACACCAAACTGACCCAGATGTAATGCAGGCTGCGCTTCAGAGCCGCCTGACAGCTTGTCTCCTGTCACCCAACCTCACCGCGTACGTCACTGACACACACACGAACATCATGGTACCTTGTACACCACCCATTGTATGCTATGCAGTAATTGACTCTGCAACAGGAATTTATCAAGAGCCATCAAGAGGTATTTAAGATTCCGGCTGCGCTAATCGAAGACGTGGAGCTTTTGGCACAGCTCTCAAAAATCGTCAGCGAATTGCTCTCTTCCATTCGCGGCAACCTCAAGACCAAGGTTTTTATTTTGTCGGTCCATGCAGATCATCATACTGACCACCCTTAAGTTGGTCATGTCCATAGCCAAGCGCATGAGTGTCATGGACACTGCTAAATCACTTGCTCATGGTATAATTGAGGTCGACTCTTCTCATTGGAATAGATACGCGTTCTTGGTATGTACTCGTTCTGGAGCAGTTGTCGAGTACATACTAACACGAGTCTAGCGCCGCTGCTTGCGAATCTTCCTTATTGGAGTCAGCGACTACAAAGTAATCCCGCTCGAGGACCTTTACTCGACCTCTCTCATCCCCTCTCTTCATAAAGACCTCCGTGTCAAAATCGCAGAGGTGCTTGACTGCGACGTAGACATGCCGGGGGCAAACGAAAATGACGAGCGGCGCACAGATAATGCCGACGACAACATACAGGCTTTGGACGACCGACACTCGGAAGGCGAAGCTGGAGCAACTAGCGATCATGGCGACAACCTTGGAGAGGGAGAGAACATCGCAGACAACCGAGAGGAAGATCAGGTTTCTGATGACAGGGATGGTAATGAAGAAGCTGACCAGCAGGAGCCTGAGATTGATGATGGCGGCTCCGGATTTACCCCGGGAAAGAATGGAAAGTGTCCCAAATTCACCTCGGGAAAATTCTGGAACTTTGTAGATTGCTCGCTTGAAGCCATCCGCAAAGCCGCGAAGGCGGAGGCAGGCGCAGATTTTGAGGGGTCAGGCCGCAAAGTATACGAAAATGCAGTACGAAAGTAAGTGTATTGTTACCGTATTACGTGCGCTGTCGTTGATTGTTCCATAGCATGCTCGTTGAATATTTTCAGATGGACCTTGCTGAGTTTCCCGGTAACATGGTTGTCCCGAAACTCCTCGCCACTACCAGTCCGCAATGGCAGACGACGATTCAGAACAAACTGCTTTGGGGCTGAGTTGCTTCGTTGTTCCGGAGCTGATACTATCCAGAGCTCGCTGCTCTGCTACATTCCTTCACCACGTGTTCCATCTGTGCATGCATCACACTTTGCATATCATATCTACACCTCAATTACCATTGTCATTGTGTATCTACCACATCGATATTAATGCAATAGCACCTGTGCTTGATTTGGTTTTTTTACCTGTCTGATTCCAAAATTCAAATGGCCGGGGTGCATTGAATGTGGGACATCTCCACTACCTACAACATAGGACATCTCCGCAACATACAACATAGGACATCTCCGCAACCTACAATATAGGACATCTCCGGAACATACAACATGGGATATCTCCGCAACCTACAATATAGGACATCTCCGCAACATACGACATGGGATATCTCCGCAACCTATGAAATGAGACATCTCCGCTGCCTATGAAAGCAAATATCTGTACGACCTATGAAACGAGACACCTGTGCAACCTATTGAAACCATATATTGAAAATCTCCGAGTCCAATGTACCTACTAGCCCCGGTCGTCAATGTTCCATCGGGGTCTCATTAATGTCGTCAGGTCCCTGGTGGAGGTTTATTATATCCCACACTTACTGGCTCGCTTGTGCAAATATTTACACTGTTGAACATGGCTGGCGAGAAAACCCTTCAAGCGATATTATTAAAGGTTTGCCACACGGTACCCCTTTTGGATATGTGACTAAGGTTTTCGGCAGTTTGCAGTGTAGGGCAATTAGCTGAAAGACGTAGTTACTGCAGTCCCTCGTTCCTGTTGTTAGCAACCACTGCCTCCGCGCTCAGGGAAAGACTATCGAGGAGGTACTATTTACTATTTAGTGATTATTATCTGAACTGGATTTCCGAGAGTTCAACAAGTTCCGAGTCGTGAAGTTACATGATCGCGCCATCAGATCTCGGAGTCAGCCCATCAGAAGCTTGTTAAATTATAGTCTTTACTGATCAGGCCAAAGTCCAGGTGCGGAGCGGGGACCTATATCCCGGTCCGAGCCCGTCGAGCAGCAACACTACTCAAGTTGACCAAAGGGCTTACGATCGTATGAGAGATCTGTGGAAGAACTTTTTGGAGAGTAACACCCTGCGGGCACTTGATACAAAACCGGGCGGGACAGAAGTCTGCCAGACTGAACCCGAACTGCAGTTACTGCACGTGTAATGTTCCCCTATCAGTAATAACTTCTGACCGTGACGGAGCTGGTGCCTACAATTTGTCTGGGTCGATGACGCAGACTAGGGGCTTTGGGTTTGGGGTTGACAGAACCTTACCCCGTTGTCACTGCTACCTTCCGCGGAGATCCTATGCTGTTTCTTGTGTTCTTGCAAGGAAATTGGCACCAACGTGCAGCCAGCCAGCCTAGAATCAAATCATAAATGGATAGATCTCAATGGACGTCCGGTTCTGCAGGCCTCAGCCAGTCTGGAGCGCCCATCGTGAACTTTAACTCAGTTCCTCGCGACTTCGGAGTGTGGTGGAGATCGTACAATATGCAATGATATTAACATTCATGAGCTAAGCTTCAAAGCGGAGTGTACTATGTACTTAATAAGGTTCAACCATACCAGTACTAGTCTCATGACGATTTTCATTGCGCCGTCCAATTCGAACTTGTTGTCGTTATTGGGATCACTGTACAGAACTAATCATCTACCCCTACCCCCCCAGCTGCGCACGTACGCAAGTAATGTTGTAGAGTGCTGTTTCTGTCGACATTATTACGCTGCTTGCTTATAAGGATGCTAAGTAATCCAAAAGTTACATGCTTAATTTAAGACGTGTTTTAATTACTTGCTATTTGTGCATTACATAAGAACTTATGTCTAACTACGCTTGCGGCTTGCATCAAGTCTTCTGACAAAACGGTCTTGAGGTCACGTAAACGCTGATGGCGGCAAAGCAAGGAAGGTCATCAAACTAGGAGAGACAGTGGACCTAATCGGAAGAAACTTGGGATCTAGCGCTGATCATGGAGCGTGTTCAAAGAGTAATAGAGCGATTCGGATAGGCAAGCATACTAGAGCACTCGAGTCTCAGCAAACCCAAACTCACTTGGTTCATAGGAGCCTACCAATTTCGAGCGGCAGCCGAGTGCTGATCTCCACCAATGAGAGCTGTCGCTTTCGGTCCGAATCGTTTCATGCCTCACGTGTGAACGTAGAGACGGTGTGTACTCCGCCACAGGTGCCTTTGTAAGTAGACATCATCAAATCCTCGGGCGAGATCTCACCTGTCAGCAGCGTGCCTCCAGGAGTCCAGGAATAAAGTGTAATACCTGCTCAGTCAGGTTGTCGTCTGCTATTTAAGTGTCTGTCCCCGGATATGCGTTATCCCACCACCTTCTGTCGTCCTCGGTCGCCTCCTACCTGCAAGTGGAACGCTGGTTAATGTCGGACTCTCCTTCAGGAACCATCTCTGTTGCAGTCTCCCATACTTGCGTAGACAAAGATGATACGAATGATCTTCATCTTCCCCAGCTCACAGGCAGCGAAGGCGGGTCTGCCGATGATAAATCTCATGACCAAGGGGATGATTGGGAACACGACCCAATGAACCCTAGGAATTGGTCTCCCGCAAAAAAATGGATAGCGACTTCACTCGTCAGTTCTTTCATCACCGAGTTAAATTTTAGGACTCATGTCGATATGGTGCCAGGTCTCCCTGTACACGTTTGTCACGCCGTTAGCTAGTTCTATCATGGCACCTGGTTTGCCCGACGTGGCTATAAAATTTGGTATAACCGATCCAACAGTCATAGCGTTGACTCTGAGCGTCTTCCTTCTGTCGTTTGCCATTGGTCCTTTGTTTGCGGCACCCTTGTCGGAAGTATATGGTCGTGTGTGGGTGTGTGGTGCTCTTCCTTAGTCTAATCGGCGGGATTATTTGCCTGAACGAGTTGAAGGTGCTCCACCTAGGAAATCTTTTCTTTCTCGCATTTAATCTCGGCTGTGCTTTATCACCCAACACTGTATCTTTCATTGTTTTTCGCTTTCTAGGTACGTCATGAAATCAGTTAGAGCCGCAACTTCTGCTCACTCTCTGCATAGCTGGGTTTGCGGGGAGTGCGCCTATAGCATGCGGCGGAGGTGTCATCAGCGACCTCTTCGCGGAACGCGAGCGTGCCTCGGCTATGGCACTATACAGTATTGGACCCCTCATTGGTGCGTTTGACAGTGTGCGATGTTGACTGAAGTTCACACATCCGGGAAGGCCCCGCTATCGGTCCCGTTATGGGAGGTTTCATCTCAGAGTCAGTCGGTATACAGTATGTTTTCTATGTCGTCATCGTTATCTGTGGTGTTGCCGCCATGCTTGGCATTCCTCTCTTGAGAGAATCCTATGCACCGGTTATCAAGCTTCGTCTTGATAAAATGGCGCGGGATCCCGAAAAGACACCCGTGGGACATCCCGTCGCGCACCACAAGGACAAATGGGCTCATTTATGGACCGACCTCAAGCGACCGGTCATTCTGTTGACCCGGAGTTTCATATGCTTCATGCTGAGCTTGTATATGGCTCTGTAAGTTTAATTTAATATCATGCGGCTCACTGACAAATCATTTATTTAGTATGTACGGTCAGTACTTCATGAAGTTATATTGGATATGGACTGACATCATATGTCAGGTATCTACTATCTGATGTTTGCTACTTTTCCCGGTAAGATCATATTTGCCAGCTACTACGTGAACGATTATCAACGACCTGCACGCAGACCTCTTTTCGAAAGTGTATCACTTCAGCATTGGGATTGGAGGTCTGGCGTACCTCGGCATTGGTTTTGGATTCCTAACTGCCACCTTGTTCGGTGCCAAACTTTCCGATAAGATATACATATACGTATGTCAGGATTGCCTTCTACCTTGATCTTATCAGCTGAAGTGCCGTTCTATATCTAGCTTGCTGCAAAAAATGGAGGGGAGGGTAAACCAGAGATGCGTGTGCCTGCTCTGATATTCGGCTCGTTCTTCGTCCCGGTGGGACTCTTGTGAGATTGATGCTTTTATTTTTACTCTGAATCTGACATGTGTTTAGTTGGTACGGCTGGTCTGCCCAAGCCGAGGTCCACTTCATGATGCCCATCATTGGTACCGCTATCTTCGGATTCGGATTGATGACAACTTTGTGGGTGTACCTCGTGCTTTAATGCCGTTCACGTCTAATCTCTTCACAGCCTCCCTATTCAACTATATCTCGTGGATACATTTACTTATGCTGCAAGCGCTGTTGCAGCTGCTTCCGTGAGTCTCCACTACCCTTAATTTCTGACTTCTACTGAACAACTCGTCAGACGTTCCGTTCATTGCTTGGATTTGCATTCCCTTTGTTTGGACAGCAAATGTTTGCCACACTCGGCTATGGTGGGGGCAACTCCCTGCTTGCAGGTCTTGCTATTATCATTGGCATACCCTTCCCCATCTGGATATACTACGCCGGCGAACGTATCCGCGCGAAGAGTTCTTTGACTCGTTGATTTTCCCTCCCACCAAGGCTTTTTCATGAAGGTATGGTTATTTTCAGAAGCATTGAAAGACGACGACGCCAATATCACGCATCATGATGATGCCAGCTCACTGCGTCGTCGAACGAACGTTCATGGTAGTTATTAATGGTACAGTCATCGTCCGACTGATCAATATTTATGGGTACTCGCAGTATGAAAGTCATGGCCACAACATAACAACTTTATCATGAAGAACTTTTTTCCTACGTAGAGCTACTTACCTGTGTCGGTAGAGGGTTTCAAGATAAATATTGCAACTCCAGACGACGAAACAGTGGCGCAGTTACTTGTTTGTAGTACCGAGGGCGCAAGTGAAATTTCCGAAACGAATAGTAGTGCAGTTTGTGTGATTCTCTTGATTATTAAAGATCCGGAATCAGCGTAAAACAACCGCAGGGCTTTATAGAAGGAACGACTGTCTTCCTTCCATTGGTCTGCCTAAGGGAGACTACCCGCAGGGGATGTCATCATCGGCACCCTGATGATGGATCAGCCGCAGTGTTGTAAAATTTCAAGTCCGATATATGCCATTCATCAAAGACTATCAAAGAGCACTACCGGACCTTCATGCTGATTCCGAATCTCCAGATTCGAGAACCGGACAAGAGGTACTCTAGATATTTGAGATATACTGTAGGCCCTTGAACTATATATGTCGTGATCACCATAACCTCATCGTTTACGAACGCCGCTCAGGCGGCAATCCCTGACCGTCTCCGCTCGTTCAGAGTGGTATGTAATCTGATCTAGCACATTCAAGTTGGGAACAGACACGCTTGGGTTCAGACCGAAGCCTTTACACACCACAGTCGTATTTGAATAGATCAAGACGGCCACATGAAGTTTCATGCCATGCGTTTTGATTTCCTCGATAGCGGCGTACCGTTTGCGGAATACTGAGAAGTACGTATTCAATTGTAGAATAATACATCTATGTAGACAGTCGATCTGGTGAGATGGAACTTTGAACTTGAAGGGCGTTGCTCGTATTTTGGATGTCATGACCAAAGCACTAATTGATAGACGCGTCTCATACTCCATTGAACCGTATCCAGCAATCATATACATATCCACTCGCACACACAGCACCCGCTTCGACGACTTTTACCAAACACACTTCACAACTTTAGATCACATCATGCTTCTCGTTCCATTGATAGTTCCTATTTAAATCTGGACATCACAGACCCCTCTCATAGACTTTACAGCACCATTAGCAATAAAGCGTGTCTCGCGTGCCGAAGGAGCAGACATTACTATACGGTATGTCTGAGCAGGAAAACTTAGGGTGCCGGCCTCGAGTTCTCGCACCCCCAACGCCCTGCGTTAGTAGTCCGATGCAATCACTTCAAACCGTTCGTACAGAGTCCTCCGTTCATTTTATTGCCTTCGCCTTCATCGTGTGATCCGCTGATCAATATGCGCTTTCTCCTTCCGATTCTCGTATACGTAGTTTCACAACACGCAATCATGGTAGTTGTCTGTATGTATAAACTTTGCATCGATCGCTGCCATTCTGATTCATCTAATTAACGTAACAATTACGTTGTCAGAAGAGGCACGGCCCGGGCCCGGGCCTCTGTTAATCTGGATCCGTTCATCGAGGGTTCCGATGATCGGCCGGGCCCTACAGTTTTTCACGCTGATTCCGTGTCTCGACTCCGACAATCAAGAGAATGGGGATCGAGATAATATACTGTATACGAATTCCTCATTTGCGTCATCGACGAAAAAAATGAGATGATCGCGCATCGTCTGTTGACGTGTCAATGTCTCTGGTAAGCACTATCATATACATTAAAGTGTAGCTAACTTCGGAATCAGTAGCACCGTGTATCTAGTCTCCCCTAGTAGGCAGACCAGGAAGTCAGTCGTTCTTCTATATTATTGTTGATCTCCGAAGTACCCAGATCTCTTTCACGTGTGAACATGAAGATAGGATTTGCAAATGATATTCACTAGATCGTAACCGAGGGGATCAAGTGCAAGTACTTACTAATCGTCTTTTATTTAAGAGCCCCGACATGCGTTGTTATTCATACCAGTCCTGCCAGTGGAACCCTCTTGATGTCGGGCTCTCTTCCAGGACCACCCTCCCATACTATCACTCACGTACCAGACCAAGGTGATACAAATGGTCATCATCTTCCCAAACGCGCCAGCAGCGAAGCCGGGTCTGTCATCTCAGACGACAAAGTCAAGGATAACAAAGAACATGATTGGGAACACGACCCAGTGAACCCCAGGAATTGGTCTCCAGCGAAAAAATGGATAGCGGTTACACTCGTCAGTTCTTCCATCACCGAGTTCAATTCTAGGACTCATGTCGGTATCGTGTCAGGTCTCGCTGTATACCTTTGTCACCCCATTAGCTAGTTCTATCATGGCACCTGGTTTGCCTGATGTGGCCACAAAATTTGGCATAACCGATCCAACAGTCATAGCGTTGACTCTGAGTATCTTCCTTCTGTCGTTTGCCATTGGTCCTTTATTTGCAGGACCCTTGTCGGAAGTGTATGGTCGTGTATGGGTCTGTGATACCTCCTTATAATCACCAGAACAGTTCCCCTGAATGAGCTCAAGGTGCTCCATCTAGGGAACCTGTTCTTCCTCGCATTTAATCTTGGCTGCGCTTTGTCACCCAACACTGTATCTTTGCTTGTTTTCCGGTTTCTAGGTACGTTATGGGACAGTTGGAGTCGCAATTCTCGCTCACTCTCTGCAACAAAGCTGGATTTGCAGCGAGTCCACCCATAGCATGCGGCCCAGGTGTTGTTAGCGACCTCTTCGAGGAACGCGAGCGTGCCTCGGCTATGGCACTATTCAGCATAGGACCTTTGATAGGTGTGTTTCACAGTGTGCGACGTTGACTGTAAGTTAAAATGTCCGGCAGGTCCCGCTATCGGGCCTGCCATAGGAGGTTTCATCGCAGAGTCAGTCGGTGTGGAGTATGTTTTCTATGTCATCGTCGCGATCTCCGGTATCGCCGCAATCCTTGCGATCCCTCTCTTGCGAGAATCCTATGCACCAGTTATCAGGCTTCGTCGTGATGCAATGGCGTCGGATCCCGAGAAGGCAGCCACAGGACATCCTGCCCTCCCACACCAGATGGGTAAATGGGCCTACTTATGGCTCAACCTCAAGCGACCCGTAATACTTTTCACCCGGAGTCTCATATGCTTCATGCTGAGCTTGTACATGGCTCTGTAAGTTTGCGGTTTACTCAAGTGTCATGCGGCTAATTAATGACATCTATTTAGGATGTACGGTTAGTAGTAACACGTTGTATTGGATGTGTGCTGACATCATGTGGCAGGTATCTATTACTTGATGTTTGCTACTTTCCCCGGTAAGATCACCGCCGTAGTAATGGTTGTTAACGTTAACAACTTGCATCCAGACCTCTTTTCGAACGTGTACCACTTCGACGTTGGAATTGGAGGTCTGACGTACATTGGATTGGGCCTTGGATTCGTGGCTTCCTCCGTATTCGGCGCCAGACTTTCCGACAAGATATACAATTACGTTTGTCAAGACTGCCTTCTACCTTGATTGTGTCAGCTGAAGCGCTTTTCTGTATCTAGCTTGCTGCAAAGAACGGAGGGAAAGGTAATCCAGAGATGCGTGTACCTGCTCTGATATTCGGCTCGTTGTTTGTCCCAGTGGGACTATTGTGAGATCGATGCCTTTATTTCCCCGGTCCCAATTTGACATGCGCTAGATGGTATGGCTGGTCTGCCCAAGCCAAGATCCACTTCATGATGCCCATCGTCGGTACCGCTATCTTTGGATTCGGATTAATGCTAACGTTGTGGGTGTACCCCGTATTTAACATCGTTCATGGCTAACCTCTTTTCAGCCTCCATATCCAACTATACCTCGTGGATACATTTACTTATGCTGCAAGCGCTATCGCAGCTTCTTCTGTGTGTCTTCCCTACCCCTAATTTCTGACTTCCACTGAACAACTCATTAGACATTCCGTTCGCTTCTTGGTTTCGCATTCCCACTGTTTGGACAACAAATGTATTCCGCTCTCGGCTATGGCGGAGGAAATTCGATGCTTGCAGGTCTTGCTATCATGATTGGTATACCCTTCCCTATCTGGATCTATTACGCCGGCGACCGTCTCCGCGCAAAGAGTTCCTTGACTCGTTGACTTTTCTCTTTGATCAAGGCCTCTTATGATCATGACAGTATGGTAACACCTTCCAGAACGAACTACGACCATCATGACTGCCTTAACTCACTACGTCGATAAACAAATGTGGACAATCCAATTGTCGATGGGTCCTTTTCATACGAAATCGAAATTTTGGTCATTACAAACGCAACAACTTCTTGATGAAGAGCTATTGTATCTTTTCTACGTACATGGAACCACCTACCAATTGAATTACAAAGGTGTCATTAAAAGGTTTGAGAAAATATGTGTATGTGCAACAACACAAGCAAACTGCAAGTGTAACAGGAGTCAGGACTACGGATTGGCTACGGAAACAAATAACTTGTCCTCAGGCGGCTCCCCCAACACGTTCTAGATAATAGATAGTAGTAGATACGATCATGTGGCTACATGGGGTTAATATTGGTGTTAAGGACAGAGGCCAAGGTAATTGCGAAGGGCAGCAACGGTCCGAGCCTCCAAACGATGTCTTGAAAATATCAATTGGGCGGAAGCACCGACTTATGTTGTCAAGCCTGTTGCATGTATGTACCGGCGCGTGCAGTCAGGCAGCTGGGTGTAGTGCTTCGGATAAGTTGTCTTATAGCAGCGTGCCCATCATGGATATCTACATACTGCTACTTGACAGGCAATTATCGGGGTTGCTCAACACGCATACATCGAAGCAGCGACTAACTCCCGGATCTGACTCTACACAACACTGTATCTCCCAGCGACTGCGGTAGGATTCCGCATCTCTGCTTGCAATGCTGCAGCAGACGCTTCGATGAGCAAACGCTTGATCTCCCGAACCGCTTGTTCCACCTAAAGAGAGTCAATTCAGTTGACTACACCAAGTAACTACAAATGAAACGTGCTCACCCTGTATTCCTCGTTGGACTCGATCAGTAGGTGGAGTTTGGGCGGTCCTTCCGGAGGAGGCTCCTTCCCAGATTCGTAATATATACCTGTTAGAATAAGGTCAATCTAGATACCAAAGAATCATGTTTCTGGACCAACCTTTGTTGGTAACTGATGCGCCTGTCATATCGATGAGCTTATAAAAGGGAATGAATGTGAGTATTTCACGGAAAACAAACACATGGCAAGAAACAAACCTGAACCATGGTTTCCTTGTTGGTAACCCGCCATCTCGCCTTTTGTGGGTAGTCGTTGATAGGTATGATCGCGTGGAAGTCCGTGGAATCGGGGTTTGCTTTCCTGAGACCGCTCTCGTCTGCCTGGATCTGAGACTGCAAGACCAGCCTCGTTGCCTTCATCTGCGCGTTCAGCTTTGCGATGACACTGAGGGCTTGCTTGTGCGCGGCTGTGTCTTTCCCTGCACGAGCAGCAGCGTCCTGAGCAGCCTTGAGTGACGCTTGAAGCTTCTCCTCTTCCTTCGCATGTGCGAGACGCCTGGCAGCTGCAGCAGCTCCGGCCACTCCAAGTAAGCCCTTCGAAGAATCGGGAGCGGGACCACGCTTGATTTCGACTTTGAAGTTACCGAACGTCATATCGTCACCAGCAGTGGTAGGGGTCTTGACAGCTTCATCCACCTTCTCTTCTTCGGGTTCACCGTAGGCTTTCCGCTCTGCCCGATCTTTGGCCTCACGCTCCTTATCGAGCCTATCAAGACCTTTCCCACCAAAGCCTGACCCTGCGACTTGCGCCTTTCCAGACTTGACTTTCTCCAAGAAGCCTGACGACACGATAAGCATAGATCACGGATACAATAATGCGAAGCATACCGTTGGCCAATTCCTCAAGCTCACTCGGAACAGTTGCATTACTTGCCTTGAGCGCGCGGTAAATGTCAACAGAATATCTTTCTTGTTCAGGAGTGATGAATGTAACACATGTGCCTTTATTACCTGCTCTCCCCGTACGACCAGCACGGTGAACGTAGTCTTCCATGTGATTAGGTGCGTCGAAGTTGATTACGAGCCTAAGCTGTTTGACATCCAGCCCACGGGCAGCGACAGAAGTGGCAATGACGATGGGAACAACTCCGGATTTAAAGTCGGCAATGGTGGAGTCACGATCAACCTGGTCTTTGCCTCCGTGCAGAGACATGCATAAGTACCCTTTACGCATGAGGTCGCGGAGTAGGTTATCAGCAGCTTCCTGTCTGTCGACAAAGATGAGAGTACGGCACTCTGGGTCTTCGTTGTACATCTGCCCCAGGATATCCAAGAGTCGATTGAACTTGGACTCCTCAGGACGCACTTCGACAATCTGCTCGATCTCCGCGGCGACCACAGATCGCCCTCCAACAGTGATTTCAAGAGGTTTCTGTAATATTTTCCTGGCGAGAGAGTCCATTTGTTTGGGGAACGTCGCAGAGAAGAGGACTGTTTGGCGGTCAGGTCGAATGTTGTTGATAATCTTCATGACTTGGGGCTCGAAACCCATGTCAAACATGCGATCAGCTTCGTCAAGAACGACGTAAGTGACACGCTTGAGGTTTGTGACCCGGCCAGAGTTGGCAGTGAGGAGGTCGATCATGCGACCAGGTGTGCACACGATGATCTCAGCACCCTTCTTCAGCTCAGCAATCTGGTCCTTGATGGGGGAGCCACCATACGCGCACACAGCCTAATCATGTGGAATGAGATAATATAGACACATCAAAGACGCGAGAAACATACGCGAAGGTTCATCACTCGCAAGAATGGCTTGCATTCTCGATGAATTTGCACTGCCAGCTCACGAGTAGGGGTCATAACGATGGCAAGGGGGCCTTCCATCTGCTCTAGGGGCCGCTGGTCCTTGATGTGACGAAACAAAGGAAGAAGAAATGCAATGGTCTTGCCTGAACCTGTCTTTGCCACACCAATGACGTCGCGACCAGACATGATTGCAGGGATAGCCTGAGCTTGAATAGCGGTCGGTGCTGTATAGTTGAGGCGTTTGATTACGTCCAAACTGTGAATTGCGTTAGACGAGGGCTAATCACGGGAGGTAGTTGATACATACCAACTGGCTGGAAGACCATAATGACTCCACTTCGTCACCGGCCGCGGGCAGTCAATGCCACGGATTTTTATGCCGTCAAGTTCTAAGCGCAAGAGGTCAGCTTCCTCGTCTGTCATAGCGGCAATGTCGGGAGGAGGAATATAAAATTCCTTCCGGAACGGCTCATAATTGACACGAGAATGGTCAACAGCGGCGATATCCTTCTTCTTTGCCTTCTTAGCTGCAAGAGCAAGGATGTCTTCAGGATTAAGATCGGTGGTATCAAGCTCATCCTCCACCACGACATCAACGACTTCATCCTCGCCATCGTCACCCATACGTTCGGCGAGAGGTCCACGGGATATGCCTTTGCCGCCGGTCATTTTCTTCAAGTCTTCTTCATCGACTTTCTTCACTTCAACCGATACACCCGACATGAAGGCATCGAGGGGGTCCATGGCGTCCTCGTCCTCGTCCATGGCGTCTGCAGCCTTGCTCTTAATAGCCTGGTCCATCCTATTCGCCTCTTCGTCGTCGTCGTCAACTTCAAGGTCACCAACGCTAGCTTCTCCATCTGCCATTGTCATGTCCACAGCAGGCATATCGCCAAGGGTCTCGAGCTTCCGCTGCTTGGTTTCATCGGAATCATCCATAGCTGCAGCACCCTTTGATACTTTGAGAACTTCAGGCTTGAGGGGGAGACCTTTGAGCCCTAGACCTGTAAGAGCTGCGCGATTTAAGGAAGTCCCAGGTTTGGCAAGTGTTGTGGTCGAAGCAGGAACTAGTAAGGCATGGATCAAGTGGTGTGAAATCATGAAGTACCATTCGCAGCAAAAATGTGCTCACCTGGTGCGGATTTGCCTGCAAGAGCCATGGCTTTGACTTTAGCTTCGTCAAGAGCCTTCTTGGCTTCGCGGTCCTTCTTCCAAGCCTCCAGCTTTGCCCTCTTCGCCTTGAGTTTCTCATCCTCGGGTGGAGGAGTCTGCGCGGCACTTGAGGTTGCTTGAGGTTTTGGAGGAGGGGAAAGCGGTCGTCGGTCCCGGTCTTTGCGGTCAGGTGAGCGGGAACGCCGACGGTCATCTCTTCTGTCGTCTCTGTAACTTTCTCGGCGCCTGTCGTCTCTGTATCTATCATCGCGATGCCTGTCGTCGCGATAGCGGTCTTTATCACGTTCCCTGTCCCGGTCTCTCGGGCGATCACGTTCTCTATCACGTTCGTCGTCGAATCTCCTGCTAGGTCTTTGGGTATTCCGCCTGGTCGGCGAAGGGGACCGGGGTGAACGGTGAGATGGTCTTACCCTTTTGTTTGACGTGTCCGGAGAATATGATCTATCCCTACGCGCCATGCTTGTATACAACGATTTTGTGGTGGTGGCCTTGAAGTAAGCGTTGTTTGGTTTTATTAGACCCGGAAGGTCTTGACTAATAAGCCGCTCCCAGCTTGCTTCCTAGGCCTACACTAACACTTAATTCATGGCTAACAGCGTATTGGACCCTTCAGCATTGATTGGACTTCTTCCTAACTTGTTACCACCGACAAACAAAACCTTGACATCTCCTCATGATGGTCTGGCAGCGCTTGTCCACACGGCATTTTCTGCACTTGCGTTTCGCTTGATTGCAACGGATGACGCATCCTCCGCAAAGGAACACCCTAACAACGTCCTTCCTGATGATTGGAACACCAAAGGACTTGTCGATCGAATCTTTCGCTACAGACACGAACAAAGCAGTCTTGAGTTTGTTGTGAAAGTCATCAAACTCGGTCAGCGTACATTGATCAGCGCAATCGCTGTCGAAGTGCGTCAGCTTCTATAATTTTACACAGCCATGTTTTAATTTAGAATGTCAGAGTGACAAATCCGCCTCTCTGGATGTCGCAACAAACGACTTCGTCTCACCGTCGTTTTACCCCTATGATACGGCAAAGGCGGACTCCCCGCCGCTTGTCCACGGCTTTATATCGTCCAACCGTGTCACAGATTTCATATCTCAGCTCAAGCTCAAAATAATACAGAAACTTACCCCTGGATTGCGCAAAGAAGGATATATCGAAGAAAGTGAGGATTCATCCAGTAATACTGGACCCGCCCCCCGCGCGGAGAATCCCCCTCCAGCCCGTCCACGACCAGAGTCGCCACCTCACCCTTTACCGGATATCCCATACGGCTTACCGCCCGGTGTGCGACCTCGCAATCCACTGGAGATCGGTCGTCGAGACCTTGATCCCTTTGGTGGGGTCAACCCTTTCCAACCCCCTTCACTATTCGGCGACGAAGGAGACGGGATGTTTGTCGGTCCAAATCACCCAATCTTTGGTATGAGAGGCGGTCGGGCACAGGATATGCGAGGTCCATGGGGTGGAGATGGCTATCTCCCTCCGATGGGAGCCCCACCGGGTGCCCGCTTTGACCCAATAGGACCAAACCCCAGCCCCTTCAACCCAAGTTTTAACGGAAGACCCCGAGGTGGACCTCCAGGAAGAGGAAACACAAGAGATCCTGATAACGATGAGTTTATGCCCCCCGGAGCAGTGAGTGTGCCCCGCTGTGAAACCCTTGTAGATGCTTACCTCGAGACAGGGAGATATGTTCATGTGAGAACGATGTGAAAAGCTGTAATTATAACCTGACGAGCCTATTGAGATAATAAATTGGCTATATTTTGTACTATATTTTGTACTCCCTTAGCTAGCCACCAGTATAACGCTGTATAACGTTGTGACTTGCAGTGTACTGCGAGCCCGGTATGCCCAAAACGGCAAACGTGCTGGATTAAGCAGGCTATAAAGCCGCGGTCGTTCGTAAAAGCAGTCCCTCACTCATACCATGGCCCCTCACGCACGTAGCCTCCAATCCCCTACTTCTCCAATGCGTACAAAGAAGCCTGTGGTGCTACCAGGCTTCCGCGCACCTCCAAAGCCTAAGCAAAAGCCCATCTCCCAAATGACTGCGCGAGAACTACACGACCAACACGATCGGAATGCAAGACTGTTAAACTCGTCGTACGTTGATTTTTGTCCCCAGGTAATTTGCAACGATGGTAGCCTCCGTGGCTCCACTATTGACCTCATACGCCCCCACTTTAGATCAGCATGCACGTCTGCCCTCGGGCAACGCCTTTCGGCTGAGCAAGCAGCCATCGAGTCTCGCTTGCTCGAACTCGAGGGGGTCGAAGACATTCGTAGAAGTCTCAAGAAGACCGATATCAATGCCGACGAGATCATGAATGTCGACCAACCATATGTGCCTCGTGTAATCGATGCCAAGCACAGGGCGTTGTCTCGCTACGTATGCATATGTGTTGCATTATTTTCGATCGCTTATAAGTTACTGGCATAGGCACCCATCGCACCCAATGGTGCTCAACATGTCGGTTCCCTGAGCTTACAGGAAGCAGTGGAACTGGAGAAACGTGCCCACGTGCAAGACGCAGCGAGACAACAACGATTAGATGAACGCAAGAGGCGTATAGGGCTTCCAACCAGAGGGGAAGTTCTTTCCAGAGCAGAGATGGATGCACGAATGTGGGCCTTCGTGTGAGAGTTCCTTGCCCAAAAATATTCATGCCAGTTCTGAATAAAATGAACAGCAACTACAAGCCGACAGACTCTGACCTCGAAGATGATATGGACGAGGATGACGAAGACGAAGACCCATCAACTTGGTTTGAAGATGACCAGGATGACGGTGTCAAAGGTCAAGATATTGTTGAACCGGATGATGAAGAAATCTATAATGTTATCCGGGTTGATGAGAGTAGGGTGCGATACAGCACCTTCTACGAACCCAGGGAGGGCGATTGACACGCATAGTATGTAATACCATATAATATGTGATGATGTGCACTATTTTACTTGTAGTCATATTATGTGACGTTAGAGAAAGTGTGCATGTGATCCGAGAGCGTCAAACAATCAAACAGCAAAACTGGGTATGACAACAGAGCACGAGAGACACCCTAACCAAATAAGCCAGATGCCATCGTTCTTCTACCGCGCATGAACGGGGCAGCTTCTACCTCTCTGCAGCCACGAGGACAAGCAAGCTAGATCGAGCGTTGGTCAGCATGGCTGTTGCTTACTGACAACAAATGGTCACGAACCATTGTGGAAACTACAGAAGCAGCTGAGCCTCGCTACAAGAGCACCTGCAATTATAACGTCAGTTTGACACCCCTTGTGAGAGATAAAGCCTGGAATACCCTTTGTAAACTCCTCTAAGCAGATGACACCTGTAGCACCGTAACTACTCGCATCATGGCCACACAAAAGCGATAAAACTTACATTCGACACCCAGAAGTGCGCTCTCACCAGGTAGCTTGTACACCAGATACTTAGCAGCCTGAGGTGTTGTTCCAGCATCGCCTTCAAGGCAATTCTTCACGTGGGCTTCCTGTTCTCCCGGTAGCCCAAGATCCGCGAGGCTAGTGCTGCACACGGGGCACCTGTGAATAATTGCCGTCGTCACCAACGATTTATCGTACTACCAAAGACCCTGACTTACTCTGCAAGGTCGCTTAGTTGCGAACTAGACTCCTGCCGGTGGAGCTGTCCAGGGGCCATGAGCCTTCTCTGATCAATCACAATTCTTTCCAATGCGGACGAAGTGGAGCCTGAAAATCTGGTGGGGATACTGGCGTTAACCTCGTCGTAACACCCTTGGCAGACACGGTGAGATGAGGTGGATCCCGCGGTTTCCGGGAACACAGGGTCGCGAACAATGTCGGATGGATCGAGAAGTGCTCGATGAGAAGAGCAACGGTCACAAAAAATCCGGCCACACTTGCGGCAATGCTAGCGGAAGGTCAGATGACGAGAAGCATAAGTAAGAATAACTTAATCTTACGTGCTGCGAAGAATCACAAATCAATCATTGGGGAAAACTCGACGTGGTAGGACTTACTCTTCGTAAAAGGAATCCGAACCGCCGACGACAATCATTACAATTAGAAACCGTATCGTCTCTTTCCCATTGCGCATGGACTTGATGAGGTGTCGGGGGAGTCCACCTCGGAGTTAAAACTTTCTGAGGTGCTTCATGGGTGGGCACGCGGAACTCGGGTGCTTGGGAGAGGTGAGGTGTCAAATCCGTAGGTGCACGAGAAACGAAAGAACGGGAAAGGTACTCTGTAGAAGCTGAGCGGACTGACGTGCCTGGAGGCGTGTAGCCAGGATAGCGAAACTCCTCTTCGTCGTCGTCGTCGTCTTCCACAAAATCGTCATCTGCGCCTGAGATGAGCAACCCTTGAGCACCAGCTGCGAGTCGGCGACGCTCGAGCTCTCTGCTATAGGCATTGAGCAGGACTTCTGCCTGAGTTTTTCGTTCTGTATCATCATCACCTTGTATAAACACCCGATCAAATTGTGCACTAAGAGACAGCATTAGGAACCTTACTAAGAATGCCTTGTCGTAGTTCAGTAGTTGCACGCTCAAGTTTGGCGATGGCACGCCTTGCTTCGACAGCAGATAAAGTCTCCCCAATGGCAAAAGCATCTCGTTGTATTCCGACTAGATACCTAGCACGAGAGACATAGTCCTGGGCGGATGACAGTCTTGTCGAAGTCATTGTTCCGAGTTCCTGTCCTTCGTCTTCTCCAAAATCGCTCTGGTCGTCCCCAATGAATGGGATGAAAGAACCGTCAAGCGCAAGATGGTACATGGCACCGTCCGGCTCCTGGAACGGCAAGGGGGGGATGTCAAGCCTACGACGCATCACGCGGACCCAGCGTCTGCGTCTTACCCAGGTCGGAGCGCGTGCGGTCGCAGGTACAGAAGTCGCAGAGCTGCTGCTGCTTGCGCGGCTGTGGCTGCTGGAAGGAGAGCCTAGACCAGTTGTCATGAGTCCACTCCCGCTCAGCAAACGCTGAAGCTGAGGGGGCGGCTCAGCAGTCCAGGTTTCATCGGGCGAGGAAAAGTCCTGCGCATATTGCCAGCCAGCCTCCGCATCAACACCAGGGTGTGTGACGTCCAATGTCCAATCAGACCTAAAAGACGGATTAGTAAAACATCGTCATTAACAATAATCTGCTGATCCTCACAGCCAGAAATGACTTCTTTCAGAGCCCTCAAGGGAAGGTCTATCCTTGGAGCTTGTTTCTGGTAAGGTCCAAGGGTCTTCGGTCAGTGGAAGCTGGACACCACTACGCCAGGCAGCAACTGCTTTCGTGCCCGTCCCCTCATCTAGCGAAGGCAGTTTCAACTCGAACGGTGCACGCCGACCCGGCCTGCCAAGGCCAGAGGCTGAGAACTTTGGCTTCCCACCAGACACTGCCAACGTTTTCAGTCGTCCATCCAGGCGCTGGTTCTCGTAAAGGATCAAGGGGACGGTCGTGTGCACTGCGAGAGAATTGTACGGCGCAGTTGTTCCGCGCCATCGCTCTGCTTCTGCTTTCTGCAGAACCTGAAGGGGCATGAGGAAATAACTCCCAGTAGTCCAGGGGGCGAGCATACCTCACAAATCCATACCTCGAACACGGCAGCAGCAGCGTCATATGCAGTCTCACCCCAATTATTCCGGACAAGGGGATTTGCACCTTGTTTTGTGAGTAGATATAGAACGACAGGCAAATGTCCTTTGGAGGCCGCATTGACTGGAAAAGCGTTTAAGAGAGTACGGGAACACAAATTTTGAGCACACACTGAGAGGAGTCCATCCACCTTTACTCCTCACGTCGACACTAGAAATACCTCCACGCTCGCATAGCCACCTTACAATATCAAGATAACCCTGAGTTACAACAAACGTGAGCCTCTTCACAAAAAATTGACAACGATGGCATAAGTAAGACATACTTTAGAACAGGCGTTGTGAAGAGCTGTCCAGCCATCAGCATCGCGAGCATTTACGTCCGCTTTGTCCGGCAGTAAATATGTGAGGATTGGTAGATGGCCATGAAGAGCGGCTTTGTGTAAAGCAGTCTGATGACCATGTCAGTGTTATTGTGTGCTGATTGGACGTCTTCACCTACTTCTCCTTCGCGGTCCTCTAAATCTGGAATTGCACCGCAATCTTCCACCACTGAGATGACAGGGACCTAAGCAAAGATGAAGATAGATGAAGCTTATCACTCACGCCACTTGACAATGTCTAAATAGCCTCGACTAGCTGCAGCATGCAACACAGTGAAGCCTGTTCGAGAGGACGCGTCGTTTGCCAGGGCAAAGGCCTCGAGTTCACCGCTTTGTAAAGCTGTCTGAAAGAGCTTCTTCAAAAGAGACAAGTCCCCAGAAGAAGCAGCAGCCGACAAAGCTTCCAACTGAGCAGGAGATGGATGAGGTTGTGTCTGTACAGCTGGTGGAGATACTGGAGATGTAGGTTCGTCTACTGGTACCGTAGGATCCGGGACGAGTATTTGTCCTTGCTCTGGTTCCGCGATGGAAGTCAGCACTTCTTCTGAGGGAGGTGACTCTCCTCCAGCAGTACTAGTGGCAGCAGGGGTCTCCTTAGTGGTTTCAGGATATAAAAATTCCTCCTCTTCTGACTCTGATGCAGGGTATGTGAATCCTTCTTCATCACTGTGGTCAGAAACGTCGCTGGCAGTTCGGGACAACTGTGTATCAGACAAGCCTGACCTGATAGTCATCATTATTCAACGACGCGTTTCAAATCAAAAAAAAATTGCGCACTCCTCGATGGTCCCTAGGTGAGGTTTGTCAAATTCCGGACTGCTCATGATGAATCGAACCAACTTGAACGCGTTCAATGTGCTAGCACATCGCTAACAAGTTTCCGAGTAGTGGAAACTAAATATGGTAATTTATTTCCACAGCGTTTAAATTATCCATGTGCCACGTGACATGCGGGTGTACATATTGCCTACATATCGACGTCCGGCCGCCAGTAATACTGCCACCTTCTCTCGTCATTTGATGCTTTTCTTACTCAATCGCAAACAGGATACGAAGTTATTACGAACGAACTGAACAGTTGACATGGTGATTTGGAAGTCTGAGGCTATTTAATAGGCCGCCAGCTCCTACCGGAGTACCGTGGCTTACTTATTGCACCCGTTATTGTAGAAATTGGTATTATGACTCTGTTCTCTGTATTGAGACTCTCAGCTTGTCATCGCCGACTTTCTTCACGATACCGTTTCATGTCAACATCCATCAGTGAAACTCTGGTTCAGAGTAAGGGATCCCTCAATGGCGATCGCTCCAACCTCATTCCCTTCTCCTCGCGGCTTCATAGTGGCCGCGCCCTAGCACAAGACGTGTGGTCAATCTACAAGTAACATCTATGTCTTGTAATTATTGGCCGCGAGTTCACCGATTCTCTTCAGCGTGGCGAACCTCCCTGCAGACTGTATCAACCTTGGGCAAGGGTATATGAACTTTCCACCCCCAAAATGGGTCACAGACGCCGCAGATGAAGCTCTCAGATCGATTTTGCCCAATCACTATTCGCACCCGAAAGGCCGCATTCGTCTGCGGAACGCTATTAAAGACTTCTATCAGAAGTCCTTCAATCGAGATCTCGATGTCGAGAGAGAGATTCTTGTGACAAGTGGAGCAAACCAAGGTCTGACTAGTTTAATTATTCGGGTCAATCAGTCGTTTAGGGGTTTTCTTACAGGACAGTATTCCGTGTTCACTGCGTTCCTTGAGCATGGAGACGAAGTGATCATGTTCGAGCCCTTCTTCGACCAATATCTACCATCTGTCACATTCAACGGTGGAACACCCATTTACGTTCCCCTTCATCCTCACTCCGATGGTGCGTGGAGGATCGACTTCGATGAATTGCGGTATGTAGATCGATCTGTAAGTCAAGAATTCTATTTAAAACCTTCTCAGTCGTGCCATCACTCCAAAAGCAAAAATGATCATCATCAACACCCCTCATAACCCCGTTGGTAAGGTCTTCACGAGAGAAGAGTTAGAGAAAATAGCTGCTCTCGCGGAGGAATTTAATCTCCTAGTGATGGCGGATGAAGTGGTGTGTTTTTTCGGTCGTGTTGCTAAAAGTTTTGTGTAATAATTAATTGCTTTCTAGTACGACTGCCTCGTCTTCGATGGAAAGGAACATGTCCGCTTTGCCTCGCTACCAGGGATGTGGGACCGCACAGTAACTGTGTTGTCTGCTGGCAGTGAGTTACGGAATTCAGCTGTAGAGATCGATCTTACATTTTTTTGTCAGAGGCGTTCGCTGCCACAGGTTGGCGTGTAGGCTGGCTAATTGGCCCACCATCAATCATCGCCCCCACCCTCGCCGCCTGCACGCGAATCGTGTTCTGTTCAAACTCTCCGCTACAGGAAGCTGCTGCTGCTGGGCTCGAGCAAGCCGCAGAACGCGGATTCTTCGAGACTCAGCTTAAGGAGTATCAGGAGCGGCGTGATGTCCTCCTTAGCGCGTTCGACAAGCTTGGCTTGAAATACAGTCTTCCCGAGGGAAGCTACTTTGTGCTTTTGGTATGTGCCGGATGCACCGACGAAGAGATAGCCAACCAATTCGCTTCATTCGCAGGATATCTCACGCGTCAAGTTCCCTGAAGACTACCCCTTCCCAGCATCGGTTCAGGGGCGAGGACGCGATTTCAAGTTTGTCTACCCATTTTCTTGCTCTATTGGTTCTAACCGCCCACTGCTCAGGGCATGTTGGTTCATCGCACTTGAAATCGGTGTATCATCTATCCCTGTCAGCGAGGTATGTCAATACGGTCGAAAATTAAACTACTCTCATGCAATTGTATAGTTCTTCTGTGAGGACCATTGTAGCATTGGTGAGAACTTTGCCCGCTTCGCATTCTGCAAGGATGTGGAGACACTCAGAAAGGCTGGGGACCGTTTGCAAGGTTTGGCGAAGTATCTCGTGTAGAATATAGACATGGATGTAAACATTTATCAGATCACCTAGGGCCATGTACGCAGTGGAGTATTTATACATAGTTATGGAAGGCTTTCTTCGAGTCTGTCAACAATGCGCGAGAGGACCTCATTCTGCGAGCCTGCTTCAATGTCATAATACACCGGGTTGCTCACCAGCCTTCGTGCAAGGAGGGTGAAGGAGAGCGCTTGAACAGCATCCTGCTTGTTTCTGATGGACCCCTCTCTTCTCCTGTCTCTGTACCAATTTTTAAACACGGGCGATTCCAACAGCTCCGATTCAAGTGGAAGCCCATCGGCCAGGAATTTGGAGAATGTGTCTCTAGCCTCCGCTTGGCAAAAGAGGAAGAAGTGGCCAGGAGCATCATGCCTCACAGCCCGACTCTGCATCTGGAATACGTCAACAAGACTGTAATCTCGCAGCTGCGGCCCGGAGTCATCTCTGTCGAGATGGATATATTGGGTGCCCACGACCACTACGACTGCCGCCCGGACAGGCAGCATCCAACAAGCATCCCGAGGCACCAGGAGCACACGAACAACACCTTCAGCGAATAACCCCAGAACAAGATTCCGATCTGCTTTTGACAGTCCGTTGTGGAAGATCCCCACACCGCGTGTTACAAAATCAACCAATGTGTGGTCTTGCAACCGTGCTGAATAGTCCTCCACATAAAGAGGAGACACGAATTGGGGAAGAAAGCCCCTCTCGGTCTCCATGTTCAGGGCACACTGAGTGATTAGCTCTTGCGCTACCGTCCGGCAATGACTTCGCGAAGGGACGAAGACGATAGCAGATTCGTTGGACGGTACGCTTTGAATAGCCATGTACGCTGGTTTCGACATGGACTTGAACAGTGCAGCTGAATGCGGTATTGTGAAGGTTTGGTACGTGATGGTGAGCGACTGATCTCTGTCTGTCGGTTGAAAACCGTGGAGCCCCATGGTGTCTACACCCAGCCATGAAGCGATATCCGTGGGATCATTGAGAGAGCTTGACAAGCCGACGTATCGGGTAGGACTGTTTTGTGTCGTGTGTCGTAGTAGCGATATGCTGAGTTCATAGGTTGCATCAAGATGCTCCAAATTATCGCACACTACAAGCGAGGGATAGTTTGTCTGGCGGAGATTATGCTGGCCAACGGCCTCGAGCAGCGCCGACGGCGTGACAATGCGTATTGTGTTACTCCGGCAGGAAGCAAATACACCTTCTCCAGAAACAAATTCAACAGCCACGCCAAGTCCATTGGAAACGGCACGGAAGTCCTGAGAGAGATTGGGTAGCAAGGCTTCGGTTTGGGACAATGAAAAGCACCAAGGACCTTGAACGACGGAGTAGCGTTGTCCTTTAATAAACACTCTAGCTTTAGTAAAGTCGAGTCACACTTCGTAAATGTCTTTACTGACCATGTTGCTAGATGTCCCATGACTGTCTTGCCGCTACTAACGGGAGCGGATACCAACACGTTCATCGAAGTGTTGATAAGACTCCAAAACACTTGAGTTTGAATAGCATTGAAATCATCGAGCCGTGCCGAGTAGAGATCTTCCAGTACAGGAAGGCCCAGCGAGGAACGGGGAAGAAATGGGAGATCCAAACGAGGCGTATGACTAGGAGAGGGAGCAGGCATCACCAATCCGTCCAAAGACACATAGAGTTCGTCTTCGGCCCCCATCCATCTGTCGGACACAAATCTGACGGTAAAATATGGGGGAGGAATGTTGCCCGATATCGAAACCACGAAATTCACATCGAGGGTTTTTGTCGACTCCCGACATACGAGGTGCGCATACTGCAGAATTTCGATACCTTCATGATCTTCAACCCACAGCCAGAAAGGCTCCCCCGTGTCGTGTACTTTGGAACTCCAATCGAAGTCCCGAGTCACCTGAAACTGCAATCTTGAGGACGTTTGACCCTAACGGTCGAAGTGAGCTGGTCATCTTTACTGTAGGAAACTGCCGAGCTGCATTCCGGAGTGCTTGACCATGCCGCTCGTTTAAGCGAACTAGTTGACCCAGTTCTGCTGCAGTCATGGAAGCTAGCTCCGCGGGTGAATACTCTTCTCTTGAATTTTGCAAGCCATATATGATCTCAGCCTTGAGATCGAATTGCCTAAGAGGTTCGTCGAATGGCCAAAGACGTTTCTCGATGGCTTTGGTGATACCCATGAGTACCGTGGTCACACGGGCCCATTTGCGGCTGATCGCTATATCCAACAGAGCTCGTGCAATGCGTCCTCCATTCTGCGCCACGTATGCTGCATCGGAAACCAAGGCGAAATCTTCGACCGGAAGGCGAGAAATGTAGCTTTGAAGAAGGATGCCGACTTTGCCTTGGCTTGTATCTGTCCCTCCCTCAGTGCCGAAACTCTTAGCGATACTCTAGAGCCACAATGAACCTTACTCACTCGCACAGCGCATGGAATGTTCTCCATTAGAAGCTCCAATTCCTTCACCTCTGAATCTCTCACTTGGATTTGTTCGAACTTTCGTTTAATGTCAGCTAATGTCAAGGACATAAATAGACCATCCACCTCTGTACTCATACTGAGCGTGGAAAGCACATCAGCTTCGGTCATCTTGGGTTTGAACTCCTTGTTGAAGACCTCGATGGATGCATATCGAATGTAGTACCTGGCTGCTATCCTGCCGAGGTCCGTTATCGAAAATGCACCAGTCTTTTCAGTAAGGTTGATCATCCCCGCGTCGGCCAGTTTGCGAGCCGCTGTCAGAACAAGAGTACTTCGTTTCTGGCCAAGTTGTGGATCTTCTATCACATTGTCCCAAGACATACCTAGATGAAGTGTCAGCTGCTATGATCAAACGGGGCTTCGAAAAACTAGCCGTATAGGAAAGGATTCTTCCGCATGCGAACATACAGATATGTATATCCTAGCCATCGAACACCTTCGTCGGCGTTTGTTACCGTACCAAGAGAGATCTCGGCATTCAGTGCATTTTCAATGCCCGAGATGAACCTATTTTCTGTTAGAAAAATGTCAGCATCAAGATAATCATACTTCTTACCGAGATTCAATCGGATTCTGGATGATTGTTCAGCATTTATCGCCCATCGTGGCTGGATAAACATACCTGTGACGTTACAGCATCAAGGTAGTGTGCGAGCTTGTCGTCAGTGGTGCAGATGTATCCTTCACCACGAGTCTCGAGACCAGGCCGACCGGCTCGGCCAAACACTTGCAACACGTCCAAAACTGAGAGATCGACGAAGGATCCCTTTGCGCTATCGTACAACTGGGTACCTTTGATGACAACTAAACTCCTTCATGAGAGAAGAACGAAGGGTAAACAAAAATATATCACCTGCATGAGCAGGCAAGTTGACTCCCCATGCGAGGGTCGCTGTACAGCAGAGAACCTTACTTAGATATATTAGCTTCTACCAGGTCATTTCCACGTCAATGCCACTGACCTTGATGGCTCGAGCTTCGAACATCCTTTCCATCATGTTTCGATCGGACCGCAGCATACCTGCATGATGAATACCAAACCCAAGATCAAACAATTGCTTCATCTCCTTATTCCTAGACTGTCCGATATCCCTTCGGAAAAACGACCATTGAGGATGCGCCTCGCAGTTGTAATCTTCCAATGTGCCATCTATTGTCGCTGCATCCTTCAAAGCTTGCGCTGCTTTCACTGTTTCTTTCCGCGCATGAACAAACACCATTACTTGGTGTCCCTGTCGTACCAGCTCTGAAACTTTCTCGTACGTGACGCGGTCAAGGTTCTTTTTAGATTGTGCGCTTCCCGGCTTTCCTCGAACTCCAATGAAGTGCTGCTCCAAAGGAACCGGTCGGAAAGAAGAGTCAAAGAAAAAGAGTCCATTGTATCGGGATACGCTGATTATGAATTGAGTCCGACTGATCTGGAGAGGAATCCTGCAGGCAGACAGACCTCAAAAACTCCGCAACATCCAGATAGTTGGGCAACGTTGCACTGAGACCCACTATTCGAATCACAGATTGGCTTGATTCGACCTATAGATGAGTTGACCATCAAATTCATCTCTAAGAGAACAAATGCGTACCTGTCGTAATGTGCGCGCAACAATAGTTTCGATGACAGCTCCACGTTCTTCATTCAAAAGATGCACCTCGTCAATGATTAAAAGCTTCAACTTCTGTATACAAAAACAGTCAAGCGAGGGGGAAAACAGGAACGAATATGGAGACGGACTGAAGCTAACTCTCCCTCGCCAGTGGGCTTTCGAGTTACAACGTCCCATTTTTCAGGTGTAGTGACAATGATTTGAGTTTCGGCAATCTCAGATTTTGTCAATTGCATGTCACCTACACAAGAAGTTAACGGGCGGTACATGGATTGGAGAGAAGTCTCATCCCTGTCAATTCCTTGACCTGTATCGAAAGCCACTTTAGTCTTTTGCCCAGCTTTCGAACGATTTCAGAAGCCAAGGCTTTCATAGGTGCGCTATATTTCTGAAGTGTTAGGATACCTAATTGTAAGAAAAACGTCGTCGGAAACCCACACGTAGATGATCTGAAAGGTGCTGCGATTTATTGAAGAATGTAGAGGTGACGAGGGACTGATAGGTGATCGGTGCTGGTTGAGAACTCGAAGAATTGTTAACATGGCTACATCGGTTTTACCCTGTAATATGAGTTCCATAAGTACAATTCGAGGATGTCACCTAGGATAAGCTGACAGCACCAGTAGGAGCTGTCTCGATCACCGTTAAGGTGTGAAAGACCACGCAATACGACCGGAAGACGCACCGCAAACCAAAATATTCTCGTTTGATCCATATGCAGTTGGAAAGACGATAGACTGTATGCGATTTAAAGAAGAATACCCCTGAAAGAAAAGGTTTGATAGATGATGGGAGGGAAAGGATGGGGCTGCGTACAGGAAATGAGCCTTTAGCTAATTCATCGAGTTCAGAGACAAGAATGAGCCGTTCAGATTCCTTGGGTGGAACGACTTTGGCAGGAGGAATGATGACCTCCTCATACTCCTACCTCACTGGTGAGCGAACGAGAACAAAATGAAGGCGACTGTAACGGACCTCGTAGTTATGTCTAGTAGTTCCGAGTGGAAGTACGTACTTGCTACCAAATTGTGAAAGTAAACCGCCTTGCACTACAGAGGATGAAGAGTAAACATGTGGAAGCACTTCTGGGGCCTCTTGCTGGATATTTTGAGCGAGGACTCGCGCAAAGGGGTGTAATAAACTCACTGCCATCCCAGTGAACAGAGGACGTGACGCGTTTGCCCTGAGAGTCTCTTCCATGCGACGGCGAACATCCTGCGGAGCGAGGCTGGCAATTGTAGCTGAAGCACATGTTAGTGACGAACAATAACGTTGAACGGCACTGACTGCCTGTCCCTGATGTTTTCGCTTTATCTGTGGTCGAGTGCTCAACTGTCGGGTGGCCCCGTACAGACAACTAGGCGATGTGAGTGATTAGATGAGGTGCATTTGACAACTACTGACTGCATTCATAAAGTAAGACCTGAAGGTGAGCAATCCTGCAACCAATTCGATGTCGTCAAAGCCAACCAGATCTGCAAGCTCGCTTGATATGGCTTCATTGGTGCGTGTAGTCGATAAAATATCAGAAATAGCTTCTAGGACTTCCTTTGGTTTGCTACGTACAATGAGGCTCCTGCCAGTGTAGAAGGAATAAATTCAAAAGCACTAACCTTGACAATCTACCTATTAGGTGCTGAGGTGGGGGTACCAACGATGGATCCTGATCAGCAGTGAAGACATCCGTAATGGATGTTCGGACGTCATTCTCTAAATCATCGTTGACATCTATACATGGTGAGTTTGCATCGGTTAGGTACATGATCATGATGTCAGTCGAAGTAGAGTACCTAGACTCGCAAATGAGTTGGGCCTGATGGTTAATGTGAGTCCTTGTTTACTAAAGGCATGATCGACATGCAACAGACGTTATCCAGTTGTCCAATTGCTTGGTATCGAAGTTCTGGACAGCATTTTCGCGAGGAGCAGACGTCAACTGGTCAAGATGCTCGAGAATAGACATGGTACAGTGCGGCCTTCAAGAATCAAGATAATATAAGGAATTTTCAAGGTTCATACACTTTGTCGTGCAACACGCGACTCGTAGTGGACGAACGATGATCGATGACGATGTAAATTGGATGTAAGTTACTAAAGGCTGCCTGCCTTTAAGTTTGACTGCATATCCCTTCTTTCCCACGATAGCGCAGAGCACCGGATGGATGGAGGTTTCGGCACCGATAGGTAGAGCCGTTGGTGACTCAGAAAGTACCAAAGTGTTCGATGACATTTGAACTTAGAGCAAGACCAATTCCATGATGTGATAATAGTGTTGACATGTGTATTTCTTTCTTTCGTGTCCCAGTGTTGGTTTCTTTACCTTGTGATGTTTCTTCGAAGTACCGCAGCTTCGTGATACGCGTGTTTGGTTCCCAGGTCCCCCAAGCATCAAGATGTTGGACCGTGATACGAAAAGATTCGGGTCACATCTTTCCATATCTCGGACCAACACATAAGCGTCCCCGTCTCCCACCTTGACCTTCGCGGTGAGCATCGACACCACGGTTGGTAGTGTCAAACTCCGACCAAAGGATTCACGTCTGATCACACACCAACCATCATGAGAGCGTCTCGCCGTGGTGAAGGTATCTGCGGAAGGACGTTCCCCTGCCAGCAGGGTACCACAGGCTGATATAATCGAAACAATAGTCGGAAAGGTTAACGCTCCAGGAGATGCCAGTGAGCACTCATGCATTGTAGCGAACACGAGGACTGTCACAGGCACGTTGTTTGAATGGTAGTTATACCTCGCAAAAGCCAGCTAGGTCACGAGGTTCCCGCGTTCTGCTGAGATGATGTGTTGAGCGTGCATTTACCCTTGACTGCCTCCGTTGCTCGCGTTCGAAGGCTGCCATGTCGCTATACCATCGAAAATCTCGCGAATCACCTCTCTTGGGAACTTGGGGGACGGGTGGACGCAGAGGCCCTACACGATCCAAGGGCCAGATGATGTACGTCAACTTTGAGTCTAAAAGAGCAAGGGGGACCTGAATGGAAGCATTAGCATGAATGAATATAGGAGCATGGCGACTCACTGGGCCAAATTTGTTGCTATCCAGAGTACGGAAAGGTTCATCACCTGATGCGACGTCAAGACTTGCTCAAATTAAAACGACGCGTCTCACCCTCCACCCAAATATGACCTTCAGGGACAAACACTTCAGCGTCAGGATATGGAGGCAGGGTCTTGATAACATCTCCTGCCACAGCTACGACTCGCTTGACGATCATTTTTCTACTATCTAGAGGATCCCTGAACAGGGAGGAAACATCAGCCGCATTCCATATGCCCAGAAAATACCGTACCGAAGTGCCACGATGTCGCCTTTTCGAATAGGCACTCCAGAGTGGACTAGCATATCTGTTGAAGACAACAATATCATCCCAACCTGAGGTATCCGGATTTAAAGTTGGCTAGCTGGCACGTAAAACCGGGTCAGATACATCTCTGATTCATGGGGGCTCACGACAGACCTGCATGCTCCTTCCTCTGATCGTTTTCAGTGTGTAGAAGTACTGTGTAAAGCCCAGGCCGAGAGGAAGCCAGTAGATCCATCGCAATGGCCTACCGATTAAACCCCATGCCCTCCTGAAACTCCATTCTGGGTTCATGGCACTGTGCACCTGTCTTGCAGGCTAGCGGCCTGTGAAGCTTTAAAAACTTCAGGAATAGCGACATATTGCTTCAAAGACCAGCTCGAAGCATTGAATGCTAAACTTCTTTACTGACGAAGTTGCTGACACGATCACGTGCACTGAACGTGAATTAATGAACTACAAAACGGAGGCTTTCACCGTTTCACGTCCCGTCCCGAGAACGCTCGCATGACGGTAAAGAAGCAGGTTCACTTAAGCTAACAATGTATCCTTGGATAGAAAGAAACCCCGCCATCATCTATTGTCGAAATATGATCTCCTTTGACAACTCATCTCCTAGCGCACCGATGCAACTCAAAATCTCCTCGCGACTATATTCATCGTCCCACCTGTAAGATGACTAGGAGGCCATTCAGCTTCCAAGGCATGAAGATGTCGGGCAACTCACAGTAATAGGTATCACGGATATCGTCCCATGTTGCATGGAATAAATGACCATGACTTCGCTGAGTAGCTCCTCCGAGACTCGAACAGGAGGGCCTTTGAAAGGGGACATGTTAATATATTACCGAATGATCAGTCCTAATCTTACCTTCGCCAGGATCTTGTGGGCCTTCTAACGAATGTTCTGGGTACGCGAAAGTGGCATAACGAAATCTCTCAAGTTGGGGAATACAATGCACCAAAGGAAACCATGTAAATTCTTCCTGCATTTGCAGAAGAATGTAATTAGATTGCAGAGCTGCCACAGCATCATTGCTTACAGGGTCGATGAGATACGAAGGCGAATATTCGCCCTTGTACTTCATTTTGGGGCAAGAGTGGATGTAGAACCCTGAAGCCAGTGAGCACAGGTCAGATTGGATACATTGATAATGACAACGACAACAATAACTCACCCATGAAAAGTGATGTCACGTTGGTAACACCTGCATCATGCATTTCTCTGGCCAATGAAGCCTCCCGTAATGCACTAAGCTAGAAATGCAACTTGCTCAATCACTCGAAAGAGGATAAATGCATCAATTAACCTTCCCAAGGGAATGTTTTTCGTATCTTGGATCGTACATGAAATATACGCTGGAAACGCAGCCAGGCAAGATATCAATGACGCCCACGGCGATCAGTTCGCCGTCAAGTCTGTACATCTGGTGAAAAGAACCATATTGAGACGGAAGATGGGCCGGAGGGTTTGCGGGGTATGGGATAGGTTCATTCTTCAAAAAGCGAGGTGTCAATGCTGACCAGGAATTGACTGCCTAGAGACGTACTATCAAAGGGCTTTTTACCAGAAAACCCTTGAAATCTTCTGGTGTGTTGTTTTCGTCGTGGTGGATCTGTCTCTGGTATATCACATAAAGCGCGTATTTCTCTTCTGAGTAGGTTGATGGCTCGAGCGTCACCTGTCATAGCACTTCTCAGAACACTGATGGTTTAGCAATGCCATGCAGGTCACACCTCGAATTTATGGCAAGAGGGTTCATTCTGAGGAATGAAGTTACACTCAGAAGAGTGGATTGAGGTAGACAGAGAAAAAATCGGAGGGGCGCGCTTCGAAGCATTACCCTCTGACTTGGACGGCCTGGGGGCAGACGATGTGCCGTCAGGCTGTAGCGGAGGACCGCTAGTCTCGGATTTGTGACCTTGCATAACAAAATGATTCCATCTGTTTACAAACGTCAATGGTCAAGCTGGCTGCCAAACCAAGAAAGTCCATCAGGGTATACTTACCTGTTGACGAGTTTTCTTTGACTGCGGGAAGGCTTAAAGGCTATCACATCAAGCCTGCGATTGAATCGAAAACATTTCAAATAAGTCGGGCGCTGCGAGACATACGTGGAGATTGGACAACGTGCCTGATAGTGTACTGAGGACAGCACGAGCGTCTTAGATCGGGAGCATAACAATATTTCCCAGATCGTCTCCACCCTCGGTCGATCATCTTTTGATAGGCCTAGCGAGTTTTCAGAAAAAGAGAGAAGGGCTACATGTGTCCTCGTGTAAAGTTCTCACTTCGCATGACAGTTGAGAGGCAATAAGACCTGCCTTCTTGAAGTTAGTCTCAGTGTTACTTCGTGCTCCCGGCGGTCCACAATAGCCGCAAGTAGAGGATCCCGGTCCCAGAGGCGTACCGACTGAAAGGACAGGCATGATGTAAAATGTCAATATGTGCTGGCGTGCAGACGATGCCACCAGCAGCTTGGAGTTAAGTTGGGCGGCTCCACGGCCTGGGTTCTCAAGTACCCCTTTCGTGTGACAGTACTTGGGGCTTCGAAGCTTGAAAAGGCCGGTAACATTGATGTACAGCAAAAATAAGATCATGATATGTACTATGAAATACTACGAGAGTCTGGATGATTATAAACGGAAACGAGCAGTGCGTGATCCGAAATTGCAAGATAGCACATACATCAATCTAGCCCCAACCATCCCACCTACCATACTTCCTATACTCTTGCAGGACTAGTTCTCGATTATCCTTGCGGTCTCTGTCACGCTCCCTTTCCTTTCCCTTCTCAGTACGACTAGTAGTAGATGACACGCTGGACGTGCGCGGACGGGGTTGCGAAGATACCCTGGGCGGGGAACTGGATAGCGGGGTCCCAGCCGCAGAAAGCGAAGAGCTATTGGACACCCCCTGTGGCAATGATAGTCGATACCAGCCTCCACTATATGTGAGCGCTATAAGTTGATACTCCATGGATGGATCACGACCAGGTTCACTACGATCGGACGGTGTTTGGATCCAGCCGACCATGCACTTCTCCTCGTCGGTAACGTCGGCCGTGGGAGAACGAGTGGACGATGAGGAAGATATAGATATGTGAGAGGCTTGCGCAGGAATCCGATACTGAGCGTATGACCATTCGGAATCAAAGTACGGAATGAGTGAGGCGAGCGGCGACAAAGAAGACTGTCGATTACTGCCCAATCATATCAGCGCTGAACAGATTTCGGGTGAGAAATGACTCACGAGGGGCCAGAAGTTATAAGAGAGAAGACATGCACAGTGCCCTTATCGCTCCAAACACATACTTCCTTCTCATCAGGGCGAAATGCAACCCCATAAATTTCGGCCTTATCTGATCCCCTTCTAAATACGCGCAGCAGCTTTCCTGTAAGAGTATCCCATATCCGAACGAGGGTACCGCGAGACGAAGTCGTAGGCGAGCATCCGACCTGATTGAGGAACGGTGATAGTATTCAATGTGGAGTCGTGTGCAGCAATGATGGAGACTGGATGCTTCGATGGTGGAGGTGGTGGTCGAGCGGGTGGGATAGAAGACGGGGGTCCAACTGGCGTGGGTGGAATACAAGGTGATAGATGTACCAACTGTACATGCCCTATCTGTCGACCAGGGAATGCCAGAAGGGTCGCATACGCCCCAGTAGCTATCGCAAGTAAGCCTACACACCGAAAAGCATGAATTGTCAATATAGCGCGTGTAGGACAACCCAGCTCACCTCGAGGGTTATCGCAGGTATCAAATTCGTGCCGCCGAACGATGGTCTCCCCGACCTCAAATACTACAACTCTTCTCCGAAACGACACTGCAAGCCATCCACGTCTACAGGCAAGACCTCTGACCCTCTCCCTGAACTCTAGTTCAGCTACTTCTTCTCCAGCCACGTCATCCCATACGACGACCTTATTCGGAGGATAAAGTGGACTGCGGCCGCCTCCGAGGAGAAAGAGCAGAGATGATGTGTGGCACGGAACTACGGCAGCGAGGGTTCCCCCATTAAATTCTGCTTGATGCCATGACGATCAACAGGGAACAGAAAGAATGCTACCTACCCACCTCTCTTGCGAATAAGCTTCAGCGGCCGGGTCTGGTACACTGCGAACCCTGCAGGTGTTGTCGTAGTAAATATCTGACAATCTGCTTCAAATCGGGTGTCAAAGATCTGAATAGGGTTTGTCGCAGTGATAGAATGTCGAGCTAGGTTCATGGATCAACGTGAAAGGGTGAGATAATGGGTGTCGCTCAGCTTGCGGCAGTAGCAGCCCACATACTGCATCAGATTGTGGCTGGAGCTGAAGCTTCTGAAGCGGCGGAATTAGGTGTCGGACCATCCACTACAAAAGCAAACAAATTGTTTACGACTAGTAAGTATAGCTAGTCACTGAGGTGATTGATTCAGATAATGTACAGATGATCATACAACAGGTAACAGATAGTGACGACTATGAAAAGATACATGATAGATAAAACGTGCAGGTCCAACAGAGTCCTCGCACTCTAACCCGTCATCCACGAGCAGAATGTGCGACAGCCGCAGGTACATATACAGGAGATGCATACGCTGGATGATGTGCATAACTCACTGTATGATTTCCTGCACTTTGCATAGTACGCGGAATAGCATCATTGGTATCATCCCAGGACTTGGGCGGTCGTAAGCCAACTCCAGCAAGTTGCTGCCTGGCAGCCTTGAATTCTTGTTCCTCTGCCTGATTCTGCGCAACCAGAGCTGCCTTGGCCTCTGCCTGCCTCTGCAACTCTGCCTCCGACTCATCTGATAAGTAATCTGTAAAGCCCCCATCGGAGATTACAGTCGCATCTGATAAGGAGCCTTGCGAGCTACCACTATCACTGCTGCTCTCCGCAGTGCTCCCAACCTTTAACGCTGCCATAGCGCCTTCTAATGTAGATCTTCGCGAAGACAACGGAGAATCTTGTGAATTCGTGGGAATGCCGTCTACGGGAGATGGGTAAGGAGCTGGTGGGAAATACTCTCCAGCCGGCTTCGATGAGTTAAAGGATGCGGATACCGATGATAACGAAGGTCGTCCTCCGCAGTTACGCCGTGACATCGAACCGTCTAATTCTGTCGCTCTACGCATCGAGGGTGTGCGGTTTGTCTTCTCTACCCCTTCTGAGCATGTCTGGCGACGAGGCATAGGACTTTGGTCGGCTGAATTTGCAAATGAAGACAGGGGCCCAGACGCTCGCGGTGTTGTCCCTGTCAGAGGAGAACTCTGTTGCACAGGACTCCCACCAGAGCGTCCTCTTGCTGGAATGGGCATTGACTGATTCTTCCCAGAGGTTGGGCTAGACCTGGTCGTGGGACTGCTACCGCTGTTTCTACGATCCAGAGATGGCATTGACTGCTGCGACGCTTGGCTGCGATTTATGGGTGAGACACCAGGTATGATACCGCCTCGTACGCTTTCCAGAATACTTTTTATCTCGGGAGGCATAGGTATGCTATGGACAATGCTGACACTAGGCCAGTCTGCAGCCTGTATGAGGCGCTGTTCGTTGGCATTTGGAGGCCTACAGCATCCGGGCCAACCGGGGTTCTGATGCAAGGTCACTTTTGACGATGGATTTGCACGAGCCCACTGTAGATCAAGGGGTTCAATCGACTGGTATCAGGATCGACATGAAAATAATAACCTTGCAATAACCACATCCATTAAAAGATTTGACTAAGATTGAAAGCAATCGGTCATAATTCAGCGATGTGACTAGAAATAAAAAGCTTCGAGGAATACACACCCTCCGCATTCTTGAGGTGAACGATGTCATGACGGGGATGTAAAGCTCTGTTGTAACATACATCTCGGATGTGAGGGCATCTTTGGGATGTGTGTGGGTAAGATGAAAGGAAGGAGGGATGAATTAAAGAACATACCTTGCACCACTCGGTTTGAATACCTTGCACATGGGACATAGGACAGATGCAGGGTCAATCGAACCATATAGGTAGCACATTGATGAACCTGATGATGCGGGAGGAGGACTCGATGGGATGATTTATATGAAATGTGAATGCAGGATACTAAAAAAGGGATCCGGATGGGACTGGACTGAGAAAGAAGTGGAATGGCGAAGGCAGGACCGGCATGCGGTATCCTGGGTGCTCTGCTGATCGGTTCCGATTGAGGGAGACATGAGTTACGACGACAAGAAGTACGGGAGGTGAAAATGTAGCAAACTGACAAGATTCTCCTTTATATGCTCCAGCTGCTGTAACAATCGAAACACGAGTCTCAAACGCTTTTAGTTCGACATCGTCCTCATGTTTAAAACGTGTAGACAACGACGTAAACCCAAAACAGATATTATATAGTTTTTTATCATATTTATATCAAATATATATATCAGATCTACAAATCAAGTATAATCTTCCAATCAAAATTACAATCAATTCATGTATTTCATAAACACTTCATCGTGGTAATTATTTTCTAGACTTCCCGTGTGAAACGATCCCGGACTGGACCAGCGCTTAGATTAGCTGTGTTCAGGATGTTCTATGGAGAATTGAGGTCATTAACACCCGCCAGCAGTGGTGGCGACGCTAACTCGTTCTTCCTTATAACCCACACTTACCGTAGTCAATATTCTTCCCCCAAACAACTATGGGCAAATCTCAGAGCAAGCTGTCACCGGAGCAACTTGCCGATCTGCAGAAGAACACCTATTGTCAGTTCAATATCTTGTATCGACACCATCTGATGTGACCCCCTACCCTAGTTGACAAGCGAGAGCTTCAGCAATGGTTCTTTCTATTTTCTTCTTATGTGGCGTCCTTTTCATCTTTATCGCAGGTATAAAGGCTTTCTCAAGGATTGTCCATCGGGCCAGTTGGACAAGACTGAATTCAGTCGTATATATAAACAATTCTTCCCATTCGGGGATCCTGGAGACTTTGCAGACTACGTCTTCAACGTCTTTGACGAGAACAAAAATGGTACTATTGACTTCAAAGAGTTCATCTGCGCTCTTAGCGTCACGAGTCGCGGACGATTAGATGAGAAGCTCAAGTGTACGTACATTTCCCCATTTCATTTGGCATAAGATGCCACTCCATATTTGATCTTACTCACAATCCTCCAGGGGCGTTTCAGTTGTACGATATAGACAAAGACGGTTACATCACCTATGATGAGATGTTACAAATCGTATCCTCCATATACAAGATGACTGGACAGATGGTCAAGCTCCCAGCTGATGAGGATACACCTGAAAAGGTTCGTTGATAATTTCTGTTCTCCCCACTTTTATGAAATGTCTATCCCAAATACACAGCGAGTGGATAAGATCTTCAGAAATATGGACCGAGACAAGGACGCAAAGCTCACGTACGATGAATTCGTCGAAGGCAGTAAGCAAGACCCGACCATCGTCCAGGCGAGTGCCCAGGGTGTTCACATGGTCAGTCCCTGACGAAACTTATCCTTCCCATTTCTAGGCATTGTCGCTATACGATGGTCTTGTATAATGACACGATCGTCATGATGTCGGCATTTCTGCAAGTGGATGACTTTTTATCCGTCAACCGCCACTGATATATTTCCATAGCCCTTCCTAATCTGCTTTCCTGTTGTATTCCAGGTGATCTTGAGACCAAGTTTTTCGCACACGTCTGAACCATACTCTACTTACGCAATGGCCGGATGGCTCGGATCTATCTGCCTTCAATCATGTAGCGGTAGATCATGCTCCAGTGTCGCATTATTTTTATTCACATCTCAAGGCTAGAACCTTGCATAGCCATGCGATAATCAACTACTTAGAGTCACAAGGCAGCTTCCCGTACTTCCGCAGTATCTTGGTGTCAATGTTTTCACCCACCCAACTGTAAAGTCCCTCGGCAAACTCGAGATTATCCCGCTCTGCCTTGAACAACTTATTGAAATCTTGTGGCTGCCCTGGCTGCGCATTGCTCATGGCCGCAAAGGGTGACGCAGTCATATCACGCGAAGCATCGGCAGCTAGCAACGAAGATCCGGACGCCAGCATCAGACGACTATATAGAAAAACACAGGAACTAAACAGAAAGACGCACAGTTATCACCGCCAAGGATAAGCCGATAAAGGCCGTTCAAGCCGAAAAAGTTGAGGAAATACCACGACAGTGATGAAACCCACCGAACATCCATATCAGGGGTATCAATGCCACGCTGAAGCATAGATTTAAAGCCCAGCGTCAAGGGGAAAGGGAGCTTGACTGAGGTTTTCAGGTCGGAGTGCTCTATTGAAACAGTACGGGGAAATCACGCACTTAGGACGAAGCCCTGGAAGAAGAAGTTGATCCATCCCATGATGACCATCTGTGGGACCATCATGACCATTTGAGTCTTCATTCCGGACATCATGCCGTCCATGGCAGCAGGGTCTGACAAAGGGTTGGGAGCAGATGACGGTGCGTCACTCTTGGGCGGTCCGTCTTTCAGGTACGTCCCGGCCTTGAAGGCCTCAGAAAGATATTGTGAGATAGCTTTGTAAAACGATGGTGGTATCGGGGAATTTGCGGATGTGGCTCGCAGAATCTGGGAACGCGTCAGAGCACGTCTTATTGCAAATCACTATGTGAGAGGGACGTCGAGCAACAAGAGGAGGTCCACTTACTGCTCACGGGTTGCAGCTCGCGAGAGCTTTTTCGGTGGCGACTGCAAAAGAATGACTACATAATGGCGTAGTATTCCGACCAAGATCTGACCGCACACATAGTGAACACTGTCCCAAGTGCAAACCGGAGATGCATTAAATAAAACTCACCATTACAAGAGTGATTGGAAAGAGCACCCAGTCCCGAATCTGGGGATCCAGGTATAACGAAAGCCTATCCATCGTTGTGTGTCAACTGAGGGCGTCGAGAACTTCTATGAGTCGCAGCGACCTCGACCGTGACGTGTTGGACTTGCAATGAGAGTAGATTTCCTTTTTGAGACAACCATCGACGTGAACCTCGTGCGCAGTTGACACACACTCTCATCCGCCTTTGACGCTCCCTTCAGCATCTTTTTAGAGTTGTGTCTCCCTTGACCCTTGTAGGGTAGCGGAGATCATGGACAACTCACCGACCGCGCTATTTGACTCATATGAACAGGATTTCAGACAAATCATTGACAGCATCCGCTCAAAACTTGACGGAGAAGGCAAGGATGAGCGTGGTGGTACGTAGTGGTTTCTGGTGTTAGCTTTTTGTGTTTACAAGGATTATATGTACAGAACAACGTAGAGCAGCACTCAGAAGAGTGGAAATGGAGCTGGATGAAGCCGACGAAATGGTTAGTTTGCGCACAGACTGGCACTGGAGATTTAACCTGAATGATTAATCGCAGATATCGCAAATGGAGATAGAAATCCAGGGCATACCCCAGTCCATGAAGCCTCAGTACCAAAACCGCCTCAAAGCAACCAAGGGAGACCTAGTGCGCTACAAGAAGCTTTCCAAGGATCTCCATTCCCAACTATCCAGAGCGGAACTCCTTTCATCTGGCAGAGTAGGCACTCCCACATCAGACGAACCTTATGGACCTACCAGTGATCGTACTCGCCTGCTTGCGGGGACAACTACTCTCGACGATGGTACCAGACGGCTACAAGACTCACAGCGTATTGCTCTGGAGACGGAAGACCAGGGTGCACAAATATTGATGAATCTCAGAGCTCAGCGAGAACAAATTGAGAATTCCAGAGATACCGTGCGTCTTCTCCCTTGATTCTTGACGACTACTTACCCTGTGCCTTACTAGCTTCGCACCGCTGACACTGCTATTGACCGAGCCTCAGGCACTTTGAAGAAGATGATTAGACGGTTAGTTTGAAGCTGCTGCAGGCGTTTTGGAGCTATGTGCCTGATATGCGTTATGCAGGATGTACCAACAACGTGTCGTCACCGCTGCTATCATTGTCGTCCTCGTCCTGCTAATTGCAATCATTATATGGGAAAAGCTTTTCCGATAGAGGGATGTTTAATTCTTGGTTTCTTGCATTGTCCCCTTTGTTCATATGCCCGCAGACATTGTATTTATGCATACTATATTTCCCCAGGCTTCGATCCAGTGACTTGTGATGTGGTAGATATCGTGCTATCAATTTACATACTGGAAGAATATGTTCCTAGCAGAGCATTCAGCATGAGTCCACTTTCTTTCGAAATTACTTACTGCTTGTCTGTCATGTCAGCGAATGCACGGCGCTCCTTCTCCTTCTGAACGTCGTCATCCGTCCAACCCTTCTCCCTTTTAATCTCTTCTATCATTGCTCGTCGTTTAATGTTTAACTTCACATTAATATAGCGCAGAAGGTATGCTACTCCCATCTGCGTTGTCAGCAGGACCATGATGGCAACCTTACCAGGGATGTATGCTGGCGCATCTTTTGGCTGAAAAATTTCAGTGCCAATGATGTTTCCGACGCAGAAAAATGTCATGGTGAGCGCATTGATGGTGAGCTATGGGAATGTCAGTCGATACCCAGAGACAAAGGTATGCCTGGCATACCTTCTTGGTGTAACCGCTGGTGTTGCTGGCATTGTATGCATAGATCGTAGATAACGTGCTTCCAAATGTGCCTATGAGGTATGAACCTGGAAATCGTGTTATCATTAGACATGCATGATAACTGCGTCGAGCTAAGCCCACCAAATAGTAATACCCCTTTCTGTCCAGTATTGTTGAAACCAATCATCAGTGCTAGAAGGCAATCAGCCTTCTCTAGGTTGCTAAAACGAATGATTGATTTACCAACGCCCAAAAGGGTTGGGAGAGTTGCATAGATCACTGGTAACATGCGTTCACCCTATTTTCCTCGATGAGTATAGCCCCATTGTCAGCTGCGCAACGCATCACCTTTTTATCAGAGTAATAACCGCAGAGCACCACCGAGATAACATGAAAAAGTCCGGTAGGAGTGGCAAGAATCAATGTCTGCCTTGATCTATCGAGAACACGAAAAAAATCATTAGTTACCATGACACATTTTCTTAGGGTGTGGTCCTACGTGTATCCGAAATTCCTTATAATAAGGTTGCTGACTATGTAGGCCGGCCATGAGCAAGCTCATCAAGGCAGGGATCACTTACAGTTAGTGAGACCCCCACTAGGAATGTCCGCTGAAACGAGAGTGAGGAATGCACAGGTAGTGCGGTGTATACCCACTCAGCATGGTTGCAAGCACGATTAACCAAGTTCGGACATCCTGAAGGGTTTCGATTACTTGTTCTTTCTTGAACGTCCTGTTCTCTGTACCCCCCTGGTCATCCCTAACCCGCTCTAGGGATGCAATGCGCTCCTCCTCTGTAAGTATCCAGGCATTAACAGGAGAATCTGGTAACCACGCTATAACGATGATTCCAACGAGGATCGCAAGACCGCCAAGAAGATAGTAGACAATCTTGTACGGCGCCATGACAGCTCCGTTGTAGAAGGAGATTCCCTGTATCAGTCAGTCCAGCCCTCTTAATGTGGGATTATACATACATAAGCTACGAAGCCTCCGAAGACCTGAGTGAAACCAAGCTATGGTGTCGCCTTTAGCAAGGAATCAGGTTTTAGAAGAAAGTAACTGACCATCATGTAAAAATATGCAATGCGAGTTCCCTGCGCGAGTTCTACACACAATTTCACTGTAGATGGATTGATCACTCACTTGTTCTTCCTTTCTATAAAACATGGATACAATCGATACTAGGATAGGAGACACGCAGCTCTCGCACATCCCTGCCCAAACTTCAGCGAAAATCATCTAGACAAATCCCCACGCACCAAGAATGAAACGAAGCACGAAGAAGGCTTGGAAGGAGTTCGCCATTGCATGGCAGAGCAATACCACGCCCCATATGATAATATTTACGCCTGACGTCGTTCTAGTTCTTATCCACATCCAGTATATCCAACTCACCGAGGTATTTCGCAAGCCTGAGCTTCTGTGCGATGTATACTGTGGGGAATTCCCAAACTATAAAGCCTGTAGATAAAATGTAATTAACGGGTGAAATTTGAAAGGTAACCTCATATTTACCGAGATAGAACGCCATTGAAACTAGGTTGTAGTTTTGTCCAGTAATGGGAAACCCCATAATGCTAAATATAATGTTGGACATCCGTTATGCGAGGCATCCCGTCGGTCACTGACCTTGCATAATTGAGTGATGTCTTGTCCCTTTCAGGATAGTCAAAACCAGATATTTGAAAACGACGGCCTCCTCACAAAAATTGGGTAAAATACACCAAAGCAGTTATTGGAATAATAACTTTGTCCTGTCATTCTGTCAGCAAAGCTGATCCACTGTAATAACCACTGACTAAACATACGAGTTTGTTCCTAAGTCTTCGGTTGTATTCTTCACTGAATTTCTGAGCTTGGGTGCCCACTAATCGAAGCGCTTCATCTCCTTTAAAGAGCTGAGAGTCGTCGATATCATCACGAGATGTCTGTTTTTCTGAATCCATGACCTAATTCCGTTGCGCGGAGAATGTGACTTTGGGCTCTCGTAACAGGTCTGGTAGAGAAGAGTTGGAAGAGGAACCCAGAATAAAGGTCACGGTTGTCCAAGTAACTCATCCTAGATATTCCAAGCCGCCACAGGACGATAGGCACCAGGGATGTGATAACATGATGAACAAATTTACGCCCCAATTCATGATAAGGCGTATTTTAGGATGGCCAAGGAGCACAAGACGATGGAACCTAGTTGAAGTTCTCACCAGCAAGGGGAGGAATGACATTGCTACCGAGAAACGTCGGGTTGAGCCCATAAACTTAAAGATGGTTTATGAATGGGTCACAGTAGGTTGCAGAACTTACATGACATCGAATTCGAGCAGATGAACGAAGATGGTGACTCACCTTTGGTCCGTGCAAGTCAGCAGGGCCACGTCGTTAATTTTCTATAGTCTTGGCGTCGAGTTCACAGTGGGTTTGCTATTTGTCATGGGGAACAAAATTTGGAGATGCCAGCAACTGTACGCAGCCGTGTAGCTACCCGTCCTACCCGCGCGTCAGTCTCCGACTCATTTTAGTTGACCCTGCCAGTGCACAACGCAATCAGTCAAAACGGTTATACCTGCGTTGAGCCTCTCATCTAGTCCCCTCTCGACAGACTAAATGGAAGGAATATAGCCATTCCTTCTTTATTATGAGCCTCATCAGTCCATTCAAAAAGGATCTCTTGCACGTGAACGTCCCCGGGATATGCGTTGTGTACTGGACAATGCACTTCTTAGGACTACTCAAGTGCGGTATATAGATTGATCATTGGATGCAAGAAACGCTCCAACGGTATCATCGTGCTGAATCAGTAGTAAGTACCGGGCACATCAATGCTTTCCTGCTCACCGGAGTCACCACACCCGCTTTGACTTGCCAAGCATCCGCCGGAGGCCGGCGCGTACATCCACCTCTGCAGGACCCTAAACAGACGAAATCAGGGAATGATTACTGTCGGGTTGAAATAGATATTGCAAAGCTTGACAAGCCGTTGATTATAAGTACTTATGACTGTTTCCTAAGTCACTAGTACTATCGGTTACCACAACTTCCGTCAACCACTGGTTCGGACACTTTGCAATAGCTCACACAATTCAGCCTCGATAAATATTCTATCTCACCACATATCATTGTACACATATTACAAGCTACTATAAAGTTGAATCATCGAAATTGGTAGAGAAATGATTGAGATAGTTGTTGAGGTGTGACAGAGCGCGGCTGTTTGTCACTCGTCTGCCGTGGCGGAGTTCGCTTCAGGCATAGGAGTTGGTGGTAACCAATGGTATGCACGCCTGGGCAGGACCCACAAAGGTGCTTGGCACTACGAGACCCTCTTCAACCAAAATTATAGATAAAACAACTAGGGAAATATGAAGACTAGGTCGCACTCTGCAACTACTACATAGCATGTCCATACTCATGCGAGCCGTGCTCAGCATACCCCTGATAGTGGTAACCGTCACCATTCGCTGCGTAGTCATGATTATGTGCGTGCATATACTGCTGGCTTGGATAGTCCTGCACATCGTAAGCCTGCCCGCTCGCACCATTGTATTGTGAACGCGCTCCTGGAGCTGCCCTTCCTTGGTACACATCATGTGCATCAGCAACATAATGCCCTGGCACCCCTGAGCTGCCGTATGAATCGTACGGTCCTGGATCATTAGCTTGATAAGCCAGATGAGTACCTTCCGCAAGATGAACTGTGCTGCCATATTCATCTTCGTAGGGTTGGTGCTGTGGCTCGAAGCTTCCCGCAGACGGATTATATGCAGTCTGATGTGAATACCCAGTGTTGTAAGCCGGCATTGGGGGATAGTCGGTATAGTCAGCACCGGCGGGATTTGTGTGATAACTCGGCGCTATGCTCTTCTGGTCATAGTAGTAATCTTGATTGTAAGCACCACCTGGCCCGCGTTTGGAGATGGATGCGGCGTCATCGTCATCGTCGTCTACTGAGAGGTTGGGAAGAGTCGGTTGTGGCAAAGGTTTGCCGATAATCTCGCCCTTCTTGTTCTTCAAGTGGGAGAAGTCACCCATAGCCTCCTTCTTCGCTAGCGCAGCAGCCTTTGCAAGCCGCTCCTTGTTTCTGCGCTTGATGACCTCTGCGATTCGCTATCATTCGTATGAGCCACAGCTAGCAAAAACTCGAAGCGATGGATAGTACCTTGTCAACCTTGTGACATACATACTCCTATATAACCCATGAGCAAATGCAATCGACAAGTAAAATGGATCTGACCTTCAGGTTTCCTTGGATGTAGCATAGTAAAGGAATGTAGAATATGCCAGCCATGATCAACAGCAAAAGCGAGCCAGCGAAGATAACGAAGGTGAAGAACGTGGAGACAGTTAGGGCAGAGGTTGACAGACTGTTTCCTGCGAAGTACTTGCTGACGTCGTACCAAGACCCCTTGTCGTTCTTCGCTAGGTAAATACTATAGAGTGTCAGAGCATTGATACTTTGTCTTGGCCCATCAGACAACAGCAGACGCTTCCAACCTAACATCGGTTGAGAATGATTGATTCAAGAAAGCATCAGGGAGACTCACTCTTGAACGTGAAGAAAATGAAGAATGCAAAGTCATCTTTCTTCTTCGTTGAATTGCTGATATGATCGAAGAAGCAGAAGTGGTCATATGAGCCTTGGGCAGTGTGTGAGCTTTAGACGATATAAGGGAAGAAACTACATACGAAGCGAGTAATAGTTGTTAGCCATCACGTTTGTGAAAGCGTACGAGATATCACGACTGGCGATGATCTTCTTCGATTTCCGAGCTTCGTACGCAAGCTGCGGGTGATCAGACTCACGTTAACACGCCTAGGATTTGCAGCATACCAGGAGGAAGCCAAAAATAATACATCCTACGAACAGCCACTTTCCGACATTAAAGGGGATATAGAAGCAACCATCTTGATGCTGACAGTCGTCAAAGATTTGGTTAGACCATGTCGAAGTTGTCAACATGGTCGTGGCGGTGAAGATATCGGAAAGGTATACAAGGAATGATTTGAGGATGATGATATAAAGCCATAGATATCTTTGAAGGCGCATCAGTCAGCATACCAACCTTGAAACGATTAGAACCAGATCAACCGCCCGTCACTCTGTGACACACAAGCGTCCACAGCCTCTGCGCGTTTCACAGGTTTGTACGAGCCACTCACTTTAGGCGCATGAGGAAGCCATTGTCGGTAAACTCACGAGTGTCGATGAAGTCGAACTAAGGCAATGAAAGGCTTATTGCGAGGGAAACCAAGATAGAAGGGCGGCTCACCTTATGATCTGGAACAATTTCTCGTTTCCATGCTGGACCACCGCTCATTATGTCGTGAAATAAAGCGGGTCAGTGAGAAATTATAAGTCGGATGATGGCAAGGACGGAGATGAAATTCGGCGGATGTTGTGAATGAGCGTAGAGCGAGCCAGCCGCATGTAGAACCTGACCAGGTTCTGAGACAACGAGTGGTGTTAAAAGAAGGTCTGATCCTGCAAAATTCAAACGAGAAAGTGTTCTGCTGGTAGACTGTAAGAACGACAGTACTAGGGCAAAAAGTGTCGAATGAAGGATATAGAGAGACGATGGAGAAGACGAGCAAACTAGAAAACAACGGTTGCTTTGGTTGTGCTATGCTATGTGACTTCCTATTTCGATTACATCTTTTTTTGTCCATCGCAGTAAGCCCATTGAACACTAACCATCAAGAAGTACAACAATGACTACAGTACAAAAGATAAAAGTACGCCGTCAGTATTTATCCTTGCTGCTTCTAATTAAACGGGACGTTTTATTATCCAGGAAATCGAAGATGAGATGGCAAGTCTTATCTTTTGTAATATCATGAACCTGTGCTAACTTTCCCAACAGGCCAAAAGTTCGTTCTTGTCTTCCCAAAGTAGACTCATCAGACGATCAACTTCATTCTCATAGCCCAGAAGAATAAGGCCACGAGCTACCATCTGGGTCAGCTCAAGGCCAAGCTCGCAAAACTACGACGCGAGCTTATATCGCCCTCTGGGGGAGGCGGAGGTGGGCCTGGTCTTGGTTTCGATGTAGCTAGGACAGGTGTAGCGTCTGTCGGTTTTGTTGGATTTCCTTCAGTCGGAAAGGCGAGTTTGATTTGCTTTATTTTCGCCTGTCAGCCACCATCAACGATCGTCTAGTCGACTCTTATGTCGAAGCTCACGGGCACACATTCGGAAGTCTCGGAAATTGATTTCACAACCCTCACGACAGTCCCTGGTACTATGAAAGTTCACGGTGCACCTATACAGATCCTTGATTTACGTACGCACGTATCTTGACTTCGATGATCATGCTCTTATTCTTGTCTCAGCCGGAATCATCGAAGGGGCAAATGATGGAAGAGGTAGAGGTCGACAAGGTAAGTACACTTTTTTCTGCACTTGCAGCAGACCCACTGACTTTACTGTACAGTCATTGCCGGTATGACTTCCAAGTTTAACGCATGCGAAAACCAAGGTTGAGAGCAATGCACACCCCAGTCGCTCGCACATGCAATCTCATTTTCATTGTTTTGGATGTCCTCAAGCCGTTGGGCGACAAAAAGATCATCGAAAGCGAGTTGGAGGGCTTTGGTATTCGCTTGAATAAGAAGCCTCCAGCGATTTTAGTTCGCAAGAAGGACAAGGGCGGCGTCGCGATTACCAATACCGTTCCGCTCACGAATATCGATCAGGACGAGATCAAGGCAGTTCTGAGCGAGTACAAACTCAGCAATGTGGATGTTACTATTCGGGAACCTAACATGACAGCGGATGACCTGGTGGATGTCATTGAAGGGAACAGGTGTGTGATTAATCAGAAATCCCGTATGGCTGATTTTTTATGCCGCGCAGAGTCTATATCCCTGCACTTTATGTGCGCGTTTACTAACATAACATTTCACCTTGCGCTAATTCCTTGCGTTTTGAATCTCAAACTTCAGGTCTTGAACAAGGTTATTTATCACCGCTCACTTGAAATCGCGTGGTTACTCACGTTGGTCATGTAAACAGATCGATGCCATTTCGATAGAGGAATTAGATCTTCTGTCCGTAGCTTTCTCGTCCTCCTTGAAGAATGCTACTTACGAGTGTTCAGATACAAAATTCCTCACAGCGTTCCTGTTTCATCGAGAGAATGGCTCAATATCGACGAACTCTCAGAGAAAATGTGGGACGCTCTCGAGCTTGTCCGCGTTTATACCAAACCTCGTGGGCAATCACCCGACTACTCAGCCCCAGTCGTCCTACGCAGAGGGAGATGTTCAGTGGATGATTTCTGTAACGCCATTCACAAGGAAATTGCCAAGCAAATGAAGTAGTGAGTGTTGGGATTTCCTACTAATTTACGGAACTGACTTCCATGGTTAGTGCCGTTGTATGGGGTTCAAGCGCCAAGCATTCGCGCGGTCAAAAGGTTGGGTTGGACCACGTTTTGGAGGACGAGGATGGTAAGATATTTATTACTTCCATGTGTGCAATCTGAAGCGGTCTTACAGTCGTTCATATCGCAAAAAAGTAACGAACGCGATCAATGTACGATTCGCCCCGTGCGGCCCATTGTATCTACTAGTACTGCTGTGTAATATATAGGGTACTGAGCCGGATGAATGCCCATATCAGTCCCACCGCGCAGTAAACACTTGTTACCATCAGGGGCAGAAATTCAGTATCTGGATTTCCACTAGTCACAAGGGGGAATAGGGTGACGAATGCCTGGAGAAGTGCAAAACCATATAGGTATGCATTCTCGAAGCTCTCCAACAGTACCCACGGCAAGGATGAAGGAAACCTGTTTGAAATTTCAGCACTGACAAACATCTCAGCATTAGTGCTCACTCGTAAAGCTGCTTATGGAGGGGGTATAAAATCATTGCTCCCCATATGAGGGAATAGGCGATCTTTAGCAGTGTCTCTGCAGCTTCGTCAGTACTCAAGACAAGCCAGCATCACAGGAACAGACCTGCTGGCGTAAAGATCAGGGGGAAGAGCGAGAAGATCCCCGCAACGCTTGCGATAGCAAAGGTCTTGTAGTACGCATAGTTCTCCGAGGCCAAAAGCCTGCGACACTAAATACCAGGTTGAAAAGAGTGACGAGAACCACGCACGTGAGAGGGACTAATACGAGCAGAACAGCCTTCTCGTGCACATGCCACCCGAACATGTACGACGTGTAGCCACAAAGTGTCAACGCAGCCACGAACGACTTGTAAGTTGGCGTTGTCCATAGCTTAACGAGATAAACCTAGGCTGCAGTATCAAAGGAATGTCCACCAGTTATGCAACATTTCGCACCATCTGGAAGATTATTGTGATAATGAACGTGTGGACGGGCTTGATATTTGGAATCACCGCAAAGACCGTGTCACCTACAAGGCCGCGGGACGTCGATGCAACGCCAGATTCGTTTACTACGAGCCCTACATCTAGATGTTTGACCACTAATAGGCCAGTGTAAGCTCGGTAGTGGAAGGGAGGGAAATCACGAACGCTGCAAAAGGACACGATCTGCGGCGGTGACCAGGGCCCACGCGTTTGGTGCCCAATAAGCGTGATTCAGTCCACGAGTAAAAGGAAACAGGCGAGACAGGAGTTGCGGGAGCTGGCCCATCAAAACGAACGGTCCTAGTGAGGCTAGGAACACAAGCAGGACAGAATTCGCTAGCGAGATAAACCGAGTGGGGATGATAGCCCCCGCAGGAGACATGCAGTAAGACCGCAAAAGGTAAACGAAGTATGCAGGCTGCAGAGGCAACTCGGTGAGTGAAGGGCCACAAGGAGTGAAGTACTCATACCGCCAGATACATGTAGATGTGTTTGAAGTTCAAAAGAACGGCGAACAGTATGCCGCTTGCAAGTTTTCTGCCCTGTAAACGTGATAAGACACTTTGCTCATGGATAGATGATTCTCTTACGTCGCGGGCCATTAAAATCGACCACAGCAATATTCCAAACATGAACCCATTGTATTGGAAGTGTATGTGATCAATTATAAGAAACCCTGGGTGGAGAAACAAGGACGCCGAGAGAATACGCTGACGAGACGGATCAACAGAACCATGAATAAACCTCCCTCAAGAATTAGCCCCTCACCGACAAGAATAGAGAAATATTCACCTCAGGAGTGCCGCACCAAGGACAAGCTCAGTAACAATGACGGTCAGACGTTGGTATACGATGACTGTCCATGCATCATATTGAAGATTTTGGAGATCGACTATCTTGGGATCAATGAATGAGGCGGGTATAGACATCAACTTCTCGAAATATGCAAAGAATGGAGGGTAATCCAGCGCTAGTTGACGAGATAAGACGGTGTAATACACAAGCTTTCAAGGGGCTCACTCCACTCAGAAGTTGTCTTCAACGTAGTTCAATAAGCCTAATAATGGGATCTAGAAAGCTTCAAGACGCACATCATAATACCATCGAGAGATAGGAAGTGAATGTGTTATGGCCAGCCAGTTTCGGTGGACCTCGAAATCCGTCGAGCGACTTCACAAATGAGTAAGCGTTTGGAAATTCAACTTGAATCAGGGCCTACTATGCTGGGAACAAGAGAAACTTGAATGCAGTGGAAAGAAGTAAAATGTCGACGTCGGATTGTGATATATCACCCAGAAAGCCCAGTCGCGTCCAGACCGAGTTATGTTTCAGTGTATGCAGCCTCTGAGAGTCGTGGTCGTCAGGAGGCGAACTTTGGGACCGTCCGACAATAGTGCTCATCGAAGTACACAACCAAGCCGTTATACTTCGAGGCTGCAACTTTGCATTACGTAACCTAAGTAGCATCAACCTACTTAAGGCTATTACCGAGGCGATTATCATCACCCCGCAAATGCGCTCGACTGCTACGCGCGTGCTGCCCATGCGTAGAACCAGTATAGGAATTTACACCATATTTCGTGGTGGGAGAGTGCGGTGACATGTTTGGGGCTTTGGAGGTGGTGTTTCTTTTGGTTGGGTTTTGGTTGGTGGGGGGAGGGTGTGCGTCGATGGTTCGGAAGGGGGGGTCGCCACGGGTGTGATGGGGTGTTGGAATTGATGTGGAACTGGGTATATGCGCGGATGCTGATGGGTTACTGGTTTGCAGCGTTGCGGACAGCCATCCAAGTTGGTGGGGTAAACTTGAAGGCGAGGTGACTGAGTTCTGTCTTTCCAGTGATACCTGGATTCGTTGATATCGATACCGGTGGTGAAGACGGACAACAAATCTAAGACCCCGAAACCAAACAGCTCGGTAGGTTAGTACCCTTATCCTACTTACCCCCTTGTCTGCCACAGACAGAGAACGCAAGAAAAGCCCGCCCTTCTCAGCTCTGCGTCAAGCCTTCCATTTCATGTACTTGGAATATTGGAAACGAGTGGTATAGACTACTCATACCGGCCATCGATGATGTAAAGACCTGTTACCTCAATGACTTCAAAAAGCAGATAGTATAAGTATAGCCGCAGACCGCCAGACGGTCACCGATCACGGTGCTTGACTTACTCTTCGAACGCCGTTGTCACCGTTCCGCGGCCCATGCACTGATTTAGGCAATATGGATACTGTATCAATTTCACCTCTTCGTTTACGGGACGTCAGGGCATATCTCTCATGTCTCCATCAGTGTTAAACGTTAAATACTGACCCCACCGGCTCTGAATACAGTCAATCATATGCATTCAGCTGGAGACATGTGGTTCTGGCTGCGAGTTGCAGTAAGTATTCCAGTGGCCTTTTCAATTAGTGGAATACTCAGACGACTCGGAACTCATGTTACCCTAGCTTGCTTCATGACCTTCATCCGCTTTGCTTTTGAGTCTCCTTGGCTCAACGGTCCTATCAGGATGATTCTTCGCTTTAATGCGGCAAGAACTTCGCCCCTCGATCTATCACTGTTGCTCTTTGACTACCGTTCTGTAGGGTTAGTTCAGTAACTTTGTGGCATAGGGCGGCGTTTTTTGGATGACATTGGGTTCTGGCCATCCGAAGTCACAGAATATCATCCTCAAATGCCAGCGATTGCCGCCTATCATACTGGCACGATTCCAGTAACGAGTGTCAGTCGATTCATCTCTAATGCGGGCTGCAATATCTAAGTCAAGTCTAAGTATCCGATTCTATCGTACTCGTTACAAAATATGGCTGTGAACTTGAGAATAGATCTTGTGGTTGGCGATGAAGTGGATCAGGCCTGAGCGCTGAGCGTGCTCTTTGCCCGTCCTGAGCGAAAATTCAACATCGAATCAATATTTAGCTACAGAGGGTTCGGTTGAGCCTCAGCATTGCTGACCAGAGACAATACTTGCCTGAGCTAGGCAGACAATTAGGACTACATGATTCGCAAGCGCGACAGCTGCAAGGCAGGTGGTAAATGGCAATTGATATTGGGTGAGGCTACTGATAACACTAAACATTACAGGGTCAAATAATGATAACATATCTAAAGCACATATGGCAGTTGGGCTTGATGAACATAGTGGATGTGTGGTATAATGCATGGGTAAGGCGTGAAAGATGCAAACGACGAAATGCAAAGACATGTCTGTCTAGAAGTCTTCTTCCAAAGAGCTGGATGGAACGTTGTCAGACGCAAAGCCTACCAGGAGACATATGATACTCACAAAAGTTTACTTGCCGCCTGGTCAGTCTTGGTGTTGGTGTGGTTGACATTCGCCTTTGAGTAGTCTGATACACGCTTTTCGAAGAAATTCGTCTTGCCCTGTAGCGAGATCATGTCCATGAAGTCAAAGGGGTTGGTGGCATTGTACACTTTCTCGTTGCCCAGCGACACCAGCAAGCGATCTGCGACGAACTCAATATACTGGCACATGAGCTTGGCGTTCATGCCAATGAGGCCGCAAGGTAGAGCATCTAGAAAGACGGTCAGCATAAGAAGGGCGAGATGACGACGATGACGGACCCGTCAGGAACTCCTGCTCGATGACAACAGCCTGCGTAATGATACACTTGACAGTGTCAGGGTGCGGCCGACGCTTGAGGTGGCTGAAGAGCAAGCACGCAAAGTCGGTGTGCATACCCTCATCGCGACTGATGAGCTCATTCGAGAACGTAAGACCAGGCATCAAACCGCGTTTCTTCAGCCAGAAGATGGACGCGAAGGAGCCAGAGAAGAAGATGCCTTCGACGGCAGCGAATGCCACCAAGCGTTCAGCGAAGGTGGAGCGTTGGTCAGAGATCCACTTGAGTGCCCAATCAGCCTTGCGCTTGACACAAGGGATAGTCTCTACGGCATCGAAAAGGTATTCGCGCTGGGCGGAATCCTTGATGTAAGTGTCGATGAGGAGTGAGTAGGTTTCTGAGTGAATGTTCTCCATCATGATTTGGAAGCCGTAGAAGCACCGAGCCTCAGCAGCCTGAACCTCATTGGAGAAACGTTCGACGAGGTTTTCGTTCACAATACCATCTGATGCGGCAAAGAAGGCGAGGACGTGTGAGATGAAATGACGCTCGCCGTCATTAAGACGGTTGGTCCAGTCATGGATGTCTTTTGAGAGGTCCATCTCCTCAGCGGTCCAGAAGGATGCCTCGGCTTTCTTGTACATTTGCCATATCTGGAGGATTGTTAAAACGAAGATGCTAAGAGGACGACAGGGTGTAACCAACCTCGTGGTACTGAATAGGAAAAAGAACGAAGCGACGCTTGGATTGCTTTGAGCAGGGGCTCTTCGCCTGAGTTGGAAGGTTTGTTAAGATGAAGTTCATCTCCGAAATGAAATTATGCCACTGACTTTCTGGGAGGTCAACTTCACCGACGAACTTCTTGCGAAGCTCTTCGAGATCATCTTGATCTTCAAGCTCCGGGGCTTCGGCGTTCTCAGAGTCCGGCGAGACAGAACGCTTCCGGTCATCAATAACGGGAAGGGTGTCCTCTTCCGAGGTGTCCTTTTTCGATGGCTTGACTGGCGAGTCCAGGGAGAAAGATGCCAAGGCTGCAGCAGCCTAATTATCCAAGACATATTAAGTAGAAGCAACACGATTTTTTATGCGAGAGCACTAACCTTTTTGCTTGGTGTGGGAGCAGGGGATGGTACACGAACAGGAGCAAGAGTAGATGCCATTGAAGGAGACGTGATGAAGATATGAAGGATAAGATATCGCAAGAGATGAGGGTTCAGGTTGAGAACCAGAAGTTGAATTTAAGTGTCAGGACTAGTTGTGCGTATTTGTTCCATTCAACCGACGTGAATTTCAACATTACGCGACGCGTTGTTGGTTGTTGTGGACGTGGACGCATCTCCCACTAATCCACCCAATCACCATCATCCACTTCTCACGTCTTTCAGTTTCACCCTGTTTCACATTATTATTAGCATGTGTACAGTCATCCCGCTTATCTTGGCTGAACTAATTAACTTCCACGCAGGTTGCAAGCACTCACCTGGACCACATGTGAACGCCGCAGATAAATCATAATCCAAAAAAAAATCAGTCACGCGTATCACGTGATCGCCTGACGCATCCTTTGCTCCGGACTGCGAGTCATTCGTATCGTTCAGACATCCACTAGGCAGCTTTGTCTTGATTATTCGGCTCTTTATGTCTGAAATCCAAACAACATCTCCTTTCTTTCTCACATCTTTCCAGGACCTTACAATAGAGGTTTGTTGTCCTCGTTGCTTGCAGGCCAGCCAGCCTTAACTAATACAATCCCATGATAGGAGAAATTACGGTATAAAGACAAGCAACTCCTCCAAGGTTGTGGTGTAAACGGCTCGGGTACGTCACCCGAGACCACAGTCCCAGAAGAGGGTATGTCTTTTTAGTTCTTCGTGTCCACCAGCCTCACCAAACCACACATAGAATGTGAACCCTTGCTCATGCCTTCTCAACGGCGCTTCACCCTTTTCCCCATACAGTATCATGAAGTGAGCCAGCTTTATATTTGTGCCGGTGGTAAATTTGATCCACAATATACAGATTTGGACCATGTACAAGACGGCGGAGGCATGTTTTTGGACTGCCGAAGAAATGGATCTCTCAACAGACGTTGTGCACTGGAATACCCGACTAACTTCAAATGAACGTCACTTCATCTCTCATGTTTTAGCTTTCTTTGCTGCGTCGGATGGCATAGTAAACGAGAACTTGGTTGAGCGTTTTTCAAACGAAGTTCAGATCGCAGAAGCTCGATGCTTTTACGGTTTCCAAATCATGATCGAAAACGTCCATTCCGAGACTTATTCGCTCCTTATCGACACACTCATCAAGGACGTCAATGAGCGCCAATATATTTTTGATGCAATAGAGACCATACCGGCCGTCAAGAGAAAGGCAGACTGGGCGTTGCGATGGATATCTGACAAAGAGGCGACATTTGCCACTCGGTTAATTGCCTTTGCTGCTGTTGAGGGTATCTTCTTTTCCGGCTCGTTTGCATCAATATTCTGGCTCAAAAAGCGCGGATTAATGCCGGGGCTCACTTTCTCTAATGAGCTCATCAGTCGTGACGAGGGGATGCACACCGACTTCGCTTGTCTTTTGTTCAGCCATCTCAAACGAAGACCACATCCAGATGTCGTACAAAAAATCATCACAGAAAGTGTCCAGATCGAACAAGAGTTTTTAGCAGGCATGTGTCTAGTCGTCTATCTTGGGCTGGTATTGATTGTGCCTCACAGATGCGCTTCCAGTCAGCCTCATTGGCATGAACGTAACCATGATGTGCCAGTATATTGAGTTTGTTGCTGACCGTCTTCTGGTATCGTTGGGGAACGAAAAGTTTTACAACTCCACGAATCCGTTTGATTTTATGGACATGATTTCCATGCAGGGAAAGACAAATTTCTTTGAGAGGCGCGTGTCTGACTATGCGAAGGCACATGTTAGACATTCGGACGCTTCTACGGCGTCTTCTTCAAGAGTATTGTGAGTTTCCTCCATATGTTTTGCTAGAGTAATTGACTCATTTAACGCTCCAGTTCTCTTCACGAGGATTTCTGAGCTTCGATGGCACTTGTAGATTCACACTCAACTCAATCACGTACCTAATAACATATTTCACAGCCATATGTCCACTACTTAGTCTATAGCATGCCCCATAGCTCAGAGGTTATATATAACTTCCTTCGTCTGTTCCGTGAGACTGTTTGATAATGGATCCCCAGTGGTAGTGAAGGAGAGCTCTTGCCCAATATCACACCCTTCATGTGCTCGGGCATCTCCACTCACCTACCCGCGGACCTCCCGACCATCTGGAGTGTTGGTACCTTGGTCTTCACATCCCAGTTACTAACTCTTCCGAGCTTCTTGTTCAACTCCTACAATGTGAAGCACTCTGTTTTCGCTCTTCCGCATCGTCCAGCACTTTTATTGACGCCAATTTATTTGCAAGGTAACACATACGAGAGAAAATGAGAGTTATACTAAACTTGCGTGAGGACAAATAAGGTTTGTCTAAGGTAGCGACATGTCCATCCCTTTCCAAAGTGTCTCGCGGGTAAAGTGAGTAATTGATACTCGTTGCCCATCTTCGAATGCCAGCACTTCATGGGGTAAAATATGTCCCCGTACGAAGATGATGGTGCCAGGTCCATAAAACAAAAGTAAGTTTAACCGGGGAATCCAGAGCTGACCCTTGGTAAATTCACCAAGGGCGACCAGGGCTACCCATGCTCTAGGTGGGGCTGTGCTATCAGGATGTAAAGGAGTCTGTTGATTGAACTGAACTGATCGCCCTTCCCATAGGATGCCATCAATAGAGTCCGTTGCCCGTACATGAGGGTAGCGGACACGGAGAGCATGTCGGAGCTCCTGTATGGCGTGATACTGCGGGGGATCCAGGGCCTGTAAGGCCGAGTTGAGCCTTACGTTAAGGAGCTTGAGGTCGTTTATTAATGTAGACGCCAAAGAGAAGTTTCGAATCACGTCTCGAGAGATTACAGCGCTCTCTTTCTAACATACCATAAGTCTCAAAAATACGGCGAACGGTCAGAGACTTACTGAATGACCTACAGCATGCCACGCAGTCACGAGTTGTATGTTGCCAGCTAGCTGTCCTTCGACGACTTTATAGGACTCCTTCGTATTTCTCGTCTTTTGGTCGGCTCCTGCTCCCATAGCTAAGGGGACTAAACTTCCGAATGTCATCACGGCGCTGTACAGCTCAGCATGTCCTCTATCGCGTATGATGGAAGGAAGGTGCAGAACAATAGGAATGCCTTCGGCGCTGGTAGCCAACCGAGGTATATCATGCCATTCACGTTTGCGTTCTGTCAATTCGTTCCAATGCGCAGGGACTTGATGCCTCGAACGCGCACGTTCCAGCACGGCCTTCTCAAAGTGAAACGTATCAAACACCTCTGACAGCATTAATGCCTTAATTGGGTTGAGAAGCAGAAAAAATAGAAGGTTCCCTGACCTGTATTCTTCTTTGCCTCGGCAACGGCTTTCTCGATCTGTTTTGCGAGTCTTCTGCCGAACTGTGCGGCGATGGCCTCGGGTGACCGTCTGGTCTTCCTCTTTCGAGGAGGACGTGAGTCGGTGGGCTGCTCCCCTCCATCACAGTCTGGACCAGCCGGCTGGGCTTGCATAAGGCCTTCGGAACCTGAAGGTTGGGCACAGACACCCGTTTGATTACCGTCGATATTCATGGGGACATCACTTGGGTGCATTTTTTGAGCGGGGAGCAGGTTGTGGACCACGAAACTCGCCCGAATTAATACTGTCCTCGGTCCCAACTCGGTCCGCACTTCGCCGTCGGCATTACTAGTACTAATGGGCGTTCTCGATGAGGTCAACTGCATTGACTCAAACGAATGATAGCGCAAGACTGCAACAGTCCACAAGTGGGAAACAAGCGGTGAGTCACTGTCCGTCTAATTGAACCTGCAAGCGGCTCCGAGGTATGCTCCCGTGGACTGCATGTTAATGTCCCGAGGCAGACCTTGAAAGAAGGAAGACAGTCTTCTTTTCATGCTTTCAACTCCTGGACTTAACCTGAGACAGGCCCCTCAACAATTCGAAACGTTCGCAGCCCAACACCTGACAAAAACAGGCGAAATAGAGCAGTCAAATCTGCGAGTTATCTAGTAAACACATCGGAAACTTTGGATAGATATCGAGCAAAACCACGAAAACTTTTTGTCTGCTCGTGTCCGACGGTCAAAAAATGGGTCGGCGTATTTGAGTCTTTTGGCCAACCTTCAAACCTTTATAATGAATGAAATCCCATGGGATGTTCAGCGGCCGGTGAGATGTGTCATTCCCGTGGCATAGAACCAGCACTGACATGTTCGTGTAGTCGTCTATTTAAATTTATTCAATTATTGTCTGCACTGGCGTCACTTACCAAGGACCTGTGGTGGTGGTAAATGTTCATTGTTCTCGCTCGCTTCAATAGCTGTCGCCCCAGTCGATGAGACGTCAGGAAGCCAGCTAATCATACCTCGGAAGTGACGGCGGGCTGAATCTGACGTATCCGGCACCCCCCGTGTTTTTATCGAAATCCGACCATTGAAGCGACGGGCCCTCAGGCTGGAGGGTAGGGACGACTCGGAGAGTGCCTCCGACAACAGTCGCTTCGAGACCGATCCACTCTGACGACAGTTACTCTGAGTGTAGTGACGAGGCCGGCTGACTGTGGCTACAGCACTTCCAAAACTCTAGCATCAGTCTGACCGGGAGACGTCTCCAGCCGACCCTGCTCGCGCGGCCGCTGCGGCTCATCTGTTGACCCACTGCGACCTCTCCGTCTCTACAATACAAGTTGGATGTGCTATACTCCCGTTCGAGATCACGGTTCGTGTTTCCTACATTCTCCACCGACTCGGTGTGTCATAGAAATATTTGCTGTGTATAAGAGGTCCGGTGTAGAAAGGGGTCTCACGGACAATCATGGCGAAGAGGGCGTGGTTGGTGAGCTGAATATGTACAGTACTAGAATTGTGTTGGAAACGTACAACACCTTTACGAACAAAGCACGAACTTCCACGTCTGTTTTGGTGTGTGCACGCGCTCGAACGTCTAACTTACATGGATCACGTGATCTCTGATTTTCACCACAGTCGACTCAGACCCTTGGGTCATGTCCATAAGCCCTTGAATTGTCGACGCGAAGATGGTAATATATCCAATCCCCCTTTAGCTTTCGCAGTTAACAAGGATTCTAGATTCGGCGACAAGTACGCGAGCGACGACAGTATATCTACGCCAAATCCCTCGAGGCTCAAGAACGTCAAACTTATGAGCGCAAACGGCAGCTCAAGGACGCCCTTGCATCTGGAAAACAACTACCTACCGAACTCAAGAATGACGCGAAGACACTAGGAAAGGACTTGGCTTTTGATGAGGCACAAGAAGGTGAGCTGCAATCATCTATAGTGCTGAATTGGTGTATTTACCAGGCCCTTTGATCAGAGCCATCAACACATATCGATAGCGAATACTCGCGAGCTGGTATTCAAGACCCAAAAATTATTGTAACAACATCAAGAGACCCCAGTTCCAAGTTGTTACAGTTCGCCAAAGTACGCCGTGCAAATGTTCGTCACCCATTCCTTTTGACACTTTACAAAGGAAATGCGGCTCGTTTTTCCCAACTCGCATCGAATCAACCGAGGAAACTACGTTATAAAAGAGCTGGCAGATGCTTGTCGTGCTAACGACATCACTGATCTCATCGTCCTTCACGAACACCGTGGCGTTCCTGGTACGCCAAACTAGAATCACATCCATTCGTGCACTAAATTGTACATTTCACAGATGCTATGATTGTCTCACACTTCCCCCATGGACCTACCGTCTACTTTACCCTGCACAACGTCTCCCTACGGCACGACATAGGCTCATACAAGTCCTCCACCGTCTCAGAACAGTACCCACACCTCATCTTCGAAGAGTTCACGTCTAAACTCGGTGCCCGTATACGAGACGTACTAAAATTCCTGTTTCCTGTACCAAAAGAAGACAGTAAGCGTGTGATGACATTCTCAAATGACGGAGACTTCATTTCCTTTCGGTGAGTATGCCTTTGGGAATAAATTGAGCGGATACTAATTTGTGTAGACATCATGTGTTTGTAAAATTAGTTCGAGATGTCCAGCTGGCGGAGGTTGGGCCGCGCTTTGAGATGAAACGTGAGTGCGATCTCATCAGCGTTTTGGTAGCTTGCCGAGCGCTTGAATTTTTAGCGTACGAGATACGGCAAGGCACTATAGAACAGACAGAGGCAGAAAGAGAATGGGTATTAGCACACTACGCAAGAACGGCAAAGAAGCGCAGTCTGCTATCGGGACCTGTGGCATATTCAGCGGCCGATTCGGATCGGACATCGAGTAAACGGCAAAAGCGGTAACCTGTGCATCTGTATGTAGTAGCGTCCTTCATCGTGTTTAAATGTCTGAAAGCATGCCAATGATTGACACATGATAGTATACATCAGATATGTACAGTGCAGCCCATTGCAGATGTAAACTAATCCATAGTGAGCGACTTATCCAGCTCAGCAAACCCTTCAAAAAATGAAGTGAATAGGTCGATCGCGTTTTGGACGTCATGAGAGCCTGCGGTCTCACGAATGGAGTGCATAGACAACATGGGACCACCGACATCTACTGTGCGCAAGCCAATCTTCGACAGCATCGGTCCAACCGTCGAACCGCAAGCCCTGGATGATGGTCAAGAGAAAGCTTCTGGAGATAAATAAATACTCACATGTCGTTTCGGACCTCGTACTCCTGAACCTGTCCTCCTTTGCGTTCGACGAGTTTCTTCACGAGGAAAGATCCGATTGCGTCGCTGGCGTATCGCTGTTTCGCATTGGTCTTGACGACAATGCCTCTGTTCATCACCGGCTGGTGGTTCTCCTCGTGCTTTGGTATAGTTCGGGTGAACTGCATGACCCATATCAGCCGATATGAGGAACGACCGAGCCACGGACTGCGAGTGAAGCGCAGGACTAGGAGATAGACGTTGCAGGAGCGAGGGGATCAAGGAAGATTCTGCCCCAGATGTGGAGACACTGCCAATTTCCTCATGATTGAAGAGGGCAATGCAGTTGACGTTGCCCTCGAGAAAATTGAAATTGGGAGACGAGACATGGGTGGACATGGCATCCACAGCAGAGAAGCTACAATCATTTGTCATTAGCTACGTTACAAGTAAGAAAATTGAGCGACGCACGAGCAAAGAAGATTGTCCATGCGAGGGCTGAACATGAACTCATTGTCAATGCCTCCCAAGACAGAAGGTTGAGTATCATATAGATGCCTATGGAAACATCAGGAATCAACCTTGGTCTAGGGAGCTATATGACGCACAATTCGAAATCATGGATTTCTTCGGGAGCAACTGACAGCTCGTCAGCAATGACAGAGAGTAGGGCCGGATGATGATTCCCCTGAACGCTAGTTGCTGTCGCGTTCGGAAGTAACACCTTGTCATTTTCGGGTGTCTTGTTTAAGTTTTTGGCGATAAGACCGAGAATGGGCACAAATTCTGTCTCTTGGTTGAACTTGAAGCTGTCGTTGATATTTCTGTCCACTGAGCTTGCCATAATTCAGCATTGCTTCCCAAAAAAGCTCAAGAAATGTACGGACGGTGGATGGCGAGGGTGGGAATGCGCAAGATTGGTCGGTCAACCTTGATGAGCTTCGATTGAAAAGTCCCATCTTGCTGCGTGACCACAACTCTCCCAGCCAAGGAGAGGTCCCGGTCTAACCAAGAGTGCCAGATGCCTCCACCATAAGTTTCTACTCCGACTTGGAGGTACCCGGCCTTTTCCCGCTTGGATACCGGGCGCACCTGTGCAAGACTTGAGATACTATAGATGAAGTTCGGTAACTGACTCACCCTCAAATTCGGGCTGTCAACATGTGTGGCGACGATAGATACACCAGCGCCCGGCTTCCAGTTTGGTGGAATGGTGAAAGCCACTAGCGAGCTCTGGTTGCTGTAATAGAGATCAGAATGCACAGAGTAGCGAGTGGGTAGACTGACCGGGTAAAGTAGTACTTCCCTCGGGGCTGCAGAGTATTCTCCCAATCGTCTGCTTCCAGGACCTGCGATAATCTGTCGAGACGGTGGATTGATGTTTGTGGCCCAACTCACCTTCTTGAATCCAGATGCTTCTAGTCGTATAGATGCATTATGCACGGCGTGAAAAGGAGTTGGTGATGCGTTCACGAAAGTGAGGAATCGTTTGGCTGCTTCTGGGCCCGACATTAGCATCATACTTTGAATCCAATGACAGTTTCGATCTGAGTGTTGAGAAATTATCTCTTGAACCGAGGGAAATCGATAAGCACTCGGATCGTCTCAGGACATCCGAGTAGGGAGGCGGGCCGATTTGGGGCCACCGAGAGTATGATTGTATGAATGTGAGAAGTAATTGCCATTCTTAGCTTCTCACATTTTTATTGCCTTGGAATCGATATGTGCAACGCATCGTGAACAGAAGCGTACCGATGGTGCAAAGCTATCTGCGGCATGGGCCAACCCAGGTATGTCTGTATGTCGTCTATTGGATTCGTGTTCACAGTCAGCTAGGCTTTTGGACTGATATGTAGCTCGTCCTCTAATTCCCTATATGATGGCAAACTAGCATATGTACCAGCACTCGAGGACGTACTTGTATGGGATATGAAGAAAGGGCAAATGGTATGTGTATGATATTTCAGGTTTCGCTCTCTACTCATGTGCGGCAGCTCGCAATGTGGCACGAAACAGGACACAGATCTGAGGTCACCTGCATATGCCGTTCTCCTCAAGAAAACATCTTTGCGGTGGGCTACGCTGATGGTTCAGTGCGCATTTGGAACAACGCCTTTGTCTCTGTCATTGCAACGTTTAACGGACACCAAAAATCTGTCACTGCACTCGCATTTGATGCACAAGGAGCCCGGCTTGCTTCTGGCTCGCAAGACACAGATATCATCGTATGGGATGTTGTAGCCGAAGCTGGTCTCTACCGGTACGTGTTGTCAAAGCGTTTTATGAGCCTTCTCTTACACTTTTACAAGTCTACGAGGTCATCGTAATCAAATCACAACGATACGATTCCTCTCAGAGCCTGAACTTCCTTCCACCTCGACTGGCTCGCGCTCTCATATGTTACTCACGACATCGAAAGACACATTCATGAAGTTATGGGACACCTCAACTCAACATTGTATTCAGACAATAGTTGCCCACCGCTCCGAGGTTTCTTCCCTAGATATCGATCCAGAGAAGAACTTTATCTTCACCGGAAGCAGTGAGGGCGAGGTCAAAGCATGGAAGATCGACCATGAAGCGCTGTCGCAGGGTCTGGTAGAAAATGAGGCAGGCGAGGCAAGTAAAAATTTCACGACAATGAATCCAGAACTTCATTTTCAGTGTAGGTCGCAAAGATGATCCATCTTGTCACCAGCCTCCCACTCTCGTCACGTCACCGCGTATCCCAGATTTCATTCCACCCATCACAACCATACCTTGCTGTTCAATCACACGACCGGTCCATTGAAGTCTTTCGTATCCGAACTGAGGAGGAAATTAGAAAGAAGCAAGCTAGACGAAAGAAGCGTGCAAAAGAGAAGGAAAAAAGTAAACACAAAGAGAAGGATATGGGTGACGCTGTGGACGATGTCATGGATGTTGATCAGGAGATCAACGTGATTGATCTTTTCACCCCTTACCTTGTTGTTCGAGCAAGCGCAAAAGTTCGGTCCTTCGATTTTGGCTCTAAGGAAGCTGCGTCGAAGCCTGGCGTTCAGGTTCGTATCAAATTACTCGAATAGTGTACGACCTTGACCTGTCACATCGCAGCTCTTTGTGGCGTTGTCATCAAACGCCCTTGAAGTGTATAATATCCCGCCCCCAACAAAGTCCAAGGAAGAGACACCTGAAGCCACTCGGATATTCTCGGTCGATCTTCCTGGACATCGGACAGATGTGAGGACTTTGTGTTTGAGTGCGGATGACCAGATCCTCGCATCAGCATCTAATGGTACGTTCGCATAAGTAATTCCAGTGCTTCACTAATATGTGTATGAAAGGTTCTTTGAAACTCTGGAACCTGAAAACGACAACGTGCATACGCACAATAGACTGCGGCTACGCCATATGTAGCACCTTCCTTCCTGGAGACAGACATGTAGGTTTTCTCTCTTCGGAAAATAGCACACTTATCAGGTATCCTCTAGATCGCCGTCGGAACAAAGTCTGGGGATATGTTGATATATGATTTGGCGTCCTCGACGCTCATGGAGACCGTCAAAGCCCATAGCTCCACTGTTTGGTCGTTGCATGTTCGCCCGGACGAGCAAATTTTGGTCAGCGGCAGTGCTGATAAAGAAGTCAAGTTTTGGGAGTTCGAACGTAACGTTAATTCTAATGATGAGGTTAGTGTTTCGTTATTCGAAGCATTCTGCAATCTTGATAATGAATCAACATACTCAGGTCAAAAAGACATTGACATTAAATCACACAAAAACGTTGAAGATGTCTGATGAAGTCTTGTCTGTTAGATACAGCCCGAATGGGAAGCTATTGGCGGTCGCTCTACTAGACTCCACGGTCAAAATTTTCTATCAAGACACCCTAAAATTCTTCCTATCTCTATACGGACACAAGGTAAATCTCAGAGTCCTCTGTGAACACGAATTTTCAACGCCCTTTCAGTTGCCTGTCTTAGCAATGGACATTTCGGATGATTCCAAGCTCATTGTTACGTGCTCCGCTGACAAAAACGTGAAGATCTGGGGTCTCGACTTCGGTGACTGTCACAAGTCGATATTTGCCCACGAGGAGAGTGTCATGCAGGTGTTTTTCGAAAGAAAGTCACATTACTTCTGGACTGTTGGCAAGGATAAGATGCTAAAGTACTGGGATGGGGACAAGGTAAGACTACCCCTTTCCCTTTGAGAATCATTTACAAGTCTCGCGTAGTTTGAAAACATTCAGAAACTCGATGGTCACCACAGTGAGATTTGGGCGTTGGTCGTTAGCAACCACGCTAATTTCGTGGTGACGGGCTCACACGACAAGTCCATCCGAGTTTGGGAGAAGCTCGACGAACCAGTGAGTTGCGCCGTAGTGATCTATCTGGTAGTATGTCGTGACCATGCATCTAGCTTTTTCTCGAAGAAGAGCGGGAGCGGGAGCTCGAACAAATCTATGAAAACGGAATTGCGGATACACTTAACCGTCATGACGTATCCATCGTCAACAACCACGAAGCTGAAGCGCAACCCTCTGGGGAAACAGCTGCAGTCACCAAGCAAACTTCGGAGACACTCATGGCGGGCGAACGTATTATGGAAGCATTGGATCTCGCTGATGCCGAGCGGACTGCTTTCCAAGAGTATGAAGGAAAGGTTGCTCAAGCGGGTTCACTAGAGGCTGCAGGCTTGCAGCCGCCGCCTCGAAATCCCATTCTTGCAGCATATGACTTAGAACCCGAGGCATACGTCCTGCGAGTTGTCGAGAAAATATCCAGCGCTGCTTTGCATGACGCCCTGCTGGTGCTACCATTTGATAAGGTGATCTCCTTGATGCGTTACTTGGACCTATGGGCCCAGAAAGTAGGTTTTTCTTCAGATGTCTCAGATACAATTGTTGACACATTACGAAGGAGTGGAATATTTCCCTCGTCTCTCGCATATTATTCTTCCTCTTGAAGATCCATCACCACCAGATAGTGGCTAATCGTGTCATGCGCACTGCGTTGATTCCGTTACGTGTCCATCTGCGCAGGTCACTGCGCCACGAGAAAGATACTATCGGGTATAACCTGGTTGCATTACAACATCTTCGCCGAAGAACAGAAGCGGAGAGGACTGCCCAATTCTACGAGGAGGAAGACTTCGACGAAGAGAAAGTTCGCGCGAGGATCGCGGAGGGCAAAAAGAGAAAAAGGGTTTCCATCAAAACTTAATAGGTGGGATAGTTCTAGTGTCGAGTATCTAGCGGTACAAGTGGCGGGCAAACATTTTTCTACACAGCTGATCAGGATTTGGTGGTTTGTGGCCCCCACAAGTCAAGGTTCCTGCCGTGACTGTTCAGTTGTGCAGCCTTGTGAATGTATCGTACTTACCAGTTATCAGGTTCAGTTGCTGGCCGCATCTGCACGGTCATTACGCCTTCATCCAGGTCAGCCAGTTGGCCGAACGCCGCCTTGGTGAGATCGACGTGACGTGATCCTTTGGCGCACCCTTCACAAGTGTCAACGACACGGACAAATATGCATTGCTTCTTGCCGTTGCAAACTAAAATCACAATCAAATATACCGTGAAATCAAGCTCAGATCAAGTTTGCAACCTACGTTCGATGAACTCGAAGCATGCAGGCTTTGTTGTCCAACCATACAATGTAACAGCGCCCACGAAAGACTTGTCCTGTTGAGAGTTATGCCCATGCTCATCACAGCTGCATGCAAGTGGGTATTTACCGTCGGTGACCATTCCCTGTTACTCCAACAACTCGGATTCTCTAGGTCGTGTCCGGTATACCTGAAAATCATGGTCAACCACGTCATCTCAACCGCAATGTAGGCGAGATTGCATACCAGGTTATGGTGACGCCCTGTGCGGGCCCCTTACCTGTCAATCCCGCAAAGATAGAAGCAAGGTTTTGGACCACATTCCCTAAGAATCCAGTACTTGTGCTTGTGTTTGAGGTTTCTGCGTGCTTTTCTTTGTATTTCGATGTTCCAACGCTGGCGGGTGTGTTGCTCTGGGAAGATCTGCGTAGCGCTCTATGGAAGGAGTGGTCTTTGTGACTTGACGCGAGATACTTGTAGTTTAGATCAGAGATGCTGACAGTTTCCCATCCATCTTTTGGGTCAAAGGAATGTGAGTCGGGTAGATAGTGTGCTTTATCGTATCGTTTGTCTTGTACACCCCGCCGCGTGTCTGTAATATTCATTATGGCTGCTTCGACCAGCGAAGCAAGAACATGGATTGTGAAGACGGTTGCAAGCCAGCGCATGTTTATGTGAAATGAGGGGATATAGGGTTACAAATATACGGGCGAGTAACTGTGATGTGTCCTGCGATGTTGAGTGTTACAGAATTCGAAGTTCTAGGCGGACGCGTTTTAGTCACGTGATTTTTATTTCTAGCGGCCTCGGCCCCTTTGCAGCAAATCGTAAAGCTGTGCGTCTCTGACTCCACCAAAGCCTTCTAACTTTGGACTGCGTACATCTATGCCAGCGGACACATCGAAGAATTCTCTAAATGCTTCACGTCGTACTACATCTCGCAAAGTAGCAAACGAGGAGGAAATCGAACTCAAGCGCGCTCGTGGTGAAATCTCGTGCGCAGAGTGCAGAAGGTATTGAGTCACTCCGTCTTCGAATTTCGAACTTTACCGATATAATAAGGTTGAAACTGAAATGTGACAAGAAAGTACCATGTGGATCTTGCGTCCGTCGAGGCTGCCCAACCATCTGTCCTAATGGTCGCGTCCATTCATTATCCACTCAGTCAACCCCTAACATCATTGTGACACCTACAGGTAGTCTTTCCACCGGGCAGGGTACTCGGTATCCCTTTCTTCTATCCCATACACTCGGTCATGCTGAATAATTGCTAGGTTCGTCCTTGCAGATACAGAACACCTGCATTGCAAGATTGTGGAGATGGGCCAGCGAATCCGACAACTCGAGGACGCACTATCCATTTTTCAAGGCGGCGTATCCGACGAGGTTCATCCGCTTCTCACCGAAGATCTACTTTCCATCAAATTTGGACCAGAAGCTCCGAAGTCTAGCCAAGATGCCATGAATGAAAGCAGTAATGTCTCCATACATGCATTCGGTACTTTAACCATCGGCGATGGAGGAGAGTCGAATTACTTTGGACATTCCGCAGGTTCAGAGGTAATGCCATTCTGCTGATTCCTCTCGTGAACACTCAGTGACGGTTCCCAACAGACTTTGTTCTTGGTATGTTCGCCCAAAAGGTGCTAGAAATAGTTAATTCTGTCGCATCCTGGCAGGCCGGCGCTGAATTTGATGGCACTTCATCCTCGCAACCAGAGGAGCTCCCGAGCATGTCTGCGGATATATCTCGATTGGAGTCAAGCCTTCCCTTCAGTTTGACTGGTATCCCTGACCATGACCAGTGTCAAAGCACTTTGGACTCATTGTTAAGCCTTTTACCACCATACCCGCGGGCTTCTGCACTCTGCGAGACGTATATGGAGCACGCTGCTTGGATATTTCGACCAATCCGACGAGAAGAGCTGATTGATGATATTCTGTCACCTGTTTACGCCCTTGCTCAGAAGAGGCAAAATAACACACCTGAATCAAAGGCAGAGTGTCCTGCACACACTATTGCCGTGCTCTATATGGTCTTTTCCCAGGGCGCTCTTATGGATTTGACATTGCCACCATGTAACCAGGAAGCAGAGGACTACTTCCATCTTGGTCGTGTGGCGTTGTCGCTCCGCTCTGTTCTCGAAACGCCAACTACTCAAACTGTTCAAGCTCTCGCTGTGATGGGATACTGTTACAGCAACAGAGGCAAGCGGTACGCGTTGCACAGTGCGTGGTCTGCCATTGCGCTTGCCAGCAAATTATCTCAGAGCGTATGTTTCTGGTTTGATCGTCTTAAAACATGTCTTTGATCGTGCCTTCTTTCCAGATGGGTCTTCGTGAGTGTTTGTTCATGGCCTAATTTTCATCAGCCTTCATTCTTTGCATAGATCGGGACCCTTCTCGGTTTAATATGAGCCCGAAGGTTGTTCAGCGTCGACGTACTCTATTCTGGGAAGTCTTTTCTGCGGATCTCTTTCATGTGGGTGACGTATTTTGCTCTTTCACATAATTTGACAAATTGGCTAGAGTCTTTCTCTGGGTCGTCCTCCCTCGAACAGGTTATCGTACATAGACTGCGAGTTTCCTGAAGATGAGACGACAACTATGAATGATAAAGGCGAGGTCGAGATGGGGTGTGAGTTTCTTGCCTCTCATTTCGTCGAGTCACCTCATCTTTCTTTTGGCAGTTTGGCGATGGAAACACACTTTCACAAGAGACGTGTTCTCCCAAGTCACAGAACTAACTCTAAGTGCAGAACTTCCAAGTTACAATACTATTCTAGATCTCGACAGAAAAGTTCGCGAGCAAGTTTTACCTCCATCTTTAAATCTTTATCGTTCCAGCGTTCAAGACGAGTATACCACCCCATCAGCATATATCCGTGGTCGTATCCTTTTCCAGTTTAGAACGACGAGTGAGTTTCTTGGACGCAGTGACCTTCAGTCCCCTTGACGTCTTCATAGCAATGTTGTTCATTCATCGTAGTTTCTTTGCACAAGCCTTGCTCGACTTTCCCACAAACCCTCTCCGCAGTCCCTATGCTCCATCATTCCTCGCTGCGTATCGTTGTGCGTCGGCAACGATCAAGACTACTGTCCTTAACTTTCAAATGTTCCCGGAACTCTTCATGCGTTGGTGGGCTATTTGGAGTCATTTGTTGTCTGCAGCTGTACGTAGCAAGACTAGGTGCATGACGTGATACTCAAGTGGCACACAGGTAATTGTCGGAAGCATCGTCACGCGAGCACCATCATCGACTATGGCGCCCGCTGCATGGGAGGAATTGAATCTTGCAGTAGACATGTTTTCACGGGGGTCCGGGACATCAAGTCGCGCTCGTCATGGTTTGGTGCATATCATTCAAAACTTGTCGTTTGAGTGTATTTTGTTCATGTGATTTGCCAGGCTATCTTAATCAAACTCAAGCTGAAAGCCTATCAAGCGCTTGAAAAATATCGCAGTGGAGTGGCATCTAACCTCCAGGGCAATCTAACCTCCCTACTTCCGGAGGTCGGCGGTGATGACGAACTTACCATGTTTGGTGGACAGACCCGTGTCCTTGTCAGCAAGATCCTTTCGCAGCAGAACCGCAGGAAAACACCATCCCGCTCTGTTCCTCTGTCAGCTGCAGATTCATTACATTCCGCCACGAGCTCCTCAGCATCTGACGACGGCCATTCGCCTTCAGATTCCATCCCCGATGTCCATCCCACGCTTGTGGAATTCCTGAAAATGCTTCCTCCCTCATCGATATCACCTCCCACTTTGGGCACAGGGGATGCATCCACAGCCTTCCAAAATCACTGGAACGCATTCTCCCCGCCTCCCACACTCGAATTCGTATCACCGAGTCTCGTGCCCCCGATATATTTCTCCCCTATCACCCAGGCATCCAATTCAGTCTCGGATTCATCTTTTCAAAAACCCCTCCCACAATCCAATATGTTTGATCCAACGAGTATGAGGGTTGACGATGATTTCGCTGAACTTGGACTTTTCCTTTCTGGAGAGTCTGGGATGGACGAACGATGGAAATCGTTTATACGGGATTCTGGAATTTGGGATGGGTCCCAAAGTTATGACATGATGACAGATACTTAGGTTTTTCCTTCTTTCTCATTGAAACGTATACAGGCAAGATATTCAAGTGACTCCGACTTTCTACTCGATGCTTGTCGTTCTGTCTTATTCATTACTTTATGTAGTTATTTTAGTACATCAAACAAGACTGAATGATTTGCAGGGGATCTACAATCATTTCCAGCAGAGCCAAGAATGAATTTCTCTTGGGTAACTCCAATGGGTAAGTAAGTTAGTATTGGAGTTCTCCGCGATCGCATAAATATGACCGCTGAGTTCTTGTATAACTAAATAGACGAGATGAGCGGATCTGCCCAGGTCGAGATCATCGCCTTCCACGATAGAAGTCTAAAAAGGCGTATTTGTCTTCCCATCCAAAACCGATCCTTTTCATCTTTCCCAGTCTCGCTATAAGCACAGCGCAGACTTCGGCAAGCATGTCAGAGCGTGGCTCAGGAACCACCTTCATTGACCATGAAGAGCTGAGAGCTGGGTGATTCTGAGAGCGGAAGTTGGCGGATCGAGATAGATTGCGGAGAAAGACAAGTACAGATTTGAAACAGATGTCGGAGGGGGTTGAGTGTAGTATCCGGGATCGAGTGGGACAAGGACGGTTGCGACAATGTCGGGGGATCGTATCTAGAACTGGTTAGATATAAGATGAGGGTTGGGACGCGATAACTCACCTGACACACATCAAGAAGATGTCGTAGCCTTTTGCAGGAACACTTGCGCCATTAAAGACATCAGTGAATCGAAGCAGGCCCCTACCGTTGCTGGTCGTACATTCAGGAAATACCACAACAGGGCGACGTACTGAACGACGGATATCTTCAAGACTGCGTAAAGGCGCAGAGGAAGGTGCCTGATGGTGTATTGCCCGTTGAAGATATAATTTCCAATAAAGAAACCTGACGAAAACCGTGGATGACTTCTGGTGAGCTCAATACTCGGTTAACAGAAGATATAGCTGCGGATCCAGTCCCAGTCTTTCGTCCTGGAGTATACGATATTGATGATGCGTCTCTAGTGGAAGAGAGCGCTGTAGGTGCATTTGCAACAGGTAACACAAAAATTGGGTTGTATCTTGCACGATTTGTCAGAAAAAATTATAGATTCAATCGACCATCTTACTGGTATGCCAACCAAAGGACTTCTATCCAAGAGGACCAGTTTGATACTATAAGGTCCCCTGCTCGTGGATTCCACTTGTTCTCGGGGAGTTTTCTGACTGCGTTGTAAGCATATATCTCAAAAATCGATCCACCTTAAGCTGACCCTCTTTTTCGAACAACGAGCTCCGTGGACACCCACCAAAATCCTATAGCGTAGAGTGCCAAACGCGCAAGCAGGGCGGTGCCCAGCCACGAAATTAGATCTTGTAGTGGCAAAACAGGACGCTGTGTCCTTGAGCGAACGTGTCAATGTAAGTTTTGCAGCCACTCACACAGAGGAAGCCGATCACATGAACTAAGACAAAATGGACTAGAGTAAGCACAATAACCACGGCAGTCCGTAGTGCAGCGACAATCACTCTAACGGGCGTCAGAAAAGTGACGAAGAAGTCACGCTCTTGTGGTGGAACTGGCGCAAGGAAAGGCTAAGTACGGGAGTGAGCTACTACTACCTGCTTGTTGAATTCTGACTGTGCAAGCACTAACCTGAATTCCCGTTCCAGGATCCTATGGGTGAAAAAATGAGCATGAAGCAAGCTGGAAAAGTGGATCACTTACTCGGAAAGAAGAGAATTTCTCCATTATATGCTGTGCAACAATGTCGGACAGCGGTAAGAATGAAAAGCTATGAAGAGCCGCCGGCATGCCGTATTTGGTGGCACGTCATTGCGTCATGTGTTAGAACGTGGCTCTCCTCGAGTGTTCCCAACCACCAACACGAAAGCCTTGTTTCGTCGAGAAATCTTAAATATGCTAGTCATGCTCGCTAAGGCGGCTCGCATCCTTAAGGCTCTTATACAATCAGCTAGCTCGAGATATCAAAAACTCAGTCTAGTTGGAAAGGTCAGTCCCACTGTTGAATCTCTTTAGGTTCTCATGTTAACTAACTGGGAATTGTGATACTGCTTGATGCTTGTTCCAGGCTTTGATATGGTTCCTTCTGTTCTTCTATGCATGTCTAGCCGCATTTATCATCGTGGTCACTCCAGCTCGCATTGCTCAATTTATGTATGACATCGCTCAAGACATCCGACGCCTTCCCTATGGGCACGCGATTCTTATCAGTGTCATGAGTACGCATGTTTTGTTCCCTTTCATCGGACCAATTCGAACATGCTAATTCTCCTCAGTTCTCGCTTCCTTCCCCCCTTTCATTGGACATGCCACGCTCGTTAACTTGTGCGGTTTCACATATGGTTTGCAAGGCTTCTTTCCTGCAGCAGTTGGAACACTGGCAGGGCTCCGCCATAGTTTTTGTTACCCTTCGGATCATGTTCAGCAAGAGACTGCATTCATGGACGTCCACTAACGAGAAATGGCAGGCTCTGGAAGCTGTAATAGTTAGTGTGTTTCACTAGCCTTGGCATACTTGCTTAGTGGAGGACGCCTGCAGCGGTCAAGAGGCATGCCCTTGATCATCCTCATCCGCATCTCCGCATTTCCGCCATGGGTTTACTCAAACTCCCTATTCGCAGTAAGCTTTTCGACTTGTTTACTGTGCGGATCTCAGTGCTTCTTGTTAGAGCATAGCGCCGGTGTCGTTGCTCCAGTTCTTTATAGCGACTTTGTTTCGTCCTCCCAAAGGTCATGGTTTACGTGTTCGTCGGATCTCGTATTGCTAGACTCTCGGATGGCGAACAGAGGAATCATATGGATACTCGTAAGCACATGTCGTGGCATTCCTGCCTCATTGATTCATGTCCCATAGAAACCAAGGTTATCAATAGCCTTTTAGTTCTCGGTGGTATCTTGCTATCTATCTTAGCCAGCTCGTTCGTGTCCAGGTCACCGCTTTTAATGACAGAGCTCTACTCACCCTATACAGGCTGGTCTATTATTTCATGCAGAAGGAGATCAAGCGTCTTCATGCCAGCTCGTCAGAGCGTGATGAACTCGCTGCAGAGGCACTTGAGGAAGCAGAGGAAGCGCCTTTGTTGAGCTCTCACTCTTTGGCTTAAGTCCTCGTAGAGTTTGACTCTCACTTCCTTAGTCAACATGGAACACAATTAAGATACTTGGGAACATCAGACTATGCTATCTTTGCAATCGCCACACATCTATAACTATAAAAAGTTGTGCACGAATAGTAAATCACTAGTAAAAGTGGAGAAATAACAAGGAGAAACTGGCTCCGATCAGGAAAACAAGTATGAATATCCGACTGTCCTTGGCACGTCTACGCGCCTCTCTCAGCTGCACATTACCCTTCTCTACGGTAGATGTCGTTGCAATCGCGTCCTCGTATAATTGGTCAGTCAGCTCCGTTTGCCGTGTAAGATGTGTCATCAGTTCCATTTGGAGGTTGCTGATATCCATCAATCGTGCTTCGGCTTGTTGTACGGACTCAAGCGTGTCCTGGACGGATCGGAGAATATTGGCATTCTCCGACTCGAATTGAAGTATCTGAGACTGCGAAAGCTCGATATCATCGTCGTCCCCGTCCAAGTCACCTAAAGATGAAGTAGGTGTGAGTGTTGTCGGTTGAGCAGCAGAGCGGCCGCTGGTTGCGCCAATGGTAGCAGCTATCCCTGACACGAGTGCTGATGAAGCACCTCCCAACCAGCTGTCGCTCCCTCCACCATTGCGCTGTTGCTGTTGCGCAGGTCCCTTGGAGATGATATTCATAGCCTCCTGCGCCGCACTGGATCCTAGAGTTCGTGTGCGTTCAAGTTGGCGCTTGACTCGCTCTTCCTGCATTTCTTTTTGGTTCTGACTGGCTTCTGTGAGACGCCTGCTGAGATACCACGTTATACTGGAGTGGTGCGCCGCTGTGAAATCCGAAAGGATTGTTGAATTGTTGCTCTTTAGACGGGCGGGAAGGAAACGTGTCAAGGGATTCACGTTACTTGCGGCGAGCTCAACACGACCTGTAGAAAACAATTGATTGTAAGTAGTCATTTCGCGAACGGCGAGAAACAGACCGCACGCTTTTCAAGTGTCTCCATTTCCTTGACTCTGTCTGCGCACCTACTAAGGATGACACGTGCCTGTAGGTCGATCTGATCACGCTCCTCGTCTGTGAGGTAACGTATTCCCGACCACGACTTTGTAGGGTCGCTCAAATCGATGGCATGCGAACCATGTCGCGAGAGCGGTGTAACGTGCGCATCGACGCTGAGGTAAGGCTTCCGTATGCTAGAGAGCATACGGGTGAGAGTGCTAATGTGGTTGAGCTGTGCAACCAAGTGAGAAATAACCTCGACGTAAGACACATTGCTGCAACGTACAATTGTGTAGGCTTCTTCTAGATATTGTTTTCCAAATACATTCGCGTTAGGGATATCGCGTACAGGAGACGCCTTGCGTCGTTTTGCTTGCGGGACAGTACGTTTCGCTTGAAGGACATCCTTGAAGTCTGCGGTACGGTCGACGAACCCCATAAATACGACGACAGTAGGTGACGGAAGATGAGTACGACTGGTGTTGACAGGTACCTGCTCGACAACACGCTGACCGCATATTGCCGAGAGCCACGTGTCTGGGTGATATAAAGGGCGAATAACTTCCAGTTATTCTTTTTTCATCGACCACGACAAAGATATATGTAGGCTCAGTCCAGCGCTGCTTTACATGCAGCTTCAACGGCAGGGGTTCTCAAACGCGTGGAATATCAGATCAGTCCTTGTTTGAGGCGAATGGTACACTGACTACTACTGTTTGCCATAGTTTGAGACTAACAAAATTTTACGTCCTTCTATCGATTATAGTACATATCTTCATTCCATTTGGTCTGCATACGGGAGACCAATTGAATCTACCTAATACAGTTGTACAAATTCTTGATCCATGGGTCAGATCTTCAGAGGATGACTCTTTGTGACAGCTTATTGTTATGGCGTAGTCGCATACGTTGTCTATACCTCTCGTTATTGCAACAACCTCGTGCATCTGATGACCACGTCAGTATTATTTTCAAAGGACCAAGACCGGAGTGCAATAAACTCACAGCAGTGATCTCCTTCTGACCTCATCAGGAGCCTGCAAACTGTCATTTCCGCTAGATCAAGAACATCCTGTTCTTTAACGTGCAGACAATTGATAACAGCCACTTCATCCATTCGGCCCGCTTGTGTCGCTGTGGACGACACTTGACCCTCGCCTTCATCTCGTGGTAGCCGGCTCTGGGCAAGGTTCACCAGCGCCCTGCCAGTGAGATAATTGCACCAGCGGAAGTCGAGACGAGTAAGGTTTGGGCAATGCCCGTTGCGCCCGTGTAGGAGCCGCAGTTGTTCATCAGCAATGTCACTGTCGTGCAGACGAAGTTCCTCCAGTTTAGGAAGGAGCTCGAAACATCGCACGAAGTCGGTGCGCTCCAAATCAACGTCATAAAGTTCTAGAAGTTGTAGACAAGGGGAAGTTTCAAGGAACCGACATAAATGGGCGCCAGAAGGCATGTGAGAGCGCGCAAGGGGGTCAGATGAGCAACGCAGGTGGAGTTGACGCAACGCGGGTGCGCGCATTGTCAAAAGGATTGCGTTCACTTCGGGAGAGACGTGGAGAGTTAATGATTCCAGGTGAGGAAGATCCACAACGCGTTGGGTATCAACGTTGTACGGGCGTGCTCCTGGTTTAGAGAGCTCTAGTGTGAGATCCCTTAACTCTGATGAGGCTTGTAGCATTTCGATCCAATCGGTGGCATTCATGGAAGGTGGCAACAACGTTGAAGAGGAGAGCACAACATGCAATGTCGTGACTCTCATGAAGCTGCTCCACTGTGGAAGATTCGGTTGTTCAATCAGTAACCGAGATAAACGCGGAGCGTCCTGAAGAGACGACACATCCACAAGATGAGAACCCCCCATTTCAGTGATGAGATTAAGTTGCCTTAAAGCAGGCAATGGGAAACTGCAACGGTGAAGGACGTGGTTCATTGTTGTCGAATCCACGGAGTTGATGATAAGGGTGTGCCACTGCTGGCAGCGAGGAATGAGCAAACCCAAAACCTCATCCAACGATGGTGATTCGAGAGGGATATCCAAAGTTATATGCAAAGGCGCGTGTTGAACTTTGCGCAACCAAAACTCCACTTTGCCTATCGAGTTTCCCGATCTCAAGTCAAGGAAGAGATGGGACCATACATGAGGAAAGGCTGCAGCTTTCCTCCAGGCCGAGCACACTTGAGAAACAGCCACAGGCGCACGCGTCCAGCCGCTCTCAGCACATATCTCAAATATGCGAGCTAGCAGCTCAGGATGTAGGCGGCGAGCGAGGGTTAACAATGAGCGGGCCCGACGTATATTCTCTCGGTGCTTGTCCTTCTGCAAGCGGAGGCGCTCCAGCATAGAATACAGCATATTCATTTCGCTGTGCAGTTCCTGGACTGCCTTCTCGTCAGCTATCATTGTCTGATGGACCAAAACCATGTCGTCTTCCGTGGGTTCGCGAAGACAAGATATGCGATCCATCACGGAAATTAGAGGTGCTCTGCAAGTTTCGATTTGAGTAAGTGCAATGTCCCAGCTCGAATACGTTTACAACGCACGGCGACGTGTCGATATCATGATACCAGCGAAGATCCATACCAGCTGAATCCTCCCGAAATAAATATATTGAAATTGAATATTGAATGTTGGCCGCCTTCAATCTGTTTGTTGATGTTTTTCTGCTACTTGCTGGTTCGTAGTCTGTTACATACGCACTGTGTAACTTGCCAAAGTCGCTATCGACCCCACCTAGCTCAACACCTTAGGCCTTAAGGTGAGTAAATAAAGCATTTTAAATACGCTATGATGATTCAGAGTGGAATCTTCATCGACCCGCACGACATTAAAGTTGCTGGGTCGAGTTGAAGACCAGCAAATGTTCTAGATACTGCTGACGCCTTCACTGAATTATCTTCATACAAATGGCTGACGATATTCTGTCCAGAACTATCTATGGATCCACGTCGAGCCCGCGATCCGCGCTTGGCACGCGTAGACCCGCGTTTGCAGCGAGTGCCATCTGCGTTGCCCACTCCTTCTCCCCAACAACAAAGTGGGTCTGTACAAGGCGCTACACAATGGTCTGCGAATGGCGCATATACGGCTTCACTGTTCATGGTTCCCACTGTTCCTGTGCAACAGGCTGATATAGCTTCCGAGAATGCAATTGCTGGTCCATCGACTCCTGTAAACGACACGGGATCCTCTGCATATAAACCTCGGCCACTCTTTTGCGTTGTGTGCGCGAGTAACCAAGTGGGTTCGAGTTCCTGTCAGGGACAGCCACGAAGAAGTCTTACATGCTGTTTGTAGAACCGTTCCATGGAAGGTCATCACGTTTTGCAGTCCGTATCACAACATGTTTTTAATGCCCCTCATTTTTATCTGATGAAAAAAAACATGAAGCAAAGCCGGGTACCGAGTGATTTCTTACGGCACGGGCTCTGCCGTGCGCCTACCTGGAGCATCGATAGACAAGCCTAACATTTATTCGTTTGGTACGCCATATAATTCAATCTACGAGGAACTCAATGCGAAAGATGCAAAATTGCAAGTCCGCTGCATCGCCTTATGACCTGAGTCTGATGAACACATCCCAGGTACACCGCAAATGGACTTCTCCAGATGCTTGACCGTAATCGGCGGATAAAGCTGGCTCCGGAACGGTGGCAGGACAGCAGGACAGTTGCAGATGTGGTTATTACTTGTGAAGAACGTTGTTTTGATGCTGTTTGTGACGGTGGGTACCGTTGGAACTGGTTGTTACTCGTAGTTTACTGATATGTTCTTCCCAGACCTGCTTAGTCGCGGTGGAGAATTCAATAAGCCCGTTCATATCATTAATATCGAGATTAAAGACAACCATGAAGAAGCACTCATTGCTGGAAAGGCGATGCTGGATCTGGCCGCCGCTGTGCGTTTGCTTCTTTTTCTTTCCACGGTGCTGTGCTCAATCGACGCGAGATCTTAGATCGAAACCTCCCAAGATATCGATGAAGATATCGATAGGATACTTCAGATGCAACAGGAGCGCCATCCCCATAGTCTTCTACACGCTGTCGCTTTTTACTAGTAAAGATGAGATCCCCATGGGCCCAGACTGCCATGTATATGTTGGTCGTGTGTGCGCATTAGGACTGTAATCTCAAGGTCATCACATGATCATCAGCCTCTATCTACACCATTTTTTGAAATCATTTCATCATCTCAGCTAGCAATGAGCACTTCTGTCAGTCGTGAGAAATTAAGACGCAATCATTATCCATCTTTCATGTTATAAATGGGTTTGATCTGCGTAGTCCTTTAGCGACATTATCAATGCCTTCCCTTCGCCTAGGAAATATCGCCCCCGATTTTGAAGCAGAGACTACTGCTGGACCTATCAAGTTCCACGAATGGATCGGCGACTCTTGGGTGAGCGCATTCATTGAGTAGGTGATGAACCTCGGGATGTTGACAAGTAGCCTTGTAGGCGATTCTCTTCTCGCACCCAGGAGACTTTACCCCTGTTTGCACCACTGAGCTCGGCGAGGTCGCTCGCCGCGCTGATGACTTTGCTAAGCGCAATGTTAAACTTATCGGAATATCTGCCAACGGCCTCCAAGACCACGGCAAGTGGGTTGAAGATATCAATGACTTCGGCGCGAAATTCGGACCAACCAACGTGCAGTTCCCTATCGTATGTATAACGGTATTTTATATCGTTACAGTCTTTGATATTGCTGTGTAGATTGCCGACGAAGACCGGAAAATCTCCACCCTTTATGATATGCTTGATGAACAAGATGCCACTAACCGTGATGCAAAAGGTCTCCCCTTTACGGTATGCTCGAGCATCAGTGGAGTCTTTACGGAAAACTTATCTATGGGAAGATCCGTACAGTATTTGTGGTTGATCCCAAGAAAGTCATTCGATTGACCATTGCTTACCCGGCTTCTACCGGACGAAACTTCGATGAGATCCTCCGGTGAGTCTACCAAATTTTAGGGTCCATTGTTAACATTAACATCTACTCTCAGTGTTGTTGACTGTGAGCATTCATGTTAAACATCACTGCTTCGCACTCACTCAATCCATTCAGCTTTGCAGCTTGGCGACAAATATCGCGTCACAACGCCAGTTAATTGGAACAAGGGTGACTGATGTCATTGTCCACCCTTCGGTTAACAATGACGAGGCCAAGGTGCTCTTCCCCGAGGTCACCTTCCACAAGGTATGATTGTTTGATACAAATCGCGTTGTTAAATATTAATACACCTATATCAGCAACCCTACCTGCGCACAACACCCCTCAAAGTTAGCGAATAAAGATAAGATTAGGGACGGATGATGTTTGATGGTCTGCTGTCATTAATCCCAGTTTCTACGAACAATGACACCCAACATGCGGCAGACTCAAAGCAGGTAGTCGATATATTGTATTACATTCATGTAACATGAATCTGTAGCGCTGGTGGATCAACCGACCCTGCGTTGACGAGCTAGGAAAGAGCGGCTTGGTAGATGTGATTGTATGCGGTTGTGTCAGTGTGCACTATGTCTTTAGTACGTGACCCCGAACTACCGGCAGGAGGCCATCGGTCCAACGAGTCCGGGTACCAACTTCAAGGACATATAAGTTCCTTGGGCCAGTGACGTACTCACGTACGCAAGTCTAAGTACGAACGTAGAAACATAGCTGAATTTGGTTGGTTATTTGCACGTGTTGAACGAATCCATTCAACGACGCGTGTACTACTACATGACGCGTCTTTCGACCTTCACAATCACCTCCCATTCATCAAACGGCATTCTTTATCTGCTATATTCTTTCTGACGATCATAATGGCAAATGCAGATGGAGGTGCTTATAGGTACCCATTTCTTACCACTAATCTCGCTGCTTCTCTTACATTTGTGGTTAGCTACTCCCTTACAGTATTCTCACCAAGTGGCAAGCTCGTTCAAATCGAACATGCATTGGCTGCCGTCTCGCAGGGAACAACGAGTCTTGGCATCAAAGGTACTCCGTCTAGCCTTTGTTGTATTTCACATACTGATCCTGCCTGCAGCATCCAATGGCATTGTCATCGCCACAGAGAAGAAGTCATCCTCGATCCTGATAGACGACTCTATGATCGAGAAAGTGGCAGTAGTGTGCCCGAATATTGGGATCGTGTATTCAGGCATGGGTCCTGACTTTCGCGTTTTGATCGCAAGGGCGCGGAAGAGCGCCCAAGCATATTGGAAAATATACGGAGAGTATCCACCTACGAAGGTTTTGACACAAGAAATTGCCACCGTCATGCAGAAGGCAACTCAATCTGGGTAAGAAGATCAGCCTTGCGGTTGTATGTATAACAGATCACGCATGTTTTTAATTCTCTTGTCCAGAGGGGTGCGGCCTTTCGGCGTGTCATTACTTGTCGCAGGGTGGGACATCAACCGAGGCCCAAGTTTATACCAGGTTGATCCTTCGGGATCTTTCTGGGCGTGGAAGGCTAGTGCCATTGGCAAAAACATGGTCAATGCTAAAACATTCCTTGAGAAGCGGTGAGCTCATCCACCGCGTTTATTTCTCTTCCGCTGAGTTCGCGATCATTTCCAGATACAACGACGACATAAGTCTGGAGGACGCAATACATACTGCTCTGTTGACGCTGAAAGAGGGATTTGAAGGTCAGATGACCGAGAAGACGATAGAAATCGGTGTTGTCACTGTCCCAACACTAGAAGAGCTCGAAGCTGGGAAGGTCGGCGGTGAAACAGGCAGACCTAAACCGACTTTCCGCAAACTCAGCGAGGAGGAAGTCAGGGATTATTTGGCGCTATAGACATAACTCTACGTGCGTAGCATCGCGTTGTAATACTAGAGATTTGATTTCTGGAGGAGCATCGTAGATGTCCGCTGAACACGGCCACCACTTTAAAATTAAGTTGTCTTCGTAAGATTTGTGCCATATCTCAGACTGTTTTTTTTAACGCATATCAAACAAGCTCTGACGCTTTTAGGTTGTGACAGGGGGTTGCGGCCGTGTGGATCAATGTGCGCTATGCTCCAATAACAGCCGGATTGCATGCAGATCGGTATCCTATCTTCTTAGGAGACCGATGACCCACCGGTAGTGTATTCCACCCGTTCCAGGACAAGCGGCCATTGACAAGCGTCTCCTGCTCCACAGGCAACTGACCTTTGCACCTATCTCCTCTCTGCGGCATGAAAAGTCGTGTTCTTTGCTTCCTTTGGCATCAACTTCCGAGTCAGCGGATGACTGTAATGTCCTTGGTATAAAATACCAGCGATCTTCGTATGTTCAACCCATCGAAACACCAGCATTAATTTCAACCTATCCAAATACCCAACTCACTATCAATGGAGCAAACGCTACCCCAGCCCATCATGATGCGTCCAAGGGCACCTCAAGCGTGCGATGTGTGTCGCGTCGCCAGAAAAAGAGTTAGCGAATCTTGGTTCCTTTGCGTTGCTTGCAATCTAGCTAATCACTGCCAAAGTGCGATTACGACAGGAGCCGCCCCGCTCAGTCCTGCGGGCTGTGCGTGAGGCGGGTAGTAGACTGCAGCCTCGCTGTTCCCCCGCAACCCGCGATTGTGGAGCCCACTGTCGTCTTTCCTGACGGGTACTACATGGGGCAATACTTCCAGGGTGATCGATCCATGCAATAGGTAGCTCCGAATCAGCTTGCTCATCTTTTGATCCATGACTCATAACCGGCTTCGTAGAGCATACGAGTGGTTCACGGAGAGGAAGCATCAGCCCATTATACTTGTCCAGTTTTTTGTTAGCCGTTCATGTGTTTGGAGAAATCAGAGTTTGATTTGTTCCCCATTGAAATTGACTCGTACCTGTTCATCACGCCGGCGGTAAGCTCGATCATCATCATCACGTATACATCCAGCCTGTGGCGGTGTTAGTAGCGTAGTCAGCCAATTACCAAAATCGTTCGTCGTTATCAAGGTCTTGAAATTCCGCCGGGTGGACTTGAGGCGGAATTCATTTGCAAGTGTTCATGATCGAAGCACCAGGATTCCGCGGTCAGTCGTCTGCTGCAGATTTTTCTGATGCCAGTCATCCAACTTGGAGACCCTTTCTGTCAGTTTCTGCCATGTGCGAAAGTGAACATGCAGCATTGCCAAAGCAGTGTTTCATGAAGAGCTACTGCTGCTAGCGCCTGTACAAGGCACGAGGTACTGTGACTTTTTCACAGAGACCTTCTCTAAAACACAATAATTTCAGGGACCTCGTGTGGACAGGTGTGGTCGATGTTTCGTGAGTTGGTTAACCGAACCATATCTCCTTCGATCGCGGCCAATGCATGCTGCGACAGGCCCTGCAATAGCCTGATACTGTGACATACGTCAGGTTTACTACTGTTGGGCTGAATACAGTTAGCCTGCAGGGATAATGCTTGCGCAGGGTCTCAGATCTGATTTGGCATCTATGTTCAGAGCCCTTGGAAATTGGGGTTACTGCCACATGTCATATTCCTAGCTCTTCCTCAAACACGACAAGAAGTCAGTGGTCGTTGCAAGAGCGTAGAATTCCCGCTCTTTCATTAATTATCTTACTTAACGGGCACGGACAAGTGATTCCACAGGGCTGCCAGGCGACAAGGGTCTGTCCGGCGCCTCCTGGTGGCACGGATAGATGAAATTCAACTTTGCATTGTTTCATGACGATGAGCAGCCATGCTGGAAGTGGAAACCTGATAGATCCGAGCCTTTCTTCTACCTCACCGAAACCGCACCTTTGCCGATTTCAACTAAGATCTGCAGGCATGGTTCTTATTTTTCACTTTTCTGTTGCTATATAAGAGCGAATATTGTCCATGTCATCATGGATCCAGCGATGAGTATTGCAATGCAGCATCGAGCTCCGCAAGCTTGCAATTCATGCAGGAGGCTAAAGAGGAAAGTTAGTAATTTTCTGACCTTCTGGATTCCTAACCTCTTATTCTCGTGTTAGTGCGTCTTTAACGCAATTTCAGGCACCTGCAACCGGTGCTTCGAGACCGGTAGACCATGCGTGTATGCTGAGGTCAATCCGGCCGCTCCGCACGCTGATCCCGACGCTGTCGCCCATCACAGCACGCCCACGACGACCACGTATGCCGGTACGCGAAGACCCCCTATGCTTCTTGTACGGCGCTTACATCCCTCCACAGTTCCTTCCGGTGACCTGAATACCCCGCCACAACAGGGCAACCCCATGTACCTCCCCTTCGACGTCCCACCCGATTCGGACTGGTTTTTCTCGTACACTGATCAGCAGAATGCGTTCGTACGCTTCTCTTTCCAATTTCCTGTACTGAATGTCTTTGGCAGACTGTCCAATGGAAGCCATGTGGCTGTCATGGGTCCAGGGAATGGAGACATAAGCTCATCAAGCCATGCTGGCGGACAGAATTAATAGTAGCCGGTAGGCCGACACGCTGATACCGCAATCCTTGGCTAATGCTACAACCGTATAGATGCGTGCTTTCATGGTAATAGCAAGGGTCTTACTCAATAAGATGGAGAACCTTGAGCGCTTGAGCTATGTACCCTGTCGTCACCTTGTTCTCGTCCTATTATTCCGATTCGAACAATGCTGTTTCTCGATTCATCATCAAACCTTACAGAAAGTAGTGCGAACCCGTTCTCTGACTTCAAAATTATCGCCTTCCTTCGGCTTTCAGTCTTTTATCCGAAGAGAGAACACCCTTGTGGCAAAGTTGCGGAGACTCTGTGTGTCAACATCACTCGGGCATTGTTTGAATGGCGCACAGCCACAATTACAGGTAAAAATACAATCATTGATGCTCCTTAAGTTCGACCATGTCAACCCTGTCACTACAGCGGCCAATCGAGCTTCTCTCCGAAGTTCCAGTGAACAGCCTTGATCGAAGTATACTCATCAAGGGCATAGCTTCCAAGTTCACGACCTGCTTGCGAGGTCAGAACCGTCGAGCGTTTTCGTGCTTAACAATTACGCACCAATGCCACTCTGCTTTTTCCCTCCAAAGGGGACATTGTTGTTCAGTACATTGTACTGGTTGACCCAGACCTTTGGATACCGTCAATTAGGGAAAATGCCTGAGTGATGTAAGGTATACCGTTCCAGCTTCAAGAGCAGACGAGACGCGCATGCATTGATTTGCATCAGCTGATATTTCGAAGACATCTCAGTGTTGATCATTTGCTCAAGGAGACTACGCACTGGAGTGCAAACCAGCACCGAGGCCGTAAGATGTATCATTGGCCAGAGAAATGGCTTCCTCTTCAGTTTTGAATCGGCCCACCGCCAGAACCGGTCCAAAGATCTGTTCATTAGAATTTAGGGTTGTGCCGCAGTATGTGGACATCCTGCCAGCATCGGAAGCGCACCTCATCTCGGACCTGATTCGCATGAACGTGAGTCTGAAGCACTCTAAGGGAAAGCTTTGGCTCTTACAATATCCATCTTCGCGTTAATGTCCGTGAAAACTGCACGTTGTTAAAATCAATCAGCGCTAGTGGCGCTGTTCCGAAAGCTACGGATACTCACTTGTAGGGTCGACAAAGAAACCCTTTCCCGGACGCTTTTTGCCACCGAGAGCCAGCTTTGCGCCTTGGGCTTGACCGCGCTCAATATATCCCCAAACCTTGTCGAATTGAGTTTTCGACACCTGGAAAAGGGTGTGAACTGCGGATTGTACGACAGTATGATTAACTGACCACCGGCCCAGCGCCACTCTTCTCGTCGAAGCCATCACCGATCACGAGTTCCTGGGCTTTGGCAACCAGGAGGGAGAGAAACTTATCGTAAATCGTGTCCTGAACATACAAACGGGATCCTGCCGTGCAATCCTGGCCGGTATTATATAAAACCCCGAGGCAAGCCCAGTTTGCGGCTTGCTCCAGATCCGCGGACTCGAAGACTAACTGTGGAGACTTGCCACCCAACTCCAGAGACACCTTCAGGCACATGATGTCAATTTATTCAACTGCATCGATGCCTTGAAGTCCACCTCACCTTCTTCAGATTACTTTTGGCCGCGGCTTCCATGACTTTACGGCCAGTTATCGTAGATCCGGTGAACGCAACCTTATCGACATCCATATGTGCAGATAAGGCCGCACCGCCAATAGATCCCAGGGAAGGAATCGTGTTCACCACGCCTGGCGGAAAACTAGCTCGAAATTGGGATCAGAAAGACCTAAAGATGGGTGCGTTGCCTACCCAGCCTCAACGATGAGCTTCGACAGCATAAGCGCCGTCAAAGGGGTGAGTTCGGAAGGTTTCATAACGATAGTGCACCCGCATGCAAGGGCAGGGGCAACTTTCCATGCCCTAATGAGGATGTCACCTTTCCACCCCCAAGATTTACGGACTCAAAATGCATACCACATGTTGATTGGGTAATTCCATGGAATACTATACTATGGTCGTGAAGATGTGAAGAGTAACACATAAAAACGAAACCACGCACATTTGTGCGCAGACCCCAATAGGATCGTGCCTAGTGAAAGCAAGCTTGGCCTTGTTGTCGACTTCGATGGTCTGAAAATAGAAAGCATGAACAAATAATCATTCCATAGGGGTGCTTGTATACTTGTCCGGTGATTTTATCAGCCCACCCTGCATAGTACCGCAAGCACTGGATACTATCCCCGATATCAAAGTCCCTGATATGATCGACACCAGTTAAGAAAGGAAAACGTGTGGGGACACGTTTTCGTACCTCGCGATTTTAAATGGCTTGCCATTGTTCAAAGATTCAACCTCTGCAAGAATATCTTGATCCCTCTCTATAAGATCTGCTAGCTTATTCAAGAGCTTAGATCTCTCAAAACCAGTCACATTTTTTCCCCATGTGGTATTGAAAGCTTTGCGAGCAGCCGCGACGGCTATGTCTATGTCCTTTGCCGACCCTGACAATCATGGAACTTCATCAGTTTCGTTCCTTTTTATACTGTAGATGAGAGCAACGTGATTACCAGCTACCACGGAGCATAAAGTCTCCTCTGTTGCAGGGTTGACTGCGCTGCACGCGTCAAATAAGTCACAATCCTTATCAGACAAGTATGAACGATCGTACTAGATGAGTTCATTGGGGGAGTCCGCGGAGGGAACAAACTCGTTGTTGATGAAAAGCCCAGTTGGGATCTCGAGTTCACGGTTCGCAGCATGTACGACGATGCGGGCTGAGAGGGATGCCATGGTGGAGGGTGAATGGGAAGAGCGATAGAGGGTTCGAGAAGGGAACGATAGCACTCGATCGAACAACAGTTGATGCGAATACTGTATTTAGCGGCCATTCTTGACTGATATCCGGGGCTTGAAGTGAAAAGTACATACTATATTCGTAGATAAGATAACGCCTCGTGTCTGTTAAAATCAACACGTGTGTAGCATGTCTTCGAACCTGGGGTATATCAAGCAGGACCCCAGCTGCTTGGGCTGGGCGCTGTGTTCTAAAATGGTATTTTTTTTTTACGCCATGCTGAGTCCTGACGCACAGCCCTGGTGTTTGGTTCTCCTCCGGTACTGTGTTGGACGTTGAGGTGCGAGAAAACCATTCACTATCGTCACAGTAGCTTCCCACCCAATGTTTTACGAACTAATGAAACAAAAAAGGTCTTTCAAAGGCCCACTTGCCAAGATGAAGTTACGGAACTGTAAACAAGTTCTTTGATGCTGAATAATAGTATCTACGAGTGGCCCCTTGATTTGCCGTAAGGTTTTAGAATGAGTTCTCATGTCCTTCGGGTTTGAACGAGTATGAAAAAAAATTAGCCTCGCGAGGGGAAACAAAGCAAGGAAACACTCGTGCTCAACGAAAAAAACGGGTATGCGGGTACCTTCGCCATTGCCATTCTTGTGGATGGAGACCAGTCGTCCAACATAACGGCCATAAGAGCACTATCTATCGACATTCAACGCCAGGTACCGTTGCAATGGATCTACTGCGAGTCGTCCAAGTCGAAGCTTCGCTCATGGTGGAATGTGCATCCCTAGCGGTCCAGTGCACGAGTAGCCGCCATGTCACTGGTGAATGAAAAGTTGCATCCTATTGTTCCCATGGATCGAGTGACGCAACGACGTGCTGGATTTCATTTGAGTGTACGCATGGTAAACCGATGCTAAGCTCGATTAAATGTAAAATAAAAACATAAGTTCCACCAGGGTCCAGCATATCATTGCCAGGATCAGAGTCCAGACCGTCTGGCGATAAGTATCCCAGCGGCCTTTCGTAGTCATCAAGTGCCTATTTAGGTTATATGAATGGTCAACTTCGGATGGAATGACAACGGAGGTAAAGCAACAAGTCTCTGCGAGCTTTCGGGGCTCTACTGTCGGACATGTATTTGCCACAGGTCTCCGAGGCACGACGCTTGAGGACCATGGCATGAGTGATTTTAATACTCTTCGGCATGCTACTGGTGGGCAGGCTGATTTGTATAAACACGTCAAACACTCTGAAACGTACCTTTGACTCGCGTAAGACGAGTTGAAGGCTTTACAACGTTCCATGCAGAAACATTAGGTCGCTCTCCGGAGATGGCCCGAGAACCATAAACGTGTCTTCCTGTGCGCACATGACGGAGGCTGCGCGGATCAATTGATGGTTATTTATTCCATATAGCTCATGCATTTCCGCCACTGATATCCCTACACACTAGACTTGTTTAGCATGCGATATCCACAACAAAGAGTGTTTTATCATAATGACATACATATGGTAGGTTCTCTTGTCATCTCAGGGCTTGCTGTCCCCGTCGTACGATATCCACTTCACCGATCCGCTGAGCAACGTAAACTTGTGATCTGGACGGTTCTCAGCACACAAAAACCTACCATTTATGGCGGGAAGTAGGTCGTGCTGACGGGTGTATATCTTACAGAACAATAAACACGAGGTAATTGGAAGGCATGATTGCAAATTAATCTTGTACTCTTCGCGCAAGCATGCCGCGTCGGGACCTTGCACGAAATTGGAGGACACAGACAAATTTGTAGCTTGTAAATTCTGCGAAGAGACGCGGTCTCACGACGTGGTCCTATGGACACACAAACGATTAGTTGTAGCCTCTCCCTAATCATTTGATGATCCGACTCACAAGCTCTCGGTGCGATATGAATCTGCGCGAATTATGCCATCCTAGACTCTACCTAAATAATCGACAGCGCCTAGCCATGTTGTTAGGTCACATACACGCAAACTGAGTACTTACTGGGGCCGTAATCCTAGCCGCCTGAATTTGAGGGAACCACCTGGCGAATGCTGCACACTGGCAAATGAGCACCAAAGTGATAGTTAGTGAATATGGGACACTAATAGTCTTCACCTATACCTAGTAGATTGGCTGATCACTGGTCTAGCCTCTACCTTGTTTGTTGTTCTTGGCTAGAACAAACGTTAGTGGGCCTTACTTACATCGTTGGTAATTGTCTTATCCACTGCTTCCGAAATGACTCTGGTGGCCCAGTGCAGTGAGAGAAGGTAGGGGTCGCCGTGAATCATTTGCTGAGACGAAATGATTGATGTCATACGAACTAGCCATTGATAGTCCGACTAGTAGTATTTACTGCGACAGTACTACATGCCTGCTGCTTTCCGCGGCGTTTGAAAGGTTGCAATTTGCAAATCGTGATGCGCACTGTGGGAAGAACTGCGGGTGGTTCCGGCTAACCTTGTAACTCAAGCTCTTCGATTCCACTTCAAAACAACTAACTGCCTTCATCTCCAATGCTCGCCCGCGCATCACACCCCTTGCGTGCACAAGCCGCGCGTATTCGCGTCGCCTCTCCTGCACGTTTCGTGCATGGCCACGGGGAATACCATGTACGTGCTCTTTGTCTTCCACCCGTTCACCTCATTTACTCCCTCCTTAGCACTTGCCATTCCAGTTCCCGGGAAAGAAACGATTAGCGTTCGGCATCAAGCTCACTGCTTTCCTGACAGTAGGATTCAGTATTCCCTTTGTAGCTGCAAAATTTCAATTGTATGTAGTTACTCCATACCATCAGAAAAACCACACTGACGCATGTTCTTAGGAATAAGTCTGCTGCAACATAGACCCGCGTACTATGTAGCGCATTCGACATACAACACAACCCTTGCGTCTTGTCACTACCTACATCTAGAATCTGAATTCGAAGCAAACATCATGAGCAGTTGCTAGATAACCTCCATGTCGTCATTGGGATCGTCTTCAGTTGTGACGTTCTGCCCCTCCTCAAGATCAGCCAACATTTTTTCCAGCCTATTCTTGTAGTCTTTCGCGTCTTTCTTCCCCATATGAGTTCGATTTCTGCAGCTGCAGTTGTGTGCCATAAAGCCGGGGTCTCCCTCCAGTGCATCGAGAGCGGCAGTCGACACCATGCGCCCTGCTATATATCCAGTCGACTCTGTGGCACTTGCCAGGATGATGTCGTGAACAATAACTAGAGGAAAGCTCATCAGCACATATTCCACTTGGACACAACTTAAACCATACCGTCACAGCGAGTTCCGTGAGTGTCACTTAGTTTTTCTTTCTCGATAGAGAATTGTTGGCAACCCTGAGCTTGCATGATCTCGAAAAGGATTTTGGTGGGGTGATGAGAAAGTGTCTTGACCGTGATATGCTGGTCGTAAAAAGGCTCGAGGATTGTTTTGAAAATCAATTCCACGCCGTCAGACGTGAAGCCATCTGAGATATAAAGTGCACCGATGATCGACTCTACAACATCCGAAAGGATCTAGAGTTATTTGTCAGGTTATTTTGCTTGAAGACTAGCTGTAAACATACCTTGGGTGGCTCCATGTTAAGCCAGTACTGCCCTGGAGGCCTCCCGTCTCTGGCTGCCCTTTGATATTCTTCCTGGTGCCTTGCCTCCAGCTGCTCAACATATGACTGAATGCTGTTCCCAAGAGCATACGACTCATAAAGAAGATACTCGTGTAACCCAGTCCGGACGCAGATCGCTGCCAAAGCTGAATTTGACACCATAGCGGACTAAAGAGATGTCCGATGGAATAATAAAACAAGATAAGAAGTGTAAACCCACCTTCAATAGTGTCATGGCTCCAGGGGACATGTGGTCATCCCTGTTAAAGACATGTCGTATCACCACTGCGAACGCCTGTTACACTATTGTCGCTCAGAGAAGAAACCACGTACTAAAATCCAGAACCGCATCTCCCAGAAATTCAAGTCGCTCGTAGCACGTGTTTTCGTATCCGTGAATTGAACCATGTGTCTACAAGAGGGTCAGCTGATGCAGTGATCGAAGATGAACGATCCGTACCAGAGCTTGAGAGAGCAAGTGTGGATACTTAAATGTAGCTCCAATAATACTTTCAACTGCCGAAAGCGTGCCTTCGCGGAGCCTTGGCGTGACATTTGAAGGGGGAGCAAGAGCTTTGCGGCGGAAATCGTCCCATTGTTCAACACCAGCGACAGGTAACCGGAGGGCCTTGATTACGCTGAGCGCAACGTCGCGGCCTCCAGAAAGATAAGCTGCTCCTATGATAGCTTCTGCGACATCAGCGATCGTCTACAGAAGGTATATGAGATGATTGCAACTCAGAAAATACCCCTTTTACCTTGTCTCCGAGCCACTGTGTTATGCCATCGTCGTGGGCCTTTTGTTTCGCCTTGGACTGGGAGGTCAAATGTATGATTGAGGCATTGGTGTCGTCGACGGAAGCCTGCGCCTTCGTGTCAATTGCATTGTCCCCAGACGGCGTTACATTGTTAGACCTCCCGGGATGCTGCGGAGATACGTCTTGAACGTTCTGTACGGTGAAGTTTGGAGGTTGCCACAATTTGTAACTGAACGTTTTGCCCTGTATGTACGACGGCAGGCCAATTGAAAGACCGCACTGCGTCAGCACCTTGTTACTGATAATGTGCTGCCGTGCCTTGTGCAATGCACCCTCACTCAAAGCAGGGTTGAAGACAAAGACGTAAACGGAGCTGAAATATTTCAAAAATGAATCGCCTTGCATTATAGGATGAGTATCTGTAATAATAAGTTTTGGGCAAACCTCACCAAGGAGCTCCAGCCTTTCGTAATCTGTTTCGAAGGTTGCAGAGGGCGCGAAGACAGCTGATAACAAATGTTGTTCCAGGATCGCGTTTGCGAAAAACTGCGCATTGAGCTCCTTTACAATCAAGAAATCATCGATCCGCCGAGTGATGGATGGTAGAAGTAATGCAGTGCGGTATATGCTGATTGATAGACTACTGTATGAGCATAGTGATGGTCTCCCGCTAAGAACACCCACCTCGCTGGAATTGTGCACTTGCCACAGAGCTCCGGTATGAGATCTACCCAATGTCAGCTACGCGGTTTACCAGACTCAGAGGAACGGCTTGCATTTTGGACCTGCCTTGTTTGTCTCTATAGGCGGCTTGTGGACGGGATTCAGGCGGTTCAGCACGGCAGCAGCTTTGGATACTTCTATTAGAGGCTGATTGTTATCTTGGAGGCCTTGAAAGCCTTTGCGATGCATTCTGCAATACTCCAGAATGTTCGCATATTCCGCCTCACGCTGAAAAGAGATGGATCAAGGATCCATAGATTGACGATCAATGACGATCACCTACTGGGCTGTCCGAGGGCTTGCTCATTGGCGTTAGATCAGGTCGTAAACGGATGACATAGCATCGTCGAGTGAACTCGACTAATCTATCCTGGATGACTGCATCCTCGAACTCGCTTGGGTCTCGCAAGCTATCGGAACTGAAACGCGTGACATAGTTGTTATTAGCTCGTGTCACAGCTTGCCAGTCGATGACATCTTGTGAGTTGGTCGTGTTGGGATACGATAAATCCCTAGCTCGGGAAGGAAGTAGAGGTGCGACGAAGTATGCCATTTTTTCTAATGAACATCCAAACGCTTTGTTTGCGATCGTGCGACAAATTCGGAGCGTATAAGAGTGAAGGTCATTGAGACGCTCGTTATCGAAGATAAGAGCGGGTCCTCGTGCATTCTTGACGGTGGCGAAAACGCCATAGAAGAACAATTTGAAGGGTTGCAGATGAGGTAATGGTTGGCGAGTTAAAAGAACGATAGGTGCATAGGGTTCGGATAGGCCTTCCGGATTTCCTACGGAAATGACGACGGGGAAGAGGCGTTCCTCAGAAAGTCGTAATGAGTTGGCCCAGAAGTCTGGCCTTTTTCGCATGTAGCAACTATTTCCGGAAACTAAATCTGACTTCAAAAAGGAAGGATTTGCGTGGCCATTGTTGTCAGACCGGTGCGGGGTCGAGATCAGACGGTGGTCCAAGCAGCTGAGCTCAAATAATCGTAGGCAAACTTGATAGGCTCCTGAGCGACGCGAATGGGTGGCCGTAAAGCGTGGAGGCCCCTGGACCGTCTGTAAAGGTAGTCCAGGCGGAAGTGTCACAGTACACACAAATTGTTGAACCCCACCTATCCTAGGTGTGGGACGGACAACAAACAAAGGATCACGAGACGGAGTCGTAATGTTGCACTGAAGGTCCGCAGCGATGCGGTAAACAGCAAGTAAGGCATCGTCTTCAAATAGTCGACCACCATTGACTGAGTCTTCTATCGAGATCTCTAGCCTGGAGGCCGTCTCTTCGTCCGAGCGGTAAGGGTTGCCAGTTTCCTTCAGCGAACAGGATGGAACCGGGGAATTTCCCCCTTGCAAGACCACTCTGATCCACCTGTCGTCCACAGCTTGACCACTGTACTCCTGAAGAATTCGGTGATGCAGGTCATTCCCTTTCTCCGCCATATGGATGAGGTGTCCATTAGGCACCAGTGTACGTGCACAAGCAAATGCATAGGAAAGTTGGCTCTCGAACAAGTTGTATCTGGAGCACCTCTGAATACAGCAGAACTAAAAGCAGCAAGAATAACACGCACCGTATGACGACATGGGCACGTGGAAGGTCGACATCTTCCAAGGCTTTAGTCATAACAAGGAGGTTGTACTTTCCACTCGCAAAGTTGTCGAGCAATTCACACTGTCATGATCCGCTTCAGTCAACCATGTTACAAGGAGCGAAACTTTACATACCTGCTCGTGATTATTGGTGACGAGGAGTTCACTGGCCAAAGCGTAAGGTCGAATGAAACCCAGTTCATCAATCATAGTTCTCATAATATCCACTATAATTGTCGCGACTTCGGGCCATTGGACTACAGTGTAGACCGTTTAACGACTCATATGAAGATAGGCTTTCTCATACAAACCCAAGACAATTCCACGGAAGTTATCCCCGTAAGCTCCACATGACTTGAGAACATGAATCAACTGCACGAACTTGGGCGTCACATTGAAGCCCCTGGAGGAAAGGTTTAAGTTCGGCATAGCGAACACCCAATTTTTGACCAGATCGCGGATTTTGTTGGCGATCTCAAAAGCAGGGTCGTCATCGTCATTCCTATGAGCAGCGTATTCTCTGATGGCCCTGCGCCAGATGAGATCACTGGCACATAAGCCGACCTCGACCAGAGCATAGTGGGCAGCGCGAAAAGTCCTTGTAAAGGAAGATTCCTCTGGATCAATTTCGTGTAAAGCCTCCATTAATCTGGATTCTGTGTTTGGCAATAGTGCATCATAGAGGATGACAACCTCAGGAGGATGAATGTCGGACGCACAAGATACGGGCTCAGAAGTTAGATAAGGATCCTGAAGCGTGGCACGATTCAGAACAACACCATCGGTGGCTAGGGGGGCCGATGCGCTGTTATTCAAACCAGGTTGGCCACCGCCAGCCTCACACGACTGGGTGTCCTGATTCGTGTCGCACTGAGGACCTGGATGTCTGGCACCAGATGTTTCTTTCCAGATTCTCAACATCGAGACTTCTTCTGCAGATGTGCAGGCAGAAGGCAGCAGCGACCAAAAGAACTAAAGGATATCGACACAACGGGGACAGCGTAGACCAACAGTTGATTTTGAAGTCAGACTCCGTAGGGCCGTCACCCTCTTCCGTGACCTCACAATCACAGCACTGTGACCACCAGAGTCAATGAACCAAAATCGCTCAATACTCGGCGTTCAACTCATGTAAGTTACTGGTCTGCTAACAGCAGACGGCTGCCCCACATTATATAGGCTTCCGCAGAAGTGATGGTCAACAATGCATCGGTCATCCTTTCTATCGTAGATCGCCTTAGCCCCGACTTTGCACAGAGATCGGTGACAAGGACCCGAGTTTCCTCTGATCCATGCCTACCTGCACGTTTACCTACGACAGGTACGTCGTAGCATCATCTTCTCTACGCTATATCAAACATATCTCAAGGCTTTCTGCAGCGAGAGGCCGAACAGAACGCACCAAAGGCGGTGTTGAGGCAGTTACGACGCAGTCCATCACCACCTCTTAGTCCAACCACCGAGTGCCATGATGCGACAGAAGATACCCCACCTCATGCGGAGAGAAGGGACAGCGTCTCATCAAATCCAGAACAATCTTCTCCGACACGGGCTTTGGCGGGCCTATTTTCGAGAAGCCAACCCTCAGGGGGTTGGAAAGAGCCTCAAGTACGTCACTATATCACTCGTTCTTACAGGAAGTTCAAATATCCCGTTTCGCTAGCCGTTTGAAGTATTTCGCGCTATCGAGCGCAAGGATATCATGTTTCTGATGGAAGTTCGCGATCGTGCTTTCCCTGTACTTCAAATACCCCTTGTATTTTTGTCCTTGTACTAATGATTCCCTAGCTACTACTTCGCAAAACCGGGGATGCTACTCCTCTCCTTCACGCTATGCGCATTGGACAGTCTCATCGTGATGTTGCCATCCTGTTGCTGGGAGCTTTCTCACGTTGGATCAATCATCTAGAGGATAGCGAAATTGGTCTACCACGAACAAGAGTAGTCCTCAAGGCTTTGCGTTAGTACAACTTTAAACACTCTAATGAGTTGCTAACCCTGAGGCAGGAACAAACCTCAAGCTCGGCATAGATTATGGTCTCTATAAATCTCAGAGCGATCTCGTAGCATCTTTTATGCAAACACTGGTAATGAGCGAGGGAGAAAAGTGGATTCGTGCCCAAGTATCATCGGCGTCTCTTGCCTTGAGATCTGGCAATGCTGGAAAACCTGTTTCCACTGCTGAGGCGGCGGTGCGAAAGTTCGCTACCAAAGAACTAAGCAAAGCAGATGCTATTGCTGCCTTGGAGGATTAGTGGGTCCTTTGCGATTACATACCGTCACACACAATGAATGACTTCACAAGTGTGGCAAATGCTACGGTCGACCTTCTACTTCTTGGGGCATGGGCGATGGCATTGGAATCTATCGAAGGGGAGCAGATACCGGTAAGCAATGGTCGGACACTTTGCCAGTGACTTATATCTGCTCTTGTTTCTAGTTCTATTATTTTGCACGAGATGACAGAGTGTTCAAGGCTTTTACGGACAGAGTAAATGCTCACCAAGCTGCCATTCGTCGCGCACTGAGCCGGCGCCTGAAGTGGCAGTTCCGCGTGCTGCAGACTGTACTGGAAGGGAGAAATACCACTTATCGAGTGAGCGAGGTGTGCTGCGTCCTATACAACTTACTCAAAGCCTCCGTCACAGAGAAAAGTGGAAATTTTGATCGAAGAATTGGATGACGGAGATGGGTTGTAGTTTATTGTGAACTTGATTATGTTCTACATTCAGGTATCATTTCATTTGGCGTTCGTGTTTAGGCCATTACTGCTTGTGAGCATTCCGCAGCTTTTGCGATGCTCTCTGCTCGTACAAGGTGCCCTCGGGATACAAGATCACATCCTGGTCGGGGCGTATCGTCGAGCAAACATGGAGACATGAACCCAGTGTTCTGTTCGTCAGATGATATCCTTTATGGGACCGCGGCGCATATTCAGGTTACTCATGCCTACTTTATGGATATGCGTTGCCATCTACATGTCGAACAACATTACTTTTCATAAGGAAATCTAAGTATCCAATGCTGGTAAAATAACTGTCCATTTGTATAATTGGCGCGGTCTGTCTATGTAACAAGGAATCACACCATGAGTTTCATTCCTGTGAACCATGTCCAAGCTCCTATCATCACTAAGCTGAGAGCGGCCCAGTTTAAGTTCAACTGTACGACTGTATACAGCCATATGGTTGCGAATTGTGGACACTTGCAGACGAAAAGGGATAAATAAGGCATCTTGTCTGGATGGAAAGCAACACACCTGTCGTATGTTGACAAGCCATGATCCACGGTTGATGAGCCATATCATTCGGGGCCCCACGCCGAGGGAGAGTAAGAACAGAGCGAGTTGCATGCGAGGGTTAGCCTTGTGTCGCGTGGCTAGAGCAATAGGTCAGAGTGTCTCCAAACTGACCCAGGCCCATGTACTCACTGTAGAACACAAAGATAGACAGAACTGCATGGCCTTGAGCATCAAATATTTTCTAAGCATATTTCGAACGTACTGGGGAAGTTTGTGAGGAGCCTCTGGGCAACGTCACTCACGGTTGACCGCTGTGCATACTGCTGATGTATAAGGCTGTCCAAAACAATGCGAGGTGAGGTAGAAGGTAAGTGTGAGGCGTAGGCTCACATGTCCATCATGATGAGGAAGAAGGTGAACGGCATAATGAGTACGACAGCGTTGAAGATCTCCTCCGCAAGTGGGAGTGGTTCGACATTGTCTGTAGTCTCCCCAGGTTTTCGTGTGTCAGATATCTTCCTGAGAACACCAGCTTCTTGTATCAAGCGCCACTGTTCGTCTTCGGGTATCTCGACCAAAGGCTTCTGCGCGGGCGTTGCCTGCGTTGTTTGGCGATTCCTAGCCATTGCTCGGTATGTGGTCGCATGCAGTGACCTGGAGGTCTCGATGGAGACTTGCCGCCGGAATTACTAAATTAGAATCTTCCGAATAATGATATTTCAAATGAGGCTCCCCCGAGGTTTCTTGACAATGGAAGACGAGGAAACTAGATTGCTCGGCCTCCTACAAGCACATGGCCGACAGTTTTTAAATTCTTTCGATCTCAGTCAACCTCTTCGGAAGAGGCAGAGAGTAGAGGAGTCCTTCGAGGAGCCTGAGAACGAGGATTTCGAAGAATGGACAGGCTTCTGCAACGCAGCTGTCGAATCTTACTCGTCCGATGAAAATAACGACGACGGTTTGTGCTTATCCAGGAGGCTCTTCGTTCACTATAATGGCTACATTGTCAGACACTTATTATGAATACGATGACGGCTTTACCGCCAGCTCCTCTGCTAAGATGCCAGATGTAGTGGTGTTCTCGGACTCGAGGCAGCAGTCTTCAGAACAGTTCTCAAAAGCTCAGAAAAAAGCGTTCATGGCAAGTCTCATGAATCGGCTCCTTCATTTACTCATACAGGAGTGCAACAGTCTTCAAAAGTCACCAAAGTTACGTCTGTAACAGAAGCAGATGCCCCACATCAAGACAAAGACGACACACAAAATGATAACGAGGATATGTAAGTCACCGATATTGTGAAGTTGTTCTCTTACAGATTCTTTCAGCTCGAATGCACAAAACGATGCTCTTCTCCATCGCTTAGTTCACACGAAATTGCTGTCTGGGTCTTTGAACCCTGAGCTCAACTTGACACATGCGCAGCGAGAGAAAGCACTTTCTGGTCGTGTCTTAGAACTTGCAGGGAAAACAAAGCTTGGCAAGGGGGAAGTTGCCGTTCGCGCTGCGGAACGAAATAAGGCTTCCAAGCGAGTGCGAGAAGGACTCCTGAGGAAGAAGAGCGACCGAGAGCAGCAACAGCTGGAGGAGGTTCGTTTCATCACGTCTTGCCACTCAATCATTTCATGAACGGTGGTTTGCTCTTAGGCCAAAAACTTGGGAAACTACCACCCCACTCTTAAAAATTTGTTTGACGCATCATCTGGATTGTCAGACCGTAAAAAACGAGTTAGAGGTCTCGGGATGGGAGTGGGTAAGTTTAGTGGGGGGACACTAAAGCTTAGTAGAGACGAAATCAATTCGGTGACCGGTCGTGGGCTAAGTGGCACAAGCAGGCGCGGGCACAATACAAGTCGTGGTCGAAGATGATGTCAGTGATAGCATTACGATAATTATTCATCGTGCACAACAGACGTATCATACGTTTTAAAACGTTCTGCCATGGAACTAAATTTGGAGAGATTGTATCCCGTCACCGATCTCCTCGATGGAGTGCATGTCTACAGGACGAGACCCGTCACGCAGCCGACTGGAATTGGATTGTCGGTCGTCCGGAAGAGTACTGCTCATCGTCAGAGCGCTCCCTCGCTGCATTGCTTGGTCACTCACTGTGAAAATTGCCTCTCGGGCCTGCTCGAGGAAGTGTGGCTGTGGTGGCTGTTTGACCTGTGCACCGATGGGTGCGATCCTCGTGGATGCTCTTCGGGCTGCCAATCATCCCTTCCACGGTAGCCCCTATCTCGCGGGTGTCTGTCTCGGTGGTCCCGGGTTCTGTATTCCCGGTCTCTGTATTCCTTGTCTCTGTATTCCTTGTCTCTGTATTCCCTGTCCCTATATTCTCTGTCCCTGTGTTCCCCGTCCCGGTAGTAGTCTCTGTGGTCTCTACTCCTGTAGCCTCTGCCCCTGTTTTCATGATAGTAGTCATCGTGGTGCCTGTACGAGGGGTCGGAGTGATAGCTCTGGGACGAGTAGCTCCTGCTACTATAAAAAGATATGAAGGTCAGCTTAGCGAATCTTTCATAGTTCAAGGCAAACCTTGGGCGTTTTGAATTTTGTTGATTAGTATCTATCATAACCACTCGTGGCTCATTGTGACGGTAGGGCCTTTCGCGATCGCCGCCATCGTAGCTATAGTTAATACTTAAGCGAATCTACAGAAACAGATGTGTCACACTGTTGCACCTGTAGAGCTCCCGCCCATACTTATCCTGCACAACAAATGGAGCAGGACGTGTCGGGCGCCCACTGAAATCACCAACTCTTCGATTATCATCAGTGTAGGTCACGGATCAGAATTTTAAACAATAACTTACCTTGCGACTTCATTCCCGTATTCGTCTTGGAATATAACACTCACCCCGCCAGGGATGATGTAATAAATCGGACCGTGGCTACCTGAGTGAGGGGATCGGCCACCTGGATGAATTTCTTCGTTTCGCATCGGACGAATCTGTAAGAAATTGGTACAGTTATCGGAGAAAGTATATCAGCGACAAACCTCATGACCGTCCGCATATATATTAGTAGGGGCCTTCCCCGGATAACTACCTGGAGTGTGTACAGAAGCCTGAAAGGTGACTGTCATCAAACAGACAAAGATATGAAAAGTGTAACACACCACTCTCGCATTAGAGTGAATAGACGTTGGCGTCCTGGGTGCCTCAACAGTATGATCGCTCCCAGAGTCAGATCTACTGATGTGAGTGATAACAGGATCGTCAGGCATGTGCCGACCCGAGACACTGCCGTGACTGAAAGAATCTGCCCGAGTGACCCCATCTCGCGTATGGCGATGGAAAGACGGAGGCTGATCTAGCATCCTTGAGGGGCTATGTATACGCCCTTGCTCAGAAAATGTTTCTGAATATCGACTGTCGCCATCGTCTCGTTCAACGGACGGAACGGCGCTCAATGGACTTTCTGGTCTCGTGGGACGGGCATTGAGAGCTCCCCCTAAGATAGTCTGAGGGTTATCTACCCGAACGTAGCCATCGTAGTATTCTTCTCCGTCAGTAGGCGCACGTGATGGAACAGGAGTGAATACCTGTTTCCGTTGAGCTTTACGTTATTATACATTGGAATGCAGAGCTTACTGGCTCCATTCTCTATCGGGCGGGGTATGATATCAGCCTGAATCCTGTAACAGAATGATACACTTACTTTTCTAGTCAGAGTCTCATGTCTTCTTAGCTGCGGGGGAGGAATAGATTGGTGATAATCTGGTTTTGGAAATCCTTCGCTGTAGCCACTGTAGGCTGCGCGATCGGGACGATGATGATTGGGATTGCGAGAAGAGCCGCCGAATGCCTTGAACATGTTAAATGGCATCGTGACAGATATGTTTGAGAGCTGTGAGGTTAGAACGGCCGATGGCTTGGGAATTTATGGTAACAAAACACGAGGCAGCCGCATGAGTAATTTTGTAATGAGCGTCTTCCGTGCTTCTACGGCATGGCAAGTCCTTATACCGCGAATAGCAGTAATCTTCAGCGATAAAACGGCGGATAGTGAGAAAACCGCGGTACTCCACCCTTTTTGGGTAGTCGACTGTGAGCTTTCGGAAGGATAATTTAGAACGCTGAGCTAATATAACCCACTGCCTAAAATCGTCTGGAGGACAGGAAACAATGTTATTTCCACTAAATAGCATCGTATCGGGAACGACACGCTATGGCCAAAGTCATAGCATCCGGTGAAACAGGTCTACCATCGACAGGAATGACCGGCTAAGCCTAATGCTCTTCCAGGTGCCTTACTTGGGACAAAGCTTGCGCAACCTTGTTAATGGCATCTGCAGCTGATGCAATGGATATCACGTCCATTTGACTTGCGTTTCCGCAGATCTGCGCAAGTCTTTGTGACATAGCATCCAAAGACAGCTTAAGTGCCTGAGCAGGGGAATACGCCGTAACCGCATTGATAGACGGGACGCTTGCATGCTACGTAAGATGATCAGAGTGGCGTAAAGCACTTTTGAGCACCGTACTAACCAGGTGCTCGCTACTCTTAGCTACGTCTTGTGTGCATTTCGAAATATTGATCGTTAGCTGATGATAGATCAGTTTACTTAACGACTGATGATTCAAAAAACAACAGCTACCTTTGACGACTCTGAGGCAGGAAGTAATGGAGAAGACTAGGATTTATGTCAACTGTGATCCGGCCTGGTAAGAGAACTTCTGGCACCTGTGAAGGTATGCTACCCATCACTGCCTTTCCTTTGTCACGAGAGCCCGATGTCCTGGGAGCACTTGACATAGAGTTGCTAGCCCCTGCGCTGGATCCTGCTCCAATTGCAGGTGGAGCTGGGACAAGGCGCTGCCACCCCTCAGTGACATCAGTGACATAGACAGTCCCGCAAATCACACATTCCTGGACCAAACGAACAATTGATATGCGAAAAAAAAGCCATAAGGAATGGCTCACCTTGCGAGGATCTTTGTCCTCTCCGACCTTTGGAGGTCTTACAAGAGGTATACCGTAACACCTAATGTTCGGGCATTCTTCGCCAAGCATCGCCCACCCCTTCAAAAGACGCTTTCCAATTTCTGCGGATGCCTGGTCTGACTGTTGCCGCCTGCGAATAGTCTCTTCAGTGTCGATGGGAGGGGCAAAAGTCGGTGAGCTCAAAGCGCTGGATATCTCTGTGGGAGGGGTAGATGGTCGCGAATTAGACTCATGAGTTGATGATGAATCTGTTGACGATGAATTAGACTGCGTTGATGAACTAGTAGCTGTGGATGAGGCAGGCTGCATCATTGGGACAGGATATTACGGGTTAAGCGGTTCCTTACATTGTTTAGGGCCATTACAATTCGCGCAGTAATGAGTTACTGGCGACCCATTTTTGGGTGACCTCATGAGAGGAACGCCGCGACAGCCAGGTGACGGGCATGTTGCGTCTGTTAATACCTATTCGGAGAGATGATGAGGGATAAAGTGAGATGGGCGGTTGATGGGAGCAAAATAAACAACCTGACCCAGCCTTTTATCATGTATTCTCCAAGTTTACTAGAGACGTCGACGATACTACTAGTGCTCATGTTTGCTACAGGCGGTAAGTTAGTTGTGATAATGATATGGATTCGAGATCAGTGAGCACTGCTGGCAAGCAATAGAGCAAGCCTTCTCTCGACCACGTGATCAGCGGCGCGAAATCCTTATACTTTTCTTCTACTTGTCCACGTCCACACCGATCAAGATCTGCGACTGGTGTCGATTCTCTTCTGCAGCATGAAATGGGGAAGACGTTATCCTTGTGCATTTGCCTTCGCACTCTTGGTTACTCTAAACAACGGAGTTGACGCGCAGGAAACTGCTTGGACCTCTGAGCGCAAGAGGTCATTCAGGTATGTACGCATCTCGCCAATTCTTATTTAATTTCGTGAACAGCGTCTAGTGTGGCCACGAAAGACTTATGGTACCATGGTTTCAACAATTATATGTCCTACGGTGAGCCCCGCCCAGATGATTCATGCATGTCGCCGACGTGTTGGTAGCTTTTCCGCTTGACGAGGTTCGCCTATCTTGAGCTAGTGCTCCTTTCGTGCTCCAATTTTTTCCCAGCTGTCTCCTTTATCTTGCACCGGCAGAGGCCCAGATTGGGAAAATCCGTAAGTGTTATAATTTTGGCCTGCCTGCAGAACTGCTTGACGTACCTACCAGCGCAAATATAGCACATAATGATGTTTCAGGAAACTTCTCCCTAACTCTCATTGACGTTCTAGACACGTTGGTCGTGCTAGGCGATCCTCCAGGGTTCCAAAACGCGGTTCGCAATGTTCTTGACTGGGTGTCGTTCGATGTCAACACAAAACCGCAAGTCTTCGAGACCACTATACGGGTGTTGGGCGGATTGTTATCTGGTCATATATTCGCCAGTCAACCCAACCAACCTTTCTATCTCCCTTGGTATCGCGGTCAGCTTCTGACCATGGCATATGATCTTGGCAATCGACTATTGCCTGCATTTGCCACCCCTACCGGCTTGCCTTTTGCGAGGGTTCGTATCTCCTTATGTCGTTGAAGTCCCCAATATCAACGACCTGCAGGTTAACTTGCGACATGGGGTTCAGCGGGGAGAATCCCTTGAAACTTGTTTGTTGCGAACAATTGAATTCATAGTTTCTGATGTTGAAGCTACTGTAGGTACCGCTGGCGCTGGTTCTTTGATGCTGGAATTAGCTACCCTCAGTCGCCTCACTGGAGATGACCGCTTCGAGAAGGCAGCATATAAAGCTTTTTTCGCATTATGGAACAGGAGATCTGATATCGGTTTGGTCGGCAATACAATTAATATCTGGACTGGGGTGAGCTTAGCCTGCTTACATTCCTTCCTGCTTCTCACCTGATTCTACCAAGATATGGACACTACCGGAAGTGACAGGAATCGGCGCTGGCATCGATTCTTTCTATGAATATGCCTTGAAGTGGTACGTCATGAGTGGTGCGTTCGTCGAATAGTTGGTGTAATGGACGCTTTGACATTGCCCGCGTATCCTGCAGGTGAGGTAGAGTTTCTTGATGTGTGGCATGAAGGTTACGCCGCTGTGATGAGATACTCTCGTTCCCCGGATGGCCACTGGGTCAGCAATGATTATCTTTCTTGTCTTGACGGTTCCCTCAAGTTCTTCTGTAGTATCGCAGTGTCAACATACATACAGGTGATCAAGCGTATACCACAATTGATTCTCTATCCGCTTTTTGGCCTGGTTTGCAAGTCCTGGGTGGTGATGTACAAAATGCCATCAAATCTCACATGACGTGTAAATATCTCCCTTCATACTCACCTGACTTTTTTTCACAACCTTTGGTTTGGGACAGACTGGAACATCTGGAGACGACATTCTGGTCTTCCTGAAGTATGGGACGCTCACTTTATGCAGGCGACATCTTTCCAGTACCCCCTTCGACCAGAGTTCGTCGAATCGACGTGGTACCTCTATAGGGTTGGCCTGTTTCCCCTCTCATATGCTGTAGCTCACCGTCAGACAGGCCACTCGAGACCCATATTATCTAGATGTTGGTGAACGTATTTTAAGAGACCTAATTGCCCGTGCCAAGGTGGATTGTGGATTGACTGGTATCCAAGATTTGCGAACCAATGCCAGAGATGATAGAATGGAGTCGTTTGCGTTGTCAGAAACATTGAAGGTCCGTCATAACAGACTGACAGCAACTTGCGCTGGTTGGTCCTGATCACGATTTATTCAGTATCTGTTCCTTTTGTTCGACGAGGACAACCGCCTACATAAAGATGATTCACACTACGTTTTCACCACCGAAGGGCACATCCTATCACTTCCGAAGGAAGTTCTGAAGCCCATGTCTCGCGTTCGACGAAAGATGCGTGGCGACGAGAATCACCAGTGTCCTCTGTATGAACCTGTACAGGACCCATCGCCTGATGGGACTATTGACGGCCTCATCCGAGGTGTTGGTTCGAGAGCGGACGTGGAGTATGCGAGGTACCTGGTTGGACTGCGACCGCAGCCTCTGGACGAGCACCACTGGTCTCCTGATGGCTGGTGCACCGTCCCGCAAGTTGATTTATATGTAAGGAATATTTATGACATACGACCATCACAGTGACATCCTTCAGCAGTCTTTTGATTTTATCATGTCACCCGGTGGCAAGATGGTATCCGAGGACCCTAATCCCGGTCCCCTCAAACTCAAGGCAGTGGCAGACGGATTTATTCTTCACAATGTGACGGGCATCCGGGCCCACATCGTCAGTCGATTGGATCGTAAGGGTTACGACATCACAAAGCGTGAGGCCTCTTTCCCCCCTGGACAGGGTAGCAAACTCACTAAATTATCCGACTAGTCGGGCCGCACGCTGTCCGCACTGGGCAGATGGTGTATGTCAACGACTCCGCACTTTGGGAGCCTATTCCAGCTCCTGGTCCTACTTACCGTAACCAGGACGTCCAACTTCGTATCTTTCTTGATACGTTTGACCCGGCACTCGTAGCGCAACCAGAGGCCACATACTTCAACGGAGAGACGTACGTCAAGGCGTACACTGCCCAGTTTGGAGGAGACTTGGCTGCACTTAGTGGTTCCACCCCCCTTCGCTTCGGCTACGGGGAGGGCACTGAACTGCAGCGGGACAAAAGCAACCCCCTGGGATGCAAACCTTATGAAACCGACTTCGACGGAAATGCTGTTCTCGTCCATCGTGGCGACTGCACATTCCTGGAGAAGCTTGTCTATGCACGGCGTGCAGGCGCTTCTGGAGTCGTTGTTGTTAGCGACGAGGATGTTCCTATTAATCCTTCCGCCTCGCCGGAAGAGATCGCTGCTGCGGGCGAAATCAGCGATGTCGCTTTGGTGCTGCTGCCGCATACGATTGGCAAATCTGTCACTACCATGGTAGATGCTGCTGGGATGTTTGGCTACGGACATGTCATATTTGCTATTGATCCAGAGGCCCAAGGATGGACAGAAGGAACAATAGATCACACACCAGGAGATATTGGACAAATTCTGTACATCAACGGACACCCTCTACTAAATACCAGGCTAATATTATAAAGTAACAGTCGTTACTTTGCGTACTTTTAATATAGGTCTGGCTAGGGGGAGAAAGTCGCCGATGCACCTGACACTATTCAACAACTTTGAGGCACGTTGGCCAAATAAAACGTTTTCAAGCATAAGTCAGCCTGGGTCTAATCGATCTGTGTAATTCACAACACTAATCATATGTAGGAGCGGGTATCTATTTCCGACATAAGAATATTAATAAATGAGGCGCCCTGGAACTCAATCCAAATTTTGAATAATGGAGTAGGCGGGGGCATCCAGACTCTGGTAGCCCTTCAGGAACATTATCTCGATGATGAAGAGATACTCGATTGTCACTCCGCCTCTCCTCTTGACGAGCTCGCCAGCGGCCTTGGCAGAGCCCCCTGGAAAAGTCGGTAAGCACAGTATAAGATGGTGAGATGACCAGACTCACCGGTGGCGATCAAATCATCTACAACGATCACAGACTGCCCAGGTTGGATCGCGTCTGATTGCATTTCGAAGGTATCCTGTACGGCAACGGTCAGACCGTATTTGACGCCCGAAATATAAGAACTCACGGCACCATACTCTTTCTCGTAGGTCGCGGAGACACACTCGCCCGGTAGCTTCCCCTTTTTGCGCACGGGTACGAAAGCTGCTCCGAGTCGCAATGCGATGATAGGTCCGATGAGGAAGCCTCGGGCGTCTAGGCCGACTACGACATCGACCTTCTTGCGCAGTGATTTCGGTATAGTTTGCGACGTGATGTGATGGACAAAATGGGTTATGAGTGTTTCGAACGCAAGAGGGTCGCGGAGGATGGGGAAAATGTCAAGGAAGTCGATTCCCTGGGATAGAACCATGTTGAGCTTCTCCACGGCGACATTTGGGCAGAGCTTGGACGAACCTTCTTGGGAAAATCGGCATGTCTTTGGACAATGCTTTGCAGGTATTCGACATCTGCCATGGCGTACTTACAATGAAGTAGTCTAGGGTTGCGTCTAGGGTTGCAAGAACAACGTGGTTGTCAACCAAGGAGACAGATTAACGAGAATAACGTTTTATCCGTGGACGAATAGCAGAAGCAACCTGTTTCGAGTTGGTTTTTTAGCGAACTCAAAATTGACCATCTTGAGAAGTAACTTGGACCGTCTTGGCACCGCGAGATACTTACTAACAATACAGCCTTCGTGATACAACTGAAACTCCTCGGCGTTTTATCACCCAAACGAACTGCGGAATAGATTGATGCGGCATGGTGTCATGAGGCTCATAGATTGATCGATACCATTGTAACATAAGTACTTGCGAGTGGTCATATGGAAAGATACAAAGGTAGACGACGAGATGAAAAGAGTTTTAAACAGACTCGAGAATCTCGGGCTCCTTGAAGTCCTTCACTACCCGAGTGCCGGTCTCCTGCAACATTGGCGTTAGTATTTATTCAGCCAAAACAAGCATGGTGATTGCTTACATCCGTTGACTCGCCGTGAAGTTCAAGCAATTTCGAGACATCGAACTTCGGTGCCTTGAGGATTTTCGCCTTGCGGACGTAGACATTTTGTAGAGGGTAAATGTTCCGGGTGTGCTTCTCTATCTCCCGACCAATAGCCTCCGGCACGAACTTCTGCACCAACTCTTTCAAGTCACAGCTCGACGCCTCCCGAGTCATGATCTCGAACATCTTCTTCCGAATTTCACGAATTTGGCTTGTCTGGGCATAGGTGGTCTTGCGCACTTGGTTTGGGCGGCGCTTGGTGAAACCAATAGCGAAGAGGCGGATGAGGTAACCGTCGGTCGTCTTCACGTCGACGTGTGCCTCAATGAGAGTTTGCCACTTGCGAACAAGGGAGCGTAGCTTGTCCGAAGTGAAGTCCATGCCGTGGAAATTCGTCAAACAATTTTTTCCTTGCACCTCATCGATCCGTAGTTTGATCTTACGGAACGATTGTTCCTCATCCTTGTTCAGGTCAGCGAGGGATACTTCGATAATGCGGCCCTTGAGAGAGTCGCTGGCGTTTTCTAGCAAAAAATAAGAACGTGTATTTGGGCGATGGGATCTTGTACGCACTCAAACCCTGTGATCGGTTGACCAGGGTCTTGCCAACATTTCGGACTTCAAATGTGGATGGTGCTTTGATATCGTACCACTCTTGATGAATGATCAGAACATCAGCCAGATTGGACATGGCATATAGAATTCCACTCACCCTTGCGCGAGAAAGGGTCGACGACCTTCTTCTTGATACCCTTCTTACCCTTAGACAACCGTTTGTTCTACGAAGTGGATAAGTAACGGATACGTGTCTCATGACAGTAAGTCAACGCATACTTTTCCTACAGCCATAGTGAATTCGTGCGCTGGCGGTGGGGAAGGGACCGCTAGTCGTTGTCAGCCGGCACTTGGACGAGCTACAGAGTTTAGGTGTATGCGAGGGCCATAGAATTTGGTCTTGTTGGGTTCCCTGAGATGGTGGCTTGAACCTTATTTCAATACTTGTACAGCACGTTCACACGCCACATTCGCTGATGACCGCAACCTTCACCCGACAACAGTTTGACGAGGCATGCCAGGAATTCATCCATACTCATCAGTCCTTTTCTTCTGCGTATGAAGCTAGGCTTGCGGGATGGTCTTGGAAAGAGCATCGTGTACGCCGGTGTTATATGATCCGTTTCTTTTTATGGATCTCGAAATGTACAGACACTGCCAGGCTTCGGATACATGTGGAGGAGTATCACTCTGAACTGGCGACAACCAGTCTCAATTGATGCACCCCTTGACATTGAAGACAGTTTGGACGTTGTGGACGATGGCACGACTGCTCCTCGTGGCTCCCGCGAGTCATTAATATGTCAACAGTATGTTGTGTTATCGGCGACTTTCCGTGTACCGGCATTCTATTTTTCCATCCATGGTTCGAGTACGTGTGGTTAGGAGATGCTCATGAATGGCATGCACTCAACTGATAGCGCAGGCGGTTCTCCACTACAGCTGACCGATATCATGAAAACATCTCTTCTCCGTGAGGATGTGCACGAAGGAACCGTCGCTACAACATTTGCTGTATCCCACCCGGCAATGAACTTCCCCCTCCTATCGCAAGGAGAACATCCGACGCTAGGCACGCCTTGTTGGTACTTCCACCCATGCGAAACTGCCAGTACAGTTCAGGAGATCCTCAAGGAATCAGAGGAAAATGGCAGGAGACCATTGAGATGGATAGAGGCTTGGTTCACGGTATTGAGCACAGTCGTGGGCGTGTAGTATGTAATGTTCACGGTATTTTAGGATACGTTCTCAAGCATCGGGATTTGTATGGAAGGCGTTTGGACTAAACGTTGGAGCTTCTATAGACTTTGGTTACTCACATGTGACGAGATCAACTATATGTAATCCCCCGGATCTTGCGTGCAGGGTAGGTACTTATATGTGGAGGAGGCGACAGGCCGTCGGAGTCGTTGTTGGGCCTTGTCTTGTGTTTGTCACCCACGTCGAGCTCAAAGGTCAGATCACTTGTCTCAAACTCCCACCGCTCGCTTATTCAGTTACTACTTGAGACGTCGTACGATTGCATACTGCTCGATTCCACATCATAATCTCTTGTCAAATAAAAGCCAGCCCATCATGATGCTTGCAGCGCGTCTTACGTCCGTATCTAAATCATCCCGCCCTAATATCTCATCCTTTGCACGCAAAATGGTATGTCTTCTTATTTATGATTAACAGCAGAGCTCATATTATTCCAGTCCTCTCATGAAGCTGTCATTGTTGCTGCATCGCGTACGCCTGTCGGATCTCTATACGGATCACTCAAGACTCTGACCGCTCCCCAACTTGGTGCTGTTGCCCTCAAGCATGCTTTCGAACAATCGAAAGTTGATCCCGCAGTTGTCGAGGAGATCTACTTCGGCAATGTCGTTCAGGCTGGTGTCGGTCAATCACCCGCACGTCAAGTAGCACTTGCTGCCGGCATGAAATCCGCATCTGACGCTACAACCATCAACAAAGTTTGTGCTAGTGGTATGAAAACAATTATGCTTGCTGCCCAGAGCATAGAATGTGGTTACAAGAACGTGGTTGCGGCTGGTGGTATGGAGAGCATGAGCAACGCTCCGTAAGTGAAGAATCCTCAGTTGTCCGTTTACTTGTGAGATTGACGTAACCTCAAGTTTCCTGCTCCCCCGCACGAACCCTTTGTTCGGCAAATTCGAGACCAAGGACTCTGTTGAGAATGACGGTCTCTGGGATGTTTACAACAACTTTGCCATGGGTAATTGCGGTGAGATCTCTGCAGAGAAGTACGACATTAGCCGAGCCTCACTTGATGAGCACGCAATCGAGTCGTACAAACGTGCTGGTCGTGCATGGAAAGAGGGTGTCTTCAATGCTGAGATAGCGCCTGTCACGATCAAGGGCAAGAAGGGCGACACCGTTATTAAAGAAGATGAGGAGTATAAGAAAGTCGTTTTCGAGAAGGTGCCCTCCCTGAAGTCGGCCTTCAAAGCAGGCGGTCGGATCACCGCTGCCAACTCCTCAAACCTCAATGATGGTGCCTCTGCCCTGATATTGATGTCAGCAGAGAAAGCAAAGGAGCTTGGCGTGAAACCGCTCGCCAAAGTAATCTGTGAGTTCGGGACTATTACGTGATTGTACCTTGTCTGACGTATTATTTTCCGCAGCGTATGCGGATGCGGGTGTTGAGCCCATCGACTTCCCCATGGCTCCTACTGTTGCTCTCCCAGAAGCACTAAAGAGAGCAAACTTGACTGTGGATGATATTGCACGTTTCGAGATCAACGAAGCTTTCTCGGTCGTTGTCCGTATCGCTGAAAAGCTCCTCCAAATTGATCCTGCAAAAGTTAATGTTGAGGGGCAAGTCTTGTGACTTCACGCAGACATTACATATACTAACATGATTTGACAGTGGTGCTGTTGCACTTGGTCACGCGATTGGAAGCTCGGGTGCGCGCATTGTGGTGTCCCTAGTTCACGCCCTAAAATCTGGGGAGTATGGTGCAGCAGGCATCTGCAACGGGGTGAGTAACTTACAATTCTAGATGTGTTATGTTGCTCACACGGTACCTTTCTAGGGTGGGGCTGCCTCAGCCATCGTTATTCAAAAACTATAGTTGTTGTTTGCTTTACTTGTTTCTGGACAATCGTACGAACTTTCATACCATATACTCATATGTACTATATTTTTTCTCTCAATAGAATACATCAAAGTCCTTTCCTAGCTGCGTTCGTGAGAGGCTCTTGGACAAATTGGTCTCGGCGGCTTACCGTGAGTCCGTTCTTGTCTTGTCGGGTCACCTATCTCCCGCTTGCCTCATGGAAACTGTTGGCTTGCTTATCTGTCCTTATTGCAGGACTGGTCATTGGTGCCACTGTCTTTTTACTTATCTTGCAGGCACGTCATTGACACCAAGCCATCGCGGATGCTTTTCTTCCTGAGAGATGCTCGAGAGGATAAGAAGTCAATGTAACGTTTTTGCACCTTGATCACGCGCTAGTGCCATGTCTTCCGAAACTAATGCAGCGAAGAATCCAGACGAAGTTGAGAAGAGCTCGCAGCTTCACGAGAACTACATTGAGAAGCTCGGGCCGGACTCAATCAATACTTCTGACGGTGATGAGGCTCTCCAGCTCGTCGGCACGCAAGCAACGGCGCATTTCAGTGAAGAGTATAACCGCAAGCTCAGGCGCAAGCTGGTACCCTTGTTTCATGCACTTCTGTGGCTTTGGTCTGACAGTCAACGGATCTACAGGACCTTGTTATCCCTACTATTTCAGCTGCTGTATACTTCAGCCAATATCTGTTCGTCATTTGATGTACGCAATATTGCCCCCCTCATGCTCACCTTGAACAGGGACAAGACCTCACTGAACTATGCGAGGCGAGTACTCTTCGTTGTGTTGTGGGTTGACTTAATATTGACAATGTTGCAGTATCATGGGCTTCCCAATTGTGGGCCAGGCGAGTTATGATTTTTACTACATCTAGCGAATTTTAACATGAATCTAGAACTACAACTTGGTGTCCATGGCCTTCTACCTGGGTGAGATTCTCGATTATGCAGACCGACATAAACCTATATGAACTGCTCAACTACAGGTTACCTCTTTTGGGAGTTCCCGACTGTCTATATCTCACAGAAACTTCGCTTAGCCAAGTATCTTGGTAAGATATATACATCAACGAACCCCATAGCGTCGGCTGACGCTTAGTAGGCTGCAACATTGTTGTATGGGGAATACTCCTCATGTTGCATGCCTCGACGGACAACTTCGGAGCCTTCTTTGCTCTCAGATTCCTCCTGGGTAAGTCTCTTTGCATATTATAGAGACAAAACAAAAACTCGAGATGGTCAGGAATGTGCGAGTCTTGCGTCGCACCGTGTCTCATTCTCATCATCTCGATGTTCTACAAGAAGGATGAGCAGGTGCGCAAGAATTCCTGTGTGAAATATAGCAGCTTTTGACTAACAGCGCACAAAGGCTCAACGTATCTCGTGGTTCTACATCATGGTACGGTTGTCTATAATCCAGAATTTGCACTGCCCCTGACTTCCAAGTTTTAGAATGGCCTAACCCAAGTGTTTGGTGGATTCGTAGCATACGTGAGTGGTGCTCACTGCACTATGGAATGCGAGATGAATGATGTATCCTCTTACAGGGCGTCTCGTTCTATAGCGGCAAGGCTATACCGGCCTATAAGATTATCTATATATTACTTGGTGCACTTGCGATCGTAGTTGGCATAGTCGTCTTGATCTGGTTACCAGATTCCCCCGTCAATGCTTCCATGCTGACGAAGGAGGAGCGGATTGCCGCACTTGAACGTGTCCGAAACGATCAAGGAGGTACGGAGAACAAGAAATTCAAGATGGACCAAGTCATCGATGCCCTCACGGACGTCCGCACATGGCTCGTTGTTTTGTCGACGATATTGAGTAAACCTTCAATCTGGGTTTGCATAATAGGTGGCTGATGTGGATTGCATAGCGAGTATCCCCAATGGAGCTTTAAGTAACTGTAAGTCGCATCAACAGACATCGGCCCAGTAGAAATTAACGTCCTCGTTGCAGTCAGTAACATCATTATTAAAAGCTTCGGATATTCGTGGGTGGACCGTGTGCTCTTCGCTTCTCACTAATATGTGTTTCTGCTAGATCAAAGCAAACCCTGATCCTCGGCACTCCTGCGGGAATTGTTGGTTCCGCGATGGTGATTTTCTGCGGATGGTATTCCGACAAGAAGGTAGAACACCCAACATTTTTCTCAGAGGTATCCTCAACCATCTGTAGGGCGAGCGGATGATACCCATCGTGTTTGCATTGGTTCCTACCATTGTCGGTTCAGGTATGCAGTTCGTAAATTTTACAAGGGAACGTCGGTTGAATGCAAGAGATAGCCATCCTTATTGGCTTGAGCGGATCCTCAAACAAGGGTGTTCTTCTCTTTGGTTTGTCCAGTTATCACCATATTTTTTCCCATTAAATCTGAATCGCGCGGTAGGGACATACCTTCTTGGTACCTTTGGCAGTGCTCTCTCCACGATCTACGCATACAACGCAAGTAACACGAGTGGCCACACCAAGAAGGTACGGTTGATGTTGGTCGTCCTTTTGCTCTGTTCATTTATGCGGTGCTTAGGTGACGATAAATGCAATGACGATGGCCACTTTCAGCATCGGCAATATTATCGGGACTGAGATATTCCAGCCTAAAGATGCGCCAGCCTATATTCCGGGAAAGACTGCGATCATGGTCTTGTTGATTGTACAACTGCTCATCTCGTTTTTACTACGCCAAATCAACGTCCGCTTGAACAAGAAGCGGAAAGCCCAGCTAGAGGAAGAAAAAGCGCGCCGGGGTTGGACTGAGGATGATGTGCAACGAGAGAGGGAGCGTCACGCATTTGCTGACCTCACTGATAGACAGAACATTTTCTTCGTATATGTATGTTAAGAGGACGAGTGCATCACTCTATCAATGTATTTGGACAGTTTGACCGTCTGAAGATTATGAAGGAGACAGAAACTTATGTGAAGTAAGTACAAAAACTCTCGCAAAGCTGGCACCGTCAAATATGCTAATTATGTTGTATGAGCGGTTTCACAGCAATCGATGCTAGATCGATGATGATAGTAAGGCATACATTAACATGCTTTTCAGACTGTGATAATGTCAGTATGTACACGACGGTCACAGATAGCACGAACCTAGTGAATGTTCCCAGTATTCCCTAATGGCATGAGGTGCATCATCAGCGAGCATATCTTCAGGTTCCCATGAATCTTCATCGGTACTATATCCCTCCCAGTGCACTAAAAATTCTCTTTCCCCATCCACTCCTCGGTGGGATCGAATCGAGTCCACGACAAACTTCTCGATGTACTCGACTTCTGCCTCCTCTTGGCATTTGATACGAAGCGATTGCCGTGCAGGAAGTGTCCACGCCTTGGGAAGACGCATCTTTGCAAGTGTGCCGGATGGGTGAAAGGGGCGACGAGATGGTGTGGCGAGCTTTCTGACGTATTTATCAACCTCGCATAAGATGTGCTCGACATCGCACAGCATGATAGGACGAGCCCGGGGCCCTAAGCCATTGAACTTCAGGTTCAGGCGTGAGAAATGCTCGGCCTGCGTGAGTTGCATCCATCGGATTATGTCAACCTCGCACGCGTGAGGAATTTGACCTTTGAAGCAGCGTTGAAGGCCGCGACGCGAACCCACCCCAACGACCACAAAATCGTAGTCCGAGAAGTTCAGAACGCTTGAATAGGAAAGGTTTAGCACCAGCTGATACCCAGTGAAATCTCCCATGCTTTTAAAAGTACACAGCCAGTCAAAGACGTCCGCGACGTACTCAGCCTTTTCGCATTGTGTGGGCAGCTCTTGCATCAAGACCTCCACGAGAGCCAAATGGTTCATGAAGTTTTCCACGAAACCTAGATTGGGTGCAGGCTTTTGATAAGCTCCCGTATATATCGCGACCTTGTCATCGTACAAACGACGCAAGACACGTTCGTAATTGGCTCGCTCATAGGTCGACCAAGTAAGAGGTTTGATGGCGCCTCGCAGTGTCTCGTAAGTATTGATGCTCGTAAAAGTGCTGAAAAGCAGAATTCGAAATACAAGTTCGGTGGGATCTTGAGAACCTTTTTCGATAACTTCCGCGATGATGTATTGGCTCACTCGGTCCAAAACCCGGTATGTGTTGCAGAATGGATAGATTTGCAAAATGGGATCGTCAGTCCATCTGCTAAAAGTATTCAGACATCGGATCAGGGTAAAATAGGTGCATACGTACGGGGCGGGGAGGCCTTTGAGACGCTTTTCGGTTATGGCATGCCTTTCTGCCGCGAAACGCCAAAACGTATCGAACACAGGTGTTGGTTCGAAAGTCTGACCTCGTACAGTGACCGTCAAAGGTGGTGACAGCGCATCTGACTTATGAAGTTTTGAGCGTTTGGGACATTTGTCTGAGGCATCTTTTTCTGCTGGTCGTTTCCGGCTGGAACCCATAGTCGAACGAAGAACGCCTGTAGGGTAGTCTTCATGAATGGGCTTGCCAATTTGAAACAAAAAAAAACATGAAGAACAGACATACCTGAGACTCGAATTAAAGCAAACAGCGGTGGCGACTTGGCAACAGGCCGTCTGACAACTTGAAGAGAACCAAGTGAATACCGTACATAATTTAATGGCAGATCGCCGCGTCGGAGTCGCGCCTGGACCGAACGCGTCTCAATTGATTTTAGTCGGGTTGGTCCCTATAGCATTAATGGGGTTCGCGATCGCCGGGGCTTGTACGTAAGCAATTTGATTTGTCGAAGTTAGTACCTAAGGCCTGTCATAGGTATAGGCCATCTAGCAAGTACAATGGATAAATCATTAAAGGATGATTATATCCGAGCGTACCTCCACCGTCAGAAAGCCCATGTACATTCCTATTCTTCTCAGGGGCTCGAACTTCGTCACCTGTCAACAACATTCAACGAGACACCCGCAAGGACACCGTCGAAAAAGCTGAACTTTGGGTTCGACACGCCTATACTTGTCCCCCGCGTGACAGAGCTCATTGATAGTACGGACAAATGCTCAGTCGTAGAGCTCCCCGCCAAGGCAACGCAAAGGACCCGAAAGACTCAAAAGGCACTTGATAATGAAACCTCGGGAAAGAAAAACAAAGGCACAGCGCGTGCTTCGCCCGGCACCACTCAACGTGATCCGTCCAAGCGGAAACGTAAGAAGGCTGAAGTCCTGTCTGGTTCTGACGAAGAACGTGAGGCTAGTGAGTTCTTGATGCTGTCCTCATGAGTCTATCTTCCCTCTGAACCTTTATGCAAAGGACTAAGCGAGCGTCGAGAACGGAAACGCGTAAAGCGCGATATCGTGAAACCAGACGCCAATATTGCAGTGCATAGCTCTCCAGCAAGTGGAAAAAAATATAAGAAGGCTGTTCGTAAAAAGGGAAAGAAACACTCGGGCATAGGGTTTGCACTTTTGCATGGATTCTCAGCGACCAATGTTGGTAAAAACCGCCTCACGGTGAGTACTCCCAACGTAGTCTATTTTACGCCTGGGTTTTACCATAACCTCAGTTAAAACCGTTGGCATCTCTTGGAGTGTTCAATAAGGGTAAATCATCCACTAAGACTAAGGTACACAACGCCAAACAGCCAGGTAAGATAAAAATGTTCTCTTGAGGTCACTGATCATAATCTATGGATTCCAGTCCAGAAGTTATTTTCAGAATCGGCGTTTCTCGAGAAGACGACCAAGCAGCACGAGTCTCTGGTGGATGAGGCAATTATGCCCGACTCTTCCTCCCAACCACCCTCTCCGTCTCCGAGGAAGATCAAGATCACGAATTACCGCAAAGACAAGAACTCGACTCGTTCTACAAGCCGCCATTCTGCGGTTCCGGACCTTCCTAGAGGAAGCCCAGCCGTGTCGGAGACATGGGATATCGAGCTTCAAAGCCAATGTCCATCTTCAGACGGCTTCCGTCCTCGGTCAGACATCCACACAGCTGGGTCGCTAGTACTCGACCCCCGTATGGCCAGTTGGCACGATCAGGAGATGTTGTCTAAGGGCCAGGCGAAATGCTCTTCCCTCATAATAACTCCAGTGAAGGAAATGTCTCATGACTGTATGCCCAACCAAATCTTGTCATCAGCTCCAACGTCTGCTATCGCAACCATCTACGATCTTGACGGCGACTTGTCTATTCACCCCTCTCATTCTGCATCCCAGGTTGGCCTCAAACGACTTGATCGTCTAAATTCTCCTGTCGAGCCTCTCACTTCCAAGTATTTTGCTGTACATGCCAATCATGACACGGAGCGTGTATCACCGACGTTCGATCAGCCGCACTCCGTAGGTAATTCTCCTGGTGTGATATCAGACTGCAATCTGCGCAATGTATATCCCCTCTCTGTTACCCATCCGCATGACTCAAGCACAATGCGCCGCGCCGCTCCTTTGAACGCCATTGTCGACAGCAGCCCTCTACACGTTCACGGTATCCCCGAGCAGCATTCCCTTCCCTTAGCTGACGACATTATCCCCACTTACCAAGGTTACTCTGCCGCACAGTCTAGTTGGTCAAACGAGGACGTTATTTCGGCGTGGTACGCCACACACGAATGCACGACCGTCCTTTCTGAAGGCGACTCTAACTATTATAGCCTTCAAGACCATGACTTAGTGATTCTGGAACCTCCACATCTTGTCGATGAGCCCAGTTACTACCTTCCAGTGCAGGACTACTCAAGCGACGGGCTGCACGACATCTCGGTGGATGACATGGTCGTGCTTGACGAGGCATTCGAAGCTCCCGAGCAACTCATCGAGTATACAGAGGTGGACGACTACGAATACTCAGACGTCGTACTCGGACAATCCTCATTATGTTACGGTTCTTTCTCTTCGCCCTCCCGCTCTCACGCGACAGCCGGGGCATACGACAACACTTTCTGCTCGCTACGCCCGTTCTTGCAAGGTAGGGCGATGCTACTTGGCATCCCCCCGTACGTTCCACCAGCACAGGACTTTGAACAGACGAAAATTGGGAGTGGTTTGCTGTCAGCTGAAGTGGATGTTGCAAAACATTTGAAAGATCATTGGCGGCCACATAGATTATGATGGTTTCAAACCAGCTTCTCTCACTATACTTCTCGAGCAGTTTTTTTTTTCATTTGTATCTCAACTGGTTATGTAATGTGTCACGAACGCGAAATGTAACGCGTGACCGCGAAAAATAAAACTCCGCTGCTCACGTACAAACGTTTGGCGCTGTGAAGTCTCCTGTCACTTTCCTTCACCCCAAAAAGAGTGCGTGACTTCATTGAAACGCGTAGCGGATCAAAATACGGGTTCGAAAGAAAATAGCAAAATGGAAGGCGCGTCGGTGAGTCCAGGAATTCTTTTGTCCTTCAGTATTGTCATTTAGCCCCTCTTCGTTGCGATTCGCATGTGACCAAGTCTGCACCTGGAATTTTTTATCGAGCCGGAACCACAAGAACTACACGCAGTTCCGTCTTCTGAGTCTACACGCGGCACCCCAATAATCAAGGCTGAGCCAAGTGATTCGAAACCTGTTGTGAGCGCCGTATCGAGTAATATAAAGAGGAGACTGCTGAACTCAAAGAGAAGAAGGTTGACGCTGGGTCATGGATGCAAAGTACGAATGCGGATTTCCTTCGTGTGGCAATGTACTCATCTGAACTTCACAGCGATCGACAAACAGCTCAAGCAGCTTCGTGCCTTTCTCAACGAGTATCAGCAACACAAGGCGGCACTGGAGAATGGTGAGACATTTACATCGAAGTTGACAAGGCCCAGAGCGCGGGCGAGAAACGAAAGGACACTCGCGGGGGGAATCTGGGTCACCTAAGCGTCACAGGAGCTTTGGGGACGACGACGACGATGATTTTGAGATGGATGACATTGACGACGGCATCAATGTAAACGATGACTATGAAGGATCGGACGAAGAGCAGGGATCTGACGAAGGAAGACGACGAAGAGGAAAAGAAGACGTCGAGGAGGAACAGGATACACAGGACGAGCTAGAAGAGGAGGTTACGGCCGAGGTTCTGCAGGCGAAGATCGGCGACGCCAAAGAAGCTATCAAAGTTGGACGCGGACAACTTAATGACGCTCGCAAGGCACGGAAGGATGCCATAGATGCCCTCAGCAACCTCAAGAAAAAAGAGATGAAAGCGCAACGTGACAAGAACACATTTTGTTCTCTGAAGCGTTCAGAGGTTTGTCTCACTGACATCACCAAGTTCTCCCGCGACGTTTTAAAGAGGAGATTTCCGCGTTGGCCTGAATTGACTTCGTGTCTTAGAAGAATTAGCTTAATATGTACAATGCAAACGCCGCCGCTGAGGAGCAAAACCCAAATTCTTTCGATCCGACCAAAAATCTGCGCAGTAAGCTTCCATCTCACCCCGAAAACACTAATTCAAGATCGTTCACTCAGATTATGATGAGATTGACCTTCCCATGTTCACCTGTTCATCACGGGACAAGGTAAGGGTGATGGGGACCCATCATGTTTCTCCAACAATGAAGATACTGGAATTCCTGCTCTACGGCAATGGTGCTACCAACTGACCATCAGTAGCCGATCACGAGCTGAAAACAGTTTTACACTCACTTGAAGACATTTGCGAACTCGGTGTAGGTTTGTATTGATGGCATTGGCGATGTGACTATTGCAGACCCTGAAACCCTTCGTGAAAAATGGGAGTCAACACCGCAGGGTGGTCAGGAGATGTATGATGATAGTGACGGTGGAGACAATTGGCACAGCTCGCCTGATCCCCTGAGCGTCTATCCCTTCCAAACATTTCCAGGCATGATGTCGAAGGAACCCATGGATGCTAGACTCTTCACCATAACTCATCCCTAAAAGTGGATGCTCGTGGCGAACCCATAGGAGTGACTCCCTGGCTTGTGAAAGTGAGTTAGTTTGTATGTTCTATGCATCTCATATATATCATTGGAATTCGGTGAACATGTGGAGGAATGCGTCTTAGATTTGCAAGACTTGTTCCGTGATGGTCTTGAAGATAAATGTCAAGTGGGCGCAGCCAATGGTAAGTATTGCCCACTGTCGACTTATCCCATCTGATGTCATCTGGATAGGCTGCCGAGGGTGCGGTTCAATACGTCGACGAGTTTGCAGTGTCCGTGCACTGGGCGACCTATCGAGCCAGTGAGTGTCCTAGTCCACATGCGCGTTCTCGCTGATCACGCCCAATATTAGCACCTCGTCGTCTCGGGTCTTGGTGTCGGGATCTGAATGTCGAACTCCTAACGCCATTCACTCGCAACATTGCTTCTTCTTGGTCAACGCCTTCGAGTGCGATCTATTCGCCTCACTTTCGACCGCCATCACGGCATGCGTCAATACGCTACTAGCAAATGTAGAGGCCAGTGCAGCCGCAGGACTGAAGGACCACATACATGCACAAAGTTCTCTTCCGCAAGGGGAGGCGCGTCTCGCTTTAGGGCGTACCATGGAGGTCGTAAAGGAAGCGCTCGGAAAGGAGCAGAAGAAAATATCCCGTTGCCTCTCGCCTCATGTTCAAACCGAAGTGGCTGACGGCTACCATCTCGCCTTGAAAGAACGAGGCAAAGGAAGTGTCACACGACAGAAGGTTTGTTCGTTGTATCACTTCAGGATTTCTGCTGACTGAATGCAGGTTGTGTTCCATAACTGCGTTGATACGTGTAAGCACGACATTTTCGATGGCGGGGCGGATGTTCTGATGAGTCGGCTGTCGGCTGCGGTCGAGACCATCTGGAAGGCTCTTAACGACTTGCGGAAAAGGTCAGGCTCTTCGGTTTTATCTTGGCACTAGCATCGTTTATCCTCTCCTGTAGACTGAGGTGTCACTTGCCGTCCTCTAGGAAGGCACCCGAGATGACCCTGGTCAAGTTCGCGCTTGATTGCAAATCATCCGGTCTGTGTCCAAGATGTCAGATCAGTTGGCTATGCGATCAAAGGCAGTGGAGAGGGTGTCTACGGCCTCCTAATGGAATGTCGTCACTCCTTTGTCAAATTTTACAGCATTCCGTCACTCTCTTGTGCAAAGAATTCTAGTGCTTTCGTTAACGGTATATTATCAGCTGTTTCAGTTCTGTGATGGACATTCCTATTGTACAGCCAACTAGCACATCATTGCTTCTATTTGTGGAACGATCATTGTTAGACTTCATTGTACGCAAGTTTGTAATGTACAGATCTTTGAGCAGGATGCTACATAATACAACAACAGTACCTGAATCAATAGCGAACGATCGGCCGTCCGCGAGTATCCACTTCTCTTCCGTGTCCGTCGACATAACCCCTCGAGCTCGTCGACCCAAACAAACAGGGGCCCGTGCGGGTGGAGTGATTCCTGTGTCCTCCATCTCTCATACCAGTGTGAGAGTTGCGACGCCTATGCGTCTGATTTCCGTAGGAACTGTAGTGCGATGGCTCCATTCCAAAGAACTGGCGAACGCGGTCACCCACTGATGGCGTCCGATCTCTGTAATATTCACCATTGCTCGCATGATAATGGGAAGGGCGAGAGCGCGAGCGCGAAGTGTGCCTGTGCGACGTTGAATGACTGCGATGGTGTCCATCATGGTGGCTAGGTTGCTAATGATAACAATACGACATCAGCTGCCAGACTGAAACAAAGCGCAATGGAGACTTACGACATATACAGGAGCAGTCGTTGCGTATGTGACTGGGTAGGTGTTAGTTGTATTGTATCCATGCCCATGTCCATGGCTGTGGCTACTGTGTCTGGGTCTGCTCTGGCTCGTATGTCTGCTATGACTCCTGCTGCGGTGACTCGAGTCAGGCACAGTTAGGAATTGAGCCTGTGGCTGGGAGACTACGTTGGAGTACCCATATGCTGGGCTAGATGGGTAGGCATGCCCAATAGAAGAAGCCCGCCTCAGGGGCGTCCCGTAGTTATAACCACCGTGACCGTGGTGCGCATGCGAAGCAGTGTTGTAGACAACAGGTTGTTGGGTACTGTAGGGAGAACGGGAAGATGGGAAGACGTATTGTTGAGACATCGTCCGGCGATGGTTTACTGGTTAGTTGTCGGTTAGTGGTTGTGAGAGGGTCAAGCGGGGAACACGGCGATGTGGTAGTTGCGTTAGTTTATAGTTGGGAGAGTGTGGAGCACGGTATGATGGTTGCGCAAGATAAACAATACCAGTGGGCGCGGTGCGGGGGTAGATAAGGGTGAGGGTGGGTGGGGTGGTGAATGTGGAGATAAAAATCAGATGATATTTTGATCTTATAGGCGTGTGATTACAAATTAGCACTTGCGTCACAGGTCACCGCTGGAGTCGGTAATAATGCACTGCCCCGTTGGAGTCAGTAAGACTTGGAGCGCACCAAAGTAGGAGAGGAGTATAATGACTAGGCTTGGGTTCAAATTATCGCATTTTTATACTCGAAAAGAATAACCAACCTGTCACAATGCGATGCACATGAGCGCCAGAGGACAAGCAGCAGTAACCCAGGGTAGCCTTGTAAAATATCAAACAATGATTGACATGGCAGGCCTCGATGTTGCTGTGTGTCATACTTTAGTCGCTGCTGTTATCATACTAAGCACATCAGAATCACTCCTAACGTACGCGCGCGCCGAAAACGCACAGCTCGTCAGGTTCCCACTGCAAGTATATTTCAAGGATCGCCTGGTGATACAGCAAGTTGTCGAACCTAAAATTGCGTTTGAGTTGCACCACCTGGCGAAAATGTGGAGACCAGTCGGGGTCATGTACTTTTCATTACCGATGCGTAGCCATACTCGCGACCCCTTCCCCCGCACGTCAGTACGCTACATACTAGCCAACTCGGATATGCTCATTGCAACCTGTGCAGGATTACCTCACGTCGTGGGCATCTTCGAAGAAGCGGCGCGAAGTAAACCTCAGTATGTTTTGTGTTCTTGTGATTGGATGGATAAGACCAAGCGGCAATACCTGAGCTTCGCGATGTCAGACTCGATAATCGGAATTCCACGCCTCTAATTCCTAAGCACGTGGGACCTTAGGGGTGGCGTATACCAGGTGATGAAGGGTCAGTCCATGGGCATGAGGCTCTTAAAATGACAGTCTAGCGCGACAATCATGATCCCGCCGTAGATGAAATGGTGGTCTGATGATGATTAACGCTGGAACGTGGATCACGGGATCAAACCTTCCTTGGAACTGACGGGGTCCATTCCGTTGTCGGTTAGTGCCCGCGAAGGCGGCAGATCTCATTGGTGGATCTCTGGCTTATGAAAAATGCATCAACATTAGGCTCTGACCGAAAGAATTTAGATTTGTTCAACAGTTGAACTTACTCGGTCGAACTCTTATTGGATCAAGGTGGCAGAACTATTTAAGGTCACTGTCTAGAACTTTGGGACACGGTTGTCTCAAACTTTCGTGTATCAACACAGGATGCGATATTTGGATAACGATGTACACTCCTATTCCATATCAGCAAAATCACCTTCGTCCAAATCATGTGGCTGATATGTTGCTATTAGCTGGAATAGGCTGGACAGCATGATCTGACCCACCTCTTTCGGCTCTTCGTCTTCACCATATTGCATAGTAAAATCAATATGACTGACGACCGTCTCAAGTGAGTCCGTAGATGTTAGATCTAGCGGCAAGAACGACACTAGAGGATGATCTTCGATCTACGCAGGCGGTCAGTGGGAACATAGCCCCAAGCTGTGACATACAAGCTGTACGATGGCCCGGTTAAGGTCGTGAAACCTATTGTTGTCGCGTTGCTGATCCCTCCCATCCCTCGCAGATACAAGTAGCATTGGATCTGGGTCGAGATACCGAGCGATATCGCGTTTTCCACGTTTTCCATTTCTAGGTTCGAACGTGTCTGACGATGACGAACCAGAGACAAGATCCATTTTAGACATGATATTTATCCAGGGTACTTCCAGATTAACCATGGCGGACATAGCGGACAGTACACCACTAGACTGACGTCAAGGGTTGATGAGAAGGCAATGATGGACTGATGCAAACCTGAAGAATTTGTATCGATCTTCCATGAATTGGGATTCCAAGAGGTACGCAGCACAAGTCCGTATACCTATTCGCTGCAAGTTCTGCACGAGGAGCGGGAGGAACGGATGATGTGTGTAGAGCTCGATTTGACCTTGGAACAATGAATATATGCGCAGTCATTTACGTACGATCATACCTGGACAGTCGATTATCAAGTAGTCGTTGTCATAACCACCGAGTTCTTCCTCAAGCCAATCCATATTTTGCAACAAGTACCTTCAAACGCAGAGTGACGCTATCAGCATGATTTTTCGGGGCACTATCGCGTGTGTGCACTCACTCACTCAAAGCAATACACAAGACCGCCATTTGGACCCATATTCATCTCACCCATGACGTCGTCCAGCGTCACAAGCTCCCGGATGTCGATGGCAGGTAAATACTCGAAAGCATCACCAGTCGCAGCGGGATCAAGATTGACTATATGGGCCGTGCGTTTAGAGACACGAAGATGGGTAGCAAACGCGGTCGAGAAAGTGGACTTGCCCGCACCAGCAGGCCCGGTGACAAGAACAGCATAGCGCATCGTAGACGAGGTACAAGATGTGATTTGAAACTCCGATCGCCCTCCTGTCGGAAACCAAGTAACTGCAAGTACAAGTACTTCATTCTACAGCAATGTCTCGTCCGCCATTATTCCCCGATCAATCCGCAGCTGGCATCGCCGTCGACCCACGCACCCTCGAGCGTGTCATACCCGAGTCAAAGAGATTAGATGGAACGTACGTCTGCCTCCTAGTATGCACTGATCAGTTATATCTACTGCACTACTAGTGTGCGCAAGCAGCTTAAGATCAGGCCGGGATTCACACCCCAGGAAGATGTATCTCGCTTCCGCGGATCGCGCCAGCAGGCTATGGATGCCACTGCCCTTCCAAAGGGTCACATACTCGGTTGGGTCGCGCCGTCTGCTGCTGCGCAACCTAAAGGGAAGGCCGCTACGCCACCGCCCAATAAGAACGCGAAAAAGCGCGCCAATGCACGAGCTAAGAAAACCGCAGAGAAGGCAGCTGTTATCAAAGATAACTGGGATGATGATGAAGAGGGGGAGGACGAAGCGGCAGCTGATGTGAAAGAGGCCGCTGAGGAGGGAAGCTCGAAGACCAGTAGCACGAATGATGCAACAACGGGATCGCACACGACAGACAAGGCTGTGGCACCAGATTCAATCTCAAGTCCATCATCGACACCGCCAGCAGACCAGAGCGCTGTTGAGCTTTCGGGAGAACTTGAGAAACTACAAGTCAGATGATTCTGTTCTTTGATTTGGGAAGTCTCTGGGGGTTACTTGGGAGTACAGGCTGAAACGAGTGGCAGGTGACAGATAACAACTAATAGGTGTTACGATTATGGCCAGCATAAAATTAGCATCCTGATATGTACAAAAATCTATGCGGCTGTTCCTTCTCTAGATGTGATTGTAGACGGTATAGATGGATGTGGATGGAAGATAGTGACTTATCTGCAGTTCCGTGTGAGGGTCGATAAGGATGGTGTAAGGCCTGTGGCATGGAGCTGTGTGCTATGACATCCCAGCCGCAACTTCACCATCTCACGGAGGCAGTCTTTCTTTCAGCACAGCAAGGGGTGGCGGCGGCGGAGGCTTCGGTTTGGTGATCTGATATAACTCCATGCTGATAACGGTCAGCAGAACAAATGCGCTCAGTGAAGCTAAGCCGTTGTTGAGCGTTGATGTATTGACGCGAGATAAACGGGGAGAACTTACCAACAGCCTTCCGCATGTTATTCCATTTGACCTCTTCCATGTTTGCACGGAGGTCACTGAGTGTTATGATCGCCTTATTCAAGACTTCCTAATTCAAGGTTATCAATTTACCCAACGGCAATATAAGAAGCACCCGAACCTCAATTGCAATGGTCTGCTGTTTCAGCTGTGCCTTTGACTCGTTCTTGCGAGTGTCAAGCTCCATCTGGATCCTATTCATAATATGAAAATAGAATCGTACGATTCAACGAACGAAACTCACTCATGTTTCAAAGTGCCAAGGTCTTCTTTCATCTTCACATCCAGACGATCGACCTCTCGGCGCAATGCAGCCGTCGCAGAGCGTATTGCTGCGCTTTCATTACGAGACCTTGCAGTTTGCTCTGCACGTAGCTCAGATAGTGCTGCACGGAATAAATATGCTTGCTGTTCAGCATCTGGATCAGTAAGCCTCGACAATTCCCAACGGGTCATACGCACGTTATCCAAGTCTTTGACTGTGAGGCCTTCTCGCCTCACGCGACCTATTCTGTCCACGAGCAAAGCACGCGTGGCCCTCATGAGACTCCGCGCTGTGGGCGTGGGGAATGACTTCTCGAGCGCGGCAACAAAGGCATGTGTGTGGAACGGAGGGGCTGTATATGACTGTCGAGGGTCTGGCTGATAAGTGCGTGCAGGTGGACCCGAAAGGGTCGCCGGGGGAGACGAGTCGGTCTCAGACGGAGGGGGAGAATTGAGGTCGGAATATCCATGTCCGGACCTCGGGTCTTTCGGATGAGCAAGGGATATCGAGCCTGGACCAGACACTGATATTGACTGTGAGGCTGAATCTACAAGGTCAGTGATGGGTTGCCCGGGAGTGCTGTAGTGTCTATGTAATAATATGGTAGCTGCGGTAGACGAAGCTCCATTGAACTCTGGCGTCAACGCTGGTAGTGATTGGTATATTCGGGGGATGATCCTCAGCATTCGGTTGACAGAAAGCGTAGATTCAAGGCTTAAGTTAATTGGTGTTCGGAACAAAGTGCAGCACTGTCCAAAGTAGTACCACTCGGATGCGGGAATCTGAAGTATCATGGTCACGTGCGTTACGTGAAGAACGAGGGGCTATGAACCAAAAGTTGTTGCATATATATCGTACACTTTGAATTTGGGGACTGTAATTGATTATTCTATGGGACAGCCAATCCAGCTTTCACAGGTTCTCTATCCAGAAGCCGGTCGAGCCAAGCCTTGAAGCAAACAATTTAATATTCTGTCACCGAACAGCGATGATGACTTCATTACCTTCAGGTTCGGGAAAGCATCCAGCGTTTCGACACCTGCATGCTTGTACAACCTCACCCTGTTGGTGCAAATCAACTTCAAAGCAAAATATTTATCTAGACGAAAATCCGGACCATGGCATGACATTCAGGTCCGCAACGCTCAGCTTCCCAGCCCCGGGACCCACAAGATACTCACGGCCCTGGAGACCGATATCGAGTACACCATAAAGACGGGTAACTTCATCCAAATAGCCTAAGTCACGACGTTAGAACCAACGAAAATAAAAAGGTCGAATGAATACACACGCTTCTTCCCATAAGGCACGTCCTCAGGGGCATAGTGTCGGAAGTGGTGTGCTGAGAGGCTCGACTGTTATTAAAGAAATATACACCCGTAGCTCACAACTTACATTGACCTTGCATAGGGCCGACTCCTCCATGCTTATTTGTCCAATCGTGAGCATGCATGCCCAACTACCTCACCAAAACACGTACTGCAAAGAAGATCCATTGCAACATCTGACTCTCCTCATCGCTGCCGCTCTCAAATTTGAACTTCCCTTCCTTATCGTACTTCTGTACGAGGTACAACAAGATTGCTGCGGTCTCGAAGACGGGGAAGCCATTCGGTTGGGCGGCAGTGGGATGGGAGCGGTCAACGAGCACAGGGATACGTCCGTTTGGGTTCATCGCAATGAACCAAGGCTCTTTCTGGGCGTTCGTAGACAAGTTGATATTCTGGACACTGCCAAGGACCTATGAGCAACGACCGGGGGCACGACGGAATACCTACTCGTAATCAAGGTTCCCGTATGCTGCTTTGAGCTCTTCGAGCATGATCGACACTTTGTGGCCATTGGGAGTAGGTGCAGTGTAGAGAACTAAAGGCTTCGACATATCGACTTGTTCAGTCTGGTGGAGGGAATACAGTGACGAATAACAGTGAATTTGACCCAGGTTTCAAATTTCATATACCAATAGCTGCCGTCACAGGAGAGCATGTTCAGCTGACCTCGTATCAGGCCCGGGTCCAAAATTAACCGCTTGCGCAAGAGGTTTAGGCTTGCTAAGCACTGATCTCGTGAACATGTTTGACAAACTTCCAATGAGCTTAGCAAGACAAGTGAATGCAGGAGTAGTATGGTTCGCAGTGGTGAACACTTTCTGTGATTTCGGAAAGACTGTGCTACAACGACAAGTGTGATCGATACAACTTCTATTGATCACCAGTGGAGAGACTGGAAATGATTTTCTTTGAGGAAGATCCAATGAAAAGGAATAAGATACGCACTACCGAACTTCTAATGAAGAATGATTAATCATGGGTATCACCGTCGTGATAGGACTTGCATGACAGTTAAAAGGCTGCAGCAAAGTCATCCCTCATGATTCTGCGGGAGGTGGAGTTGTTTTCTGCTGTCTCAGCTTCTCCGCATCCATGCCCACTGTGTTACCTCGAAACCGCGTCCTCATATCCAGCTTTTGCCCATCAGAGCATGTTCTCGTGTGTGTACATGCCACTCACCATATTGCGTTTGCACTCGAAAGTGGACTTCCTGAGTAGCTGGCATTGCTCCGGTAGTTCATTGCTGTGTTGCTTGATACACTCTGATGGAAGACGTCCTTGCTTTTGGACACAGTCGGAATTGAGAAGGCATTCCTTGAGTGCTTTGAGGAGAGCGTCACAGGAGGAGGACATGACCAATACAATATCCGTCGGCGCACCCGACGTCAATTTCTGTTATAAAACGAGGCGCAGCTTGCTGCCGTGTAGCGTCTGAGTGATGTGGTAAGAGTTCAGGCTTGGTGGTTCAGGAGAGCATCTATTGCAATCAAGCGTAAACTTCTCATGCTCTCACTATACCTTGATGCCTATACCACCATCACTACGTGCGCTTTTAAGAACAGTCCCGACACTAGCGCCTGTGTCTAATCGTGCAGTCCTATCAGTTTCTGGTTCACAAGCAACTGAGTTCCTCAACGGGCTGCTCGCGAGCAGCGTGCAGGGCAAGCAAACATATGGGGCATTCTTACACGCTCAGGTGCGACTCAGCTTCGAGTGTCTGTCGGTGTGTAATGTAACCATGCAGTTTCTGCTTGTAGGGGCGCGTTTTGTACGATGCTTTCATGTACAACTCCCCGACACCATCACTTTCATCTCCTGGACCGACATATCTCATAGAATATGACCCTACTCCATCCGAAGCACCTACCCTCATTAGCTTGCTCAAGCGCTACCTCCTTCGCTCAAAGGTGCGCATACGGGACGTGTCTGAGGAATGGGACGTTTGGGCCGCATGGGGGTCAGAAGGTACCAGAGAAACCAGGGAGTGGAACTGGGCACGAAGTGGTGCTGTTGAGCCAGTTTGGCAGGCTAGCGAATGTCCATGGGGAACGGAGAATGGTACTATACTTGACCGACGTGCTCCGGGAATGGGAAAGCGGATGCTTGTTCGCAAGGGCGATACGCGTGAGCATGTCTTTGGAATGTTCCTTGCATTGAGCTGGAGTTGATGTTGTGCAGCTGCCGACGCGTCTACACACGACTTGGCTGATAAGGATGCATACTTGCTGCATCGCATCATGCACGGAGTTCCCGAGGGTAGCGTGGACATTCAGCCCATGCATGCATTTCCCATTGAATCCAACTTAGACGCGATGGGCGGACGTGGGTCCCCTCTTCGTTTCATCTGATACGTATACTGACGCGCGCAGTGGACTTCCGGAAGGGATGCTATGTCGGCCAAGAGTTGACAGTACGCACATATCACACGGGCGTAGTTCGGAAACGTATCCTCCCAGTTCACATTTCATCTCCGGCATCATTACCACCATACATGTCGATTAAACCGTCCATTTCATCAACTACAGACAACACCGCAGTAAAAACACCCCGCCTACGCGGCTCGTCCACGCTCCTTTCTACAATAGCTACTTCAGGTATAGGATCAAGTGTCGGTTTGGCGCTGGTGCGGCTAGAACATTTGCGTCCTGGCATAGCACTGGAGACAGGGGAGGAGGAGCAGTCGTGGAAGGTGGAGCCCTGGTGGGCAGATTGGTGGCCCGAGCAGCCTCCCGACGAGGTGGATGATTTGAACAGCCTAACATAACGTAGGATCATGGAGAATCGTTTGTATCATACCGAACTAGACACACCACTCTTAAAGGATAATGAACATCAAATCACGGCGACTCCGCAATAACCTGCGCGTAGATGTAGGCTCCGTCGTGGCTCACTGAAACGTGTAATTTATCCACCGGGGTAACACAGTCGCGGACAGGGCGGTAAACAAGCGTTGGTTTTGCGCCAGTGACGCCATCGAATGATGAGTATGTGATCTCCTTCCAGGTAGGGCGGATGGGATACAAGGCCTTGTATGCAGCTTCTTTCACCGCCCAGCTAGACGCACGCCGCATAAATGGTCCGGCAAAACTTAGAATGAGGGAAAGACTCACCGCACACCCAAAAACCGTGCAATCCTTTCGGTTTTGTCTCCATGCTGTTCTGTGAGCAATTGAAATGAACGGAATTCCTGGGAGCTCAAAATTTTCGTAGCAAAAGCTTCAGAACCCCTTCGATTCAATAGACCGATGAGACGCGGAAGGTGCAAAATGTCGACGCCAATGCCGAGGATGGGCATATGGATGGATTGCGAGCGAAACGCTCAGGGAAATCAGAAATTTGTGATATAGAATGAAACGACTAGATTCTCCTCGGCAGACCCTCAAGAGATTATTACGTCTTTACGGATTTGCGTGGGCAAACGGTGACGACAGAGCGCGATTAGTTTTGTCAGACTTAGAGGAGATAAACGAATGTGACAAAGTACGATGGATCCAATGCATGACTTGCTCCTACCATCCACGTTGATCACCAAACGTTGAAGGACATCCGAATCAACGTAGGTGCAGAGCTCGTACTGAAACTAGCGCAGCCCGATATTAGTTTGTGATCAATCTCCGCATTCTAAAGATATCAACTAAACATAGCCTAATCTGCAGGCTACCGTAGATCTGCGATGTCCAAGCCATCTATCAGCACGGCGTATATTTCAGCGTCTACCAATCGCTTCAACCATGCAGCAGATGCCTCAACATCTTCCCTGATTGCTTGTGGATCAGGGAAATTAATCGCATTGTGGGACACTCAAGTGAGTATTTTGCCATGACTTCCATGACGCACCTAACAACCTCATCGAAGGACACAGATGGCAGAGGCATCTTCCAGACACTGCCCGGTCACGAAGGACTAGTTACCTGCGTTCGTTTTGTGGCTTCTGACGCATTTGCTAGTGCGGATGACAAGGGGACAGTCCGCTACTGGAGATTATTTGGGACAGAGGTACGTCAACCTAGCTCCTGCGCAAACATCCCCACAATGTTTATAGTGGAGGACTACCGCGATCATGCAAGCGCACCGACAAGCTGTCTCCGTGCTTCGCGCGTTCGACAAATTCTTGCTTACCGGAAGTTCAGACTCTTCCATCAAAATCTGGGAGGTGCAACGTGGTGATGTCAATGGTAAAACGCGTGTTCATTTCCGTGGTGAATGAGGCTGATTAGGACAGATGAGATGAATGAGATTCAAACCATTTCGCTTCAAGGATGGTATCCGTTGTCTCTAGCACTCGCATTTCTACCATCTTCTGAAGGTGAGAGTCTCAGTATCTCCCTGATGAGAGAGATGCTTACCTTGGCGCAGCGATAATACTTGCGATTGGCGGAACCGATCGTAACGTGCACATTTGGACCCGCTCTGACGGACAAGTTGAGTTCACATATATTTCACCTAGGTCAGCTCACTCATATCTTTCAGTTTATTCGGTCAGCTACTCTGTCAGGACATGAAGACTGGATACGTGCACTGGCGTTCCGAGCTCCATCGACACCGAGCGATCCTCTCGTGCTCGCTTCAGGCTCACAGGATGGAACCATTCGACTTTGGAACGTGGAATCCTTCGTTAAGATGCAGTCTCAGCCACAGACTCGTACAAAAGACTCGGGGGACGATCTCAGCGACGATCTCCTGGATGCATTTGAAGCTTCGTTAGGAGACCTGGGTGCAGACGCAGAAGAGGGCGGCAGACAGATTTCGCTCAAACGGCATGTTCTTACCGTTAAATCGAGTTCTGGGTGCGTAGATTTCCAGTGAAAATAGTGAGATTGAGTTGTTGACTGATCGTACACCGGAATAGGACGCAGCAGTACTCTATTACATTCGATGCTCTCTTGATCGGCCACGAGGCAGGGGTTACGTCCCTTTCTTGGTCTCCTTCGAATGCGACCCTGCTCTCTACGTCAACAGACTCCTCTCTCATCCTATGGGCTCCTAGTTCGATCATCTCCACCTCATACTCTTCATCAATGTCATCTATCTGGATTAATATACAACGTTTCGGTGATGTCGGAGGTCAACGTCTCGGTGGCTTTATTGGAGGCCTTTGGGGAAACGACGGCACCGAAGCCATGGCATGGGGTTGGAGTGGAGGCTGGCGGCGATGGCGTCGCGTCACGAGTGAAAGAACAGCTGGCGAGGAGTGGGAAGAGGTTGGTGCGATAAGCGGACATAGTGGTCCAGTAAAGGGTCTCAACTGGAGCCCCAAAGGAGAGTATCTGGTATCTGTAGGGTGATTATTGCTTGACATCAACGTCGCATTATAACTGCTGACTGCCCCCCGTTAGGCTGGACCAGACAACGCGCATTCATGGTGCTATAACCTCCTCTGCCCCCGAATTGAGCATTTGGCATGAGTTGTCACGCCCTCAGATACATGGTTATGATCTAATGGGTGCAGCATGGATCGGTCCGTGGACTTTTGCAAGCGTTGCTGACGAGAAGGTCGCACGAGTATTTGAAGCTCCACGAAATTTTGTCGAGGAGGTCCGGGTGCTGGGGGTCAAAGATTTGGCGCAGAGCGAGGTAAGGACCGCTGCCTGTTACATTTCAGGGCTTCTGAGAAAACAAAGGGTGACAGACCAGCAACGGCTAGTGTGCCTCCTCTTGGGTTATCGAACAAGGCTGTCAGTGATGGTGTGTCATACTAGAAGCGTGGTATTTGCTATTTGACAGGCCATCTTCCTATTTCAGCACCTTCAGAACTGGATAGTAGCAGACCTTGTAGGCGCCCTTTTGAAGGAGAGCTAGCTTCCATCACCCTTTGGCCCGAAATCGAGAAAGTGTTCGGGCATGGGTATGAGGTGAGCCAATCCGTGCCACCTGGGTGAAAGGAGACTGAGACTGAGGCAATTCCATCTACTTAGTCGATCACAATTTCTGCTTCTAACTCGCTCGACCTTCTTGCGACTGCTTGCCGCGCAACCTCCGCGCAGCATGCTATCGTCCGCGTATACACGACAGCAGGCTACCAGCCTTTCGGCGCTCCTCTCGAAGGCCATAGCTTGACAGTCACTCGTATAGCGTTCAGCCCGCCAGACGATAGATACATCCTCACCGTAAGCCGGGATCGAACGTGGAGACTATTCGAGAAGAAAGAAAATGGTAAGGCCATGTTTTCGTGGGCCAGGGTTATGATTGATCATACTCTGGGTACTAGGCTATATGCCCGTCGCTGCAGATAAATCGCACGGAAGAATCATCTGGGATTGCGCATGGAGCTGCGAAGGAGACCTTTTTGCCACCGCGTCTCGTGACAAGACCGTAAGCATTTCTGATTCCGGGAAAAGATCCTTGATCGAACATCTGTCAGGTAAAAATATGGAAGCAGAACTCCGACTCTGATCGGTGGGGAGCAATTACGACAATGAAATTCGAAGAAGCAGCAACTGCTGTCGCGTTTTGCTCTGCTGGTGAAGAGTAAGTAAAACTCTTCTGTATCTCATGTCGATGACATACTCCCTTCAGACGACGGCTTGCGGTCGGTTTAGAGACAGGAGAAATCAAGATATATTCAAATTTTATGTTCGCACCAGATCAGTGGACATTAGTGTTGACTGTCGACTCAAAGTAAGTCTTAGTTATGATTTGCAAGAGGAATTCGCTCATGATTTCAAAGTTTGGCACATGTTGATCACATCAATTATTTGGCATGGAGAGCAACTGATAATCCATCGAGGAAACAACTAGCGTCCTGCAGCGAAGATGGTACGCTGAAAGTACTGATTGTCCAGTTTGGCGTAGATTAAAGTACGTTGGTAGACACACTAAGCTCCACAGTAGTAGAAAAATGACACAAAGAGAATGGACATAAAACACAGTAAGCCGATTCGCAAGGTAAACGTAGTGGAGACAGGAAGAAAAGACTGCTATACAGTGGTCAATGTCTAGAAGACGGGTACCAAGAGTGATGGAAACAGTGTCAGTACGGAAACATCTGAGTTGATATCAAAGGAAGTGCCAAATATACGGGTATATACAGAATTGTGCCATGGCAGGGCACCTGCCTGGGTAAGTGATATGTTAGCAGGTATAAGAACACATCGAGAATTGACTGAAGCAGGGCCCGTGCAAATAGGGATACATGAACGCCAGTACGTGTTTAGATGATGTCGCGGAGGCTCAGTGGAACTTCAGGCTGTTGGAAGCAAGTTAGATCTGGTCTACAAAGTACGATACCAACAGGAAAACATACGCATTTAATTCTGGATTGGAACAGAAAAAGGAACTCGTCAATCGCTGATACAAGGCACAAAATCAAAGTGCATACTTGTAAAAACATTCAATAGAGCGAAGCATTTCAACGTCGCCCCCAGTTGCAGTGACAAAATTCACTACAACACCAGCACGTGCATAATTGGAGGCAATGGCTGGAGCAACGCTGTAATAGAGGTAAGTCGTGGTTGACACAGGTAACAGGCTGGCTTACCGATGCGCATACTCCTCTACAGCTTTAGGAAGGTCTGACAAAAAGTTGCAGTATACATTTGGATTAAAGCGGGTTAGTTACTTACCATAGTTGATGATCAGAGGGACGTGGGACACTTCGGGGGTTTTCACCTGTACATCATTCACGACTAACACTTTCGTCACAGGCTCTCTCATCATGACTGATGCTGAACTTTTGAACTTGTTAAGCGCTGCCAACTTTGTGCCCGCGTTCATGTCGCCGTGCTAGAAGAGAATCGTTTAAATATTGACGAAGAAAGAATGTTTCTGGTACTAACAAGGGGGACGGCTTCAAGCCCACGGCTGGCAAGCTTGTGGACGACCGAATCTAAAGAGGTCATGCCGCCGACATGGACGATCGCTTGGCTGACCTCGACGTCATCGAAGATGTCTGCCAAGGCGTCAAGCTTCCACTCGCGAGCTTGAGCGCTTTCAGCACTGGATGCCCCGCGGCCCGAACCAATGATACCATGTCCACCACCAGATGCAGCAGGATTAGTCGTGTCTGATCTACCACCAGCGGTGAAAGCAAGATATAGGTAAAATTGCCTAAGACCGCGAGACCCTTGAGCGGATTCGGTGCTGGTCACATTTCCATCACGGCGAACTAGAACGCGCACAGGCTCCTTGAGCTGGATAGCCGTAGCTAGATTGAGTACATCCTGCGGCACTGTATTAGAAAACAGCGCTGTCTGTCGTTCAATAATATTCGGCGAGCCGGTAGCAAGGTCATTCGGAGGGGACGGGGGAATAGCAGAGAACCTGCGTCCTGTGTTAGAAGACGGCAAACCAGAGTGGCTGTTTGGATCAAAGGAATTGAAAGACAGCTGAGGCGCGCCTGCAGAAGTAGAGTTCGGTGTGACATTCCCAATAGGGCGAGACCTGGGCGGAGGAAGAAGCTTCACTATGTTGAAGACAAACTCGTGCAAGTTGCGAGCAATCAGCTGATCAACCTCATCAAGAACGAGGAAGCGGACTTCAGATCCGATGAGACCTCCAGAGGCAGTAAAGAGGGCATGTAGCTTCTGCGGGGTACCACAAATGATGTGGGGCATATTCTGCTGCAGAAGGCGTAGCTCCTGGCTGAGGTCACTAGGCGCAGTGGATGTACCCACGCCTAGAGCAGATCTGATGCCAATCGGACCCCCGAGGTCACGAATCATACGCTGAGCCTGTGTAGCTTGGTCGACCGTGGTAGATATCATGATTACCAGGGGTCCCCTAGTAGGAGGGCGTCCAGCAGTGTTTATCACAGCTACTTGGATAGCGGGTATGACATATGCTGCAATCCGCTCTTGTGTGGGCGGAGCTTGCGCAATAATGTCTGCACCTCGCAGAAGAAATGGAAGCGCGCGCTGCTGAATCTTGTTGGGAGGGCCGACACTAGGAATGTGAAGTTTAACAGAAGAACTGGTACTGATGGATTATACTACTAACCCAAATTTGCTGAGAGAACGAAGCAAATCTGGAGCAAGATTCAATTGTTCCCACTTTGAGACCATGGAACCGTTATCACGGCCTGAGCTACCAGATAGTTCATTGCCTTGTGCATCAATCATCTAGCAATCAGGTTAGTCGAATCAGTGTCGCCTGAAGAGACTGAAACACGCACACCCACAGATTCGCGCCGCATCATGCTCCCAGTGACAGAACGACGTTTGTCCCGGGGGGGTTCGAGTCGTCCCACATTGCCGAGGGGGTCGGCCCGCATGGGAAGATCAAGTGTTCCCGCCGACCAAGTGCGCATCGGGGGATTGGGAGCACGTGGCGATGGTCGAAGATCTGGTCTATTCGGTAAGCCATGACCAAGGGCAGCAGGATTGGATCCCATGCCGTGAGGGAAAGCTTGGTTGGGGGCCATGTCCTGCATTTGTGGGGTGGATCGTCCCATCTGGGCAGGAAGGCCCGTGGTAGCATTCTGAATATGCTGCTGTGTTTGAAGAGCCAGCAATTGCCCAACGGATGTGGTCAGCGTGTTCAGGCGTTGAGAGATCTGTGTAATATCATCCGCAGGAGGGGATTGATTTGGAGCAATGTTTGCACTAAATGAGGCCCGTGGGATATTAATTGCTGGTGTCGACATGTTAGAAGCCGGTGCGAAAGGATCCTTGAACTCAGGCTGGGCGCTATTGAAAGAGGTGGCACTGCTAAGTGTTCTCTCAATGAGGATGTTGACCTTGCGATGTATGTCGCTGATGTCACGCTGGATTTCGAGCGTGTTATACTCGCAACGCTGGAGTCGATCTATGAGGTCGCGTATGAGTGGAGAAGCTTTGAGTTGTGCCTCCAGGTTATGATGAAAATCAGCGCCGGAGGCAAGCTGACTGCCCGAGTCCAAAGACGAGACCGGAGATGATGAGGGGAATGGACCATTGAAGTTGAATGATGCTGAACGTAATGTGGTGTTCAAAATGTTGACCGGAGGTGTTGCATTACGATTCCGAGATTGCTGCACGAGAGTCGTGACAAATGGAGACGAATCACCCGGGGTGTGCATGCCTTCATCATGGGTAATTGGATTGGGAGTATCATCTGCTTCTGGGAGGGACTCTAAACTGCCAACCTTGCTCATCTCTCGCGCACGAAGCAGATGCTGCCTTTCAGGTTCAACCTGATGGAGATATGGAGGCCTATCACCGTGTGGGGGCAGCTGGAAGCGGGCGTCTGGAAGAAACTCGGGCGCTCCAGTGGGCTCCTGTAATCGGGATGGACTTGGGGACGACTTCAAAGACCTGCGATCAGCGGAAGAAGCTGATTGAGAGGACACAGACGCCCCATCTTGCTCCCGAAGTGTGGGAACCCCAAATCCGAACCCAGTGGTCCCATCTTCTTCATAATTTCGCATACTACTGCCAGGGAAGAAGGGCATGGAGGTCGGATTCAGAGTGGCACCTCTCGCCATGGTCGTGACTAGCTCCGACGAACGGTGGACAAACGAAGGGCAGCGCTTGTATCGTAGGTAGGTTTCAGCATAGAAGCAAGGTACTCGTTGAGCTGATCTCACCTCAGGATCTGAAGAAATGTCTGGTCAATCCGATTCCATGCAGGCAGTATGAAGAAAGCCAAGAAAAATACCTGCGACCGGCCAGTTGACGCAGTGGCAGGTACTCGGTTAAAGTAACGAATGCTTCCAGAGCGTTGCCAAAGCCTTATAAAGCTCACAAATCCGGCCCAATGCGTGGTAACTTAAACTTGAGCTTATCCATGTACTTAGTACTTATTAAACCTACCATACAGCGTATCGACGCTTCCAGAAGGGCCTGACATTCAGGGCGTATCATTCTCAAACCATAGTGCAACTTGCTGAACCTTGGGAATTCAATATTGGCCAATGGCATCTTGGGCATAGCGGCATAAGTACATAGAACTAAAGACACCGTGACCGGAACAAAGGCAACAAAGGTACAGGGAAGAGTCAAAAAATGGGCATCGGGAAAGAAAAGCCAAAGATATTGATCTTCCCGCGCGGGTCTTTATCGCCGCGAACATCTAATAAAATGGTGGGCTGGAGCTTCAGAGCTCTAGATCAAGCACTCGAGTTAGCAATGAATTCATAAAGAAAACCAACAATGGTTGCCATACCTCAGTGCGCTTTGTCGAGCACGCTTCGCATCAGCAAAGCCGTTGCGAGCGCGGTATTCTTCAAGACGCTGTTGAACCTTTTCTATTACTTCTGGAAGATCGGCGGCGCTGCGAGTGACCTGGATTACAGTATTGAGTTACATTCTACAAACACTTCCAGGTAGCATACCACAAGTTCCGAGGATTGGTCGCCTTCTCCAAGACGAAACCCATTGAGTTCCAAAGCTTTGTTGGCAGCTGATGCGTCAACAAACGTGACCATAGCATACTGCCTAACAGAATGTTCGCGAATATAGGCTGGATCCGGGCGACCAGTCGTCATGGCCAGACCACCACTGCAGCGAATCTCGACAGAGAGAATTTTGCCACAATGATTGAAGTACTCTTGAATAGTGTCTTCGTCAACTGTTTTATTAAGCTTGCATCTAAGTCAGGTTTCGTGATGTGTTTGTTTTCACGGCCTCTTACATTGCCAACAAACACGTGCATAGGCTCGCGTCGTCTTTGTTTGTGATGTTTCTTGATAGCATGGGCAACACGGTGGTTCTGTTTGCAGGCTCTGGCAGGATTGGTGCGCGTTGGCTTGGCGTCATTCCTCCGTGCGTTCGTTACTTTTTTGGACTATGACAAGAGTTTTAGTGAAATGGCTAGTATAATATCTTTGTGTGTCACGAACCTTGGGCATAGATTTAGCTGCTGGGTTATGAGCAGGAGATTCATCAGAGTTTATGCTATGGCAGTGGTAAACCATGATGGCTTATGCGTGAAGGTGTTGAGGTTTGTGGGATTTGGCGTTCGTCTGAGGGTTAGAGTCGGACTGAGCAGCCTTTTTGAAGTTTTGAACTCTAGGAGGGTGGCCCAAGCAAGTTAATTTCCACAGCATGGTGGAAGTCCAAGCCCGGCAGCGTATGTTGAAGCATAAACAATGAGAGCTTAAGTTTGTGGACTTGATTGAGGCTCATGGACGATCGAATCTGATCGCATACTTAGTGGCTTCATCGTCCAAAAAAGGAAATCAGCTTTAGCTTGCACTTTTTCCACAGCTTTTCGGTGAACCCTTTGCTTGGACTCAATGGTTGCTCATACACATGTCTATCGAAAGGTAGTCCGAGAGATAGCCAAAGCGGTACGTTCCTACTCTTTTGCTTTACTCTGCTTGTAACTTTTTGATGTCAGAGCATCACACCTCGGTCAGCGCGGAACAAAGACATTGCTTCGAACTTTCGAGTCCTTTTCGCGCAGAGTGGACAGGCCGGAGATGCGCAATCTTTTCAACGCGATATGCAGAACGTCTTGACTTTCCTGCAATCCCAGCGGGAATATAAGGCGAGTGTTATATTGACTCACAACGTACTACGTATCAACTGACTTGTCTCAGGCTTTATTGGAGAGATACAACCCATTGATTGACCTAACGGCGGAGGAACGGATAGAAGCGACCGCACGACGAGTCGGGCTGAACATGCCCAAGACACCTTCCAGGGACATGTAGTAACACTCATTTTATCAAGAGCGGCAGAGACTCGAAAGTCGATATTGGGCGTAGTATTTTATAATGCCTGAGACCGCGAGGTGGACACCAAGTCATTTACATACCCCTGGAAGAAGTTCCGAAGGCGAATTATCGCAGTGAGATGGTATTCAAGGGATTTAGCTACAAGTCGTAATATTTACAGTATCGATTTGCTATATCACCCGGATCGGGATCCGGACTTCTGCAACCGACTCGGACTTGACTTGACTCAGACTGCGACTGGCAGTGCAAGTACTTATCCTACTGATGGATGTTTTGAAAAGGTACCTCCTCAAGTTTTCGCTGAGGAAATCTTCCCAGATTCAGGGCACCATGGCAGCGGCGACACAGATACTTGCATGCGATTCTATATCCATTACCTTTCCTTCAGACGACCAGGTAGCGATCAGCTCACCTGAAACTCTTGCAGCCTTACATACCGCAGCGTCCTGCCTCAAAAATCTCCTTCCAGTCGCTTTTCCAACAGAAACCGTTTATGGGCTGGGTGCTATCGCTCTAAACGCGACCGCAGCCCTTAAGATATTCTCGACCAAAGGCCGGCCAGCTGACAACCCTCTCATCGTACATGTGTCATCGCGCCGTATGCTACAGTCTTTGCTTCCACACAATTATGTACCCTCCCGTTCTTACGAGTTGCTCATGGAGCACTTTTGGCCCGGACCCCTCACGTTACTTTTTCCTTGCGACCACAGTCTAATACCCGACATCATTACTGCAGGCCAACCAACTGTCGCTATCAGAATGCCATCACATCCAGTAGCAAGAGCACTCATCGCTGTCGCAGATGCACCGCTCGCGGCTCCAAGCGCCAATTCTTCCGGAAAACCTAGTCCCACCCGGGCAGAGCACGTGTTGAATGACTTGAACGGCAAAATTTCTGTCATTCTAGACGGCGGCCCGTGTGAAGTTGGTCTAGAAAGTACGGTGGTGGATGGTCTACATGAAGATGGAAACATCCGCATCTTGCGCCCTGGCGGAATCACAGTGGAAGATATTAAACGAGTGCTCGTAGATGGCTTCTCCGACGCCGAAACGCCAATACCCCAAATTCTCGTCCACCGTCGTGATTTTCGTGATGACGCATTGGAACAGGCACCTACTACACCTGGCATGAAATATCGCCATTATTCCCCCTCAGTGCCGGTGACGCTGTTGCACATATCCGATGTTCCCCTTGGAATAGAACCTCTTAGCCCCTCCGCTTTTCTGGGGGATCTCAAGCGTTCGATGCCAAATTCTCCTGACACTCTCCGCGTTGGGTTATTGATGCCTTCGGATTCTATCTTAATGAAATCCCTCGTCAGCGACACCACCATTCAGTGGCATGAATTTCCTCTTGGGCTGGTCTCGGAGCCGGCAAATATTGCAAGGCGGCTATTTGACGGGCTGTTGACGTTAGAAAGGGAAGGAGTAGACTTGATTTTAGTGGAAGAAGTTTCGGAGGAAAAGGAGGGTCTGGCAATCATGAATCGGGTAAAGAAAGCAGCTGGAAACTCGCAATGGATCACTATTTCCTAGAAAGCGCATGTAGGTGTTATTGTATCTATTGTGCACCTTTTGCTCACAGCCCGCTGTAGCAAAGTGGCCGCGTTTACATTGCCCATAATTTTAATGAACTAGAGATATGATTATAAGCTAGGGACGACTGGTGACCATATCCCAAACACCATGCATGATGCGATAACGTCAGAGGCAGACCTAGTCGGTGAGCCTGTGTCCCGAACTCAAAATTGATGTCATTGACAGAAGGAGTACACAGAAACTTACATTTAACCTTGTGCTTACAGTTTTCGCCAATCTTCCACATGGTCGGAGGCTTTTTGGGATCAGCGATACATAACATCTTCTGCCAATCTAAAAAGCCGAAGTTCCTCTCAAAGTGCTTTTGAGCAGTTCGCTTTTGGTTTAGTTCAGGTTTGCGTTCGTAAGCACACATTTTTGGTTATGTGTTCAGCATCTCCACCAATCGCACGAGTGCGCTACTGAAGTCGTAAGCGTTCATTTCAGTGGTTTTGCAGATGCCTGACTGGGTACTTCTGGTGCTGAATTGGCGATGCATCGCTCCATCGTTGCTCGCACGCCACTCTTTTCTTGCCACGTTTATGGCCTCGTGCCCTATCTCTTCTACACGAGGCATTGTTAAACTATTGGTGCGCCGTGTGTGGATATGACTCATAGAGTGATTAAACTCACAGCATAAGAAATCAATATTGTTTTGCTATCACCCACAGGACCAGGTTAGAGGATGTAAAAATGCTCTTACCCTCGTGAGTTAATTGTCACGACGCAATTTTATAGAGGCTCCTGCATGCGCGGGACGTACTTGATACAGTGCTTTGTAGAAGCAGCATGACACCAAAGGACGTCGCCTATTGAGCAACGTGCTCTACAACGTGCTCTACAACGTGCTCTCGCGCACCTCCGAAGTTGCTCTGTCTCGATCACGTGACGTTTACGCGCCTCGCGTGCCTTTCTTTCAGACTTGATTGAACGCAATGATATTTCCCCTCCTTGCGCTGGTCCCTTTGTATTTCTTGTGCCGCCCTTCAGACGAGCTCCCGATACCTGACAGGGATCCATTTGGTCGGACTGTCTCCAGTTCCCCTTTATCGCGCTGAGCGCATATAAGAAGACTGTTGATAATCCTTACCCCACAGCGTTGGTCACTCTCAACTGGCATTGAGATCCCCTTTTTATCGTCTAGAGGCAAGTTTTTTATTTCCTACTATGGATTATAACGGTCGGTCTTCTTTTGTGTGATCCCCAGGTCGGGCTGAGCTGACTATGGTCTACCAGTATCTAACGGCAGACGAATGATCCAGCCTTATCCTGTTAATATGGGGCCTGGTCTTATGAACTATTCACCGTACTTCTTACTTTCGCAATCACCCGCTTTAAGCGATATCTCCCTTCCTTTGGATGATCTATATCGTTCCCAATCAGCACCTCCCTGCCTGGGGCAACACAATCATTTCGGCTCCCCTCTTCCCATCCCTCCATTATTTTCTGATTCCGACATGTTCTCGTTGGCTTCTTCCGCATACGATGGCGTTCATTCTTCTTCAAAGGAACATATTCCTCGTCCTCCGAACGCATTCATGCTCTACCGTTCCCATATGCTCAAAAGTCGGGGTAATGCTGACCCTGAGAAGCGTCAGCAGAATCTCAGCCGCATCGCAGGGCAGCTCTGGAGAGATATGAGCCAGGAAGACAGAGCTGTGTGGCATAAGAAGGCAGCGGAAGTTCAAGCCGCTCACTATGCAAAGTACCCTCACTACAAATTCAGGCCCAACCGCAGGGGTACTAAGTCGGTAGCCAAGACCCTTCAAGTTAGTGGTTACTATCTGCAGCCCACGGAAGCAGAGCCATCCGCAGGCCCAGTGCGACGTGCTCGCTCAAGTAGGGTCCGCCGGAAGGGTGTTACGCATGACGATCTCCTCGGTGCACCGGAAACACTTTTTCCATCGTCTGTTCCGTCTTCATCTTCATCTTCGCCTGCGCTCTCTCCTCTATGCTTGCCACCTTTCCTTCCGACGTTCTCTTTACCTGAAAGCATGTGTAGCAACGAGCAGGCGAACGCCATTCTGTCTCGTCCTCAGAATGCACTTGGCTTGGAATCAAGTTCAGCACAGCTTCCTGCGCCAGGACTAATTGAGATGTTTTCCGCTTTTGCCTGCGATCCCGATGCTGTATGTTCCGGTACTCTTTTGCTTTTACTTCTTCTAAACTTCACTTCCACTAGACGCCAACTGCAGCAACTTTCCAACGCAACGGCGACATACCGCAACCCGATCAGGCTGCTCAGTTCCAAGATGACGTATTCCTTGGACTCGAGCAGCTGCGTCTTCCCCATAATTCAACGGATTATGCACATGACGCAACTCATCTGTCCGCGCTGGTACATGGACCGGTAAACGGTTATCAGCTGTCGGCCCAATCTTATTCGTGCGCGGATGCTTTCGGTGGGGCTACGTCATGCACCTCTGATTCGATCTTCTCCGAATTTGGGTTTCCCCTTTCGATGCCGGACCATGAGCATAATCATCATGACGAGTGGAGCGATGCCGCGTGGATGCTTGAGTTGGAGAAGAGGTTAAATATATGAAATGCCTCCTTACAGTTATGATCGTCACGTACCTTCTTTGTAGTTTATCCTGTATTTTTTAGTATACCTATTACGCAAGTCCACTGTATTGATAGAACTTTCTCTCTCTCATTCTGATGAAGCTCGATTCGATCCATAGGTGCTGTTATTGTACGATTAGTATTTCATAACGCGAGGCGTCCATCCCAGCCTCTGGGCCCCACTTGCCGTCTCATTATTGCCTCCCATTCGAGAGAACGCAACTCAGAGCATACGCTCGGTAAAAGCCGATGGCTCGAATAATTCACGCACGTGACGATCTCATTCCATAGCTTGTACCATCAAGGCGTAGAGGGAAGTCGACCGCTGCTTCTGCCAGGACAATTCTTCACAATTCGATGAAACACGGACCGACTCTTACTGCAGATGAGCTTCTTAAACTACAAGAAGGACGTCCAACGAAACGGCCGCGGACGTTATCTACTCTCAAAACTTTTGCAACAGAGGAGGGCGACCAATCAACCACTTCGCCTTTCTCCTATGAGGACATAGAAGACTCGGATGCTGAGGAGCCCAAGATAGAGGAAGCGTCGAGTGAAGACGAGCATCATGAGCCTCCATATAAGTCTCCCTCTGCATTCGAGGACCAAGGCCGAGTGAAGATCTCTCTCATAAGAGAACTCAACGCGAAGGACAGCCTCTCCTCAGCTGCTCATGTACACCCCGCAGGATCCTTTGCTGATATGGGTGTGGTTCCTCCTCTCGATGCTGCCCTTGCGCGTATGTCTATACGGGTTCCGACAGAGATCCAAGCTGCCTGTATTCCTCCCCTTCTTGCAGGTTTGTCTTACAATAAATATATACCTTGAATCAATCGGTTGATGACCTGTTTTTAGGGAGAGATTGCATAGGAAATGCAAAGACAGGTTCTGGGAAGACCATAGCATTTGCAATCCCGATCTTGCAGAAGCTATCCGAAGATCCATACGGGATATTCGCGCTGGTACTGACACCTACAAGGTTCGTTTACTCGTTTCTTGATGTTGCTAAGCGTCATGACACTTCTACCTTCAGGGAACTGGCATTTCAAATATCTGAACAATTTGCGGTGCTCGGTGCTGCAATAGGCGTCCGGACGTCTGTCATCGTTGGTGGCATGGATATGATGGCACAAGCTTTAGAACTTGGTGGCCATCCCCATGTTGTAGTAGCCACTCCCGGCCGTATAGTTGACCACCTGCGGAGTAGTAACGGCGAATTGGATCTGTCTCGTGTCAAGTTCCTTGTCAGTGCAATATTCCGTGCGAAACTTTGCGAGGACTCATGTCAATCTAAATCAGGTATTGGATGAAGCTGATCGCCTTCTTACATCGACCTTTTCTCCTGAACTCAAATTTTTGTTTGAGACTCTCCCTAGCGATCGACAAACTTGTCTTTTTACTGCTACCCTGACACAAGCGATTGAGTCCTTGGTTGAAGCCCCACCGAGACCTGGAAAGGTAAAACCTTTTGTTCATAGAACACGATCAACGTAAGATGTACAGCCTACTCGGTGCCAGAAAGTGGATCTGACAAATTTTCAATCCAGTGTCGAAACGGTTGCAACACTTAAGCAACATTACGTACTGGTTCCCTCACATATCCGGGAGCCGTATCTTTATCATTTACTTTGTAATCCTCCGGAGAGCATCACATCGCTGCGGCGGGCGCCCCCAGAACCAATCAAAAAAAGCAGAAAATCAAGACACCATGGTAAAACCGGAACACGAAAACCCGACCCGAACGACGAGGATATACCCATACAACCACCACCTACAATCATTTTTTGCACAAAGCCTCGGACAGCTGCTTATCTCACTCATCTACTTCAGACTTTGTCTATTCGCAGTACTGCACTACATTCAAGACTGACCCAACGCGAACGGTTGACATCATTGTCACTTTTTCGGTCCTCTTTCATCCCAGTTCTTGTATCAACAGATGTTGGTGCCCGTGGTTTGGACATTGAGGACGTGGCAATGGTCATCAACTGGGATCTGCCAAATGAGCCCGAAGAGTACACTCACCGAGTTGGCAGAACTGCACGTGCAGGTAAAGGTGGTGTTGCCATCAGTTTTGTGACAGAAAAGGATGAGGAACGGATATCACGAATAGAAGGGCGTATTGGCACGTCATTTCTCTTTTGGTCCCAAGGACAGGGTTGCTGACTATTTTATCAGGCGTCCAATTGGAGGCCATGACTATGTCAGAAGAGAAGGTCTTGGAAAAATTGAACGCCGTATCAACGGCGAAAAGGCTGGCAAATATGGTGCGCCTTCCAAAGACAGCATACTTCTTATGCTTATGCGAGCCCCTCAGGAATTGCATGATTCGAACTTCGGCCAACGGGAAGAGATACATAAATTAAAGTCTAAGAGAAAGTTGGATGCATGATTGCGTATGCCAGTTAGTTATGTATTATATGCATCCCTGAGGGGTCGGAGTCGTGACTGACAGCGGGTGTAATGGTCTACCAAAGTTTGGGAATTGGATTGCTTCGTTATGAGGCCATCTGTAATGTTCTTTCTCACTCCACAGCAACCTAGCGCGCACTCGACTCGGTCCTGGAGGGAACTGGGTTCGTTCTAGAAAGCCATAATTTGTAGGGGCCGGAAGAATCCGATCGCGGTGTCTCTGGATCGCGAATATCAAACTCAGCGAAACGTTATAAGTCATTTATTAATATCGAGGGACCAAACTTGTTGTCCCCCCTTTCTCTTCATACTTTACATGCGCTCGCCATCGCCCGTGTGCTGCATTAATATATATATCTTTCAACGACCTTGTCTCTTCCTCGACGACCAATCGACGACCTTTATTTTTATTTAAATCAGCTCGCTTCAAATTACTGCCTTCGATCATCTGAGGCAGTTATGAGTACTTGTATGGAGAATACAGACTGGGACTTCGTCTTGCAGTTCGTCTCAGAGCCTTTGGAGATGGAATTATCTCGTGCGCCTGAAAGGCCCGTCGCGGAACGTACTCATTCGGCGGTACCTATGCAAGTACCAACTCCGCCCGTACGTTGTTTTCACTGGAAGAGATATCAGGCAGATATTTACCATAACCTACCAAGGATTCTTTCACATCATCTCCGGTTGACCCACCATCCGAGGAAGACACACTTGTCTCTGTCTCCACAACATTTTTTCCCGGAGCACAGATCCACTCGGTCCCACCAGACATTGTGCTGCTATCATCCGACTCTGTATTCTTTTATGTCCACACACATGCGCTGCTCGGGGTTTCTGAAAATAACTTCGGCGGTCTGCTACCACCTTCCTCCAAGGTGACATCAGGCCAGCTAGGCCCAGTCTTGGTGATTCCAGAATCTTCTACCATTCTCAACATCGTACTTCACGCCGTATACGACATGGCATGTTCCCATTATTCTCCTTCATTCGAGTCCCTTGCAGAAGCGTTGTCGGCTCTAGCATCTTATGGCGTTTCTGTGAAGCGTCACGCCGGCCCTTCTACAGCCCTACACTCACTGCTTCTCTCGCATGCTCCTCTTTACCCCTTGGAACTCTATACGCTGGCTGCCACATACGACCTCTATGAGCTCGCTGTTCCAACTTCATCTCACTTGCTCTCCTTCTCCTTGGCGTCCTTGACAGATGACATGGCCGACAGGATTGGCGCAGTATATTTGAAACGACTATTTTTTCTCCACTTTGGCCGTGCGGATGCTCTGAAACGTCTCCTCCTACCACCACCTCATCCACATCCCTCTACTAATGATTGCGACTTCACCGAGCAAAAGAGGCTCACAAGAGCCTGGGCTCTTGCATCTGCATACCTCGCTTGGGATGCCAGGCCGGGTATGTTTCATATTTGTCCAACAGTACCGGTTTTGATTTTACTTAATTCCAGACTTGTCCACAAACGCAATTGAGTCCGCTTTGGCGCCTTTAGGTGATCAGCTATTATGCGGGCACTGTCGAAAAGCACTTCGAGACCGACTGAAGACGTTAATTGTACAGTGGTCAGCAGTCAAGGTATGCCCACCATTCCGAATCTTCGACGATTCTGCTTATATTAGAACTGCAGAGGACAATTTAAAACGTGAAATAACCTCATCCGGAAGGGATGTCTCCCATTCCGGCCTACATACCCCAGGAAAGGGCGCGCACTTCTTCAATTCCCCCGTTGGACTGTATCATCCATGATCCCCTTCATTTCACTGCATTAATTTCACAGTGTAACACTGCTCACGAAGTTCTCTGTACATTAGTTGAGAATCGTTCACATCTTCGGTGAACAGTCTGTCCCCGAGTGCATCATACATGACCTGTACTCGTTAGCAGCCCCGTCCTTGCGTCCATAGTATTCTAGTCTACGCACCGACTCCACAAGTTTGTACTCCATATCGCGCGCACACGTATAGCATAACTGATCGGTAATGACATCGCCATTCGGAACTTGATGACAGATTGGAGTAAAAGTAGTGAGATAGGGTATACAACCTCATCGGGACTTATCCTCGGCAAGGATGGCGTCATTGAGCTCATCGAGAGGTGCTAACTCTTTCTTATCCACAAGTTCAAACTACCGGGTTTATAATTAGGTGAAATCAGGCTGTTGTGAAGATGATTGTGGAGTCACCTCGTTAATGAATAGAAAGAAATGACGGTAACTGGTGTTCAGATGAGCTGAAAGATTTGGTCAAGCTAAAACAATTGAAGCCGAGATTCAGATGAGACGATACCTTCGATGCCAAGGGCGCAAATTTGGTCAAAGTGGTTGCTGTATATGTGCGCATATACGCGAAACAAACGGCGTACGATCGTGCGCACTGTCTCACGAAAAGTTCGGGGGAATGGTACGCCTAATATTTCATCAATAACCACCGTAAAAGTAAAACCCATTGTGTGGTACACACCAATCTTGTTGGGGAATACAGTTTCATCGTCGAGAATGTTCTGAGTCCAGTTCATCAATGCGTCTACATATTCGGGGGCAGGTAGCTTCGTGGGTCTCTTATATTTAACACCATCCTCCCAGAGGTACTCGTAACTACCGGATTACAGTAAGTTTGTTCGTTATATGCCACAGACAGAGGCTCACCGCGGACCAGCGGACATTATCGGACACTAGTAAGGCCAGTGGTTCAGATCAAGCGACAAGTGATCAGCATCATCATACCTCCTGCGGCGTGCAGAACTCGGTAACAGTACCGTACAACATGTTCAAGTGGTTGAAGAAATCAACCGCTGTTCACGTGAATACGATGATGCATTGCAGCGAGTTTAGATGATCCGCACCATGAACAGCGAGCCATTCATTTGTATCTTCACCTTCAGGCAGCCGAACAGCCAACCTCAGATTGCCAGAACCCTAAATCGAGTTTGAAAGTTCAAGATCATCCCGCTATTAGTATTGATCAGTGTACTTTACCAAAGTTGCTTCTGCATACTTTCGCAGCTGATATTGTTTGGTGCCCTCGGGAACGTCCTTTCGAGGTTTGAAGGTGCGAGTCTTGCCTCTGGATAAGCAAGCAAAAGGCCGACGCGTTAGTTCATGGTCTTGGTGTTGGAAGGACAACTGACAGTCCAAAGAATGAAGACATGCCGCCGATGAATGCAGATCTACGATATCACACACAGTGCTTGATACTAAGTAAGTATACCCCAACTTCAAGGCGCCGAAGGCTGAAGTTGCCTGTGATTCGCCGCTTGAAAAGTATTTACATAATTCTCTATTATCTTATCTTATCTAAAATTCAAAGCCTCGGCTTTCCCGGACGCTAAGCGCTGCCAGTCGTGAAACTCCCAGCGTTCCTCCTTACGCTAGTACATGCCCCAAGTCGATGTAGCTTAAGGAGGCCTACGCCTCCACGGGGAGAACAATTAGCCAATTTCAATCCACGGCCCAAACCAAAGATCGCTCCACTACAGGAGTATGGCGTGTGCCGCCATTCAGGGGGCAGCTTGTAAACTCGTTGCCGAATTGGAACGGGAACTAGGAGAACTTTCACAGATATATAAAGGTCGTATGACCACATGAAATCACACATCCATCCCACTCACTGAACGTCATGACAAAACGTATCCTCTTTGTTTTTACATCTGCGAACCGCACATTAACCGGTGCCAGCACGGTCAGCGGAACCTTGTAGTCGTTGCTGACATCAACCTCCTAACCGCGTTTGAGCAGGGATGGTACCTTCCTGAAGCTGCTCATCCTTACTACGTCCTCGTGCCCCATTTTGCTATCGATTTTGCTTCCCCCGAGGGCCCTAATCCGCCTGTGGATGAATACAGCGTCCAGGTGAGCGTCGTTTCAAGAGTAGATTATTGATTGGTCATTGCTGAAATCCTGTCTCCAGACATTCCCAGACGACATTCCCAAATTCCTTGAAGATCCTGAGGTCCAGAAAAAGCTCTCGACCGCTAAAAAGCTCTCTGAGGTTAAGCCCGATGATTACGATGCGGTTTTCTACGTAGGGGGCCATGGACCCGTCTTGGATCTGGCAGTGGATCCCACCAATATCCACCTCGGATCTGCAGTACGTCTGCCAGTTTTCATTGTATGATGCGCCAACGTTTATCTGATCTCACAGTTCTACCGTGCTGGGAAAGTGGTCGCCGCTGTTTGCCACGGACCAGCGTCAGCAATACCATGACAATTACTACCACGAATTTTACTGACGCTTCGCCGCAGTGCCCTTGTTGGCGTGACTGACAACTCTGGCAAATCCATCTTCGCCGGCAAACCTTTCACCGGCTTCTCGAACGACGAGGAGGAACAGATCGGCAAGGTGAAGGTAAGTGTCACTCATTCAGTGTTTGGGATGTCTGCAGACGTGTCTTGAACACAGGATCTACCCTTCTTGTTGGAAGACAAGATATCTAGTCTTGGGGGCAAATATGAGAAAGCAGCGGAACCCTGGGGGGTCAGTATCATGCTCAAGCTTGGCTGCAGGTCAACTCATCTATATTATTCCAGGCCAAGGTCGTCGTTACTGGCAACCTGATCACAGGGCAAAATCCGGCTTCAGCTTATCCGGTCGGAGAAGCTATGCTCCAGGCCTTGCAGAAATAGTGTGCTACTGGTAAAAGCAGGATCGTCCTGAAAACGTTGTCTCTCAATTATCAATCGTACCTTGCAGTATCAACAAGACCTCAAGAGATCAAAGAAAATATTAAAAATTAGTACAGATTTTCGCGGGTACCTACAAGTACTGTATCAAATATATGCAACGGACATCTTCCAGCCCTTTTTTAGTGTGAAGCCATCTAGGCCCTGTTTTGCGGTCGATGCAAGTTCAGGAGAGTCGAATAAAACTTGTGCTATCTTTAGGCTCGCACCAGCAGCATTCGGAGTTGGTGATTGAGTGATATGTGTTGATTGAAAACCTTTGTAGCTATCCGCAGTATTCGTGAAGGGCTTGCATGAAAGGGGAATGAGAACGCACTCTTGGAATAGCACTGAGAGCACATCGTCTGTAACCTCTTGGGGGAGATTTGTACATAACAATCTCGCAGATGGATGCTGTGTAGGCGGCGGAATGGTGGCTTTGTGAAGAGATATTGAAATCATGTGAACATGGATCATGTGGACTAATGTATGGCGTACCTAGAGGTTTGAGTTGTGGAGCAGGTTCCTCATCTTCGTCGATCTCCATTTCTTCTCCATCACTGTCGTCCTCCGACTTCTCTCGTTTGGACTTGGGCTGCCCATCTGCCATATCCTCATCGCGCCGGCGCTTATCAGCAGACGAAACGGTGACTTTTGCAAGCGAAGCTATATCCTGGTTTGCATGAACAGATGTTGGTGGGACAAATTTTGGATCTTCTTTTCGCGAAGTAGCGTATGATTTCGATTTCGCGTAGGTGATGCGCTGCATAAAAGATCGAGATTGATTTTCTGGTGAAAAGCTAACTTTAAGCTCACCATTGGCTTTTCATAAAACACCATTCCCTCGCAGGCTCTCATGGCGGTAGTGGCGGATGCCAAATCAGTGAAGACGAGGAATGCCTGACCCTTCATTTTTGGACCTTTGGACGCGATGACATCAATAACCTTGCCGAAGGTGGTGAAAAGTGCATATAGTTGGGTTCGCATTTCCTCCTTGTTGATCTTGTCATTGAGATTGTTGATGTAAAGGGTAGGAATTGGTTGAGACATGATTGTCTACTGGTAAGTCGCGTAGAAGGTAACCTAGTTGTGTTGTTCTTAGAAAGGTATAGTGTTCGCACGAGTTCACAACTAAGTGAACGCGTTTTAGACTTATATTACAGTTTTGCAACTTCTCAAAGACTTTCAAGTTTCCAGCTGGTTATTCCTAAGTAACTGTCTTGCCCAGCTTCAACTAAGCTTTCTCCAGCTTTGTAGTCGCGGTTTGTGTCGTTTTAAACGTACGCCAAAACAAACAGGCACAAAAACTCTCTCCGGACCCTCGCACGTTGCTCAGTCTGTTCATGAAATTTTTGACGACCTCTTGCTAACATCCTGCCACGCGTCCCAATGAACAGCCATCATGCCATTCAATGGCTACCGTCTTACATTGTTCCATTCGTTTCCCTCTCATACCCAACTTCTCCCCCCACCAACCCCGACTCGTTCCACCATTCCGCGTACTACACTACTGGGCTGCTAGATGGCTGTTTCATAGTAACATGCATTGCTGTTATGGCGATTCTACGCGACGTAGCGCGCGTCTTTATAATGGAGCCTTTCGCTAGGTGGAAGCTCACCCGCACTTGGGAGCAATCTAATGCATCGCATATCCAACAGAACGGCAACAAAAATGGCGTCATGAACGGGAACGGACATGCTGGGCATGCCAATGGCGACTGCCCGCCAAAAAAAATAATGTCTCCGCGGGATGCTCGTAAAATCCATCGCAGCGTGCTCAGGTTCGCAGAACAAGGCTGGTCGGTCATCTACTACACACTCCAATGGTCATTTGGCTTTGTACGTAGGTTCCCGCAGCTGATGTGTCATGTCTAATCTCAGTTCTAGTATATTCACCAAAACCTTCCTACCCGAGCCCTAAACCCGACGGAAATGTGGTCCAACTACCCTCATATTCCCCTTGCTGGACCTTTGAAGTTTTACTATCTTACCCAGACCGCCTTTTACCTCCATCAAATCCTGATTCTCAATGCCGAGGCGCGAAGGAAAGACCATTTCCAAATGATGACCCACCATATCATCACAATTGTCCTCATGGTCGCGAGCTACCTCTATAATTTCACACGTGTTGGTTGCCTCATCATGGTCTTGATGGACTGGAATGATATTTTCCTGCCGGTAACTTGCACTCCCTGCTGTTGAATTCACACAGAGCTAACCAGTCATCCTCGTATAGGTCGCCAAAATGTTCCGATATATTGGTTTTTATACCCTTTGCGACATCACTTTCACATGGTTCCTTATATCATGGTTTGTGGCACGTCATGTTTTCTTCATCATCGTCATATTATCGGCCTGGTTCGATGGCCCGCGGTTGATCACTGTGGGCTGGGTGCCAGAGTTGGGACAATATTACTCTGAGTTTTCTTATAATACCTTTGTCTACCTGCTGGTGGTACTGCAGGTGAGCAACAGCCTTCGCGTCAATGTTCGCACCTGATAAGTCCTTCAAGATCATCCAGATCATCTGGTTCGGGATGATTTGTCGCATTGCATGGCGTGTGATTAGTGGTCAAGGCGCCTCGGATGACCGCAGTGATGACGAAAGGTGAGATTCCCAAGCGCATGCGTTTTATCCATATTGATGTGTCTGCAGTGAGGAAGAAAAGAAGAGCCAGTGATGCTAGTACATTAGAGGCAGGGGCACGATAATCATTGAACATTTAATTGCGACACGTCGGCCTTTGCATATCTAGATATTTCTGGACTCAGATACCATACAATTCAACCTTTTGGATACAGCTTGCTATATGAGCGAACGACTCATGAGTGTGCGACGAGGAGGCCAATTGCCTAATTGAGTTATCCATAAGTAATTGTCAGTCAGAGCTTCTAGCGTGACCTTACCGCAGCGGCAATACAGCTTGAACCGTGAGCCTTACCCTTTGTCCTGCAGGCATCTCTTTTGTTTTGATCTGCTTCTGTACTCAAACCATGATGGCTGGGATAATGTCATACTTTGGAGGGAGGAGAGATACGAAACAGGCAGCTCGAGATGCCATCGTAGGGCTAAGGCAGCAACTACAGATGATAGAGAAGAAAGAGGAACACCTACAGAAGAAGATTGACGAGGAGCTCAAGAAAGCAAAGGCTAACGCTGTTTCCAACAAGGCTGGTACGTCGCTTACTCTAACATCGAAGTGCACCGCCCCATACATGATGCACAGTGGCTACGCAAGCTCTGCGGCGGAAGAAGGCGAGTGAAGGGGAGATGGATCGACTGGCGGGTCAACGACTGCAGCTGGAACTACAAATCAACACACTAGAGTCTGCGAATCTGAACGCGGAGACGATGGCTGCTATGAAGAAGGCTTCGGACGTCCTTGCGTCGATCCATGGTAACATGTGCGTATTCGCCTTACGGTGCTGATCACGCGTATAGTGACCTTGATTCCCGTAGGACCATGGATAAGGTCGATTCGACCATGAGTAAGATTACGGAGCAGAGAGAGATTGCTAATGAAATCGCAGAAGCGTTATCAAATCCTACTGGCGTGGAGGCAGACGAGGTGCGTCTATTTCCTGACCTGATGGACGCTTGGGGCTTATGATTTTATTAGGATGAGCTCAAGCAAGAGCTCGCGGAGCTTGAGCAAGAGACACTTGATGAGCGCCTCGCTGGAGCAGAGCATGTTCCATTGCACATTCCTCCAGGAGCTCGCAGGGTAGAAGAGCGACGTAAGATGTCCCATGTCAACTTCACGTTCGATTAACTAAATTCCTTGTGCAGCCCAAGCAGTGGAGGACGAGGAGGAGGCTCAGTTGAGGGAACTACAGGCTGCACTAGCAATGTGATAGCTCGAGCCCCCTTTCTCGTACCGCATACCGGTTGATCCGTTCGCTGGTTTCATCTGACTTTATACATATATCCAATTCCTTTCTCATAATAGCCTCTTGCAACAGATAGGATTTCCCTGCTGACGACTGGTCGTGTTGTTGTGAAATTTGAGATAGTGTACAGGATAAGCAGTATTAAATTATGTAACGAAACTGCCTGTACTAAGTTATGAGTTTGATATGCAGCAAGGCGTGCGTGCAAAATGCAAATTGTGACATGCAGAATGATGTGATGTTGAACTCGGGACCATGAGGTAGAAAGTCAGTCAAGGATGGGTGTTAGAGGAATACTACGAGGAGAACCCGCGAATGCCCAATACCCTCCGCACATCCCCCGTGAAGCGCAGCGAGTCCAGGATGGGCAATAAATCGAGTAGGGCTTCGTCGAGTGGGTCATGTGTCCAACCCTCTATGGGTATACCATTCGCTATTACGAGAACACAGCACGAACATTTAGATCGTGTATTGTCATGATAAAGGTGTACGTACCTTCATTGCCACGGTAACTGACTGGCGAGTTATCGATCAGACAAACACGAGAGAGATCTTGTTCTACTATGGACAGATCCTTGATATAAGATCCATTAGGAAGTTGGGTGCACGACTAAACAAGTTTGATATCATTGTGAGGAGATGGATATCGCGGAGAAAGCACAAGACTCGCCTCTCGGAATAAACGGCGTGCAAGAATGCCACGTCCAGCGTCCAACCAGTCAATGACTGGGTCGGCATACTCTTGCATGGAGGCAGTGAAGACAACGAGTGTGTACCAAGAAGAAACCTGGCAATTTAGTCAGGCTCTAATGGCTTGACAACGGTAGCGCGTGACTAACCTTGCGAAGGAAATAGTCGACGAACGGTCTCTTGTATACGTGATAAAGGGTGCTCCGGCCGCCAAGGACTACTTCGACTGTGTGTCCCTTGTTCCTGCGTCCAAAACCGAGAAGACCAGAACCACTGGATGAATGACACATTGGTTTCGAAGTCGAATGTATGAGGGTTTCATCGAGATCAAGAACGAGAGTCTTTGGCAAATGGAATGGGGTTTTATGCGTAGCAGTCAAAGTGGGTGTTGGAGATCTTGATGCGGTATCGGTTACAGTAGTTGGAGGAACTCTTGGTAAGTGTTGGGAGGATGGATGCGAGGGACCTGGAGAAGGAGGTGGTGTAGGTAAGGTGGCGATATCTGGTTTGGATGGGATAACTTGAAGGACATGAGATGGAATATCCGGGGATGGTGGGGAAAGAATTGATGGCGAGGGCAGATGTATTTCAAGTAACAATACATCAGTAGCCTCGCCCAGGGGCTCTTCGGGACGTTCGCCGACCGATTCCTGTTTCCCCTTGGTTTCGATCTCTCCTGGTGTCCACTGTGCCCAAGTAGCGCAGAGGGTGTTCCAAACGAGGACGAAGGCTCGAACAAGGAACAGACGTCTGAGAACACTTCTTACTCTGAACCTGGATTTGGAATGTATGGCAACATCTGCTGGAGGGGGAGGAGGAAATGGCCTAAGAATCGGTATTGGGAAGAAACCTGAAGGAGAGGAATATGAGCGCTTCGGTCGTGGAGGGCATCGTAAGTCTGGGCCTTGAGGCTGCGACTTCTTTGTCCACGAATTTGTACGCTTGAAAGAAGTACCAGAATCTGATCCTCTACGAGTAGACAGGGCCCTATGAAGAAAGTAGGAGTCCTTATCGTCGACTGGAGTTGATGGAGGAGTTCGAGCTGATACGAATACATCGAATTGGCGCGAAATGTATGTGAGGGAGTTCATTGCTGAGCTGCTGGCGTGTTACCTCCGCAGCTTACGCTGGCTCGAATGAACGAGCTAGTGAAAAGGCGAACTCGCGAAGAAGAAAAAAGAAGAAAAACAGAGTTGAAGTACTAAAGCGACTGCGAGGTTGTATAAGGAAGTGCCAAAAAGTAGTAGTACTGGGGTCAAGTGCCAGCGCGCAACTATAACGCGTGACCTCAACTCATCGATGGTTCCATTCAATTTATCGTCAGTCCAAGCAGACCCAACTCTATTTTACCCCAACGGTTTTTCACTAAGTATCTCACCGGCAACGTTCGTCCACCGATGTCACATCCAATCATAATCATTCCCATTTTTTACTTAGGCACACTGCTGGCGATAGCCGATGCACCTTTCCCGCCGGCAGGTAGCAACGTTTTCTAAATCGATGCATCGGTTCCTCAAGCTCAAGGCTCAGCGCGTGTCATAGTAATTGCATATAAAATACGGGTCCGTCGTTCATCGCTTTACAGTTCACCGCGCGATCAATTACAGAAGGTATCGGAATCCTTTTTCCTTGATCCCTTTCTCTTGCTCTTCGCGCTCCAGCTGCTCGTTCAACGACTTCAGATGCTGTTTGAAAAACCAGCACATTATAATCGCAGTGCCGCTACCAGCGATGCAGATGCCATAGGAGTATCGGTAGGTAGGGCCCCAAGCCAAAGGCCAGATGTACCTGCAATCGGTTTCATTAATAAATTCTTACCACGTTGGTGAATTGTACTCACGACCCTGCAACGTTGCCGAGTTGCGAAAATCCGTTGATGATCGCCACACATACCGCACGCTTTGACGGCGGTCGAGGAAATGAATTGTTCATCCATGCGAGCATCACGACAAGTCCTGCATATGACTGCGCCATGAGGAACCTGCCTACCATCAGCGATACGCCACAAATTAAGATCCTGCGCTTACAGAGACACATATCGCGCCGCAGTGTTCATGGTGCATATTGCAATAATGAACCCAATAATACCAGTGATCCATGAACCAATAATGTGGTAGAAGCGTTCTTGCTTGTAATCAGAGTGCCTGACGAGCACTTTGTTCATTCTCAGATCCTAGATCATTATAGAAGCTTACCTGCACAAACAAAATGTGATAATCACCGCAAATATGAAAGGGGGGGCAACAAGGAGCAGCGTCACTGTTGGGTTGTACCCAAGCGTTGCGCTGAGAGTGGGAAAGTACGCATTGAAGGATAATGATACCACTTGAGCGTTTACTGCCATTGCAAACCACCACACCTTCCAGTCAGTAACAGCGAGGTAAAGACCGTGAGCGTGGCCGCCCTGCTCAGTTTCTTGCTGGTCACCGACACCAGCATCCTCCTCCATACGCTTCATGGCAAGTCGACGCTCATCATCAGAAAGCCACTTCGTCGTCGACGGAAAATCTGGCAAAATGAAGACAGCACACAATGCAGCGAAGACAGTCAGAGCTCCTTCGACGTAAAAAAGCCACCTCAAAAAATGAATTCAGACCAGATCTCTCGGCAAAATAGACTTGATTGAATTACCTCCATGCGGCGTGTCCGAGGACATTGTTCATGCCACCAAGAATGCCCGACGCAATGAGTGCCCCAAAGGCATTGCTAATAATATTTCCGCTGCAATGTTCCTGTTAATAGAAAGATCTTTCCACCAAGCAGATTGGCGCCCTTACCAGTAGAGGATGGCTGTTCTGAGACCTATCTCGGTTCTCTTGTACCTGTAAATTAGATGTGAAGCTGTTGGCTGATAAGATTAATAGCACACGAACCACTTCGAAATTAAGAATAGAGCACCAGGGAAAAACGCCGCTTCTACGAAGCCAAGAAAGAAACGCGTTATGACTGCTCCCGTAAAGCTGTTACAAAGGACTGCTATCAGTCGGTCGTCAGACATAGTTAGATGACACGTCATACTTGGTTGTAATTCCAGTCAGTGCCGATATCATACCCCAGACAGCCACACAAGCAGGCAAATAAAGCGACGGCTTGCCGGTGAAGTTAAGAAACATGTTAGAGGGGATCTGCATGATAATATATCCGACATAGAGAATGGACAACAACGTCGCAAATTGCTGATCGTTGAGATGAAGGTCGGCGGTAAGCCCTCGTAAACGCGCAGCGCTTGTACATTGTGAATGACACGTCAGGAATGCACAAAAAGCGCGTACCCAGCATTATTTCTATCGACCTAGTTCAAGAGTGAGATAGAGAAGCGACGCCTTGACACAAAGTCACTCACATAATTTAAGATGTAGATAACAACTAGGATTGACATGCGAAGGTCAAGTTTCCATAAAAGTTTGCGCTCCAGTTTTTTGCGTGCCTCTAGGCCACCGAATTCTGCGTCAGGATCGATGTCTTCAACGCGATCGACATGCAGCACATGCTCCTTAGAGACTGGGAGCGACGCAGAGTCTGAATGGCTAGTTGACATGATAGTGGTGGGAACACACTAAGGTCGATTTGTTTCTGTGCTTCATGTTTAAAGCACCTCTGACAAGTGGAAACATTGCCAAAAGGGAACCAACGGTATCAGCCTGAGCCGGTCACAAGGACAGCGGAAACAGGTCGCCTGAGAGTTTGCGGTCATTACTCTAGTAGTTATCTGTTTAGCTTGAGCTTGGCTTGAGCAGCTGGTACTACTACTAGGCACCAAGTGCTATGTTGGATGTGAATGAGAATTTAAACCTGATCATGAGTAAATTGAAGTCCAAGAACAGCTTGACATTCTCATTGAGAACTTGGTGGCTTGATCGTGCCATCACGTGATAAGGTCGCGCGTAACGCGTGTGTTTGTTGACGAGGACCAGGGTCATCGACGTCCAGCTTGGGACTCCATCATCTCCTTGAGGTCGACAAAGACTTGAAATTCTACATTTCAGTCAGAAGACTGACATGGACAACGACGGAGATATCCCAGTCTACTCCGAGCGTCATCTTGCACTCTTTCAACTTGTCAAAGACGCTTTGGATGACCTTCCTGTCTTGCATGCTTCCGTTATTCCAAAGGACGAATCTTGCGCCATATGTCTTACTCCTTTTGATGCCATACTTGCTGGCGAGGTGCCCCAGGAAGGAGAAATAGAAGATGGCGTTACACAGGTGGCGGGCTGTGGACACTTATTCTGCCGGAAGGAGTGCGTGATTTACTTTGATCAAATCCCCGTCAATCTCTTTTAAGCTAATTTTATGCAGCCTTTCAGAGTGGATACGAAACTTTGTGAGTCCTTTCATTCGACGCTAAATAAAGTCGAGTTCCGCTAACGTCTACTCCTATTTTGCAGCACGGCAGTTGTCCAACGTGTCGACATCCTTTTCTGGATATAAAGCCGTATACCGAGTCTGACGCAGAATCCTCTGATGACGAGTATTTTCCAGACGATGAAGATGAGGAAGAAGACGACTTCTTTGGGATGGATGATTTCGACGACGAATTCGAGGTGGAGGAGATGGAAGTAGACTTGGATGACATCTGGGGTTATGTTGACCTGAATGCTGGTGACGAGTCTGACGATGAGGAAGAAGATCCCGAACCAGATATTGACGGTCTGCTTGAAGAGAATCTCGGTATGTTACTCGGCATATTCGTCGAAGTTCACTGACATCTCCACAATAGAACGATCCCGCAGCGTATCTGATGCTGACGATGACGTAGAGGCAGATGCTACTTGCGGAGATTCGTCTCCACGCGATAAATAGGCTTCTCGAGGTAATTTATTGATGCACATTGATGTGTTCTAGATCGTTTTGTTTGTAAATTTCTAGAGCGTGTATGAATTCTACGTCGAAACCGCTTGAAGGACTTCGGAAACAGCAGCATCCTCGCGACTTTCTCTCCAGACACCGGTAAATTTGCCACTCCACCTCGTGCCCTTACCTCCTCCCTTGACATTCAGCTTGCCTTTGAGCAAGTCCCCAGCCGCCTTGACATATTTCTCATCCGATCCAAAGACAAGCAACACGCTCGCGCTTGTGCCTGTCTGTGACGACGGAGAAGATGAAAATATAAGCACGAATGGTCGCTCTGCTGGAGCGGTGTTTGCGAAAGCAGTGGTCATTGCTGACAAAAGTCCGAGAGGATTAATAGAATCGTCAGTCCGGTGCACGTGTTTGACAAACAGGGCTGCTTCAGATGACTTCATTTCTTGTAAAACGTCGCCTGCGACATGTTTTGCAAGCTCGAACTCAAGGTCATCGACTCTCTTCTCAGCTCTCTTCCGATCGTCCACAACTTGCCCTATACGGTCTGGGACTTGCGGAGCGCCACAACTGAGCGTGGTAGCAGCAGCAGCGAGTTGGGAGTGTGTAGATGTGAGGTAGGTGATGAGGCGCGGTCCAGCGAGGAAATACAGGCGAGCAGAAGTGGTGCTCGACCTGGAAAGTGTCTCCGTTTGCGGTATGATGAATAACTGAAGATTATGAAGGGTAGGAGGTGTGTGCCGCAGCATCTGCAATATTGATATGAACCTCCTGAAGCAATTCGTCAGGATTGGAGGAGCTTACGGGTTACGATCCACTCCATCGATGATTACTGTTCGCATGATGCCTCCAGTATAGTCGGTTGGGACTCCTTTGCCTACGGCACGACCGCTTTCTAATACAGGTACTGCGGGTTGTGGTTTATCGTCCATTTCTTGCACTTCCACATGGACTTTCCGTCCCTCAAACACTAGTTTGTTAGCTTCGTTCTGGATGGACAAGATCTCTTCCACGGTCATGCTTCTCCCGAGTTCGACATAACAAGGTGCCGGTGCGGCCGTGAGCGACCAAGAAAGGGTATGAATATCGAGCCGATTTTCGAGCACCGCGGAAAGCAGGTGCTGCGATGTGTGCATAGACATCTGTCGAGTTCCAGCTCAATGATTGCGCTAGGACGAAGATGCTGGGTACGTACATGATCATACCTGCGATCGAAATCAAGCTCTCCAAGAGCAACAGTAACCTTCGTTCCAGGGGTAAGGCAGGAAAGACCGTTTTCAGCTTGTTCAGCCCGGACGTAGTGAACTCCATGTCCGCCATGTCGTTTGGCCTGAATCACTGTCCATGTACGCCCATCAGCTGTCTTGATGATACCTGTATCTGATGGCTGTCCCCCGCCCTCAGGAAAGATGACGGTATCATGCAGTATGACCTCAAGTGTGGGTTGGTCGACGGGGGCTGGTGCCGATGCCTTCTTTCCTTTCTTAATGCTAGGAGAGGAGGCAGGCTGTGAGATCGTGCAACTGATAATCGTTGTCTCAAGTTCACGCAGGAGCGGGTCACCTGAACTTGAGCTTAGATGGAAATGTCTGGATGTGGGGTCAAGCTGCTCACGTTGACATGCCAAGAGACCCACGGGTATAGGTCGTTGGGTTTCTGTAGGAATCTTGAGTGTTGGGGAGACGATTCTGTGGTAGGACGGCGGAGTGACTGTGGGGTATAGTGCGACTACTGCAGCTGCCATATTCACAGTAGATAGTTGAGTTGAGTGGTCGTACTACTAGTGAGAGACTTTGATGATCATATCAGCCATTGAGATATCAGTAACTCCCACTGAACTCACGGTTGAGGATGCCGCACAGTGGCAGGCTTCGGAATTGCAGCTTCAGACCACAAATCAATGAATCTCTCTAACTATATGGTATAATAGTTACATGTTGACTCATACGATGGCATAGAAGTCTCCCGTAGTACTGTCAAACGTCAGTGACAGAACGCTGAGATAGGTGACTCGGGTGGAATGGTAACTAACGCAGGCTGAGGATAAAGTTACTTCCGCTCCGAAATAGTACTCGGCCTAGTACTACTGTCATCACCACTGGTCCATCTAAGAAGCTGCTGAATATTTCGGCGACACATCAAAGGAATGTCGTATCACCTCCTGCCTGATGCAGACAACTACAGTCCGCACTATGGTGCCTCCGAGTCTGGCAGTAGCAGTGATAGTCCCATACTTCCTCACATTGATGAGCAGCACAGATCGGTCGTGGAGAAGAGGCTTCTCCGTAAGCTGGACCTTAGAGTAGGCTTCCTGGTTCTGGTTTATATTATGAACTATGTGAGTTCGCGCACTGCAAATGTTTCCGCCACTGCTTAAGTTCTTTGCATAGATGGACCGTAATAATGTAGCGTACGTGGCCCTTCGAAATCGCTTGGAGTAATGTGGCTTAACCGCCCACTCGCAAGTGCAGCAAGGTTGCGTGGTTTTGAGGAGGACCTTAACATGACGGGGAACCAGTTCAACACACTCATCAGCGTCCTTTATGTGGGATATGTGTTGATGCAAGCTCCTTCGTATGTACCAGCACGTCATCCTTCTGCAGCATTTCCGAGAATTCACAAGCAACACTTTCTTAGATCGCATGAAAAGGCCATCAATGTACCTCTCAAGCTGCATGGCATTATGGGGTGCTATCACATTGTTCACTGGTATGTACATTTTTCCTTTAATCAACATTGCCTAACGAGGTCACGGAAGGTACGGTACGAACGTCGGTATCTATCACTCCTGCAGTGCTGTTCGCCTTCGATTTAACACTGATTTAGGTACCATACCACTCTCATCTTGCGTTTTTTGCTTGGATTTGTCGAGGCAGCGTTCTTTCCCGGGGCTGTATTCCTTCTTTCACGATGGTATAGTCGTCCCATACCCTCCGAACTGTGTATATTGAAATCTCGCTAGGTACAAGCGCAACGAGCTAGGGCTACGCACAGCACTTCTTACTTGCGGGAGCTCAGTCAGCAATGCTTTTAGCGCCCTTATAGCGTCAGGAATCTTGGCAGGCCTAGATGGTACACTGGGTCTTACGGCTTGGAGGTCTGATTCGAAATACACATACTTTCAAAAGTAACGCTGACTTCGATGCTGTAGGTGGCTTTTTTTCGTGGAGGGCACTTTGACCATCATAGTTGCGGTGTCTGCAATCTGGATTTTACCGGACTTTCCTTCAACGCCGAGCGCCTGGCTGTTGCCTGATGAACAAACGCTGGCGAAACGACGGATGGAAGAGGACGCTGCGGCCGGAAATGAGGACCAAGGCAAGCCCGCAGAGGGATTTTCTGGTCTTTACGAGGCTCTTATGGATTGGAGGGTATGGTGGCTTGGTGTTGCTCTCAGTTTGATGATCGCTTCCTTATCATTTGGCAATTTTTTCCCGACACTATCCGCTACAATGGGTTACAATGCGACCATCAGCCTCTTGCTCTGCGCACCCCCGTGGATTTTGGGAACTGCGACCTCTTTTTTTGTGGCCAGGTCAGTCTTCGAAAGACTGAAAAAATTCGACAGGTGAATTAACATTAGGCCAGGCACTCCGATGCAACCGGTGATCGCTTCTGGCACATCACTGGCCCACTACTTCTCGGCATTGTTGGGTTTATGATTGCCATCTCTACTATGAACACGGCTGTTCGATATCTATCGCTGTATGAATCCTCTCTTCCTCGTTCTGAAATTTCACGGGCTTACGTGCTTCGTGAAGATTCTTTATGACTCAGTCCTCGGTTGCCTATGTCATTTTTTTGACTTGGGTCTTGAATACCTTCTTCCAATCGCGGTCGAAGCGCGCTGCAGCCATCGCACTGATCAACTCGATGGCATCATTTGGCAACATCAGTTCATCGTGAGTTCACAGGCGACCTCGTGCTCTGGGTTGCCACTGACGCCGTCCCAGTTACTTCTGGCCATCCAGTTGGGGACCTTCATACGTGAACTCATATGTCATTTGCATATTGACGAGCGCCATGTCTATTGCGATGTGCTGGGCATTTAGAAAGCACCTTTCTCGGTGCAATGAAACTGCTGAAGCCGAAGAACAAGCTCTAGGGCTGCCCAAGGGTTTTAGATATCTCCTGTAGCATTCGCTTGAACTTAGTGTCCCCAGGATGCAGTGCACTACAAGAGATTACGAAGTACCGGAGTTTGCTGCACTCCTTATCTCTTTAGTGGTGCTGATTTAACCTTCCTGCGATGAACTGTTTGTCTTGGTCACTGTCGAGTTTGGCAGGAAAGATGTGCTTGGTGGTCAACCCGTGATGATGGTATTGCCCCGTCAAAGCGAGCTTCAAGTTACTGTAGTGGTAGTGCATCAAGTGAGTCTTGCTAGAGTAGAGAAGACGAGAAACTGGAGTGGATATATCACAATCTGTACAAGCATCACAACCCATGCAATATTGAATAAAATCTAAGAGATCAGAGACTGCACAGATGGAGTAACTGTTGTCCGCCTTACATATCATGGTCTATTATGGCCCCCCTTTTCATCAAGTATGCAAGTGACAGAGTACTGATCTTGTTGGGAGCGAACATTGATGGGATTGGGCCCGCTGGAAAGAAAAGTTTACTATTTTCGTTGGTAATTTGGGTTTGAGTCGAATGTACATTACGCAGTGATTGTAAGAAGCGAAACTTCGAAATCCTTGATTGAAATCGCTGAGAATTTTGTCCGCTGGCGCCCTTCATAATTACAATTCAGTGTCGGCCGAGTCGGGGATTGGCGCTCGCGCCGCTACGATACGATAACCTGTGTCCCAGAACAGCCAATCTAGCTACAATACTAACCCTTTACGGTCTATTCGTGATTGCCCACCACTTCGTGAGTCACACTTTTTGGCGTAGAAACGTGATGGTTTGTCACATCGTGTAACGGTATGTAACGAAATTTGCTTAAAAAGCGTGACTCACGAAATGATGGTCTATGACGAATAGACCATTATTAAGGGATAGTATCCTAGAACGGCTGGTTCAACGGAACTGCTGCAATACTCGGAATACGTATCTCGTTGAGCCAGCTGCCCTGGGACATCCAAGTACAAAGTTAGTTATCATACATCATGATTTCTCAGGCCTTGCTAACAATACACTGATAGTGTCGTATCTTGTTCTTGAACCATCTCACATGTCGAGCAGAACTTCTTCTCGCGGGATTGCATACGAACGTCTGCGTGAGTGTCCAACAGGAAGTTTGTCAATCAAGGCATTGACCCGAGTTCATTTACGCCTTTGTTTTGTCAAGCATGCGAAGACGTTGATACTGCATTCGAAGGCAGCCTGGACAGCGATACTGTCTTGCGGAATGTCATTTACGACGAGTTTCCGGACTAGACAGCATGTGGAACAAAGTCTTCTTCGTAAAGTCGACCTCAGGATGTCCATCCTCGTCCTTATCTATATCTTAAACTATGTCAGTCGAGTTCTTATGCAATAGCTTTGGTCCATAATCTAACAAGTGCAGATCGACCGCAATAATGCAGCGTGGGTTTACCTTTCATATCCGATACGTATACCATAGCTGAAGTTGCAGATCTTCTCTACACGTAACAGTGCAGCTAGATTACGTGGCTTCGAGGATGATCTTCATTTAGAAGGGCAACAATTCAATACCATTCTGAGCATTCTTTACATTGGTTACACACTAATGCAGGTTCCATCGTATGTGACTGGAGGACTCTCTTTTTATTTGATGCTAATGGTGATGAAGGAATATGTACTTGAGCAAGATGGGGAGACCCTCCATATATTTGCCGACATGTATGGCAATATGGGGTTTGATATCAGTCCTAACGGGTCAGTTCAGCGCTTGACCGTGCAGTCAGTTGATGTTGAATCAAACAGGAACAACGAAGGGGTACGTACCTAGCTTTTGGTTCGTACACGGACTGAAGAAGTCCTGAAGCTTCCTTGGAGCTGTGTGCACCAGGTTCTTTCTGGGATTCGTCGAGGCCGCGTTCTTTCCTGGTGCTTTATTTCTCTTATCTAAATGGTCAGTGAAGAGAACTGTCTTTCACTCGCACTGACATTGCTCAGGTACAAGCGAAGAGAGCTTGGACAACGGACGGCAATATTAAGCTGCGGTTAGTTCCTTTCCCATGTAACATTCGATGGATCCAACGTTGGCAGTATAGGTATCATGATCAGTAATGCTTTTGGGTCACTCTTAGCATCAGCTATTTTGGATGGCATGGACGGAGTTATGGGTCAAGCAGCTTGGAGGTAGGCAGTGTTTGTCTCCTTTCGACCTGATGCTTAGTTTCGTCAGGTGGCTCTTTTACATCGAAGGTTCTATGACGGTTTTGGTTGCAATCTGTGCCATATTCATCCTTCCCGACTTCCCTGGCACACCCTCTGGCTGGCTTACAGCCGAAGAACAGGCTCTTGCACAATTGCGAATGGAGGAAGATTTCGGGGTAGGGGATGAAGAAGAAACACAGTGTTCCAAAGGTGGGGAATCGGGTCTGAAGCAGGCGCTCTCAGATTGGAAGGTCTGGTGGCTTGCGCTTTCGATGACGAGCTTGAACGTCTTGTTATCATTCAACGCCTTTTTCCCGACGCTAAGTGCGACACTTGGCTACAGTTCGACAGTGTCTTTGCTACTTTGCTCCCCGCCTTGGCTGTTTGCAACATGCATTGCATTTTTCATGTCAAGGTAAACTATCTTATGGTACTTTGTATGAATCCCCACTGACATGATGTGAAGACATTCTGATCAAACAGGCGAACGCTTTGGTCACATTACAATACCTTTACTCTTTGGAATCGCGGGGTTTCTGATGGCCATGGCCACTATGAATACCGCAGTCAGATACCTCTCATTGTAAGTTTTCTCTAATTAATCTCATTCCTTGATTGACTGAAAATACTGTATAGGTTCCTGATGGCCCAGTCTTATACGGCGTTTGTCGTATACTTCGCGTGGGTTAGCAACTCTATTCCCCGCCCGACATCCAAGCGGGCCGTAGCTCTTGCATTCATTAATGCATTCTCATCTTTAGGAAACATCGCAGGCTCGTGAGTGTTTTGAACCTCTCGATCGTTCGAAATCTCTCATGCGCGCTTTCTAGCTATGTCTGGCCAAAGTCATGGGGTCCTTCCTATTCGAATTCATGTGCCATTTGTATAGGATGCGGTGCTCTTTGCATCATAATGTCATGGATTTTCAGGCGACACTTGATGCGGTTGAACCAGGAGAGTGAAGCAAAGAAGATAGAAGGAGGGCTATCCAATGATTTCACATATCTGCTATGATTATCATGGGCAGGCTAATACAATAATATCAAATATGATCTACGCACTACCTCGTGGCTATCCACATTTTTTTGTACATAGAATTGGTTTTCTCCCTAATCACGGTGCTGGTTGGAATTACCGTCACGCGCGTTGCGGGACGGACACGATATACAGTACTTACTAATGTTGCGTCTACCCGGAGAAACATCGGGACATATGATCCCCCATGTGTGCCGTGAACTACGATATTCAGAACTACGATACAGGTGATCTCGATTCTCGACATGATTTGTACTATATAGTAGCTCCAGAGGATTGATCCCTCCGCTCTTACTCCCGCAACCATGAGCATCACCAGATCTTTGACAGAAGATTGGTCTTTCACCCAAGTAGGCGGCGGACAGGGCACGAAGAACGACGAATGGTTGGCGGTATCGCAGTTGCCCACCACCGTGCACGTTGAACTTCTGAAGGCGGATCGTATTCCCGACCCGGTGTGTCCGATCATGATAAACATCTACACTGATCGGCTAACTTGGCTCATTCCGCAGTTCCTGGGTCTCAATGAATGGGAGGTTCAATGTTAGCACCATCCTCGTCTCGGTTGCGTTTCAGGGGCTGACTGAAGCGTGTAAATAGGGGTCGGAGAGTCCGACTGGGCTTTCAAGAATACCTTTAAGGTTTCTGCGAAGGAACTTGCGGCCACGAACGTGGACCTTGTGTTCGACGGTCTTGATACTTTCGCAAGCGTGGAGTTTGTACGTTAAATTGTCTTGCCATATGATGCATCCAGGCGCTGATATTTTAACGTAGAATGGACATAAAATCTTGGAGTCAGCGCGCTTCATTCTGTCTCCCTCTGATTCTTATCGCTATTCAGCACGGAAAATCAATTTATCTCATACAGAGCACCTGTGAAACAATACTTGAAACAGGGTGACAATGAGCTTGTTATCAGCTTCTCGAGTGCGTTCCTGAGGGTGAGCCAATGCAATATTTTAGATAGTTACTCTTGACTGTCGATTAATTAGGGGAGGGAAATGGAGAAAGCTCACGGGACGTTGCACCTTTGGAACGGTGATTCCAGTCGCTTGCATGTACGCAAGGCACAGTACAAGTATGCTTCTCTGTTGATCATCATGGGAAGGCTGTTAACATGTGCCGAAGTTATGGTTGGGACTGGGGGCCAGTTTTGATGACCATTGGCCCATGGAAGCCTATTACCCTTCACACGTATAACGTCCGCCTCACGGATGTTGACATCAGAAGCAACGTGTCGGAGGCACTGGACGTAAAGGTCACCGTTGACTTGACGCTGTCCGAGAAAGCTTCCGGATTGGCATCTGTTGTGCTGAAAAATGCACAGAACTCTGTAATCCTTACAGAGGACAATCTACAAGTCGGTTCTGGGAGTGCTCGCGCTGAGTTCCACTTCTCGCCTGGAGAGCTTGAACTGTGGTATCCAGTTGGATATGGCGAGCAACCTCTATATGCAGTCGAGATCACTGTTTCTGATTCGGTGAGAGGGACCCTGCCTCATATAACACATCAAGCGGTTAAACCTGTACTTTCAGCAAGGAAACACTCTGGACACAAAAACACAGAAAGTCTCGTTCCGCCGTGTTCGAGTTGTCCAGGACATTCTTGTTGATCAGGAAGGCCTCACTTTCTTGTTCGAAGTAAACAACATCAGGATTTTCTGTGGTGGTAAGCGAAGCCTCTTTCTTGAGGTGACACTAGTAAAACTGTGTCTCTAGGCTCTAACTGGATCCCCGCCGATTCTTTCCTCACTACGTTAGTATTTCGACACTGTCCGAGAATCAAATCATTTGATCGATATGTTTTACTACATACAGTCTTACTCCGGGGAAGTATCGTGCATGGCTTCAACTTCTCGTGGATGGTAATCAGAATATGATTCGTGTCTGGGGAGGGGGCATCTATGAATACGATGTTTTCTACGATATTTGTGATGGTGAGCACTATCCTCTTAGTCCTCGCGGATTTGATTCATAAACTTCCTTTCCTTAGAACTTGGAAGTAAGGGATTTGTTGAATTCGTCGGTCTGTTTATTTATATTTTATGGCAGTTCTTGTTTGGCAAGACTTTATGTTTGGCTGCGGTCAAGTAACTTGCTGTTGTTGCACTATTGGTCCAGGCTCATTGGTTTATAGTACCCAGCATACGATTCTTTCCTGAAACTTGTCGAAGTTGAGGCAGAACAAAACGTCAAGCGATTGAGACACCACCCATCTATTGTCATCTTCAGTCAGTCGAAATCGTGACGTGTTTTCCCCCTTCTTAGTCGTTTTTTTGCAGCTGGAAACAACGAGGACTACCAACTTGCAGAGTCAATAAATATCGTGGATTACTCTGACGAAACTTCGGACTTCCGAAAGACCCAGTTCCCCGCCCGGTATATATATGAGCGGACGTTGCCATCTATCGTCCGCAAATTCTGCGATATTCACTACCATCGCAGTTCCCCTTACAGCGCTCCAGGCACAGTTACCACAGACAAGACACTCGGGGACCTTCACCAATGTACGTCAAGAATCTAGGTCATCGGTATTTCTCTGATAATTCCTCAGGGAATGTATGGCATGGGTCTCAAGAACCGTGGCACAACTGGGATATACTCGCTGGTCGCTTCGTATCTGAATTCGGAATGTGAGCGTTCCTAAATCTGCTGACACCTAAAATTGCTCAGGCTGCCCCAGGGAGGGATACCCCAACATTCGCACTGTTGATTATTGGCTTGCTGGTGACAAATCAGAGCGATATCCTCAGTCCCGGTAAGTGAAATACGACTTGTACTTGACATCATGCTGAAGGTTCCCTCAGCGTCAACAATAACCATAACAAGGCCGCTGGCTTCGAACGCCGGTTGGAGGTATGATAGCCTTTATAAAGAACCTTCGCTCTACTACCCTCTTTTTCTAGCTCTACCTCGTGGAAAACTTCAAGCATGCTTTCGATATGGACAGGTGAGGCGTCTACTTCATCTATTATACGAGTTAAAGTTAAATGGTTCCTATTTAGCTATGTGTATTACACACAAATCATGCAAGCTGAGACGCTTGCATCTGCTTACCGACTTTGGAGGAGAAACTGGCGTGGAAAGGGTAGGGAGCACACTGCTGGTGCTCTCGTATGGCAGGTGCGTCATCGGCACGACGGTCGCGTTTTCTAGTTAACCGTAACCAGATCAATGACTGCTGGCCAACTACGTCATGGGCCATCGTCGATTACTTCTTGCGGCCCAAGCCGGCGTATTTCGCGATTGCACGCGAATTGCGTCAGTACACGGTCGGGATGACACGCAAGGAGAAGAAGACATTTGCGAATGATCTATCAGCTGCACAGTTCACAATTGCAACAATTCTCGATATCTGGGGCACGAACAGCACTCTATTAGAGAAGAAGGCCAAACTTGAAGTTACTTGCTTCGACCTTCACTCCTCCTGGACGGCGCAGTTCTTCAAGGATGTTGTGCTCGCTCCCAATTCCAGCACTGAGTTGTACTCGGGTGACCTTCCCGGTCAGCCAGTACGCACGAAAGAGAGTGAAGTGCCACGTGCGATCATTGTCTCAGCACGTCTCCTTGATGTATCCGGAACCGTCCTTGGTAGATACTCCAATTGGTGAGATTTGGATCCATGAGATTTTCTACGTTTGTCTTTCTTGACATATCTGTTGTAGGCCAGAACCTTTCAAATTCATCAACTTCCCTAGCGTCAAAGATCTAGGGTTTTCCGTCGAAACCGGCGGCGATGGCGATTCCCTCAAGCTCTCGACTCAGAGACCTATAAAAGGAATTATTCTAGATGCTGAAGGCGAGGACGTGAAGTGGAGCGACCAGGCCATCGATCTGGTTCCAGGAGATCCCCAGATTGTAAAGGCCATTGGGTTGAAGGGTAGGAATGTCAAGGTCCGCTTTCTTGGCGATGGTACGGCATAGATGAGAAGGTTTGCGGACGGCATTCATATCGATATGCCCCATAACACGACAATCGACAAATCCAATTGACCTACCGGTTGGGAATAAAGTACCTCATGCAATGGACAAACTGTGGAGATATGAATATGAATTATGAACCACCAGGGAAAATACTAGTACTGTTGAAACCAGACGGAGGGACCCCAGAAAAGCATTATTTTACACACTGTACAAGTCGCAAGGAGACAGGACCGAAGTAGCGAATTATAGGAGAAACTGTCTAATCCGATAGAAATATCGGAAAAAAATGGAAGAGGTACTCCTAGGGAGTGGAGGGAAATAGAGTGAAATACTTATTATGTATGCGAAAGACGTTGGACAGCGGTGCAGCAAACAACAGCCAGAAAAACGAGCGGCTCAGGGGTATGAAAGGAGGCTGGGTAACCGGAGAGCATGACAGCAAAGTGACCAGGGATGGCTAAGTCGCGTCTATCACATAATGAGACACCTGCTCGCCTCTGGCTGATCCGTTTTGCTGGACGGAGATCGCTTCTCAATCTCCGCAAGACACAGCTCAAAGACTTTGCCTGTGATAAGGCGGCATAAAGAAGCTGAATTGTTCAAATAGCGAATAATCCCTTACCAACAGTTGACATTGTTCTTGGCACTAGTCTCAACCCAGGCAGCTTTGTTAAGTTTTGCCAGCTCTTCCCCTTCATTCGGAGCCACCTGTCTACTATTGGGACTGTCAGAGAGCATTGACAAAAAGCAAAAGTGTGGGATGGCCAAGAACCAAAAAGTATGATGACCTACCTCGCTTGTAAATCAGTTTTAGCGCCAACGATTACGCATGGGATATCGTTTTTGCCGCAAAAATCAACAATTTTGTCGTAGACAATTTTGATCATGTCAAAAGATCTTCTTGAAGTGACCGAGTATACGAGAACGTAGCCGTGTATGCCAATTGCATGTTTAGAATTGAGAATCGAGTACTCGTCCTGTGGAGACGAATTGAGTTCGATATGCAACGGATGTATGAGATAGCACACCTGGCCAGCGGTGTCGATGATGTCACAGTCATATTCTACGCCTCTATAAGCTACACCTTTCGAAAAGGTGCTTTCGATGGTTGGATAGTATGCCTCGACAAAATGGTTCTCGATGAACTGTATGATAAGAGAAGATTTGCCTGTTGCGCGAGTGAGTATCGTGACGTTGAAAACAAGGTCAACCTACCAACTGAACGGGAACCTAGGACTGCGATTTTTCTCTTTCTCAGAGTGTTGGCGGCCATATTAACAAGATAGTGTATAAGAAATAAACGAAGGAAGTGGAAGAGAGAGACGAAGAAAGCAGAGGACGATGAGGAGACCAAAAAACTGTGGACAAGTTTGTGGCGATAGTGGAACTGTGACCCCGTGCCGTTTCTCCGTGACAAACGTCCGCGTCAGCGTTGAGCGTTACTTTGATAAATTCAGTGAAGAATGCAAACTTTCTTCCTCCCGGTCTGGGGGAATGTAGCTAGCGGATTTATATAAATACGAAATGGAGTAATTGTAATTCTCCAAGCAGGAAATGGCAGGAACTCCTGTACTTGCTACTACTGCATACGGGGTCTTACTTGTTCCAGTGCAGCTTATTACGGACCGTAGCTTATTCGGATTGTACATTTTCAGGAACACCGTCCACGAGTCGTCCACGTCGAAGGTCCTCGAAGGTCTCTCCCATCAACTGAGAGTAATAGCACTCGCTTCTAAACGTTGGTCTACCGTCACTCCTCTCACCCAAGGGTACCACATGGCTCTCTCCTAGGTCTTGTGATCCGCTGAAAACGGTCCGGATGTCTCGGCAACTACATACCCTTACACCATTTGCTATGCAATGCATATACAGCCTCCGCAAGTGTGTGGCCAATACTTATACGCCAGCGGCCTTTTCCGCAGGTGTGATTGGCGTTTTTGATGACCGTGAATCCTTTGATACTCAAGGCAAATACCTTTTACCTGCAAGGACAAAACCGTAGGAGTGAGCCCTTATATATTTCTTTGTGTGAATCATGATCCGTATAAATACCTGTTGGGCGCGAAGATAACAGACATTGAAGACGCATGCCGTAATGCAGACGTAACAACTGTCTTCGGAGACCAGCCCTGAAATAATGACGTTGCTTGATCTTGAGCACGGCGAAATTTCGTGGCATTACAAAAACGAAACTCAGAATGGCTTGAGAAGGCAAAATATCAAAGCTTTCAGCCCTGCTGCAAATACCAAGCATTCAGCTTGCTGGCGGTGACGCATGTGCTATGTGAAGCCCCTCGGCGGGAGTTTGTCCACTGTCTGCAATCATGCGACAGGACATAAGGGGCCTTGGGAAAAAGCAACTCGGTGGCACAGGCCGGGGACAATCACTAAATTGAGCTAACCATGGTATAAGGTTAGGCAAGAACAAATTATCTATACATGTTACCCACCACAGGACGGGAACAGAGGTGTCCTCTCTCGCTTGAAGATCTATCATCACGTAGAAACGGTATCCACAAGAGGTTCAATGAGGCCACGAAATGACAGATGGCCTCAGATGGCACGCAAGATGCACGTGGGAGGAAGTGACATTGTCGGCGGGCTCCCACACCAACAACAACGCGGGTTCCACGACTTCTTGCTTAAATGAAGCCATTCACAAGCTAAGGGCTTGAGCGCTCCTCCTATCCATGGACCGCGGATGTGTTGGTAGGGCACAACAGGGCCCTTTTCATGGGGAACTAGACGGCCATGGAAGGTAACGCCACATGATGGAAGCCAGTGAAGCCAGATGGCTGCCCATATCAATAATCATTTGGTTGAATTTAGGAAGAATTAGCCGTCCGCGCGCAGTTATGGACACCTGGCGATCATAGATACGTGTGGCTGACGCAGAATAACCACCGCCGGTATACAGACTGCGAGATTTCTATGACGGACATACGGAGCTTAACTTGGTGTTCCCGGAAGTCCGAGGCATGGACTGCTCCTGGTACAAATTGATGCCACAGTGCTGAGAATCGATATTCGCTACCAGTAATTGGAGGTATTTGTGATTCCTCTGTGAATAAAAAATGTTCTAACTTGGAAGTCTGTTACTTACTTAGAAGGAGCTTGAACGTTCGAACGTTTGAACTTCTTGAAGTAAGCACAATGACTATTGACCACAGTGACATAAGCACAATAGCGTATACAGCACGTGGTGATTCAATCACGTGCAGGTTGTCACGCGTCCAGTTGATTTTCGAACGCGATCAGTCAAAGGAAATCAGCGCTCAGCTTCGACTTCAACCATCTGACTCTATCGACCATCCTCGCTGTGCTACTTTGTCTTTCAACTTCCTTTAAAATCCTACTTTGAAAGTGAAAATCACCATAAGATCGAAATGTCTGCTACATCTACGCCCGCCGATTCTCCTGTCTCTGCTCCCATTCAGCCAATGCACAATCCCTCGCAAGCTGCTCACGTCGTCGTCCCACAAGCACCTCTTGGAAATGTTGCAAATGGTGTCAACAACGCCAAACCTGGAATGGGTATGAAGGCCCTATTGGCGAAAAAGATGGCGAAGAGCAAGTGAGTTCACAAACGCGTAGATCGGTGGCAGATGTTGACCTTATTCACGCGTTCTTTCCAGCAATCCCAAATTTGTCTCACCAACGGACAACTTGATGACACCTGTTACGCAGAAGCTGAATGCTGCGAAGCAGAAACACTTTCACAAAGTACGTATACCCATCCCCGTTGACCTTGTACTCGGTCCTGACACCATCTGCGATGCAGGGGCGCGAAACCCATGGGAGCCCTCTTCCCAGCCAAAGAGTCGCATTCGTTAGAGCAAGAGGATCACAGTCAAAGTGACACAGAACCTACAAAAGACACGTCTTCAGAAGTACCAATGGAAGAAGATGAGAATCCCTTCTAAGACAGAACCCAGTTGGCCCAATTGGGCATCTCCACGATACCCTCACGTTGTTTGTTGTATTACGCTCATGCCTGTGTCGCTAAATCTTGCTTGCCTGTGTAGTGTCTAGTGGTGTTGTAGGATGTTCCCACGATTTGCTGTAGTGTTACGCGTCGCTGGCTAGTATGTATCTTATCATACGGATGCATTGATTGTATTCGTTTCCCATATCCCTCTAGTTGTGAACGAGGTGACCATGGAGTCTCCTCGGCTTCCTCTAAGTGCTGCAGGTTTGCGTGCAATCCTTGAACAAGACTCCATAGGGAGATCTCAACTTCCCTCTCGCAAACGGATACAAGAGCTCATTGCAAGCCTCCCTAAGATCACAGAAACTGAGCTCAAAGACTTGGGTCATTCTGGTGCGCTCGTTTCTGCGTCATACATTCCCAAACTAGATATGTGCAATAGAATCTGTTTGCCCCATATGCTTTAATACGTTCTTGGCCATCCTTGCTGAAGAAGAAATGGCACTCGTCATGGACTCCCCCGCGCACCCAGTAGAGGAACTGGGCGCGACGAGACTCCACGAAACATGCGGACATCTGTTCTGCCGAAGAGAGTTGAGCGCACATCGTCCTTCCTTCGAATGACGTTACTGACTGGCGAGGCTAGCATCACGAAATGGATACGTGACGGCGTAAGTTAACAGGCTTTATGTACTTGGCTGCTTCCATTCACGCCACTTTCTAGCGCGAGTCTTGCCCCACTTGTCGTAGGCCTTTCCTTGCGGCTGCGGCTGATGACCAACACGATGCGGCGGAGTTGTCTCTGCCGGATGATTTTCCTGAGTGGATTGTCGACAGCTCAATGGTTGCCACAGATTCTGGCAACACAGGCTTACTGCCTTTCCTGGCTGTCCCCTCGATGGCGATGGGTAGTCATTCATCTGCTCATCAACGAGAAAGCCTAGACGAATTTTCTGGCATGTACTCGTAATAGCTTAGATTCTTACATACACTGAGTGTGGTTACATGCTCGAAGTTGAAATTAAGACTGCCATTCATTTGTTGAGTAACCATTTATCTACTCCTTTGGCGCAGACAAAGATAGGCTAGGTGTATAAAAACGAGTGATACGTCAACCCGGGTAGTGTAAGATGATACTCATGAAGTTCAGATTGTCCAGCTGCATAATACGATCGAACGAAGAGGGATACGAAAGGAGAGTAGATGATAGCTGTTTTCATCAAGTCCATGCATGCACAAGATAAATTCTGTTCACCAAACACAAGAAAGAGAGAAAAGCCGATCCACGGATTAATTCCTCCTGCAGCATCTGAAAAGATTGCGTTTGAACCAGTACCACAAGCACTGAAGCGAAACGTCAGCAATGGTGCGACAAAACGACTCTCCTAGAATAACTCACCCCAGTAAACCGCACAGCAGCGAGACCAAATGTGGAGTACAAGATGACAGCAAAGTAAATGTTTTGCTTCGTTTGAAGCTCCTGCGCGTCCAGCACCGCATCTGAAGCGGACGTGAGACCGTTGATGTTCTCAATGGCAACCGCCAATCCAGCGTTCGTAAGCATCCAGAAGGCGACAAGACGCGTACGGAAGGTCTTGTTCTGATCGTCCATCGTCGGCTTCTCAACCGCTTCCTTGACATCGATCTTGGTCACTGCGCGAGTGACGGTCTCCTTGAATGCAGAATCCACATCTTCTTGGATGCGGTGCGTATCTTCGACAACAGGAGCATCCGCATCTTTGGTCTTAGACGACGAGACCGATGGCAGAGCTTCTGCCTTGTCACTACCCTTTGTACCCCAGGACACCTAAAACATCGTTGTCAGCCAAAGCGGGTCCTAAATGATGACGGGTGACGCACATCGTGCAAGTTACAGAATGCGTAAACGTTGAGTACGTTCGTGAAACTTGGTGCCAGGCATAGGTATTGGAAGAAACTGGAAAACATATGCCAGGGGTCCCGCTGAAGCAAGAGGTCAGGCGGTGCCATTTTGAACGGGGGCAGAACTCACGTAGAGGAACGATGCAAAGAAGTAGATGCCTGTATCATGAATGAGTCAAAAATTACTACAAAATTCGAGCCACCACATACCGAAAGTGGAGACCATCGCAGCAATCAAAGCACCAACAGGAGGCGTTAAGAAGGTCAAAATGACTGCAGATACCGTCTTGTTCTTCAGCTCGTTGGGAATGTTCTACCACAAACGTTCATTGTCAGGTCAGTCGGCGCTAGAACCCAAGACCGCCAAGACTTACGGCGAACGCCTTGATGGTTAGCCAGAAAGAACACACGAGAAGGTAAACGGCCAAGAAGGCGTAAACCCTGCAACACCGGTCAGCTTGAATAGGGTAAAGACTCTGATTTGTACAAACCATAGCGTGGTTGCATATGCCGTTCGTTCACCCTTCGGTCTGTTACCAAGAGCTAGCACAAACTGTAGCGCGAGGAAGGCAAGGTAGATCCATTTAAAAGCCAAGTTAACCCAGTGTGTCTGCGAGCCCATTATTAGTATCAACCTTTTGAGAGCAGTAATTGTATACGTACGACGTCCGCAGTGCCGAAAATGATAATGCCTTGCCCAGGGAGCAGGTCGATGATGATGCTGAATGTTAACCAAATATTCGCCAATGCAAACCACGAGAAGATCAATGAGAAGATGTTGTACTATTGCCTCAGTCAGCAACAGAGTGCAAGCCAGAAATAACAAGACGCACAAGAGCTTGAATGTGGAAGAAGAACATGCGGATGATGCCGTGGCCAGAACGGTAGAGTTGGAAGAAATTCACCAAAGCGTACTGGTAAAAGACCATCAGACAAACTTGTGCTTAACGACGCTGTCGTTACTCACAACTGAAGCAGCAAATGAACCATTCAACCACCGACGACGTTGACCAATCAGCTCGACTGCGGATTCTGGTACGTCCGTCTCCGCTTTGGACGGTTTGACATACGTCAACGTCCACCTATCGCCAGCCTTGGCGACGAGCTCGAAACACAATATACGGTCCTCAGCTAAGAACATATTCTTGGTAAAGATGTTCATGCCGTAGATACCCTTCGCGCCAAGACGGTCGGCCAAAGAGTGGTCACCGTGGAAATACTGCTCTAGTGGCCGACCCAAGATCGCGCGAAACCGGTACGCGGAGAAAGCACCAGGAAGCACTGATACATAGCCGAAACTACTCTCCAGTGGTTTGTCTGTCATGTGATAAGACGATAGTATGCAGGGTCTGGACGAATGACATACCAAGGATGTTGGACATCTTGTACTCGAAGTTTTGGGCAGCGACCAGGGGGTTTAGGAGCTTCCTACCACCCTCAATCATGGCGTGAATTTCACCACAGCACCCACCAAGATGGGCATCGTTGTAGAACGCTTCCCAGAGATAATAGATGGATTTGTGTCCAGGTTTGGTACCGGCGTCAATGAGCACGCAAATTTCGGGCTAGATATGTTTCAGTTAGACGAACATGCGTTTGTGATGCGCCTCACCATCAAGATTTTACCGATGGCGTTGAACAACCACCGATGCGAATTGATCTTCTTCTGATTCTTAGCCTTTAGAACGAAAATGATTTGTACGGGGACCAAATTATTGGGATCGTTTTCATGAGGAAGCACAAGCTGAGGTTTGGCGTCAACCGACAACTGAGTGGTATACTGTAACGAAGATATAATCAATACAGCTCATGACGATTGAATAACTGGCACAAACCTCGAAAATGTGTGCGACAGTGTCTTTGTCGTCCACTTGTTTCTTCATGACACCATCTTGGTAGACGCCGACTGTGGCCAAGATATCCAATACGCTCTTGTCCATAGGCTCCAGTCCATCGACGATAAGGGCAACTGTGATTCTCTGCCAGCCAGGCAGACCTTCTTCAGCCGCTCGTCGCCAGTACTTTGACTGTTTAGTCTTGCAAATGTCGCGAATGTTCATCATGACGCCATGGAGTGTTCTAGCATAAAGTGTCTTGTCTTCGTTGTAAGACGTAACGGCAATGAGCAAGTCGGTTTGCCGACCATATATCTTGGTTCTCAAAGACCAGCCATTGGCCTCTGTGAAATCGTCCGGGTCGCACGTTGCTGCAGTGTACCGCATGTGGCTAGAGGGCATTTACGTGAGTTCATATCATAACAACTTGTTAAATAACTTACGAAAATTCAGTAGTATTGGTGGCGGCATATTTTGCTTCAATGGCACTATGGACTGGGGTTGGGACAGGGTACTCGGCAATGAAGTTACCATTTGTGAGCTTGACTTTACGCGTTACCCCACGCTTAATGGTCTGACGGCGCCTCCAAGCAGTGTCTGCGCCATTTGTTGTGGATGACATAGAAGACAAAGGGCGTGCGTAGGGGTCCCCATAGGCTGAAGGATCGACTGGTCTAGAAGAGAGAAAGGGATGAACCATGTGTTAGTAAAAATGAATGAAGAAGTTGAAGAGAAGCGCCCAATAATGGATAACTATATAAAACACAGTAAACTTACGCTGGTGGATAAAAGCCGCCAGGATTATAGTTGTCACCTCCGGTGAGCGGAAGCTTTTCAGCATAATCCTCATCTACATAATTGGCGCCGCCGAACTCGCGGGGTAAGGTTGTGGTACTCTCAAAGGGCGAGCCTGATGAACCATCATAAACACGAAGAGGTGGCTCCTGGAAGTGGGTCTGGCGTGGTCGATCTGCAAATGGGTCGCCAGTGTACTGTTCGTCATGAGGCCGTAGGGAAGACATGTTGTATCAGACCTAATTGAACGCGCTTGGAACAAGAGCTTGGAGATGCCTTTTGACAATGCCCAGAGAATTGAGTGGGGCAGAAAAGGCAAACGTTGAGGGTTGTGAACAAACACAGAAACCCGGTTTTGTACAAGTCTAAATGGTGAAACCCAGGCGATGATATACACCGCTTATTTGGACCCCCGTCACCCTTCCTTCACCATTGTCTCTCCGACACTCAGCCTCCCGAAATCGGTCAAACTCAGGCCTGCATCTAACTATTGACTGTATACAAGGATTTCCGTCTTTCATTATGAAGCCAACTAGCTATACAAAAGACTTGCCAAAGATATTGGTTATTTTTATACCCCGATTATGATAGTGGTTGCTTACACCCTAAACCTAACGCCGCTAGTGTCCAGGGTCCTGCGGGCAACTTCGCTCACGGCGCAACCTGGGCGCGTCCTTGGAAGCACGTCCCTTGACTCATGCATAGCCATAGGACTCCTAATCCCGCTTGTTGTTGCAACGAAAGCTATCCATTAGACGTGCATGAAAGTCGAATTGAACCTTTCAGCCTCTTCCTGAAAACTTTCAGGGTTTGCAACGCTGATGGTACAACAGCTGCGCTTTCAAATTAAGCCCAACCGTGTGAAGTCAACTGGTCGCAACTATGTATTGTTTTATATCAGGTTTTATTCCTGCCTCACTGCCTGGCTTAACACCGATCAAATTCTACCTATCTGATGATGCCAAGGTCCTCATTGCAAAAAGCAATTGCCCCTGTCACGATTAGCAACCAGGGTTTTATCATGATAACACAAACCTCTGCCGTTCGTGAAAATAGAGAGACTAGGAGACACTGCGGACTCACCCAGAAATACGAGGACGATTGAGCTACTTAGTAGGTCATCTCAAAATACTGTCACACATGTGCACAGCCGATTTACGCAGTGAAGACCTAGAACCTGTACATAAAAAACGGGCCTGAACTAACAGCCCTGACAGTATTCGCAAACCGCAGAAAACGGAAACGGATTTACTCGGCCGTGGCGCAAATCGCATTATTATGTACGTCCTTGAGAGCTCCAGTGACTGTCGTATATACTGCGATACTTAAGCAGCCAACACGCGAAACCTGTGACAGGGGCGTACCGGTGAATTAGCAACCCCGTGTGAATCCTCCAAGTGGTACTTACCTTTCACCGTATCCGAGTCTTCCTAGTCGCTCGGAAGCTTGGTCACAGTTTGCAGCGCTGTAGCCGTACACAATTTATCTAATTTCGACCCTGACAGGTCTTGAAAATCATGATTCGGTGAACTGCCACGTGCGGTCCGGGGACATGATCAGCCAACTGAAGACCTGGGTCAACTTTAGCACACCAGAAGCTCGAAATATCGTGCCTAAAATACTTGCGTCAGCTCTTCACCGTGAACTTGGGCTCAATACGCACGAGATCTACAAAAGAGTTCCCAGATACCACCACAAGCAGATCCCTACTGGCCTCCGCAACCATGGAGGCAGGTTAGCACCTGCTAAACCTATTCCTCTCCCTCCTAAACTAGATCACGTAGTTCGTTCAGTAAAGTGAGTCTGTCGGAACAAGAAATTGAATATGAAAATAGATAACCGAAGAAGACAATCCTGGAGGAAATGGCGATGCCACGGAAAATCGAGAAGGTACATATAAAAATAGGACTCCACGAAGACATTCGCGATCCATCTCTCACGTCTAAGGCATATGGCAAGACAGAAATTAAGAGTGACTTCAACATCCCTGCGTCCGATATCTGGCATTGGAGGTTGGCACTGGACTGCGAGGGACTACGAGACCAAGATTAATAACTACCGCAAACCTCCCATAGAAAAAGTCCTTTAGAACCCAGAGAGAAAAAGGCTAGAAGCTGGACGTGCCGGAGGGAACCAAAGTTGACAATGATGCACCGAAAAGAGTCCAGGCTCCTGATTTTCCTGCATTCAGCTTTTAGCATAGATTTTTTACTCGGCTTGAACAAAGCAGCCTCTTGCAGCCGGTATTCGTCCGTCGTCCGTCATGTGCAGCTGCCTGCAAAACCGTCCTGACATGTGCCCAAGCTTCTTATAGTCTTGATCAATCGCGTGTTTAGGGCGCAGCAGCCCGCGGATAGATTTGATCGCATAGTATTCACCTCCGCTCACACATCCAAAATTGTACACTCCACAATGGCATTGATCCCCTTGCATTTCACACCTCTATTTTTATGGCACGTCGCGGCAGTTATATCACTTGGTCCCAGATCCGTACACAGCTAGACAGCGTTCCTCAAAGGCCTGTACCATGAGCGTAGACACCTTCCCAAAAAACTTTGCAGACAGAGCAGAATGCAACGGATTCTCAAATGCAAAGGCGATATCGAGCGTGACAAGAGTAGGTCCGGCGTCAGGAGAATGGCTGTCCGCGGCTACAGAGGTCCTGACCTCGCCATGGAGCGGTGGACCACTGGAAGGATGAGGAGATGTTGACGAAGCTGGTTGGAAGCGCCATACTGTCTGAAGGGTCTTGAACAAAGGGGTTGAAGTCGATGCTTCGGCCTATGATTTCGAGAAATGGTGACTGCAGACTCCACCAGAAAAATGAGAGAAGCTGACCTGAACAGATTCATAAGGTCGACACGTCACCCTACTCACATAGCTCTCCTTGAATGCGAAAAACCCGACCATTAACTCCGCGTCCATAGTGACCACACCATCCTGGCCCACACGTCGTTCCAAAATTCTCGAACCAGTGCAATATGGCACAAAACTGGGATATGAACCAACATCTGCAATTAAGTTGTATAGATCTCTGCGTCCATGACTTGAGGCACGAATCAGTCTCGACGAATGCGGATATGATCTGCGGGACAACATACGGAAAAATCTTGCGTTCATGATAAGTTTGTGTCGCTGGCGGTTCATCAGAAAAGGGCGAGAAGTTTGGAAGGGTGAAGAAGCCTCTCTGATAAGAGGCCTTGCGACTGGTAACACAAAAACATTGTTGTCGCACGACTCGCAGCATCAAGTGAGCAGTTATTGTGAAACACCAAAGTTCACGACCTTAAATGGAACATCGATGCCGTAACATCGGTGCTACACCTTACCCCCATGATGGTTTCTCATGTTATCAACTACTCCGGAGCAAGTGACGGACATTTGGGCAGTGGGCAAACTAGTACTAATCTAGCATGCGGCACAATAAATGAATTAATGACGATCGAGAATGGGGACGACATGCCCAATGACACCCTAGATAAAGTATCACGGCTGAGTGCCATTGACACAGGTCTAGGTCTCAAGGAAATCCCGGAGGCTACTCAATAATTGTGAACATGAATCACAACAAGTTGTAACACGTTGAGAACGATGCAAGAACGATGTACGGATATGTCGGCGTGATCCAGCGTCAAATGGGTTGCTCAATGGAGTTCGGAGTATGACACACCGTACCAAAAAAAAAACAAGCTGCTCTCGCAAAAGCAAATACGCTCAGATCCTCGGGCTGCGCATACGTCAACAAAGTTCGACGATCAGTAAGATCAAACACCGGAGTATTGATCACCCACCGCTCCTGTGTGATGCTTAGCGATTAGAACGTGTCGAAGGATGCTTCTGGCCTGATAATAGAGCGTCATATTTCTATTGTATAGGAAGGTCCGATCGATTATCATTGAAGCTAGATAAAAGCAAAACCTAACAGGCAGGTTCTTTGACAGGAATGATTCTTTGCGTACCTTGCACGCCGAAAACACATCGGTCAATGCTGGTGTTGGTACTGCGAAACGGACGTCCGCAAGCCGTCGCATCGGAGAAACTGACCAATCAAGAACGTTCGGACTGATATTAACCTGTGCTCATGCAGATCAAGAAGTCACACCCTGAGGTTGCGGAGATCAAAAAAAAGTCGAGATAACTTAGAGAGCTGCAAAATAAACATCGCATACATATACGGAAGAGGGGGCAGGTGATCCTCTTCAACATGTCCAAGAACTGGAAGACGAGACATTTTCACCCTGCAAACTCAGCATTCTCTGGGCAGTCCCTAGCGATCTAAGGGGAAGACATCAAGCGCTGTAAGAGAAAGCGAAAAAAAACACAACGCACATGTCCCTCTTGTCCACACTTGTAACAAGTCTTGTTCTTGGTCAATCCAGATGTTCCATCGGCCGAGGTTGATCCCGGAGAGGCGAGACAGTCCCTGATCATTTTTAGTGTCGATATACGATAAAATTGAGACTCTTCACCTCGCCATATGATTGGGTCCGCCGCATCGGTAGCATTTCACCGGAGGAAGTGTAGATGTGTTCAAAGCACGTCCCGGGGGAGGCGCACGAGAAGCAAACCCGGCGCCTGCCCCAGCAGCCCCACTTGGACAAACACGGGCAATGTGTCCAAACCGACCACAATTCTGACATGAGGTAGGTGTCAACTGGGTTTCAAGTAACATCACTCTCGACTAGCTGTAAACATACGTAGCACTTTTGATTGCCGTTTTGAACCCTCAAGTTGGGACACTCTGCTTGAATATGACCAACGCCACCACAAGAGTAACACTGCTTTGCAGCGACAGTACGAGGCGACGGACAAGCCGAAGACTCATGACCAGGTTGACGACAATTATAGCAGAGGCGCGACTCAGAAGAGCAATTTTCGGCAATATGACCCACTGGAACACCATTAGGTTGGTCGAAAGATGAGCGATGACAAAAACTTGCAGTTTCCACACTTGAAGCATCCCTTCCTGGAAAACTGATACGCCATATCTACAGATCCTTCTGAACAGAAATGAAAAGTAAGACGAAAATATTGAAGAGATAAAATGTATTCGCACCTCAACACTTCCCTCTTCCAGCAAACCACTAAACTTCTCTTCCCACCTCACTTTGACGAGGACGAGGGTGACGATGAGTGAAAGAACCGTTCAATATGGGCGTCAGACGTTCAATTTCGTAACCCCCATATTTGCAACCTGCCCTGAAGCAGTAAGTGATCTGGAGTCCTGGACCCTGTGGCGTAACATTTAACCTCCAATACTTAATCCGCTAAATTTTACCGGATTTCAGACTTCAAGGCTCTGCAAATGGCTTCTCTTGATCGTCGACTTCCCGATAATTAATCATCAGCAGATGGCCACGTTCACTGCGGCACGATGGCCTCGTAAATGAACTATTCAGGTTGATTGTCGCGTTCCTGTCCGAGTAGGTCTTGATGATTGGTCGACATTCAATCAGGGTGCTCATCCTTGCAGGACAGCACCCTAAATCTACCACAGCTCTGGTCATTTATTGAGCAAACTCCCAAATGCGATTTGGCCTATTTTGGCGGGCACAAATGTTTCAAAACATTCGCGCCGTCTTATCGATAGCAACAAATGCGTCCCTCATATTGTAGCCCTGTCTCTCTAGATCTAGGGTTACATAGTGCCACATCCGGCTCTTATAAAAGCGCGAGTGCGTAAGGCTGTTTTTTCCTTAGAACCCACAGTTCTCACCTGAGGGACAGTCAACATTAAGGTCGGTATGCCGTACACGCCACTGTCAAAGACTGAAAATTGTCCATAGCCTTGACCTTCCAGTGGGTAGCCGACCTTCGCGCGCTCGCGCATCGCGCTTCTTGTATGGGCGCTGAGGGATATCCGTTCAGGTAGGCTTCCGCTTGATGGTGTTCTTGTGTTTCTACATCAGCTTATGAGCGGTGCAGAATAATCTTCTTTTTTGACACCCTTCCCCGCCCCCACAAGAAACGGCGTATCGAGCGACCTAAGCACGGTTAAGCGCATGGCAGGGGGATCGATGGTTGACGTTCCCGGGGTTTCATGCCGCGAGCTCGTTTTCCATGAATCAAAATGCCAATTCTATGCTTTATGCCTATGCCCTGATTCGTATCGATATGCACATTCATAGCTGCCTACATTTACAGTTGTGTTGACCATGTCAAGCTCCACACATGCTCTGGCCCAGTACAAAACCTACGTAGCTTGTGTGTTGGTAACTTCAACGTAAATTAAAAGCAGATCAAAAGCACGTGGACGCGAGACCGAGCACGCACAAAGATGCCTGAGGTGCGCAACTTCACCTCAGCAGGGAACGTATAAGAAAAATATCATCATGCATACATAAAATTTTGACACCAGCAATTGAGCAGGCAAGTGATGTTTCTGACGACGCTCAGTAATCGATATACCAGTGACTGCAATGCCACATTCAAGTTGGGAGTCCCTACATTGCGACCAGGCTGGAACTTCTGGTCCGACAGGTCACCCGTCACTCATATATGGGCAACGTATTATTTTCTGAGCTGTGGTAGCACCCAGTGTGATCGGCTTTTCGGCGCCGTCCAGTCTTGAACAACTTCCAAAATGCACCATGCATGCATCATGCCTGATTTATCTTGTCCGGCAGTGGACACGAAAAAAACTGGCGAGATGGGCTCTTCATTGAGCTGCGTGGCACCATTCCCCGCCTTCATTACCGTGACTACCCCAGACGAATCCGCATGTAACACTGGCGATCCACCACGAAACTTGCTTGCCGTACGGCGCCAGAGTACCGAGACTTGGTCAGTTTGCGAATCTCAGGCTATTATGAATGGTATGTAAATCGGACTTAGGAACGCCGGACAACTACATAGGCTATTGATTAGTCCTGAGTACTGAGTCCTTTACTACGGGATCAGCGGCATGCATGTGGGAAGACTGTCACTTAAGTACAACTCACTGTGTTGCTTGCCAATTGCCCGCTGACTCTTGTCGCAACCCTTGCTGGCAACAGACCCGTCCTCGCCTTATAAAGCCAGACCAGTCCTGTGCCGACTCTTGTCCTGCCATCATGAGTGTCGAGAGGCGCACCAAGTCTATTGACCTCTCTCACCACCTTTCCGAGCTGTCCAAAGCTAGGATAACCTCTCCGTTGAAGGGGCTCCAGAAGTACTTATCACAGCCAGGCATTTTGGCCCTCGCAGGAGGTCAGGCCTTCTCGTCTTCACAAACTGATAATATCTTATTTGACTTAACAGGCCTGCCTAGTCCTGCATATTTCCCCGTCTCAGACGTTTCTGCCAACGTTTTGGTACCAGAGTCATTCGCTCTCGCTCCGACAGAGTCGTCTACCCCTTCTTCATGGCTATGGAAGTTATTCAGTAGCCACAATTCAACCAAAGAGAACACTCAGGGCATCACCATTCCCAAGTACCCTGCCATGGACGGGGATATCAACCTGGCAAGCTCTCTTCAATACGGCGCAGCTGTAGCACAGGGACAGTTGCAAGTTTTCTTGAAACATTTTATTTCTGAGGTCTATCGGCCAGCTTTTGAGGACTGGACGGTCCTTATTAACACTGGTAATACGGATGGGTGCGTCAGTTCGATTACGGTACAATCTTTGTTGTGATGTTAGTCATCTAGGTGGTTAAGAGCTGTCGCAACCCTGTGCAACCCTGGCGAGGGTGTACTGTGTGAAGAGTGGACTTATCCCTCTGCCATGGCATCGATGCTCCCTGCCAATATCAAGCCTGTACCTGTCGCCATGGATGGACTAGGCATGAAGAGCGATGCCCTCGAGAACTTACTGTCGCAATGGGACCCAGTTTCACGTCAGATGTCAAGGTGAGATAGACAAATATAGAGAGGTCCACCCCGTATTTGAACTTCCCTCCAGGCCTCATGTTATGTACATCGTGCCTGTTGGACAGAACCCAAGTGGCTCGGTAAGTACACGTCTTTTCCAGATCGGTCGGTGAAAGCATTCCTGATGGATGCAGACAATGAGTGTCGCTCGCAAGAAGCAGATTTATGATATCTGTGTCAAATATGGTCAGTACACTGTATTAAGAGGAATCAGCTAGCTAAATGAACTTGGCGCTTAGACGTGATAATTGTCGAAGACGATCCATATTATTTTCTTCAACTGGGAACGTACGTATTTAAAGACGACAGGTCCCCTGATGTAACGTCTTCTGGAAGACAGTCAGCCGACGAATCTAGACGATATGTTTCGACTTTGATCCCTAGCTTCTTGAAGTGTGGGCCCCCCATTTGTTCACGTTGTGCGTCTCACAATATGGTGTAGTTTTGACTACGAGGGACGTGTGATCCGTCTCGATACCTTCTCCAAGGTGAGTCATAGAATCTACATTTCAGTAAGCTCGTGAGGTCAAACGTCCATTTTGGCAGACCGTTGCTCCTGGTAGTCGACTAGGATGGTTCACGTGTAATCCTCTCTTTGCAGAGAGGTTGGAGAGGCATGGAGAAAAAACAACTCAGGCTCCATGCGGCTTTGGACAGGTATTCGCAATGTACCTCGTTGAGCGGTCGTGGTTGACATCGAATCTAAAGGCAGTGATCGCAAAGATTTTGATGCATTGGACCTATGATGGCTACATCCGCTGGCTCAGGGGTATGTAACTTCGTTCACTCATTGGAGTCATCAATGATGCGATTCCCGTCAGGTCTACGAACAGAATATCAGCAACGCCGTGATTTCTTCATCGATTGTCTCGCAGAGGAATTCCACTTGCAGGCGGTTCCTGCTATCGCAGGCGTCTGGCAGGATTGCATCGTGTATCGGGCTTCATCCAAGGTCAAGAAGAGCTCTAGTATCAGTGAAAAATACCCGGGCCGGAACCGCACGATGTTTAGCTTCGTGCCGCCAGCTGCAGGAATGTTCGTATGGGTAGGTCGGCGCTCAACCTGTTTGCTTGCGTCCATTCTAAGCTTCGCATGTCAGATGAAACTTCATCTCAACCAACATCCCTCGTTTACCCCGGGAGATGAAGATACCTTAGAAACGAAGTTATGGACCAAGTTAGCAGAGAATGGAGTGTTGTTTGGACCAGGGTGGATGTTCGCAGCCAATGCGATGAGCAAGGACTCTGACAGTACTGGCGCCGGCCACTTCCGCGTCAGTTTCAGCAACGCCGAGGTACGGGTTTCAAATGCACTGCACCCGAGCGCTTGCTAACAACTAGCTCCTGAAGTTCCCCGACCTCAAGAAAGCGGTCACTATTTATGGACGAGTCATCCGGGAGTTCTTTGAAGAGGAGAACCTTTAGTGCGGTATTGGCTGTGGGGACGCGTTCTGTCACACTACCTGTTCTTTGCTGTTCCCTATAGTGTATGTGTTCATCAGGTGCCCAGACATGATTCCGGACGTAGGTGGTAAATTGCTCAACTCGCTGTTGAGTCACCACGGTGAGAATGGATCAAGAGACCCTGGATTCAATGCCATGATCCTTGTTCTCAGCAAGTATACCCATCCATGGTGATCAAGCGATCGGTCTCTTCCGACCTCGACCTGCTTCACGTGCGATCCGAAAGCCCTAAGGTCGAATATCGTTCGTGGCTCCGTGCTTGGCCGTTTTTCGCTGATTCTCAATCCTCCCAGCTGGGCTGTCCCGTTCTCAATACCGAGCTATGTACGTTTCTTGTTAAGCATAACGAGGGTTACCTACAGACTGCGTCACTGGAAGTGTTCGGTTCGGCCATTTTGATGCTATATGTACAATGCCATCAGGTCGCCGCTTGCTCAACTTGAGCGCTCATTGACGGCATTTGGATTTCAAAGCTGTAAGTACCTCCTCCCTTGAATTCGGAAGATTGCTTCGATCTGCAGTAGCAGTATTCTAGATTGCACCAGTTTCGTCGCCGATCGTAAAATGATATACAGGATTGCTCATCCAGTGTGGATCCATCTCGTGAAAGGGGCGCAAGGAGATGGTATAACATGGTGTAAGCAGGTTTGAGTAGCGTCAAGCACTGAGTACCGATTCCTGAAACTGTCTTCCGTGAAGTGCTGAAACCGCCCGAATTCTCAATCAATGTTTGTTCACATGCCTGGAAGTCGAGGCCCAGTTACCACGATGAAAACACCGAGTGGCGAGCTGTGCACATATATCAGACACGAGGCGCCCTTTTAAATTGCATGGCGAACCCTGAACCCAGCCATTTTCACTGCCATGATCAGGACTTGCCCTATACCCAGGGTATGATGCTGTAAGATTCTTGGGATCGACTCTTCACAAGGATGTGTCCCATCGGTCCTCCATCGTGCCTTGTGGCTGCGGTGAATTCAAAGGCTTTGTGGCGCAAACCAGTGCCCTCGTTACCCATAACCACTGTGGGTAGTAGTTTCAATGAAATTCACTAGATGAAATCAGAAGATAATTCGGTGAAACTAAGAGCATTAAGAGCTGAAATAGAGGTGCTGATATTGCCGTTTTTTACTCTGAATTCGTACTCTGAAAGCATACTCTGAAAATATGCTGAAGTTATGCCAAAAGAAATGTCGCCTTGCTATGGCATATGTCACATGACATGATCAATTTCGTTTATTATAATTTGCAATGGGCAGGAATTGAACCCAGGACCGCAGACGTCACTCAATTATAAGTGCAGCATCATTACCACTCAGCCACAAGACTATACGTATAACTTCACAATAATAGCAATATATACCAAAACAATGTCACATGACAAAAATGCGAAAAATTCCACCCAAGTGACTGAGTCAGTCCATTCAATTATCACTACAACACTAGCTACTGTTCTATTTACTACCACATAAATTCCAAGTACAGTAGCTTGATATAATTGTAATTGCATTAATGATAAACTACTTTATTTCAGATCAACTGGGAAGTGATTAGTCTTGTAAGCCACGTACATACCATACTACGAAGAAGTGTTACAGCCATTTGCAGAATGCTAGGCCAAAAAATATTCACTACATTTATTCAGCAATAAGTCGGGACAACAAAATTTTAACTTCCGACAGACAATCTCAATCTACAACTTGGATGGGACGATACATGTCCAAGGAACGAAAACAAGTTGCTCTACAAATGAGCTTGCTAAATGTCAAAGACCCAACAATTCATCGTTACACTGGGATTAGTAAGCAGTCATTGTGATATCTTTGGAAGATGTATCGATATCTGATCGGAGAATAGAAGTTGAAATACCCCTGTGTATGTAGTGAATTTTTTTTGGCCTAGCGTTCTGCAAATGGCTGTAATGGTGCTTTGCAACTGAACGCCAAATAAATTACCATTATAGGAAGGCATGGGGTACTGGTTACAACACAAGCCCTGACCCATACAGAGCTGAATCTGATTCAGTAAATTTTCTACTGAAAGGATGGTGCTGAATCAAGGGTGATAAGCTGAAATTCAGAATCAGCACTCCAATGAAATTAACTGCATGCAGTTTCAGTGGAAGTTACTCTGAAACATTCAGCACCAGTGCATTTTCCAGTGATTTTCATTGGAACTACTATCTACAGTGTAACTCCATAACCAGCATAGAAAAGGCAGCGGGATGCGCAACATCTGCTGTCTGTCCCCGTCCTGTTCAATTGTTACAGATGCCTGTGAGTGTTTCATCCTAGGTTGTCACGGCAGCATATCCAACCATTCTTTAAGGCACACTTAATATCCAGGGATGAGTACCTGCTACTCGCTAAGGTCGCAGAGGAGGCAGAGCGTTATGAAGGTCCATCCATGCAACCATCACTGTACTGTAAAAATTGGACCATGGTATATGTACACTGGTAGTGTTCATAATGTCCTTAATCAGTATAATATAAATGATGGAAATTATCAATCCATGTACTGAAATGCACAGGAACCACATACTGCAGTCACTTTACCCTTGTATAATACATACAGCTGAGGTTGAAATATCCCTGTTCTACACAGGCCACCCCATGTGGGCCCATCAATGTATCTTTGTGTTACATACAGGTGGGCTGGTCTCAAGTATGTATCTGATACAAACAGGGGGCCCATAGTATGTGGTGTAGTAGATAAGTGTAGACTTTTCTATTGACTTTGGTAGGTAGTGTATAAAGTATGTACCTGATACCAACAGGTGGGCCGATAGTCCAAAGTGTGGACTTTGCTATTTCATTTGATAGGCAATATACAAGAGCTATATATATATGTATGATGGAAACAAGTGGGCCAAGTGGGCAGTGGTACTGATATATACAGATGGGCTGAGAGTGTTCATAGACTAGCTTCCATAATATACATGCCAAGACCACCTTGGTCAAAGGACATTTGGTCAAATATGATGGATGAGGGATTACCAGGAATCAATTCATAATATAAATGCCAAGACCACCCTATACACGCTAGTAGAACTAGCGGGGAAGTACGCTCAGCAAGTCGCGTAGAACAACACTGAGGTGTGATAACAAGACAGACAAGACTATATACCAGTGACTATGAGATTAGGTAATGATACCGGGAAAGGATGTGCGGAGAGTGTTTGTATGGTCAAGAAGCAAGAAGATGTGCGAGAAGACACAACACATGTGGTGTTGATGGTGATAATGTCAAGAAGGAAATAGATGATCTAAAGGTAAATCCCAACAAACCCCCTCACTGAGACACCAGTTGGAGGTTTTCTATGTGCTTCACAAAGAGAGGATGTGTGAGTGCCTTTGTGAGGATGTCGGCAATGTTCTTGTGGGGCGGCAGCCAGCACAGAAGAAAGATGCCCTTCTTGATCCACTCATGAATGAAGTGGTAGTGAATATTGATGTGCTTCGAGCGGATGTGGTTCTTGGCTTCCTTAGAGAGAGATATGGCGCCTGTATTGTCCATGTAAATGATGATAGGGAATGTCATTGGGATGTGAAGCTCTGTAATGAATGACTTTAGCCAAAGGCCTTCCTGCATGACATGGGTGACGGCCATGTACTCTACCTCCGTAGAAGAGAGAGCATGAGTGGTCTACTTTTTAGAGACATGCACAATCAGTCCTCTGGCAAAGAACCAGGCATACCCCGAGATAGAGAGCCTGTCTTCTGCACAACTCACCCAGTCCGCATCGCAATATGTGTGCAATCCTTCATCTGCCCTATCACCCCCAAAGTGTGCATGGAGATTCAGCATGCCACTGAGGTACCATAGAAGACGTTTGGCAGCGGCATAGTAGTGTGGGGTAGGCTGCGAGTTGTGTTGGGCCAAGGTGTTGACAGCAAAAGCGATGTCTGCTCTAGTGCAGACAGTTAGGTATAAGAGTTCACCCACAATTTTGCGATAGCATGTGGGGAGATTGGGGATGTCATCATAGGCGTCTGAGTCACAGCCAAAAGGGTGGTTGGCATCTAATGGAAGATGGACAGGGTTACAGTTGAGCAGGTTGTATTCGTCAAGTAGATAAGTGATGTATATACACGCTAGCAGAACTAGTGGGGAGAGACACTCAGCAAGTCACATAGAACAATACTAGATTGATAGGTACCTAGTGGGGAGAGACACTAGGGTACATGAGCAAGAGTGAGATACAAGTGAGAGAACATACACATTCAGCAAGTCGTGTAGAACAATACTGAGGTGTAACACAAGGCGGGCAAGACTATATACTGGTGACTATGTGATTAGATAGTGACACCGGGGAAAAGACGTGTGGAGAGTGTTCGTATGGTCAAGAAGCAAGAAGATGCCAAGAGCAATGCTACATGTGGTGTTGATGGTGATAAGGTCAAGAAGGAAAACAAAGAGTCTAAAAGGTAAAAGCCAACACACCCCCTCACCGAAACACCAATTGGAGATTTGTTACATGTTTCATGAAGATGGGACATGTGAGTGCCTTCGTCAAGATGTCGGCAGTGTTCTTGTGAGATGGGAGCCAGTATGGAAGGAAGACACCCTTTTTGATCCATTAGTGGATGAAGTGGTAGCGGATGTCAATGTGCTTTGAGCAGATGTGATTTTTGGCTTCTTCGGAGAGGGATATGGCCCCAGTGTTGTCCATGTAGATGACAATGGGGAGGGTTAAAGGGATGTGAAGCTCTGTGATAAACAACTTGAGCCAGAGGCCCTCCTACATGACATGGGTGATGGCCATATACTCTGCCTCTGTGGAGGAGAGAGCATGGGTGGTCTGTTTCTTCAACACGTGCATGATTAGTCCTTCTGTGAAGAACCAGGTGTACCCTGAAATGGAGAGTCTATCCTCTGCACAGCTTGCCCAGTCTGCATCGCAGAATGCGTGCAATCCCTCATCTGCTCTGTCACCTCTGAAGTGCGCACGAAGATTGATT